GGAAACCATTGTAAAAATCATCGGGAGATTCTTGAGAATCCAATGAAATGAGCTAGTTCTGAGAGACTGTGCTGACAAATTTCATCCACACTGAACCACGCTAGTCGCACTGAGTACAAAAATTAAGGGGATTTTCTATTACTTCATATTTCATTGTATTCTCGCTATTCTATTCTAATAATTAGTCACTCAGAAACAATTCCAAATTAAGTATGCAAGAGAGATTTTATGGAAAATGTTTGCATCGATTCCCACAATTTCTCATCATCGAAAACAAGCAGGAAATTACTCAAAAAATTTGGAACGCTTCACGAATTTGCGTGTCATCCTTGCGCAGGGGCCATGCTAATCTTCTCTGTATTGTTCCAATTTTAGTATATGTTCTCGGAAGAACGAAAATGTGTCGTTCCACACTCTTTATATTGCCCCCTATTTGACATGTACGGACGTGATAACGGGATAAGGCACAGTCTATGTTTCGCACTTGACGAGCAACTGCCTATTTAGGAAAGACGCTGCACATGGAAAATTGCAATTATTCGCAGGTTATCTGTAGAACGGTAAAAACCCCCACTGTTCATACTTTTGCGCGATGATAATAGCTCTAATTCTAATAGCATTACTGTAAGCCCATTTTACAAAGCCATGAAAACCATTTGCGACGGGGCGGATCGAACTGAAAATTTTAGCGATCCGACACGTCAAACTCAGTAAGTATGATACAAGCTAAACTCTTGAATTCAAAATTATATTATTATACGAAACACAAACCTCTCAAAACACATTCTGTGTTAGAGATTCTATCAAGTGTACGCGGGCTCTCACAAACCCGAAGAACCTCTCACAACACATTTCTACCATTTCCATTACCTTTTTTAATTAAAAAAAAGAGACTGAGAATCAAAAACTAACTTACCTTGAGCCCAATTCTTGTGAAAACCCTTCAAGTTTCTCAACAATCACAGATTGCTAGAGCACTTTTGAAAGGGTTTAACACGATGTTCCCATTTTCAAAAAATACTTACCTGACTCTTCTAAATAGTAAAGGATTAATAGAAAAATTAAAAAAAAAATTGGACAAAATCAAGGATAAAAATAAGATAAGAAGGAAATCAAAGATATCATCCAATTTGATTCGAGTTTAGCGGCAATGCAGATCATCGAAAGATCATTCTTCCTGCAAATAAATGAAATTGGATCTGGTTGCATCCGACAAAATTATCCGTAGAATTGTCAATCGGATGAGGTTGATTCTAGGCCGAATTTTGTTGAATCCGATTGGTTTTGAGTTACCAGAGAATTGGAGTAAACTTTGTGGGAATACTTCTACTTTTTTAAGAGTTGGTTTCAAAATACCCGTCTTCAATTTTTGCGCAAACGCATGTCCTGTCCGAAATTGACATCACAAACTACTCACAATTTGCTCCCAAATAGTGGCATACTCGTGTAGAAGAGGCGTGCCACAGTATTGCAAAACAGTGCGCCGCTTTGCACAATGCTGCCACGCCCACTTTCGAAATTCGTTTTCAACGATTTCTAAATTTTGCTTTTTCTCATTGAGTTTCCAAGATTTTTTTTGTGATTTTATTCGAACTTAAAACTAAAATATTGTCTATCATCTACTTCGTTTGTCTCTTTGGTTTGAGATAACTGGCAAAATTTTGCAACAGTCCAAAAGTATAGTAAAAAAAATTATCGAAACATCGTTAGTCGAAAATTAATAGACAAAAAATGAGTAAAAAAAAATCATTAGTCAAGAATAATGAGTCAAGTCAAATGAGTTTGCCATTTGAAAACTAATTGTACGTAAACAGATACTATGCGCAAACTCGCCAATTCCAAAGTCAGTCATAAAATATTATTTCGAACTTTTGAAAATTACCTCTGTCAAAAATTCTACCAATCGATCAATATCTGGTGTGTAATGATCTTCTGATCTGAAATTGAACATTCAATCTGAATTAATGGGAAAATAAAGTCACTGTTTGCGCAATTGCACTTCAATCTGTTCACATGTTCCATTCAGTTTCGAATTGTTTCGACCTGAAGCAAAATTTTTTTTGAAAAGTTAAAAAAAATTTTAAAAAATGTCACTGTTTCAAGTCTTGCCATAAATCTTCGCCATCTTCCTTGTGTTGATCATTTGTTGTCACAGTGTTCATGAAAAATTTTTAACTTTTATTAGACTTAAAATCAATATTTTTATTACTATCAATATTTTAAGCTTTTAATTTATCAGTTGCGCTTTCAAGGAAAATTTGTTGCCAATTTGGCGGTCCCTACATCGAATGGTCCCGACGCCACTCCACCGTGTGCGCCTAGACTTCCCCAGGCATTTCCCTCCTGGGTCGGACCCTATGGGTCACCGAAGCGGGACGTTGGTCCGCGTCTCGTGGCACGAGAAACGCGGCGTCCGTGCGGGCTCTCTCAAATCCGACTCAACGAATGTTCTCGAGACACGCTCACGGCGGTTCGGAACCTGCGATGTCGGGGGGAAATCGCAACTTTTGAAATATTTCTTAATTTTAACAAACTTCGTTAAAAACAGTTGGAAAAATCCTAAAAGAAGAAGAAAACACTTACACGGCCGATTATTAGCCGAATATCGGCGAGTGAAGAGCGCAATCGAAAAAGTCGGAGCAAAATTGGTCTGAAAATAAGTCCATTTTTATTTTATTTAAAATAATAAGCAAAAACAATTAAAAATTGAAGAAATGCGTTAAAATTTCACAACGATCGAAATAAAAATGTAATCAAGACACGACGAAACCAAATGACGACATATTGCGGAATTGCTTAAATTTTTCTAAATTTTAACTAATTTCTTTCTCTTTTTTTTTTTTAATACCGTGACCCTCTTTTTGATTAATAAGCTCAAATCTCGTAATTACCTTCTTAATAATGTTCTTGTTTTCAGAACTTCATCGAAATAACGAACCGCACAAAATACTAGCGAAAATGGAAAAATTAGAAATGAATGAAAATGAAGTCACGTTGGTTTTGATATTTCAAATATTCACGTGATAATTCGTTTTTGGAGAACAACCTGTCTAAAAATAGAGAAAATTTCACCTAGAATCGGATTTTTTGGCAAATAATACGAATTGTACAAAATTTGGCCAATTATTTTTCACTGCTTCTCTGCTGTCTATTTCTTTTCCGCGAACTCTTTTACATCACATATTTAATTTTGGAATATAAAATGCAGTATTTTTTATTGAGGGTCTGTTCTAAAAAAATTAGGTTTAAGTTAAAATCTAATAAAAATGTATGCTATTACACTTATTCAAAACGGAAAATCAAACGGATTCTAACAAAAAAAATTGTAAAATAATTTTAATCGAAATCGAATTAAAAAATGAATATGATTTCAAAATTGAAAATGAGAAATGAATTTTTGAAAAAAAAATACAATCACTTTCTTTTCAGAAAATACAAAAAAATACAATCGATTTTAAAGAATTTAAAAAATCGAAACCAAGTTTTCAAACCGAATTAATTCGTTTTTGGAGAACAACCTGTCTAAAAATAGATAAAATTTTACCTAGAATCGGATTTTTTTGCAAATAATACGAATTGTACAAAATTTGGCCTACTGAGAAAATCAAGCAAAGTTTGTCGCTCTCCTGGCAACAATTCTTTGCAAAGGAGTTTCGCATCATCATTATTGACAATTCAAAACGGAAGTGGTGTATTTTGTCCGAAGAACACTCGTTTCTTATGAATTCCAAAGATGAAGCAATTTTATTTTAATACTTCGCGACTCTTTTTTTTCATTTCTTGCAGCTGCTTCTCTTTTTCTTTTTCGATTTCGGCCATTTTTTTCAGGTTCTTCTCGCTCTCCGCGGTGAAATCGAGCGGACCGCACCCTATTGGCGGCTTCGATAAGCCGGCAATGTATTTCGTGCTCGCGAATCGCAAAATTTGTGTACGATTCCAAGAATTCAACGCGATTAAACTGATTTTCCAAAATTTTCTGGAAAAGAAGCTTGCAAAATCAATTTCGAATTCAAAACGAATTCTTCTCACTTGTTCATGGCCGATTAGTAATAGAAAATAGAAAATGCACGCCATCGAATCGATTAATTTTTATTCGATTCGAAATTTCAAGTCAACAAATCATCTCGATCAGTGTGAACTCGGAAAATCTTATCAGAAGTGTCACAGTGGTCCAGAAAATTTCAAAATGTTGATCTTGACAAAATTCCCAAAGACTGCTGGGAACCCTTGGGAAGTTCCGGGGGAAAGTCGTCACCCATCCACAATAATTCAAGAATATTTAATTTCGGATTGATTTTTTATTTTGAATAGGCGCGCGGTGTTGAGGTTTACAATGACCGCCTTAAAAGAAGGTCCCGCCGCGATTTCTAAATACACGGTGAATAAGGCCAATTTTCACGGAATTTCTCAATACGAAATATGGGAATTTTGCAAATCACGTGTCAAACAAACGAGTTGCTGTTATAAAAATCGATAATTAAGAACATAAAAAAATATTTTCATCGCAAAAAACGAGCACTTTGGAAAATTGTAGGCCATCGCATTTTTTGAGGCGGTAATTCAAATTTGAATTTAAACATCGGGAATTCAATTTGAGTACAAACAGTTCTCGAAGGAAAATGATTAAATCGATGAAAATTTATTCAGAGAATCTTCACAAAGAGAATTGTCAAATTGAGCAAGGTTAAGCTGGTTGAATAATGAATTGCATAAAAATTGAGAAATGAGAAATCAAAAAAATGAAAATAAAAGCGATATTAATTAATAAAAAAAAAACAAAAAAAAAATTTAAAAAAAAAAAACAAAAAAAAGATTAAAAAAAAAAAAAAAATATTTAAAAAAAAAAACGATATTGTCCTATATTAGGACACCCTGTAAGAGTAGAGATGCTCGAAATTTTGATTTCAACGCTGATGAATCAAACGGCATCAAAACAAGCCGCAGGATGCTTCCTCGGTAATATGGATCACCGAACAAATGAAATCGATCCAAGTGATTGAATGAAAGCACAAGATGAATGTGCTCATGGAATGGTGAGTATTCTGAAAACATTTAATTTTGAACTCATCTTCTTCAGTTGGAATTGCATTCGAAAATTGAAAAACGACGGAAAGTTGATCAATGCAACGAAGGTTTCATCATTCGAATGGAACGATTCGATCAGAAGAATGGAAGATCGAATGGATCGATTCGATCAGAAGGATGGGAGATCGAATGGATGAATTCGATGAGAAGAATGGGAGATCGAAGTGGCTGAGCACAAGATGATGGTGCGAAACGATTGGTGAGCTGTACACCATTTGAACACTGAATAAATTTTGTCTCACATTAGGATTAAATCCAAATCCATAACATATAAAGGATGAGAAATAAAAGCTGTGAAGTCACAATTCTTAAAATGGATTGACCAAATACCCCTCAATCCAATTGAATTTCCCCTTGAACTTTTTTCATTTTTACTTCCTTTTTTCGATTTTTAATTATCCACTAACCCTTTTTTATTCAATAGTTTCCTTATTTTAGAACGACGGACATATTTTATTGTAAAAAAAAGAAAAAGAAAAAAGATCCAAATGTCGTTGTCGTTCGAATTGTTTTCGATTTATCTTATTTTTTGTGTTTATGTTTAAGTTTTTCGATGATCCTTAAAAAACGAATGGACAAAATAAGTTGTAAAAAAATAATGAAAAGATCCAAATGTCGTTTAAAAATCATTTTTATTCGATTGATTATACTATTTTGTTTGCATTTTTTTTTGTTCCACTGAGATCTTTGATTTCTGCAGAGATCGGATGGATCACATCGCAGCTCTCAGATGTGAGGCTTTCAATTTTTTCATCTCAATCCAATAGATAATCTCATTTCAGTTTGATATTGACTCGAAATGTTGAGATAAGTGAACCTGGAATTGAAGCCGATGACGTGATGAAGGGAATCAGATCAGCAATTGATTCTCAATTCAAATCGGAAGACGCAAGAATGTAAGAAAAATCATTTATTGAGAAATCATTTATTGATTTTTTGTAGTATTTATAAATGTTTGAACTTCGACAATTTGTATCGAAGCTGAAAATATCGAGAAATGATGTGATGTCTGAAGCATGAATCGATGTTGGATTTAATGTGAAGATCCTTGAAGGTGCCCTTTGCATTAATATTATTCCTATTTTTCCCCACCCCATTTGTGACCCCCTGTAGTTCATTTATTGTAGTCTAAAGACTTACAATATTGAAGAAAAAGATTAAAAAGAAAATTTATTTGAAATATTGCTTATAAAGCGACGGACAATTTCAATTGTAAAAAAATGAAGAAAAAAGATCCAATGTCGCTACAATTATATCATTTTAATTGTAATTTTATTTTTATTATTGATTCAATCTTCTTGGGGTTCCTTGCTTTATTTTTTTAAAGAATCTGATGCAACACCAATATTGAATGAAATGTAAGCGATTCTTTCGAATTTCTCATCAAAATCGAGTTTTTCAGTGCGAAGACTTCAAAAAAAGCAAGCAATTGTTTGAATCGAAGAAAAAAGTTTTTAAAAAATGATAATGGAAAAAGGTCACGCGAATTGGAATTGGAGATCGATGGGTTTTGATTGATTTCTGATGGATTCCAATGATCGAGGACGAATCGTTGAGAGGAGTGTGAGCAAATGATTTTTTGAAATTTCATCGAAATTCTTGGGAAAACTCTTTCGATTATTTTTCTGGGTCCGATTGTGGAATGTCCCACAATCGGAGGATAGTGATAATTATTACTAGCAAAGTAAAGAAAATGCTCGAATTCTATGATTCGATTGAATTCGAAAATTTTGAAGTCGTTAATTTCAACGAAATATTAAAAATCTTTCATTAATCTTCAAATTCGAAAGTGTTTTCTTTTTTTGCATTTTTTGGCCCGATGATGATTGTGGAAGGTAATTTCCCACAATCGGAGGGCAGTGGGTTAATGATTGAGAGATTTGAATTTCCAATGGTTCCTAATAGTAACACACAACTCCACTTCCACGATCTTCTCGTAAAGCCATAGAATACTATATTAGAATAAGATATTGTCGGGGACGAACGAAATCAGAGGCGTTTTATGCTTATTATTCAAATTTTGCCGCCATGGTCTTAGAATCATTTTCCATTTTTTCTACTTTGAAATGCAAAATATTATAATGATAGTTGGTGGCTCCCGGGAGGAGACATGCGAGCTATTCTATATGTAAAGGGAAGGGTAGAATGAAAGTTGGTCCCTTCTCTGGACATTTCCGCCGTCGATGGGCGGAGTCTATCAATCCGTATGTACATAACAGTATGAGTTTATGTTCATTTTTAGCCCGATGATGATTGTAGAAAGTATTGCCTCACAATCGGAGGGCAGTGAGAATACCTAAGAAGGTATTATGCAAATTCGACAATTTTATTCATTTCAAAAAATTCATAATTTTGTCGAAAATTCGTAAGAATTTCTCGATTTATTCCGAAATTCGAAGTCGAATTTTCCATTACTCGCAGATTTTAGCCCATTGATATCTTATCGTAAATTTCGACGATGATTGTGATTTCCCACTACCGAAGAGCAATGGGTTTTCGATACACATTTCAGTGTTTATCTTCTTGGGCATCCTTGATTCGATTGTTGAATAATCGGATGCAACAAAAGAATCGAATAAAATGTAAGCAATTTTCGTATTTCTCATCAAAATCTAGTCTTCAGTTCAAAATGTTAAAAGAAAACCAATTGAGTTTGGAAAATAAGAAATGAAAACAAAATGAGGAACTGGTTGTGTTTATGCCGAGTCGAATCTCGAAATGTTTTGGAAGAGATTTGAATCGGTTTGAGTGGTTTTTTTTCTACATAAGGTATTTTGCAACTCGACCTAATTTATTTTAAGATTGGGTTTTGATCTCTCTTTAGCATACACATCAATTCACCCAATAAGGTTAATAAACATTAACGCGGTGTGATTTTTGCCTCAGGTAAATGAAAAGCTATAAGATTCAAAAAAAAATTATTCGATTCGATTGGGAAAAAATATAAATTCGGTTTGAAAACTTGGTTTCGATTTTTTTTAATTCTTTAAAATCGATTGTATTTTTTTGTATTTTCTGAAAAGAAAGTGATTTATTTTTTTTCAAAAATTCATTTCTCATTTTCAATTTTGAAATCATATTCATTTTTTAATTCGATTTCGATTAAAATTATTTTACAATTTTTTTTTGTTAGAATCCGTTTGATTTTCCGTTTTGAATAAGTGTAATAGCATACATTTTTATTAGATTTTAACTTAAACCTAATTTTTTTAGAACAGACCCTCAATAAAAAATACTGCATTTTATATTCCAAAATTAAATATGTGATGTAAAAGAGTTCGCGGAAAAGAAATAGACAGCAGAGAAGCAGTGAAAAATAATTGGCCAAATTTTGTACAATTCGTATTATTTGCCAAAAAATCCGATTCTAGGTGAAATTTTCTCTATTTTTAGACAGGTTGTTCTCCAAAAACGAATTATCACGTGAATATTTGAAATATCAAAACCAACGTGACTTCATTTTCATTCATTTCTAATTTTTCCATTTTCGCTAGTATTTTGTGCGGTTCGTTATTTCGATGAAGTTCTGAAAACAAGAACATTATTAAGAAGGTAATTACGAAATTTAAGCTTATTAATCAAAAAGAGGGTCACGGTATTTAAAAAAAAAGAGAAAGAAATTAGTTAAAATTTAGAAAAATTTAAGCAATTCCGCAATATGCCGTCATTTGGTTTCGTCGTGTCTTGATTACATTTTTTTATTTCGATCGTTGTGAAATTTTAACGAATTTCTTCAATTTTTAATTATTTTTGCTTATTATTTTAAATAAAATAAAAATGGACTTATTTTCAGACCAATTTTGCTCCGACTTTTTCGATTGCGCTCTTCACTCGCCGATATTCGGCTAATAATCGGCCGTGTAAGTGTTTTCTTCTTCTTTTAGGATTTTTCAAACTGTTTTTAACGAAGTTTGTTAAAATTAAGAAATATTTCAAAAGTTGCGATTTCCCCCCGACATCGCAGGTTCCGAACCGCCGTGAGCGTGTCTCGAGAACATTCGTTGAGTCGGATTTGAGAGAGCCCGCACGGACGCCGCGTTTCTCGTGCCACGAGACGCGGACCAACGTCCCGCTTCGGTGACCCATAGGGTCCGACCCAGGAGGGAAATGCCTGGGGAAGTCTAGGCGCACACGGTGGAGTGGCATCGGGACCATTCGATGTAGGGACCGCCAAATTGGCAACAAATTTTCCTTGAAAGCGCAACTGATAAATTAAAAGCTTAAAATATTGATAGTAATAGAAAATATTGATTTTAAGTCTAATAAAAATTAAAAATTTTTCATGAACACTGTGACAACAAATGACCAACACAAGGAAGATGGCGAAGATTTATGGCAAGACTTGTAACAGTGACATTTTAAAAATTTTTTTCTTTTCAAAAAAAAATTTGCTTCAGGTCGAAACATTTCGAAACTGAATGGAACATGTGAACAGATTGAAGTGCAATTGCGCAAACAGTGACTTTATTTTCCCATTAATTCAGATTGAATGTTCAATTTCAGATAAGAAGATCATTACACACCAGATATTGATCGATTGGTAGAATTTTTGACAGAGGTAATTTTCAAAAGTTCGAAATAATATTTTATGACTGACTTTGGAATTGGCGAGTTTGCGCATAGTATCTGTTTACGTACAATTAGTTTTCAAATGACAAACTCATTTGACTTGACTCATTATTCTTGTCTAATGATTTTTTACTCATTTTTTGTCTATTAATTTTCGACTAACGATGTTTCAATAATTTTTTTACTATTCTTTTGGACTGATGCAAAATTTTGCCAATAATCTCAAACCAAAGAGACAAACGAAGTAGATGATAGACAATATTTTAGTTTTAAGTTCGAAAAAAATCACAAAAAATCTTGGAAACTCAATGAGAAAAAGCAAAATTTAGAAATCGTTGAAAACGAATTTCGAAAGTGGGCGTGGCAGCATTGTGCAAAGCGGCGCACTGTTTTGCAATACTGTGGCACGCCTCTTCTACACGAGTATGCCACTATTTGGGAGCAAATTGTGAGTAGTTTGTGATGTCAATTTCGGACAGGACATGCGTTTGCGCAAAAATTGAAGACGGGTATTTTGAAACCAACTCTTAAAAAAATTAGAAGTATTCCCACAAAGTTTACTCCAATTCTCTGGTAACTCAAAACCAATCGGATTCAACAAAATTCGGCCTAGAATCAACCTCATCCGATTGACAATTCTACGGATAATTTTGTCGGATGCAACCAGATCCAATTTCATTTATTTGCAGGAAGAATGATCTTTCGCTGATCTGCATTGCCGCTAAACTCGAATCAAATTGGATGATATCTTTGATTTCCTTCTTATCTTATTTTTATCCTTGATTTTGTCCAATTTTTTTAAATTTTTCTATTAATCCTTTACTATTTAGAAGAGTCAGGTAAGTATTTTTTGAAAATGGGAACATCGTGTTAAACTCTTTCAAAAGTGCTCTAGCAATCTGTGATTGTTGAGAAACTTGAAGGGTTTTCACAAGAATTGGGCCCAAGGTAAGTTAGTTTTTGATTCTCAGTCTCTTTTTTTTTAATTAAAAAAGGTAATGGAAATGGTAGAAATGTGTTGTGAGAGGTTCTTCGGGTTTGTGAGAGCCCGCGTACACTTGATAGAATCTCTAACACAGCATGTGTTTTGAGAGGTTTGTGTTTCGTAAAAAATAAATATAATTTTGAATGCAAGAGTTTAGCTTGTATCATACTTACTGAGTTTGACGTGTCGGATCGCTAAAATTTTCAGTTCGATCCGCCCCGTCGCAAATGGTTTTCATGGCTTTGTAAAATGGGCTTACAGTAATGCTATTAGAATTAGAGCTATTATCATCGCGCAAAAGTATGAACAGTGGGGGTTTTTACCGTTCTACAGATAACCTGCGAATAATTGCAATTTTCCATGTGCAGCGTCTTTCCTAAATAGGCAGTTGCTCGTCAAGTGCGAAACATAGACTGTGCCGTATCCCGTTAACACGTCCGTACATGTCAAATAGGGGGCAATATAAAGAGTGTGGAACGACACATTTTCGTTCTTCCGAGAACATATACTAAAACTGGAACAATACAGAGAAGATTAGCATGGCCCCTGCGCAAGGATGACACGCAAATTCGTGAAGCGTTCCAAATTTTTTGAGTAATTTCCTGCTTGTTTTCGATGATGAGAAATTGTGGGAATCGATGCAAACATTTTCCATACAATCTCTCTTGCATATTTAATTTGGAATTGTTTCTGAGTGATTTATTAGGCACAGTTAGTTTTGCTCGAGATTGTGCAATCGGTGTTCCTTATCACCGCCCTTTCTTGCCATCAGTTTATTTTCATGGGGTCAAATCCGACGACAAGATGCTTCGATGATGTTTCAAGTTCCCAGAACTAGACTTAAATGGATATCCAAAATGAACTCTAAGATTTTTTCAGGTCTTTTTTGCCTTATGATCTTTTTCAAACCCCGCGCGTCGTTTTTGTTCTCCAGGCGCTTTCCTGGGCAAATTTTCTTCGTTTCTGGAATAAATTCTCATTTTTTTAGCGCCGCTTTCCGTCCATTTTCTCAGTTTCTCGCGTATACTCAAATTTCGACATCACGCCCAGTTTGTTATAATAGTCTGCTGAAAGTCTGCGCGAACACTGAACGGCTTTACCGAGTTGGTTATATATGTATAACAACAGATAATCCATTTAAACTCTTATTTACGGTTATTTTTTTTTCCAAGTTTATTACATGCTTATGTAGCTATTCGCTAGCGTATTTTTCCGACGTGGTATTTCAAGTTTCAAGCGAAACCGTGAGAATTAGGGTACCGTACTAATTCGGACGAAGAGCTCCCGCCGAGGCAGCTCGTCCCGGACATAAATACCTCGGCCACATTCATTATAATATTTTTTTTTACTTCAAAAAAAGGTTCTGTCAATTTCACAAAGTTAAATAAAACAATTGTGTCCGAAAGATTTTTTAAAAATTATTCAAACTACAATCCCAAATCGTAGTCAAGAATCGAGTGGGTGGCATAAGCATTCATAAAAGCACTTCCGTGTTCGATTGGTTGAGTGGCCGCTTGAACCTTAAAACAACGAAATATATTTCCATTAATAAGTTTCTTCGTTAAGCACCTCTGGTGAATTTAACATCACCTTGAACCATTTTGTAAGTTTTGGAAATTTTTCAATCCCGGGAAAATCTGCTGTTGGCAGATCAGTTACTCCCTCCAACGCTGTTGCCCACCAAATTTTTTCAAAAAATGGGAATGTGAGGAAATCCGGGTAACCTGGCTGATCTCCGGCATAGAAATCAGCGATTAACAGCGATTCGGCAGTTGTCAACGCTTCGATGACTTTCTCGTTCTTTTCTTCTTTCAAGCTCTTGTCACGCATTACAGCGAACAAACAAGGAACCGCCATTGCAACCTGAAGCCTTCAAATGCATCTAATTGAAACATAAGCATTACTAAAGTGAGTCGCTCTGCTAGAAGCTTCTGTTGGGCTTTCAAATAAGGGTCGTTTGGAAGAATTCTCGATTCTGGGAAGATGTCATCAAGATATTCGGGAATATATCCCGACTCAATCACTACTTTTCCATCGTGCTCAACTGCTGGAGCTTTTCCGAGATAGTGTTTCGAAAAATACCACTGTGGTTTGTCAGTGACGTTAAGATTGATAACCTCCGCACTGCAAAAAAAACAAAATGTTTAAATTTTAAGTTTATTTAATTACTCGATTCCTTTCCGAGCGACGTAAATCATAACTCGTTCCGACCACGGACAAAATCGCATATTGTACACGCGGAATGCACCGGGTTCCAACGGTTTCTCCGCATCTCCTTAAACATTTAAATATTTAATTCCTTAAATATTTATTTTATTAAGAAAAAAACTTGAGCTCATACCTTTCTTGAGTGCTTTCGAATCGGCGCCTACAAGAGGCATCGTTGAACGATAATGTTTATCAGTTACTTTCCGTTTGTGGCAATATTTGCTATATTTCATTGATAAAACATCTGACGAAATTGGGTCGATGTAATTATCAGCAGAGATAAATTATCAAAGTCGTTTTGCGTGGATTTGCAAAAAAAGAAATCATTGAACCCCATAATAAGTAAAATTTAACGAAAAATATGTATATTTATGTTTTTTAATGAAGTTATTTATAAATTTATGATAATTTAAAACATATGGCATCTCAGTATTTATATTTACAATCTGCTGTTTCCTGCCCAGATAAGCCATCCCGGCAGTTTGATCCACTTCGGGACAAAACTGGCCGTATTTGACCATCCGAGATGCTCAAGAATGAAGCTGACACTTCTCATATTCGGTGGGGTCAATCCTAAAAGAATCGAAGAGTACTGAGAGAATTCCAAATTTCCTCACCATCGATGTCCTTGAAGCCGTATTCATTTCCAAGATCTTCAGTTACAAGTATTCTGCCAGTTTTATCCATTCTGCGGGGATCCGCGGCCAGTGCGGCCACTGCTATTCCTGGATACTCGACAGTTTCCCCATTCGCAAATATCATGGCGTTCTTTAATCGACGTATAAAGTTTAAATGTTTAAAGAAAAGGAATAAAACCTTATGATCGGTCTTGTCTTTGAATAAGGTCTGAGTAAGCTCGGTTCGAACAGCTCCTGGCCAAAGAGAAACGACACAAACATTTTTTTTCTAAAAGAAACAATGTTCGATTCGAAATGCACTCAATTTGCCAACTTTAAGCTCAATCGCCATATCAGACGAAAGGCGATCCAATGCTTGTTTTCCCACACCATACGCAACATTGAACAAATATCTGAAAATTAATGGTTTCCCCCGGCGCTGACGTAGAAAAATAATTACCGCAATCCACCTGCAGAGCTCACATTTACAATGAGACCCTTGTTACGAGCAGCCATGAGTCGGGCAGCATATACGGAGCAATAATAATGATTTCTGAAGAAATGTTGTTTTCAGAAAAACCCCCGATCAGAGGAAGGACACCTCAATCCAACATTATTCACGATATCCCAAATTTCAGGGTCGGTTTCATAAAATGGTTTCCCAATGTTGTCAGCAATCGCATTAACTGCCTGATAAGCATTGTTAACGAGAATATCAAGTTGTCCGGAATGATCGCGTTCAATTTGTTCGAAGAAATTCTTCACTTCATCCATGTTCGAATGATCCACATATCGAGCAATTCCTTTACCGCCGCGTTCGGTGATTTCTGAAAACGCCATTCCCTAGCCGTATTATTTCACTTAACAACCTTCTGCTGTTTTCTCAAGTCCCGATAATCCAATTTTCGAGTTCAAACTTTCTTCTGGCTTGCGACCAGTGATGTATACGGTAGCTCCTGCTTTTCCAAGCTGGAGAGCAATTCCACGTCCTGGATGAAAAATTGGTATTTTCAATATGCTTGAAAGAAATAGAAACAGTCAACACAATTCATTTCTGGCAAAAAATTGCGAATAACTTCATAGTTTTGATCGCAAATAAACACCCATTCGCCTTAAAAATTGAATTTTTCGTATTGTCGCAGACGGACGAATTTAGGCCGCGTTGTTTATCATTCAAATTTTGGCGCCATGGTCATTAATCATTTTCAATTTGATCTAGTATGAAATGCATTGAAAATTACAGTAGATATCAAAGGCACACAACAATCTGTTGGTTTCGCGCTAAGACCAAAAATGGCTAACGCGTTTTATTATTCAAATTTGTCCAATTCGTTCGACTTCGACAATATTTGTGTGGGGAAAAAACACGACAATACGCTTTTTCGCAATTTTCAACGCCAAATTGATAACTGCGCTATTAGCTGTCATTCAACAAAATCATACCAATTCCTCTCGATGCTCCAGTAACAATTGCAATTTGGCCTGCCAGCGACATTCTTTAAACGAAAATGTGTTGAAGTACCAAACTACGCAACAAATAAATAACTTTCGAAGGGATGACAATAAAGCTACAATGTAGTCAATTGGGTAGAGAACAAACGCAATTTGTTTATTCGAAAAGATTAATTGGACAAGTCGGTTCCAAATAGTGAAATAAGTGCTTGAAAACTCCAAATAAAATAAATAACATGCTCAAAATTCAAGAAGAAAACAGAAAGTAGAAATGCCTGTTTCAAACTCAAAAAAAAGGAAGTAAATTGGGGGGTACATAAATGGGGATTTAAATATCTCGCATATATGTTCAATAATCAATATAATTATGAAAGAAACACGCATCAAGCGGAACAAAAAATGATAATAATCAGAAAACGTTGCTGTTGATAGCTGAGAATTTATTGTTCCATTTTCTCTTCTTCTTCGTCGTCGTCGTCTTTCTCTGCCAGGTGCATACGAAGGGCGGCACCCTCGTCGTAGTGTGCGCGGCGTTTCTTCTCAAACTCGCGTTTGTGTTCTGAAATCGATTAGAAATGTGCAAAAAGCTAGCTCGATAATCAGCAACATACGCTTCTGCTCCTCGGTCAAATCATCGTCATTGTCCGATTCTTCAGCCGATGACAACGGTCTTCCCTGAAAAACCCAAACAAATCAAACTCGAATTCAAGTCAATATTTTTGGTATCGCTTCAGTGTTTGTTGGATCGTTCGACCAAACATTTGAGCAAATGCGAATGTAATTTGTTGTTCCCCAGAGAAAACGCAAAAAATATTGGAGATCGACTAGCAAGAAATTGTAGAATCCAAAACAGTGGCATTAAATGGAATTGGTGATTAAAAACAAAAATGATGCAAAATATTTTCCATTATTTAATTTTAACTTTGTAAAATTTTTAATGAAGATGAGATAAAACCTATCATACCAATTTCCTATTAAAATATATAATGGCAAATATTTCTTGGAAAAATATTTTCCACTAAAAAATGACCTAGAGTTTCGAAATATTAAGAGCTATGCTGATTTTGGGAAGAAATTTCGAAAACCTAAAAAAAAACTAGTTTTGGTAAAATTTTCATAGGGATTTTACAGTTTTTTTTGCAAAATCTGCAGAGTATAATTCTGCTCACTTACATGCTCTGCGTTGGCGAGTCCTTCGGCGATCTTCTCAGGATCGATAGCGCTTCCTAGCGAGACTCGCCGTGGTCGAACCGACGGCGCATCCAAACTCTGAAAATCAAAATCGGAAAATTTGATTAGCGTGCCAGTCAGTGTGAACACACTCAATTACGTCTCGTCTTTAATTAAAAGATGAATGCGTTGTAATTGAATCGCAGACTAATTCAAAATACGTGTTGCAAGTTAACAAAAATACAATGCGAGATTTGAAAAGAAAACATATTCTGAATAACGTACATCTTCGACCTCCAATTCATGATGGTAAGGTGTTTTAGGTTCATCTATCTGAAAAACAAAAAATGTGTGATGATTTTAAAAAAAATAAGAGGTTAACCTTCATATTTCCATAATTCTTATCCGCTGGATGATAAGTCGCCAAAATGTTCATCTCATCAAAATGAGCGCGTCCATCCTTGCCTTCCAAAGACGAATCCTGTTTCATTTTGAGAATACTCTTCTTCGGTTTTCGTTTCAAGTATTCGGTCGGATCATCGAGACAGATCTTGCCGTCCTCGGTCAATTTTACATCATCAGGAGACGTAGAAGGCGAAGCCATATCAGGTCTGAAATTATGCGCATAATTGATTATTCAAAAAAAAAAAACAAGACGAGAGACAAAATATTATTTGATGATTCAATAAAAGAGCATGACACACATCAATCAATTAGGAGCGCCGAAAACAAGCTGTCTAAAGTGCATCTACTTTGAGTATGGCCATTTTGGCCGTCGAAAATAAATTAGTTTCTGTTTCTCGGCAAAACAACGAAGACGAAAATCACGCTTTCAATGCTCTTTCGTGCACGGTGAAGATATTGAAATTAATTTTTTCATAACAATTAAATATTTATGAAAAACAAAGTTCGAAAGGAAAATAAATATTGTTGACGACGATTGGTTCCGAAAACGATAATCGCCGTGGCAAACATACGAAAAATAGGCGAATATTCGAGCGAATTCGATAGAAATTTGACGACACGAATGCAATTTCGGCGAATTATCAATGAGAAATTTCGTATTAAAAATGCGATGCAGAAAGCAAATTTTTGGAGAATTGAAAATGCATTTTAAACTTGAAAATATAACAAAATCGAAATGCATTCATAAAGAAACGGAAAGTCAAATCAAACAGTGAAAAAAATATATTTAAAAATGAAAATGTGTGGATATGAGTAACTTTGATTTTTTTTGTTACATTCGAAATCACAGATTTCAAATCCAAAACGCAACGCATATTAGTATACTTTAAATTAAATTTAATGAAAACGAAAAACCATATTTGGTTCATCAAAATAGCAATAAAAATTGTAAAAAAGCTATTTTGAAATTGATAAAAATGTATAAAATCCGAGATTATAATAAATAAATAAATTTGCTCGTTTATGTAATCTCAAGTAAATCAGTTTAACACTTCCATGAAAAACGTGTTTCCTATTTTGATCATTTCAAACGAGGCTTTCAAAAAATGCAAGTTCCGTTCCGACAAAATGATAATACTGTAGTGATTACACAAAAAAAGCATTGAAAAATGCGTCATGATAGTATACATTTTATGCCTTCTTACTTATGGTTTAAGTCGTCAAACAAAAAAAAACGATACAGCTCAAAGCATTATGAATGCACACCGAACGTATTCCTTTCAACTTTTTTCCTGAAGCAGTAGAGGCCGAATTGTGCAGTGAAGCAGACAGACAGCAGTCAAACGCAACGCAACTACGCGACCAGTAGTCATTTCTTGCAAAAAAAAAACGAAGAAGGAGGAGAAGAAGCACAAAATGGACTATGTTTTGATTCAAAAACTCGTAGATGTGCAAAATGGGAAAAACGAGAGTAAGGGGAATTCAAGAGAAGTGACAAAAAATGTGAAGAAAAAGAAGAAGCGGCAAAAGCATCACAGATTTCTGTTTGGTGTACTCTAACAATGTTCGAGAGATGTGCAGAGTGAAAAACATAATAATAATATCGAACAGGCGGCAAGAACACGCGATTCCGGGAAGGAAAACTGCAATTCTCCTATTTTAAATTTTCTTTTTCTTAATCCGACACCAATTCGCGTCTATTTTATCGTCAGTACATATTAGGGTATGACCTAGTTAAATCGTGTCGCCATAGTTGGCCAATTGGCAATCAAAATATTTATGAATTTATTCATTTTTTCGGAATAGCATTACAAGTTTATTTGAGTTCCGCTGATTGCACGAAATCCTTTTAAAAACATTATTGTTTGGCTCAATCAAGAAGACAAATGAATCACGAACTCTTGGGATTTCCCGAAATGTGATTCGAAATATTATTCTAAAATTTCTCGCAAATGTTAAATATAAGCGTTTGAGAAGGCACCAAATAGGTAAATAACTCGCGAAAAATTGGAAATATTTGTTTTTTCGAACAAAAACGGAAATTGTGTAATTGAACGTTACGAAACGCGGAAAAATCTTCACTACTTCTATTAAAACGTGGGCGTAACATAACAAATAAAAACAAAAACTTATTTTTTTTAATATGAAAAAACTATACGAATATTATAAAATAAATAATAAATATGGTTAAAACCCGACAAATAAATAAAATTCTCAATGTTAAAATTGTTTATTCAGCCAATAAAACGATATTTAAAAAGCAAAAATAAAATCACAATAGGTCTAGGGAATGATACAATATATCGGGTAGATATACTTGAATATTTCGGTCTATTAATTTCCCAGAAGAATTTGAACAAAAATAAAGAAAAACTAATGAAGAAACGACGTAATTTCACAACATTTTGAACATGTTTCTTGGAACACGAACAGGAATTTCATGAATTTTAGAAATATCATTATAAAAAGAATAGTAAAAAAAAGAAGGGATATGATGATGATGATTATGATGATGATGAATGTTATAACTATGAACTGGTTATCTACATGAAGAGAGCGACATAGGAAATTGAATATGAAAAAATAGCATACACACACAAACACATACATAAAAGTGGATTACAATCCAATTTCAGCCGGCGTCCAACTTGTCACATTCGTCGGCTCTTCGAGGTGCAGTAAAGCTCCAAGCCAAGACGGCAAATTTTCGACGCCGTAGCGATCAAGCAATTGCTCCGAACACGAACCTTTCATCAATTTGTGCATTCCTTGTTGAGTTATTGCATGATAGTGAACGAATGCGGCAAGAACGACGAAAGTGTGAAAGAGTTGATGGGATTGAAACTGAAAAATCGAGGAATTGAATAATTATTATAATAGTAGTAATGTATATTTGACGACCTAGTTAACGTCTCGAATTTGGAAAAACTAGCTTTTTACTTTTATAAATATTCATAAAAGCGTTCAATTTTTAAATTTAAGTTTAATCAAAAGTGATAAAGAATTCAGTTTCCTTGCGAGCTTCCTTCTTATCAGGAATATCAATTAAATGAAAAGCAAAAATTATAAATAAAAATGCAGAAAGCAAATGCATCTTGTCGGATTTGAAAAAAAACAAATAGAAGGTGGCAGAAGGGTTACGTGATTTTATCAACATTTATCGTTCGAAAAGCAGAAGGGATAAGATTTATCAATTTTTAACAGGCTTGTTGTTTCAAAGCCGAGCCGGGTCAAAACCGAACATTTAAAGTCGCGCACATAGTCGGCTGTAAATCGGCCACGTTGCAAATGCGTCGCGGTTGGCGTCAGCCGATTTTATTTTTCGTAATATATAAAATTCCTCGGCCCCGGATAAAGACGGGTCGAACCATCTTATCCCAAAGCCCGGCTTCGGCCGGGCCGAAAGACAAGCCTGGTTTTTTTTAAACAAATTGTAGATTAACGTTTTATTTTAAATTTTATAAAACCCCGTACAATTCCAAGTATCATCAATTTATCAAAGATCACATACCCATATATCGCATTTTCCGGGAAAACAACGTTCAGGTACTCGAGTTGCGTATAATGTGGCTCCACTAATATACATTGCACCCATAATTAACATCCAGTGTAATTGAGCCTAATTATAACAAATTAACTAAACGCAAATTTTTAGTTGTTGTACCTCTTGCAACATATAATCGAGCCCATCTGCGAACAACAAGTGAGCGGCGGGCACAATCGCCGACAATCCCATTGCTATGAACACACCGGCACGCACCGGTCGGAATTTTGGCTCCGCAAATTTATCCCATAAAGAGACAACCATAGCCGCAATTCCGAGAATGATAATCATCGCATTGTAGATGATCATAGGTTGAGGACGGCAATTAAAAGAAAAGTAAATCCAAGGAACGAACGAGCCGACGATGAGAAGAGTAATTCCAGTATAATCAAGTCTGAAAACAAATACGCTAAAAATGAAGATTGAGAAAAACGTTTGAAACATCGTTGCTTGTCGAGTTGAGATATTTTTTTCGATTTTCTCGCAAATATCTCTCATTTTTACGTTTTTGATCGTGATTTATTAACACGCGAGGGTAAATAAAAAAAAAAAAACTTCAATTATTGGAAGCACGAAAAAATGCGTGGCGCACAGAAAATAACGGCAAAAAACACCCATCTTATTTGAATTTATTTTTCGGTTGGTTTTTCGCAGTTAAAATTTGCGTTTGGCCTTTACTACTATTGGACCCATAATGCCGTATCAGCAGATTAATATATTTTGCATATTGAGTTAAAGGTCGTCTCTTAAAAACTCACTTGCTAAATAATTTGGCCATTTCGACAGAGTGACATGCGACAGTATGAAAAAGAAATGACATTCCAAGACATATTACAGCACCAAGGAAGAATGCCGAATAAATCAGTTTTTCCATCCATTGCATCTAAAAAAATTATGAATTTTTACATGAATATGAAACGAGCTGCGAACCTGATCATTCGGTCTCGTTACGAACCAAATTCCAACACCAATAAACGCAACACAGCCATACATATGCGTCCAGATGTTTCCCGTCTCAGTGTGAAGAGCAAATATGCTTTTGAAACAACTACTGAACGATGGTAATGGAGGACGGTGACCGGTTCGCAGATATTCATTGTCTTGCAGCCATTCTGGCAAAGTCTCAAAATTCGTCGCTTTCCAGCGAGCTTCCCAGAACTGCAAAAAAATTCGAAGGAATAAAAATTCAATGAGATGATGTCCAACATCTGGTCATACAATATTAAACACGTGACTTCAGAAATCTTCAGAATTAGATTTTTTTTTGACTTCAGAATTAGATTTTATTAAATGTGAGTACCAGAGATGTTCGGGAAACACCTCTCGCGAACAAACGGTAAAAAAGAAACTCGTGAAATCTGTTTTTTACACTTTTAGCACAAAATATTGAAATCCAATTACTTCATAGCAAATTTTCCATCCAGATCACGGTAGCCAAATTCCCACTGATTAAATTCAAATTTGAATTACCACCTCAAAAAATGCGATACCAGACAATTATGCAGGACTCTTGTTTTTTTTGCGATGGTAGTAAGTTGTTGTTGACTGATAATACAATTTAAAGTCACTTACACGTTTAATAACTGCTCTCGTTCCCTGGCCAGACTCATTCGGAATAATCACTTCTTCCTCATTGATCTCAACTTCTAATTCGTCTTCATCATCATTGTTGTCAATCTGAATTTCCGCATCATGTCCAGCATCCAGGAATCGAATCGATTTTGCTGGCGTTGATGTTGAGGGCGTGTCCGGCAATTCAACCACTTTTCCACGTGGATGAGGATGAAGGCGATATTTGACAATCCGACGGCGATGTTGATTGGCGCCTTCCTAGAAAATAAGCAATAATAAAAATATATTATTTGATGAATGAACTGACTTCGCGGTTATCTTGGATAACTGCTAAGCTCATCTTCTCGCCCTTCGCATTCGGCATACTCCATGCACGTCGATGTCCCTTCTTCCACGCTGTCGACGGCACGGCAACAGGCGGCGCTGTCGACGTCGAAGGAACGTCTCCATCACATTCGACGCCTAAATTTTAAAACAATGTCTACCAAAAATAGAAATAAAATGAAACCGCAAGTTCGCATTTAAATTGACGAAAATGGCTAGAAATATGCATAAAACTCACGCACCTTCCATAACTGTGGCCAATCGATTTTTGTCGGACGCATAAATCGATTTCTCATCGCTCTCCCTTCCCGGCTGCTCGACTACTTTACTATGCCGAACGATGATTTCAAATGGTAAACCATCGGCTGATTCGATTGAAGGGCTGAAATTTGAAATTCCATGTTTGGATATAGGCTCAATATAGTACTTAAACTCCACATCGACTTCATCAACAAGTACATTTTGATTTTCGAGCGTTGTTGCTTGTTGAAGAGGCCCATCGGTGATGATGTTTTCGGCTTCTCGCAGCACATCCTAAAATATTCATCCTTAATTATTTTTTTGAGTTTGAAAAAATACAGATAAAAAATATTGTCTGTTTCATGTGCGCATGTCCTCAATGAATACGTCTAAATGTGTAATGAGGAAAATATATACATAGTTTTGTACATTAGTAATTCTAAAAATTACGACTAAAATATTCATAAAATAGGTATAAACTCCAGTAACTCAAAACCAATCGGGTCCGACAAAAATTGGCTCTGGAATCAACCTTGTCTGATTGGTTTTGTGGGTATTTTCAGATCCGATTAGATTTTCTTCGAATCCAATTGGTAATTATTCGAATTTTCATTTTTCGGATGATATAAATATTATGCGCGCTGAACTGTTTATCGGAAATTTTCAAAGAATAACATACCGTCACACTTTTCAAAGGATTCTGAAGTGCAGAATTGTTGCGATTTTCCATGACAAATTGATCATTGTCAAGAACCATTACCATATCCGTCTAAACGTTTATTGCTTATTCGAGAAGTCGTAAAAATCGAAATATCACCTCATCAACATATTCATTCGTTTTGGGTGGCTTCGAAAGAAGCCTTTGCGATTCTGAGTTGTTCGACTCTCCATCCTCTTCCTCCATTTAACGTCGATAACTGAAAACTATGGAAACTGGATATTGGATATCATATTATATATATATATATATATAAAATAATAAAAAGTTTCAATCGAATAAAAATATTATTTACAAATGGGCAAGCTTTTCCGAAGCATTGTGATGAAAAATTTAGTACCATTGCAAATATTGACACAATTCTCGAATTCTCTATTTCCCTGGGAAAATTGATATTCGGCTGCCGGAAATCTAAGTGTTTCTATATGAGAAACGAATCAAAGACCAAAGTGCAATTTGAGTGATAAAGTGGAAATGTGTTTTTTTTGAGGTTCCGCGTACATTCTAGCCTATACATACTTTTTTTAGTGAAAATGAGAATATGCTATGAAAATAGATAATTTCCTGGAAATGAATAAAATGAGTAAGATATTTAGAGCAGATATTCGTTTTGACCAATTTCCATTCTGCATTCCGCCCACACACTCATCTTCATCATCGCAACGATACATTGGAAGCAGCAAAATCTCGAGATTTTAATGGATGTGATATCACACAATTCTATTCAATATATGAAAAAAATTGAAATGAATTCTTCTTTATGTGGTGCTATAATCGAATCGGAAACATCGATTTGGACCAAATTTCGTCTTCAGTGTGACAATATTTCGGTCTTCAGTGTGACAATAATTAATCTAAATTAAATAGGCGGGGTTCGTAATTTGAACATGGTTTGTCATATCAGTTAGTTGAAACCGCGATAGGCAAGCTTTGCAAGTCAAAAAAGTTTATCGCAAAATGCAGACGACCAAAAGATTAGGTTTCATCAACTGATTGTTTGAAAAACCAATCACATAAAGTGCATAGTTTCAATCTAACCTGCCTCCTCATATAAAGGCATTTTACTCACAATTCCGTAGATGAAATGAAATGAGGAAAATCGATAACTTCTCGAAGGTATGAGCGAACATTGCAGATGGAGAGCGAATATACATGTGCGTATGTGTGTACGAGCGTATATGCGAGGCTAGATGGACGCAAACATACAAAAAATAACACAAGAAGAACATACTTCGTCGAGTTGTCGATGATTATCTGTCGAGATTTTGAATGGTGATTAATTGAGACTAGGAGAGACGATAAAAAGTGTAAAAATGTGTGTCGTGCATCTCAATAATGAGCAATTGGACTAATTCAGCCGAATTAGAAACGTATTATCGAGAAAGGGAAGTTTAAACAATAAATGTAACATGATGAACATTGTTGTCGTGTTTTGCATCTTCAAGATGTAGCGCGTGACGGAACTTTAGTTCACTTTTTTGTGCATCCATATGCTATGTCATAAAACGCGCTCCATTGACAATAAGGGGGTTAGTATTATTCAAGGGACCAACAATGCGTACAGATCCTTATTATTGTGGATCTTTTTTTTTTTCATTTTTGTTTTTTTTTTCGAATAATGGTTATGAAAATCCAAAATTAATTAGTTCCATCAGGAACAAAACAATAGTATTTAAATAATTGAAAAATGTGAAATTTAAATTCAATCTAAAAAGAATATTTTAGTAGAAAAATGGTTTCAAGGTGAACACAATATTATTAATACAAAAAAGGCATATTCTGAAGGACTTTGAATTTTTCGTGGTTTAGAAGTGTGATAATATGTTTTAGATAATTTACATGAATTATGAACTACATATTATTGAATGTACAGAATATATTTTTATTGCTACAGATATTCAATTAATCCGGTTATTTCGCGTTTTATTGATTTTTTTTTTAAATATTTGAATTAATGAGGAACGTGCATTTTTTTTTCAGTAGGAAGTTTCACGCTCATGGACAGTTTTCCAAATGGACGACAGAAGGCGTCAGGAAAACTTTCCTTTGCTAAAGGGCAGAGGATATCGGATGATGAGGTTTTCAATTTGAAAATTAGCCATATTGCTTAATATTTTAAGAATATCTTATTTATTGTCAAATATAAATTTAGGAGCCGTCAACGGCGAATCGCAGAGTAATAGAAATGAATGATCCATTAGATGCGATGAGTATGAATAGAGCTCAGGATAAATTGGTCGCAGCTGGTAGTAGAGGAAGTAAGAAGATTTAATGGAATTTTTTTAGAAGACATTTTCTTGAATTTCAGTTCTTCAAATTATTAAATTAGCAAAAGGACATGACGAAATAAATGAGAACCCGTACATTATAAAAGAATGTGATTTGCGTTCGCAAAAACGAGGAAAAATTAACATTTTGTTCTCGGCAAGTAATGTTTCATGGAATAAAATCCAAGAACAACACATCGCAACAACATCATCAAATGGTTCTGTTGTTGTATGGGATGTAACCAAAAAAACTAGTATGTTTCAAAAGCATTATGGTTTGGATTTCAATTATCTCTTTCTCAGAATACGTTGTTTATAAATCTCATGAGCGATCAGCTACTTGTATAGATTGGAGTCATTATAATCCTTATATGGTTTTCTCAGGTAAATTTAATATGATGTCTAGATGCTAAGACAATCTTCAGGTTCAAGAGACTGTCACGTTTACGGGTATGACTCAAGAGTTCCGGGTGAACACCAAATAGGATTTTGGTAAGAATTTTCATAAAATATTTTAATGAATTAGAATATGAACCGAACAATTTATTGCGTTTTTTGTAACTAAGAATGCTGGAAATCTATTTATGAACATGAAGTGTGACTCATAATTGTTCATACAACGTAGAATATAAACAACGCATTAAGGGATGGAACGTGTGAAGCAATTCGAGACATTGCATTTGCCAACTATAGCGATAAAAACTACTATTTTTTCACTGGCGATGACAGTGGAGCCCTACGACTATGGGATATGCGAAATAATAGCAGGTTTGAACGTTTTATACAAAATTTATAAAAGCGCGTTCATAGTAGGCTAGGCATGTAATACAACAATGTTGTTTATTTTATAAACGTTTTTGTATCGGTAATATTATAAGAGAATTTATATCCAGAAGAGAAAAAGCTAATTTTTGGAATAATGATATTTAACCTCTTTAAAATTTCTTCCCATATGAAATTGATTAATTCAATTTAAATTGTTAATTTATCGGGAAAACGAATCTTGTTTTCTTCTGAATCTAACTAAATGAACTTTGCTTCCAATGAATTGAACACGTCTTGACGTCATGAATAAGTCAGCGTTCAACAATTGAACACGCAAAAAGACAAAAACGTGTTTTTGTTATCGCATTTTCATAAACAATTTTAAAGATAACCCCAGCTATGTAGTTGGTAGCGTACTTTTATTTTTGCCTCTGAATGCAAAATCAGCGCTCAGGTGGTTTTTTGCTATGACTTATAAATTGCTTTCAGATGGGTCCTACAGCGAACAGCCCACAACGCTTTTGTATGCACAATTGCCGTGAGTCCTGTGATTCCGTCATTAGTTGCCACAGGTGGTGGGCGTGATAAACTTGTAAAGGTTCGTTTTTATGCGAAAAAGTCTAAATCATATATTATTTGGTTTGCTGCGTGAGAATTATTTATGATTTTCATAAATATGCAGATTTAATTGCAAATTTGTTTATAATAATTATTAAGGTTTGGAATTGGGACTCTGATAAGCTTGAACGCGAATATGTCGTCGAAACCATGGCACCGCTGGGAAGAGTTGTATGGAGAAAGGAGAATCCATACCATATTGCGACTTGTGCAAGTACAAACATTTTTCATTTTTAATAGAAATTTCAATTTATTAATTCAGGTGTCAATGACATGAATATACATATTTGGGATATTCGACGACCGTTTATTCCATATGCTACATACGATGAACATAGGGACAGTGTTACAGGTACTCTCTCGTTTCCAGATTGAACGTTGGAACCGAATTTTAGATGTCTGCTTTCCGAGAAATCAAAACTCGCACTTCTTATCTTGTGGTAAAGATGGACTTCTTATTTTACACGCACTCGACTCAGGACATGTCTGTCTTTTCAATTAAAAAAATCTGGATTTATGCTTTTTTTTCAGGTTCCCATCTCTTACGCGTGTGATGTTCCGCTCGATGTTGCCCCTGATGGAGCTGTAGCTGTTGCATGTAAGTTTCATTGTTACCGTACGAAAATTATTAATGTGACTTAGTGAATGTTGATCTACCAAGTAAGGACCAGGATCAACCAGCATGTCTTCCTCGACGACGCATGATTCGGAAAATGTCTCACGAGGCTTTCGATGGTCCTGTTCAAAGTGTGATTGCGTGCGGAGTACCTTCAACATGCCAGATTAGCATGCAGCCTACGATGATTGCCGAACTAGCCAAACGGTTTGTTTTTATATGAATTCGACCAATTTAAAAACAGTGTCTGTCGCCATATTTACTAACTATTAGTTTCATACTATTCTTAATTTTTTTAAATTTTAAATATATTTCAGATATTTTCTTGGAGGAAAGTCGGCAAACACGCTATGCACACTGAACTTTAAAATTGCAAAACTATATGGTAATGATCACATAGCGCAGACATGGAATCTCGTTAACGGATTGCTCACAAAAGCGGATATCCGTAGTGTGTATTCTGGCGACCGAGCAAAGTACAAAATGGAAGTCAAGAGAAAAATGGAAATGTTTGTGAAAATATTATTTATATTTTTCTGGAATTTTTGAATTATAGATTGAATCAGGAAATGGCGAATGAAGGAAAAAAACGACTGCCAAATTTTTTTGATATGACGGATATGATATTGGATCGAATGTATGGCGAAGTAAGATAATCGTTTAATCGAAATATAATGAAACGAAATATGAATATTCAGAGACGTGAAACAATGAGGAATTATCGAGACTTCAAAGTGTTAAGTTCGGACAGTGATGATTCGTCCAATGAAAGTTTAAATTCGGAATCCAGTGACGATATCGAAGTTTTTGTGGAACCGAAAGATCCGGATGGTTCGAATTTCATCCGAAACCTTTCAAACGTGTTTTTTATTTAGCCGAGCCTGTATATACCGAGGAATTAACACTAATATCTCGAAGAAAACCCGGAGCCAAAAATAAATATGGTAGACCGCTTGAAAGTGATGGAACCATGTCCGATTTTTATTTTGGTGGCGCCGAAGTCAATATGGAAGTTGAAGATCCTCGAAAGTTTGTGCTCATTTTCTTTCATTTTGATTTTAATCCAACATTCATCGTTTTGTTTCCAGAGAAACCGTGTATGTGAACGAATTCATGGGGCTTCGAGATGAAGCATATGAAATGCGAAACTTGTTCAGTACCAAGAAACGCGAAAATGTGTTTGATAGGCGCATTGTTACGCTAAAAGAGGGTGAAGAGTGGACACCGATGTTCGAGATCTATCGTCTTCTTCTCTACCATGCAGAGCAGGGAGATATCCAAACTTGTGCATGTGTTGCGATTGTATGCGGCCGTAAATTTTTCGATGTTGTCGATTCGTATACCGTTGGATGTTGGATTGATACGTATTTGGAATTATGCGAACGACTCGAACTATTCGTCACGATGGCCCAAATTCGAAAATATTCACCAATTTATAGGATTGGCGAGATATCTCGAGAGGTATTTTCCCGTCAAATTCAGCAAATACACATATGGAAAAAATATGAATTTAGGGAACGCTTATTGAAGTTGGACATAAAGCATGTGGTAAAGCATTCGTGGATGGAAGATGCCAAGGTTGCGGTAAATCTGCTACCCCGCAATGCACTTTGTGGTAATTTTGATTTAGCATCATTATTTCCTCATATTGTTATTATTTAGTCGACGTAGTATCCTTGGATTGACTTTCCAATGTGAGCTTTGTCTTCACGCAATGCATCCAAATCACGCTGTGGAACACTTCGAAAAGGTATTTATTTGTGTTTTTTAGATTAATTATATGCGGCCAATTTCAGCATAATACTTGTGCCGACTTTTATTGTCTCTGTGAATGTCCCACATCTACATATCCATATATTACGCGCTATTTTTACAAGCCCAAAGGATTTCCAATTGATGTTTCGACTAAATCGAATCTCTATGAGGGTATTGAAGATGAAAATGAGGAAAACCTGAAGGGTATAATATCATTTTTTTTATTTAAATATTCTTTGTGGATGTGATTTTTTTCAGTTGTTACTCCATTCCGATATGTTCCGAAAGATCCGGATGAAGGCAAGTATTTGCATTATTCATCGGTTTACAGTCGAATAACGAGAATCGAAGAGGTTGTGAGTTCTGGAGGGTCGAGCGACGAACAAGACGAGCAGAAACATAAGAAAAACTTTAATTGCGATGCATCCCTTATTTCGGATATCCTTTATTCATCCGAAACGACACGGACGTCGCTTGATGGTATCATTCGAAATACTATCAATTTTCTGGATGATATTCGTAAAAATAATTCGTTCGTGCGTGAAAGGTATAATGATGGAGAAAATGAAAACGAAGGAGAAGAAAATGGCGCGAATGTGGATCTTGTGGATATTGACCAAATTAGGGCGAATGAGAATAGGACAGAATACGAGGAAGAGCTACTAACTCGATATGAAAATTGCGTAAAATTCGTCGAAAGCATTCAACAATTTGGAGAAGAATTGCCGATGGACAACGATATGACTCCGTTCGAATCGTATGATCAACCGATACCACTTCAGCTGGAACGCATTCTTCCTATAAAAAACGACTTGTCTGAAAACGAGAACGAAGTTGACGATGAAGATGACGAGGATGTCGATGAAATTGAAAGCTGCGACGATGAATTTATGGATTCGAGTGTTTCAAAATCTGATAAAAGGAGAAAGAGAAGAAGGAAAAAAGAAAAGAAAAAGAAAGAAAAAACTAAGGATGAAAAACCTGTTGAAAAACCGCCGCCACAGGAAACGAAGAAGTCGATGAAAACAGTAAAGTAAGATTTTAACTGTGTTCCAATTTGGAATAATATTTGTTGTTTTTTAGGAAAAGCAAACCCGTCCCAATTACAGGAAAAGAGGAAGGGCATTTATCGACAAATTACGAATCAGCATCTACAGTAATGACATTTGTAGACCCAAGAGCATGTATTCCCATTATGGTGCCGAGACCGATGGTTGAAAGTGATAACGAAAAGCTGAGACAAGGAAAGCTGATTACTCGTAACAAAGTTGAAGAACTTTTGGAAACGAATCGTCAGACCGAAGGAAACAACGAACCGGCAGATGAAGTGTTCGAGAAAATAACACTAAGTGGTTTTGAGGATGATGAGAGATTCAAGAACATCAAAGGTCGTATAATTGTTTTGGACAAAAGGGGAAAGAAACCGTTTGATGCGTACCATCACATTGTCGAAGAGGAGGAAGTTGAAGAAGTTGAAGAAGAGGAAGAAGAAGCTGTGGTAGAAGAAGAGGAAAAACCGAAAAATTGTGAAGATGATGTAGAAAAGTCGACGGAGTGTGAAGAAGTTCAGGAACAAACTGTTCCTGCCAAAAAAGATCACCATCAACGCAAGAGTAATACTCGAAAAGTGACGAGAGGAATCCAAATCCAGTTAATTCCTAAAGACAGTTCTGGAAACGTTTTCGAGCCAAGGCGACGCCAGCAGAGTGAAACAGAAACCGATGGTGGACCGAATAATTCGGGCGAATTTGAATTCGGAGAAGATTCTTCGGATAAAATGTTTTATGCGAAATTGCCGGAGGCATTTCTCAAACGACCATATGATATCGAAACAGTCCAATCAATCGAAGACGATATAGATGTCGAGGATTTGAGCGATGAGAGCAATGAAATGAACGCCGAAGAATTGCCAGAGCCAATTATTGATCCAAAACCAGCAGGTCCAGATGATCTGATCAATATATTGGTTAATATGGAATATAAAATGGGTGAAGAAAGTGATGCTGAATGTGTTGTCGAAAAAGTTGAACGAAATATGAAGAAAACCAAAAAACCGAGGTAAATTATCTATTTTTTTTTAAATCTAATATGGAAGATTTTATTATTTTTTTTAGGAAGGCTTTTCCGGATTATTTTGCAATTTTGAACGGAAATAATGCAATTGATCAAATGTGTTTCAAGGAACAATTGAAAATGATGAAGTGAGTCAAATTAATAATTTGAAATTGGCACGTAAACATATTTTAGCCGTTTCAGAAAACAAAAAAAAAACAATTTCTCATTAAATTAATTGCAGGAAACTGAAAAAGCAAAAAAATGTGTTCCAATTGAGAAAAGAAGAAGAGGAATTGACTGAAGAATTCATTAAATTGTATTACTTCATTCCGTGGAATTTGATCACAAAATCTGAAAATCAAGATTACCTTCGAAAAGTGTTTTTTATGGTACGTTGCCCTTTGAAATTAATTTTTAAAAGTAATTGATTCAATTTTAGTTCGAGCGATTCAAAACTCTCAGAAAACGAGTGTGCACTGTGCATTTTAACGATTTTAAATTCAATCTTATGGCGTATTCGTAAGTTTTTACAAAAACCGAAACTTCTTCAGGATTCTATCTAAGTTCTAGAAATTCTGTTTGTCTTTGCCTGTCTTTCGGCCAAAATTCAAAATGTTGCTTTGCTTAAATGAAACAAAAATTCAGCGACTCATCCAATCAAGTTTTGCTGAAAACCGTACCGAAAGCCCTCTATTTTACGCAAATTGACCTCGAAAACAAAAATTGCTTGAAATGAGGAATGATCGGGTTCCTTGAATTTGCTCTTTTTTCCGTTTTTGCACAACAAGCCAACAAGTAAATGCAAGTGACCATTATCGTGATGCGTATTTCGACATAAACTTCCATTTCATTCCTGTTTCTTCATTAGAAGTCGATATATGGCGAAATTGGCTGACTTACATTGTTATATACACCTAATTGTCGTATAATATGAGAATAATGATGAAAGATTGATAATTAAAGATATTTAAAGAATTTCGATGCGTATGCGACACATTCTATTTAATGGAACTTATAATCCTGATCAAATTTTGAACGAAGTTGATGCACGACTGGGATACGAAGATATCAAACAGGTTTGAGTTGAAATCAAAAATAACTAAACACGAATATATTAAGATGATCTATGAACAAAGATCTATTTCTTATTCGTCGCCTGAAGAACTTATTCTGAAGCCGTGTATCAAATCGTATGCAGAATTACAAACGTAAAAGAACATTTTTGAATTCAGCAATTAAAATCCAAAAAAATTGTTTCAGAGTTGTAAAATCTCGAGATTCACCTGATGTAGAGAATGTGATTGAGTCGATTGAAAGTATTCCGATTCATTTTGAACGTCCAAGCAAAGTTTATATAAATCATTTGCGATCGTGTATGATGAGTAGTACGATTTGGAAAATGAAAGTAAACGAAAAGATTATATTCTTTGATCGACAACAAGAAAAATGGAAGAAATTCGAAAAAGGTAGTTGCGGTCGTTTCCGTTTCGAATTTCAATGAATATGAACTGTTTCAGAAGCTCTTCCTTTGCTTCAAAATCCTCGGAAAAAAGCTCTTCCTGTTTGCCAAATCGAAATTGGAGACAAAATTGTTCAATTGAAAGCCACTGAGACAAATATACCATTTCGACTCAAGGTATGTAATACTTTTTACTTTAATATATAAAATACTTTTACGGGTAGATTTAATATATTATAGAGCCGTCTTCGAAAAATGTATACAAGTCGAACGTTTATTCGCAATCGGAAACCCATCGATGTTCAAAACTCTTCTTCGATCGCATTTATACAAGAAACTGAAGCATTTAAACGATTCAAAAAGAGATTTATGCCTCATCGTATGTTTATTTTTAATTTTAACTCAAATATTTTCGATTTTTAGTGGTTCCAAATGGCGAACATTCGATATATTTATTAAAAAATGTTGCTAAAAAGCAGAAGTTAGAAACAATTGCTGAGGATAAAATAGCGGAGGTTTGTTTGTTTTTTTTTCTCTTAATAATTCCTTTTAGTTCAATTCGTTTATACCGCTGAATTATTTCAGCTGGTGCAAATACAAAAGGAGTTCGACGGCCTTCTATCCGACCAAGATAACGATGTTGATATGGTTTTTGGTGGCTCGAAACTGGATTATCTTGGCAAAAATGATCTCATACGAGTCGGATATGGATTATTGAACATCATGAAATTGTTGAGTAATGCGTCACAGTATCGCGAAAAGAATTGTTTCTCTAAAAACCGCTACAAATTACTGAAATGTGAGAAAAAGAAGTCGGAGACAGTGGAGCCGCGGGTGATAAAGAAAATCAACAAGACTGCAAACGCAAAACGTCGCAAGCGTCGTCTGATGAAGGAGAGGATAAATGCGGCACTAGAAATGAAGATTGGAGAAATATTGGAATCTGCTCGTAATAGGAAGCTTTCGATGGAACAAAGACTTGCGCTTATCAACAAGGAATACAATAAAAGAGTTATGAGGAAGAAGCTGAAGAAGAGGAAGAGGAAGAAGAAAGTGCGATTCATTCTGCCAAATGAAACTAAACATTTGAAGAAATTCTCATCACGAAAACTCTATAAAAATTTTCTTAAAGTTTGCAAAAAACTAGAAATGGGCTTAATAAAAGGAAAGAAGATGCCAAGAAAAGAAGCGAAGTTGCCTATCGGCAACATTCCAAGCATTTGTGAACCAGTGAAGGATATTATGGACAAGGAAGACTCAACAAAAGAGGTCGATGTTAATGAAATTGACAAGATGGTATTGAAAAAATAATTATCGAATAAATCTAATTGACAATTTAGGCTTTAAATCGTCTTGATAAACAACGTCAGAGTGTGTGTGCTGGAAACTGGAATCTCGAATTTTCCCAGCGTTTGATCACGGCGAAAAATGCTCTTCTTCAAGCCGAAATGATGATGGAAGACGAAATCCGAGCATGGATTATGTTTGAGTATTATACGAGGAAAAAGGAACGAAAAAGGAAAATCGAAGTGTTGAAAAATCGTCGAATGAAAAGAGGTTTTTGATTAAAAAAAAAGGCTTTTAATATTTCTTTTGAAGAATTTTTCGATATACAAAGTTGCTCTGGTGTTAAGTCGATTGACCTTAACTCAAATTCGTTGGATGACGAAGATTCAACAAGTGTGTTTCATTTTTAAACTATTTATTAAAAAAATACACTTTCGATTTATTTTTATAGATTCTATAAGAAGCAAAAGCGTTTCGGATTGGTTGAGCGATTCCGATTTAGTTCTCGAAAACGCTCAAAATGAGGAATATCCCGATGAAATGCGAATGGTTTTAGAAAGATTAAAGGGTCCTTTACAGGTTTAACTTTTTTTTAAATTATTTTATTGTCGGCGACTAATCGAGGGCGATTTTTAAGCATGCGATTTTTTACTATCGTCTCACGCTTACTTATTGGTTATTTCATACTCTATGACTCATTTCGATTATTTTTAATTTAAATGACGTTGGGAAAATCAAGGAAATGGCTTATTCAGAATAAAATTTCCACGTACAGCAATCGTCAAAGAAATACCGGCTTTACACTTAATTATTATTGGTTTTTAGAATTATTCTTCAATTTTTCACAATCCGGTCAAGAAAACTGCCTGTTCTGATAATGGATATAATAAAGGTTTGAAACCATTCTTCTCTGCAAATTGCGCCAAATTGCACGGCGGTGAATAGAGTATTTTCATTGAAACGCTGATAAATTGGATTTTTGTAAGAGTTTGTTAAAATTTTTGAAGTCCAAAGACGTTTTTTTCACCAACGTTTCACCGAAACTCCAGATTATTTTATGACACGATTATTTGAGCTATTTTTTTTAAACTTAATAACCTTATTCATCAAACGGTTTTTTAAAAAAAATGTGTTGTCGAGGACGGACGAATTTAGAGGGGCGTTGCTTATTATTAAAATTTTGGCGCCATGGTCTTTTTATCATTTTCGATTTGATCTTGTTGTGTTCATAGTTGTGGGTGTGTGGAACATTAGATTTTGTCAGTGGAACTTTATTGAGTCAATCAAATATAATGACACAATGAGGGAAACGTGAGCTTATATAGTTCCCCGGGATCATATATACAACAAGGCATTTCTGTCGTTTGTGGACTATGACAGATCTAGTATGAAATGCAATGAAAATACAGTAGATATCAAAGGCGCATGTGAAAGTTTGTTGATTTCGTGCGAGGATCAAAAATGGCTTTCACGTTTTAATTTAAATTTGTCAAATTCGTCCGTCTTCGATAATAAAGTGCGTTTTTTAAACATTCATGCATTGGAAAATGTGTAATTTCTTTTTTCACTTTTAAAAAATAATTCCATAACTAATTTTATAGATATTTTCCAATATATTCCAAACGACGTGAAGAAAAGGATTTTTGATCTACATAGTGCTGAAATTCGACGTCTCGCGAACAAGGCAAAACGTGAAAAGAAGGAAGAATATCTTGAAAACAAAGATAAGGAGGTTAGTTCGTTCCGGGATTTCACATGTTTTGGTTGTCATTTTTCAGAATCCCGATGTTATTAAAAACTTTCCAACATCGGCACTGGACACGGAAGAGCTTGATGTATTTTTCATGCACTTTTTACTTTCGAAAGAGGATGAAGAAGAACTAGAAAATGAACTGGAGAAAGAAGAAAATGTAATGGAAGTGAGCGAAGAAGACGTGAAATTGGTTGTCGATTCAAGTTCGAAACTGTTTCGCATCGATCAACTCGCTAGATTATTGGCACAACATGGCGTTTATTTGCTCAAAAAAGTTTCTAAGAGAAATATGGTTTTGAAACATTTATTTTCTAGTCTTAATTCAAATTGTTTTCAGCGCGTTCATGAAGTTCGAAAAGTAATCGGCTATATTCTGAGAAGATTAACTGATCGAATGAAAATGTCGAAGAGCGCTTTGAAACCACTCGTTCGTGATTGGTTCCGATATAGCAAAGGATCTTATGAAGAATTCGGAAAGATTCTCGAAAATCACGTTCAAAATCGAGTTGATCGAGAGACACACGCGTTGATGTTATTCGTCGAGAAAAATCATTCTGCTCAGAAATATGCCGATCTGTTTGATGAACTTGTCGTCTCGGAATGCATCAATCATATGCTCACAACAATTGAGATGAATGAAATGAAGGTTCAAAACGAAATCAAGGTTTGCTTGTTTTTTTTCCAAGAATTTACAAGTTCGAAGTTCTGATTGTTGCTATTAATTTTAAAACGTTTTATTTTTACAGCCTATTCCTATTCCACGCTATAGTGAAATTTTCGAAGACGTTTTTGATGATGATGAAGAAATGACGACCACCACTAATGAAGAAATGACGTCCACAACGAAATCGAGCACTCAACGAAAATCAGCAGTTTCATTTTTGGATCCCGAAACGGGTATGGCGACGTATTCGGAAGTCTGGACACGCGGAATCAAACGAGAAAAACCGCTAACGAGATGGAAATCCGCCGATTGCGTCTTGATGCCTTATTCCGACAAATGCGCCACTGAGCACAAGCTGAAATATAACTATAGGAGATTAAGCTTCATCAGTGACATCAAATCGATTGGCTCGAACAATGTCGATTCCGAGAACACGTTATCTGATGAGAAATACAAGAACCTCCTATATTACACCCTCAGAATGCATCAGTCTAATAACAGTGATGGTGGCAGTTTGTTCAGCAGCGGTTATAGTGGAAGTAGTGGAAATAATGTGTTTACGGGAAGCAGTGAAAGTACAGGATGCGCTGAAAGTGTTGGAAGTAGCGGAAGTGGAAAATGCGAAGAAATATTTGAAGACGAAACTGTTACGGAAGAGAATTTTGTGTATAACATTGGGAAAAACGACAAGGAACTCGAATTTTCCGAACAATTTTTGCACAAAAAGCTCAAAACGGATCGAAAATATTACGAAGGAACTGAGCAAATGGAATGGGAAGATGTCATTCATCAGTTAGTTTTCAGTTATCTTTCATTTCGTTTTTTAATAGTCGACTCACAATCAGACATTTATTTTCAATAAGCTGTGTTTCAGATTCGGAATAACAATAAACGAAGATGCACTCATTCCGCAAATTAAATTTGTACCGTATCAATCAATTCCACAAGAAAATGCTCACATTTCGTCGGGTATTAATATTGTGGTCATAAATGCAATAATTTTCCATTTTCAGATGAAGATTCGGAAGCCGAAAGTGTCGACAGTTATTGCTCAATGAAACATTGTTATAGACATGAGCTTTACTTTGTAAAATTTTCAATTTTATTCGACTAGCTTATTTATTTTTTTTTAGAATCGAGAACGCTCTCGTTATCGTCTTCCAGGATGCGTTGTCTCGTTTTCGCCTGAAGAGTTCTTCATTCCTGATATGTCTGATGTAGGTGTCGTCCGAAAATGGCAGAAGATTATTGAAGCATCGAATTCAGCGATTGACTTTAACGGATATGTGAGCGAAATAATGCAAGATTGTGCTTGATTCAATTTGTTCAGGTTTTACGGCAAAGATTAATTGCAAAATGTCGATCGGAATTTTTGGAAAAAGTGACGAACAAATACAAAGGAGATAGCACGCGTTTGAATTTGAAAGTATGGAATTTCGATTTCGAAAGTGTTTTTTTTTTGCTAATTTTTAATTTAGATTTTTGATGGATGTTTTATTTACGTCATCACCGATATTGACTTAAATCCATGGGTAGTTCATGTCGTTGAGAAGAGAAAACCGCAGATATTTGCTGTGACGTTGGCTGTGCGGCAGGAAATGCTTAATGAGTAAGAAACTATTTCTGATTTTTACGACATTTATAATTTTTTGCAGTTTTCGCGCCGGAATAATGGAATGGAGACAAATTGAATGGATCGATAATGAAGTTCTTCGGCATATTCCTCTTATTTCGACCACAAATGATTTGGAACAGCAGAATTCAAGAGTTCTCTTTGAAATGCCTCTGAGCGAAGAAGTTCGACGCGAATGGTTCAGAATGAATAAGCAAGAAGGAATTGAAGCATTAAATGTAAATATTCTTTTCAGTTTCATTTATGTGTGATATCCATTTTTAGGCAATTATTCGTATGAAGCGAATTCCACCAGAAAACCCACGAAGGAAAATTCTGGAAAAAATCTTCAAACCAATTTATGTAAGAATTTTGTCAGAATAAAAAAGTTTTTTTTTTTAAATTGATGAAACTTTAGGACAATTTTTATGAAGATTGGGTGAAAGTTAGGAATAATCCACGATCAGAAGTTATTTTTCAACCTAAGATTAGTGATTTGGAACGAGGATTGATTGCAGGTAAATACACCAATATTAAAATATTCGCATAAAAATTTCCCAATTTTCAGTTAAATATGCGTACAACTATGCTTATCAATTTCATTTAATTCTTCAATGCGATCCAGTTATTTCTAAAACCAAGTCGAAAGAATTTGGTGTTCATTTACGTATGTTACTTATTGTCGTTTCTTGTTGATTAACTTTTTTTTCTTTTTTAGCCATGTTCCGTCAAGACGTTCCGAGTAGTTCACTTTTAAAAGGAATGCGAGAAGCCATAATGGGTTTTGTCAATGCCGAATCACGTAACCAAAAGTCGGGCGGCGAATTTTGAATATTGAATTTTGTTCAGAACTCCTTCCACTGGAAATTCGACGACAAGTCCTAAATCGAATACTTCAAATTACGCAGCATGGAAGTCCAAACGAGAAATGGGTATGCGGAGAGGATGAAAGTGAAGGAGAATCTGATGACGATGATGACGATGATGAGGAGAAAAATAAAGATTTCGATTTGGATCAAGTATTAACATTTCATATTGTTTATTTCTTTAAAAAAAAGCAATGTTTTCAGGCACTGCGGGATCCAAAGTTTCTCGAGCAATGTATTAGAAAGGCGGGCAAAAAGAAGCGAATGCAATGGGAACCACTTGATGAGTTTATGCGTTTAAAGAAGGAATATGACGATCGTGATATCAATTATCGTATTTTCATGTGTAAAACTCTATTTGAAATGTAAATATTTATTTATTTATTCATTTTGCAAAGATAGTTTTTTTTTCAGAGCGAAAAACCTTGTTGCGAAAACGTGCCCAAAACTTGGAAATATTGAACAAGCGAAATACAAATTTCAAAAGGTTTCTTGAATATTTAGTGGATTTGTTCGATTTCACATTTTTTTCAGCTTCTTCAATCTCATACCAGAACGAGACCACTGTTTGATATGATGTTGTCCGAAATTGACGGTGTGCAAGATTTTATACCGCCAACAGCACGCGAGTTTTTGGAGAAGTATGGTATTCAAAAGGAATTCATCGAGGTTTGTTTGTGCTTTTTTATCGATTTTTTCAGGCTTTTCATGGATTAGTTTCGAACTCTTAATTTTTCAGTTCGGCGTATCAACAAATGATGAAATGAAAAACTTGAGTGTGAACAAATGTGTTGAAGAATTTGAAGTCGACGAAGTCGAAGATGGTTACGTGTTTGAGAAGGAATATACAAAATACGGCAAATTTGGAGAAATCGTGAAAGAAATGATTGAGAAAAAACACCGAGAAGATGAGGAAAAAATTATGGAAATGAAAAAATCGCGAAAAGTGAGCATTCTTTTCAATTCATCCGAAAATGAAGGCGACGATGACAACGACTATGAATCTTCAACAACTACGACAAACGATTCATCCGACTATTTTATACGCGAAACGAATCCCAGCAATAAATTTAAGGATGAAATTGAAGAATTCGAGTTGTCTGACTATCTCAAAGACGAAATTACAACTGAGAGTCAGACAAAAACATCAAGTGAAATTGATTTTGATAGTCAAGATAGACCATCAAATGCTCACAAAAACGAACATCGACGAATAGAAAAGAGCGTGGATGAAAACGAATCGGATTTAGAAGTTGAATCGAAGCCATCAACTGGATCTGACAGAAGTGAGGCTGAGGTTCACGGAAAAATTGGAACCGCCGATGTTGAGAAAAGACAATCACAAGAAAAAGAATTATCCGAACTGGAATCGGATCTCGATGATGATCAACTCTTTGGAGGAAGCAATCAAGAAGAACACGAAACGGAAGCAGAATCCGAATACGACGCTGATCTCAGAGCGATCTTTAGTCAAGAATCCAAAAACTATGAAAAAGTTGGTGTCAAAAAAATGGAGCAAAGAACGAAATTGTTTTCGAAGGTCGAAAGAGATGATCGACGAAAACGACGAATTTGGCGAATGAAGCAGTGTCTCAAAAGACAGCCAGGATTGGCGTTTTTAGACGAATATGAATCAGTTTCAAGTGACGAAGAGAAAAAGATTAAAAGAGAACTTAAAAAGAGAGAGAAGAAAAAGCTTCGACGGTTCTATGGTTTGCCGGACAGTTCCGACTGGACGACGTGCTCCGAAGATGAAGTAATTATGCTCATGGCAAAAGAAAGGGCCGAGACTGAAGCGAGACAAAAGGCTGAAGCGAGAAGAGCAGAAGCTGCTGCAAATGGAGAAGTTCTGGAGGATGAAGAAGAAACGGAAGAAGAAGAAGAAGAAAAAGGCGATGTGCGAAGAAAAGGAGATCCTGCTACTCAACTCAAAATTAGTCGAAAAATTTGGGCATTTCCAGCAGTCGAAGGAAAAACGTTTAGAGGAAAGGTTCAACGAAGATCGAGAAATCGTGCTGTTAAAGGACGCTTTGGTCTTCGAGGGGTTAAACGAAAATATTTACGAGTTAAAAGAGTCCCAAGTATCGGCAAAAAGAAGAAAGGAAGCAACACGTCCATCCGATTTGCTCCAAAACACACTATAATAGAGTACAATGTGCTCACAACGTCGGATCGTGAATTCTACAAGGAGGAAGTCGCAGAAGGGGGAGACGAAGTTCAAGTTCAATTTCCATATACGGAGACAGAAGAAGAAAGACGAAGTAGAAAACGATTGAAGAGAATATTGAGGGCAATTCGGACTGGAAAAATATTGAAGGATGACTGGAAAGAAGAGAAAAAGAAGAAGAAAAAGAACAAAATTGTGAACATGGAAATCATGGACGAAAATATGACGGTGGAGGAACCAACGGAAAAATCGACGACCAATGAGAAGAAGAATAGGATCGGCAAGAAGAAAAGTGCCAAAACTTCGACAAAATCGAAGGCGAAGAAGAAGATGAAGAAGAAGGAAGAAGCAATAAAAAGTGCTCGAGATATTAGACATCGTATTCTTCAAAAAACTGTATATCCGCATGTGCTCCTCAACTTTATTGACATTGAGAAAGAGCTCGAAGACGACAAGGATGAGGTCGAAGATTACGATCATGTGGATTTATTTGATTACAAATTCGATTATATGCAGGATTATAATCGAGATGAACTCCCCAAATACTCGTTCATTATTGATGAAAATTGCTGGGCAAGGAAAGAAGAAACTGAAAATGCGGGGCCTCTTTCGGACGTTGAAAAATTCGACAGAAGCATTGAAAAGGAGAGAGAGTTGTTCAAAAAACTCGCATTAGGAAAGTGGCCTGTTCTCGATTTTAGTGCAAGCGAAGAAGAGGATGACAATCATGAAGAAATCAGAGGAAATGGCGAAGACGAAACGCGTGAACAGAAAAAAATAATGAAGGCTGCATTTGAAAGTGATGACGATGACGAAGAAGTGAAAAAACGCGGTGTCAAAAAATTGAAGAAGGGAAAAGCCGGAAAATCAAGAAAAGAAGAGGCAGAAGCTGAAGTAGTAAAGGGAAAATGTAAAACTAGGAAATTGAAGAAGGTAGAAACGAAAGATGAAGAAGAAGTAGTAGAAAAAGTAGAGGACGATGAAGAAAGGGCTGTGAGACATGCGAATGCTTACATGCTTCAACGCATGGAACAATATCGACGCGAAAATGAGTTTGATGATTCGTTGAAATACGTGTACATTGCATGTGATGACAAGATGAAATATCGAAAGGATATCGACGAGAAAAATAGTCGAAATTTATTCAATGACATCAAGGAGAAATTCGTTATGGGACCATTTGAATGGCAGAAGAAAATAATAACAGAGAGGAGATTCAAACATTTCGCCAGTATGGATCGCAAATATTTGGCGTACCACATGAGCGATGAGAACAGGGAACGACTTGATGAGGTTTGCGGCTCAATTATATATTTTAGAATTGTCTCATTGTTTTTTTGCAATTTTTCAGTTGACTAATATTATTCGAAAGAATTGCCGATGGGCACACAAATCATGGGGACCATTTGTCCAACTTGCTGAATGGGAATACAAATTGGTGGAAGACGAAGAAGGAGAAAAAGAAGAAGAAAATTCGATGAAGAAGGATGAAAAAGACCGAGATCCTGTAAGTTTTCAACATTTTTTTCTTAATTAAAAAAATTGAAGCTAAAATTTTAAAAATTGGTTTCGCTAGCAATTTTGTCGATTCAAGCTTACATAAACATTTGGTGATTTATTTCGAATTTCAGGCACTGCCGACCAAGGAAGAAATTGAAAAGATAATTTCACTAGAAGCGTCGATTCAATTAAAAATTTAGTTGTTTGTAGTTAATGTTAGTATTGCTCAATTGCTTAATCACCCACCAATTTATCACTTTTCCTCACAAACGTGTTTCAATTATTTGCCATACATTTTCATATTTTATTCTCACTTTGTATATTTGTAACGTGTATATATAAGAATGTATTTAGTAGTTATAAACAATTTCTCATTGTTTTTCTGTTTTTTTTTTCTCTTGTTTCTGTTGGTTATTTGCCATTTTCTATTTAAATGTCATTGAATACCAATTGGAGGAAAGGCGCGATTATAGTTGATGAACACATTTCTGGTTGTGCCACGAATTGCGTTGTTGAAAAACTGTGTTCGACTTGGCGTCAGATGTACTCCTTTGGCTATTGGAATTGGCCTGGGTGCAAGTTTGAGACGTTTGAAATGTGAGGCGGTTGTGCAAAAAGAAGACCCGTGGCTATTGGTACCCGAAAAGGTTCTCAAAATTATCAAATGTATAATAGAATCGATATGATTTGTTTTCAGAAGGTTCCACAATCTTCTACGTGGACAATTGTAAAAGCTCCGATCACATTAGTGCTGACAATTCTACAAACTCTTCGAAAACTCATAAGGTTCTTTTTATTCGTCTTTTTGATTTAAATATGTATTGTCGGTGTCACGCGAAAAAATGCTTAAAATTGGCTAAATGTCAAAAAAGTTAGTAAGAGGTCTCGGTGCGCCGTGTGTGCCTTTAACTCATCCTTATACATATACCTTCGACAATATCTATTTTTATTTTTAGATGTGTCAGCTTATTCTTACGATTTGCGCCGATTCTCGTTATCTATCCGATAGCGTCGCGAATTGAATCACTTGAAGAAGTTTGGTGGAAATTATTATTGTGGTCTGTCCAGGTATTCAAATGATTATTACTGTATTTACTGTCGTAGTCGTGCGACACAGAAAATTGGCTAAATGCCAAAGAAGCAGTGGTAGCCAATTTTTTTGCGGCGCGACGCCGACAATATAATAATAATAATAATAACAATTTTTTTTTCTCTCAGAACAGTGGTCCAACATTTGTGAAACTCGGACAATGGGCAAGCACACGTCGTGATATTTTCAGTAAAAAATTTTGCGATCGAGTGCGTTTTTCTATTGAGCATTTCATTATTAATTAACAAGATGCCTTCTAGCTCTCGATTCTTCACATTCAAACCAAAAAGAAGCGATTGTTTCGTGACAAGGTGCATGTATTCAACGAGATTTTCGGAAAAGAATTTATGGAAAAGCATGGCGACTCAGTTTTCCCGGAAATCGAACCTTATTCAATTGGATCGGGATGCATCGCGCAAGTGTTTCGCGGAACAATGAATGTCGCCGAGTTTGAAAAGGCCACCGGACAGTCGCTGCCAACACTGGCCGGCAGGAAACACCAGAAGGTGGCGGTGAAAGTCGCCGACAAAGGTGTTCGGCAGAAGATTGAGCTCGACTTGTCAATTTTAAGATCTGTTGCGTTCTTCTTACAAATGGTAATAAAAATAGTAAACTTCTCAAATGAATTGCCGTTTCAGATGATTCCATCATTCCGATATCTTGATCCGATGGGAGCGCTGGAGCAATTCGAAATGGTTTTGAGGCGACAGGTCGATTTGAGTAATGAGGCTAAAGCATTAAAAGTAAGTTTTAATATATCAAATATTGATTTAATTTCAATAAAAAAATAATAATTATTATTTTAATTGAGGTGTTTTTTTTTCCAGAAATTCTCAGAAAATTTTGATCCAAAGGAAACAGGAATTCTGTTTCCAACAGTCTTGGGATATACGAGAAACGCAATTTTGGAGACTTATGAAGATGGCGTTTATATTAATCGGATTGTTGCTGAAGAAGGACAAACTGAGCTTAAAGCGAGACAATCAACGTCTGTTCGACGACGAATTGCTCTTATGGGAGCTCGTGCTCTGCTCAAAATGATATTTGTGGATAATTTTGTGCACGGGGACTTACATCCCGGAAATATTCTAATTCGATTCAACGACGACGAGAATGGAAGTAATCTTGAGGGAGTGCACAAAGCGCCGAGGACAGACGCGCTGCCGAAACGCTTGGTTCTTGCGAGCTGCAATTAGCCTTTAACACATGGTTCTTTTAGGCGGAGTGGTTTCGTTCGTTGATCAATTATCGCTCGACGCCCAAGATTCGATTCACAGATTCGCCGGATCTCGATGATGAACCGACATTGGTTTTGCTTGACACAGGAATCGCGATTTCTGAGACGCCGAAGAATTTGAATAATTTGAAGTCGCTATTTCGATGCGTTGTTGAAAAGAAAGTGAGTTTCATGGTTTTGATCTTGTTAATAAAACTCGTTTTCAATTGTACGACCTTTAAAAAATTTCATTTTTTTTGTAGGGATATGATGTCGGACGACTATTGCTTTCCCAGTCGCCTCATCAGCAATGTAAAGACCCAGACACCTTCTGCAAACAAGTTGAGAAGCTGGTTTTGAAGGCGAGAAGCGAAAAAAGCCTGAGAACGGTTAGCTGTGCTCAGCATTTTTTTTGTTCAATTTATTCCTAAATTCCAGTTAAACATTTCGGCTCTTTTATCGGAAATGTTTTCAATTGTCGCTGAACACAAAGTCGAATTGGATTCGTCGTTCACAACTGTTGTGTTATCTGTGATGGTACTCGAAGGATTCGGTCGATCTCTCGATCCCGATCTTGATCTCTTCCAATGTGCGAGGCCCTATCTATTGAACGTTCTTTGTTGAAAACGACCCTGCTGAAATGAAAGAGAACATGATTGATTTGAGAATACCTTCTAGTCTCACAACATGTGTCGTATATACATAATTCGGGTGCGCACTTGCATATTTTATCGCATTTTCGTCCCTCTCGCGTCCTCGCAAATTGTCGAAGCAATAATAAATTGAATTAGGCTTTAGGGTGTTGAAATCTCTAGTGAATCACGATACGTAACTATTTTTATTTGTTAATGAATATTTTTGTTCTCTATTAAATGTTTCCCTTACTATATTTTTTTCCGATGGCTGTTTTATCGGCATTTTCACTTATTTTGTCGCTGTTGTTTTGCTGTGCTCGTGGTTGATGGATATATGCATGAAAGGTGTGTTCGGTTGTGAATGTTTTCTTGAATTCCTATTTGGATGTTTTAGATTCTCGATAAATGTCGAGTTTTCAAGTACCTCCGCTGAGACCGGAAGCTGGTAAGAATATTCCGAGAACGAATCAAACTTGGCTGGAAGAGTATTTAGAAGGAAAGGTTGTTTTAGTTTAAATAATGAGACCGAACATTTTTGTGTTTTTAAGGATGAGATTTTGTTGTACATAACTGCTGCTCTCGGAGTATTTCTGCCAGGAATCGTCTATTTTTTGTATTACAAATGCCATTCTTACTATGAAAAATATGCAGAGGTACAAAAACGAATCTTTTTACATTTAGAGAATCGGCGTCCACCGACTGCTGTACGCGGGTAGTTTTTTTTGCTCTCGGGTTAATCAAAACCAATTGGATCCGACAAAATTTTCCTCCAGAATCAACCTTATCCGATTGAAAATTCTACGGATAAGATTGGAAAATTGTCGGATCCGATTGGTTATTATTCGCATCCGTTTTGTTTCAATTTTTCAATTCAAGCGTTCACACGTGACGAGACCATTTCGAAAGGCGTTCTGGTAAATCTGCCCTCGTACAACAGTCGACGGATGCCGACTATAAATTCTCTATTTATTTCTGAAAAAAAATCGGCTACCTGAATCAGACACCTCAAGAACCAGCTTGAAGGGCAATTGGCTCAAAATTTTTAATAACTTCAATTTCAAAAATTAAAATAATTGAAATAGGACACAAGTACGCAGATTTTGCGCAGCAACCGATTCTGCGAGCCGTTTTTTTTTCAGAAACAAACTGTGCAAAAAATTAATTTTTGTTCAGAAAAAGGAAAAAGAGCGGATAGCTGAAATGATTGCACAATCTGAAACTGCTGTAATCGTTCTCGGTTCCGAAAATGGCCAAGCCCATAAATATGCAAATCTCATTTACACGAGGCTCACTGCTGAACTTGTCCGGCCACCAGCGTTGTGGATGTCGGACTCTTTTGATGTTAAGAAAATGACGGAATTCAAGGTCAATTGAAATCGATGTTTGTAACTATGATCTATTTGTGCTCTTCAGGGATTTTGCATTTATGTCGTCGACACATTAACCGGAGGCTCTTCTACAGAATCATCGGAATGGTTTTTGGAATGGCTTGAAGATTTGGCGGCGAATTCAAAAATGAAGAAAAAATCGAATTTTGATACTATTCGATTCGCAATTGTCGGATTCGGAAGTTCGGATGATGGGCGAATCAACTTTAACAAGGTTATAAAACGTAAACCGTATTTTTTCCATTTTTGTCCGGTTTCAGACTGCTCGAACTTTGCTGAAACGAATGAAAATTCTAGGATCGAAGCAAATAATCGAAGTAGAAATCCACGACACCAAAAATGATGGTTTATATTGTTTTATTTTACATGTTTTCAACAATTCTTATTCAGAAGTTAAAGTCAAAGAAAGAATGGACGAGTTTGTGGTAGAATTACTCGATGCCATTGAGAAATACTATCCGAATAATGAAACTTACACTGACAGTGAAGGTGATTTGACAGACGGAACCGAGTTTTCTGACGAAGATTTCGAAAATGATGGAAAGAAGCTGAAATAATTTATAGATTTATTTATTCATATTTCTTTTTGAAGTACTACTGTAATGAGCTTGAAACCCATAATTCGCTTTAATTGTATGTAATTTCGATTTTTGCAAAAAACATGATTTCATTCAATAGATCAATTTTATAAAATCTTAATCTTGTCCAACAGCTTTCTCAGGACACCAAAGAACTTCATATTATGTGTTATTAATTGCATTGGTGTTCGTTGAACAATAAATAATTGCAAATGATTACATTGAATTGCGAAAAAATGAAAAATTAATAAACGGAACTGATAGATGTTTATATTCTGTAAAAATAAACAATTGTTGCTTTAAAATAAATCGAAAATAATCAAAAAAACAGTCGAAAATGTTTATATTTTTTCTATTATTTCTTCAACTTTGCTCTGGTGAATATGTGGTCGATGTATCGAAAGCATTTCAACAATTCGATGGAATTGGAGCAATTAGTGGCGGGGGAGTTCGTTTTTATTCGTTTCCAACTCGATTTTCTTGAATTCAGGCGACATCCAAACTACTTTTTTCTTATTTCCCGAAACGGGAGCAACGAGAAAAAATAATGGAAATTCTATTTAATGTAATTCAATATAATTAATTGAATGATAATCTTATATTTAGAAGATAAATGGGCTTCAATTATTGAAAGTTGAAATGGGAGGAGACGATCAAAGCACAGAAGGATCCGAATCTTCGCATGAGAGCGAGAAAGACATGTACAATACGCATACCTATGAATTTCGGCTGATTGACGAAGCAAGAAAGGCAATTAATCGAATATTTCAATCGAAAAAAAAAAATATTTAATATTTTAAACGTTTTTGATATTTGATATTAAGGTGAATAGCGATTTGAAGATATGTGTTCTTCCGTGGACGTTTCCCGGATGGCTTGGAAAATCGCCGTATGAAAATGCCACGTTGACAATTGAATATGTATTGGATTGGCTGAAAATTGCACTAAAACTTTATCATATTGACATTTATTGTGTTGGTATTTGGAACGAACGCAATTTTTCCGAGAACTATACAAAAGTATTAATAAATCCAAAACGACCAGAGCTATTCTGGAAATATTCTAGTTACTTCGAGAAGCGCTTGACAAAAATGATTTTCGAAATGTGAAAATTGTGGCGGGCGAAGGTTTTAAAATGGATGAAAGCTATTCGAGACTCTTAAACGAGAATTTCAAAAATGTTTATGACGTTATTGGGTATTCAAAATATTATACGAATATTCAACAAAAACCCTCAATATTTTGTAGAGTTCATTATCCAGGAGTTCAAATTCCAAAAAATGTTCAAAACGGCGGAAAAACGATATGGGCGAGTGAGGATTTCAGCACAAAAAATCCTGAACAAGGAGAAGGATGTATGGCAAAACATTTAAATTGGAACTACGTTTATGGAAATATCACAGGGTTATTTTCTTCGAAAAAAAAATTCCTCAAATTCATTTTAGAACATTTATTTGGCATTTGGTTTCCGCTTTTTATCCGCAAATTGCTTGGTATCGATGCGGTCTCGCTTATTTGGATGAACACAAATTCAGAACCGAAGTCGCATTTCAAGCTCTACGTGCTCTCTCGATGTCGAAACATAATAATTTTATAATTTAGAATACACAACTGGACATGCTAAGCCGGGTTGGAAGATTTGCTCGAACGGGTATGGAAGTGGGGAACTCGACAATGGGGGAACTTATGTTACCTACACAAATGGTGAACATTTCTCAATAATTATTGAGACAATGGTCGGTTTTCGCGAATTTCAGTTAATTTTATGTGATTTTATCAGACATATGAAAGGTCAAAATGCGAGTATTACCCTGATACACCGTACAAAATCAAAGCGAGTCAGAAAATCAAATTCAAACTTCCCACTGGATTTAAACAATATCGAGCACTGAATGTTTCCTTCAACTACGAATCGCCGTCTCAAATTGCAGTAATTTACTCATTGAAAATTCATACACATTTTTTGTTGCAGATAATTGATCGTACTGTGGAATTAGAAGTTGGACATAATTCGATTGGAGTTCTTACCACTTTGCCGATAATAATTCCAAGAATGTATACAAGAAATGTTAAACTTCCGGAAAAATATGAAGATAACTTCGAAGGTGATTTTCGTTCAGAAAAAAAGAACCAAATGTATTCGGAAATATTCGATAATGCTTAGATTACGAATACGGCGATGAACCTCGGTATTGGATGCCCCAAAAAGGGGGATGGGAAGTGCGTCGCGGAAGCGCAGTGCAAAAGACACTCCGACCGCCAATCAGTTGGTGCACATCCAACATTTTAACACCATACGCAGTGATGAAGTTCCGAAATACTCGAAACTTTCTAAAAGTCGCCGTCAAAATTCCGCCGGATTCGACGGCCAATTCAACAATTATTGGACTCCAAAGCAGTTGCAGCGGTATTTTAGAGTGTTTCGAGACGAATGTTTCTTCTAATTTCAAGGATGCGACATTGAGAAAACGAATTGTCGTGGAATTTTCGCAGAAATCAATTTCAATGATTCCATTCTACACGTTTTCGCCGATTTCGGTTGGCCAAATTGTTTCAATCATTTATAAATTTGCAAAAAAAAAAGACGATGGTAATATAATTTCAGTAACTCGAACGACAATAGCCAAAATTAATTTGGATCTAAAAATCGATGCGAATAAATTCCATCAATTCCAAATAAGACTCGTCAATCACAAGAATATTCAAATCAAATTCGACAACATTCTACGTTCTTTCGAGATTTCACATTCAATTTTAGAAAAGGTTTTGCAAGTTTTCAAATTGAATTAAAATCACACTTTCAGACAAAAAATGATTCCTTATTCGTCATCGGCACCGGAAATTTCGGAATTTCAATTTGGGACGACATCAATGTTGCGTGAAATAGCACATTTTGAAATGAAACCAACTTTTGTTTATTCGGAAATACTAAACGATATTCAGTTCGTCCGAAACAATTAATGGGCGACTGAATTAATCGAATAGAATACACAAATATCAAAAAAATACTCAGGAGAGACACACAACCCATTGAGTTACAATTTATGTACGATCTAAAGAAACTATACTGTTATCAGAAATAAACAACACAAAAAGGAGGTCTCGATGAGAAAAAAGAGAGAGAGAGAGAGAAGATGGAAACATTCGAAAGAATAATGGAGATAATGGAAAACACAAGATACTTATATTCAAAAAACAAAACAAAACAAGGAAGGTACAAGGATGGACTAGAAGACTCAAATAATTAATAGATTCGAAATTTCGAAAATCTTCTATTCAAATTCCTTGTCTTCCAGAAACTTGTACTCGAATGTGAATGACTCTTTTTTGCGCTGAGACCATTTTTCGAAATCAAAATACACGTATGTTCCCTTCAAATTCAATTTTAAGAGATTAAATCTTTAAAAAAAATCATTTCAAACCTGCTCAAAGTCATCCGTAATTTGTTTTGGCTCCTCGTGCCGCTGGAACCATGTCAAATATTTTGTGTGGAATCTCCACGACAGCTTTTTAAGTGCCTTCGCAGCCAGCAATTGCGCTTTCGTTCCTTCCATATAGTAGAAAATGAAGAAAAGTGTATCGGGAGACAACCGAAGGTAATATTCCAGCGAATCAGCATTAGCAGGGGCAGTCTGAAATTCAATTAATCATGGTTTTCGCAAAAAGTAAAACGTCACTTAAACTTTAGCAAAGAATGATCGAAAAAAAAAGCATTCTCTCGGGACATTCGAACGGAAATTTTGCAAGAATTGAAAAGGAAATTCTTTGTCTTTTTTTGAACAATCGAGTTAATTGAAAAGCAATTAAAAATTTGCTTAATAGTTTTCGGCAAAACAAAATGTTTTACATAGAGCTTTTTAAGCGCGTGTTTTATTTTTACCTGAACGTAATATGATGGCACTGGGAACGGCATTCGCGGCAAATAATTACGGGGTCGTTCGCTGTCCAGCGGCAATTGCGAACGAGCCGCCGCCAGCTCGAGCGCCGCCAGTTGAATGTCATATTCTGGCGTGCTCGGTGCGCGTCCCAACGGCGATGCTCCAAGCCATGCCGGAATATGGGCCTACAAACCAATCTCATTGAATTCGTTTACCACCTTAATCAAAACCGACTACCTTTTTCGGCTCGGTCGACGTTGGGTTAGCCTTGTTCTGCGAACCGAGACGGAATGCTCGAATCGCCGATTCTTCGGCCATTTGCGCTGCTGCTGCTGCTGCTGTTGTCGCTGATGCCGCTGACGTCTTCGACACTTCTCCTAAAAGAAGAATGTTTAAACGAATATCGTTTAAATTTGGCCAATTCAATCTGCTGATTTCGGCTCAAAATCAGAAGAGTAATTGAAGGCGCAAAGATGGGGGATCAAAAAATGTGTAGATCAAATTTTGAAAAAAAAACCTTTGATTTTTTTCACTAGCAAAGCGAATACTTTATATTAAAAGAAAAGCGAATGTGCGGAAAAATGGTAATGCTGAACGGCTCGAGAATGCGGCTCATTTGTATTCAGAAACAGAAACGCAGTTCGATTTTCATTCGTGGATTTCCGATGTTTATTGGCCACAAAAATGCAAACGAAAAATTAATTTCATTTGATTTTCGGGTGGAAATCGACAGAAAAAGATAATCAAATTTTAATTAAAAAAAAAAAGAAAACGTCACCGAAATAATGCAAAAACTAGATGGGATACGCTCAGGACCGAAAAACAAAAAAAAACAACGAAAAATTGCTGCGATAATGGTGGGGTTTTTCTTTTATAAAATACGCTTTTGATCGTTCTTTTTAAAATTTTAAATAGAAAATAATAATTATTATTTTCAAACTAGCATAAAATAGTATATGAGGATCCTAACTCTATGACGATAATGGCGTCATTCGGTGAGTTCTTCGCGAATTTCAGCAAATAATAAATTTAATGCTTCAGTGTCGGTCTCTCCAGAAAACGAATTCATAGAATTCCTTAATTAAACTCCCCCGTCGATGACGTGCTGATTTCGCAACAATAATGGAAGAGCACAAGATGAGATCGGAAAACTTCTCATTTTTCAGTATTCGACAGTTGCAGCTGCACTTCATCAAATTTGGAATCTGACGGCAACCAATAGACGACAAGACAAGAACGAAACAGGGAACGGGTAGAAATGACAAAAGGCGGAAACAAGGAGGAGAAGGAGGAGGTCGTGGAGGAGCGGGAGGAGAATGGGGAGAAGAGGAGAGGCCGAGTAAAAAGTACACATCAAGATGATGATGAATGCGTTGTTCGAATTGTCGAACACGAAGCCCAAAAATGTTTAAGCAAACAATTTCCGATGGCCGCAGATTAAAACAGAAAACGATTAATAAATCAATGCTAGGCCATGAGAAGTTGATTAGTCTAAGCGGGCCAAGATGTGCGCCTCGTTTTCTCACTTATTTCTGCTGCACCAAGAACGGATACGCGAACGCAGCAAAAAAAATGAGACGGCTGGAACATTTGCGTCAATAATGTATTCGTATAGTAGTGAAATATAATATCCGCAATACATTTCGTTTTGTTTCTCAACTAGGATATTATTTAATTCGAAAATAAATCATTACTTAGCAACAAAGTTCTGTTTCTCATCGAAAAATGCATTTCTAAATAAGGGAAATGGGGCATGTGTGATGCAAAAAAATGAAAACAGTGTCGAACCAAACTCGAATTTTTGCAATAAACAACTCCAAAGTGAGAAATGATGATAATGGTGTTTACCGTATTTCAATAAGCAAATTTTTTTCTAAAGTCGATGAACGCGCGTAAAAGCCTTGTAAATTGGATAGAATTTAAAATATTAAAATTAATAGTGAGGCTATATGGGCGGACAAGTGACACATTTCTAAAAATTCTGTGAATATTCTGAGTATGGATACATATATCTAGTAAATCTTTTTTCCAATGAGAGGCGTTGGAAATTCAATTAAAACCGGAATACGAATAAAGCCCTAATCCTTTCAAATCTGATTTGATTCGTTCGTTTTGAATGGAATTTTAAGTTTTAATAAAATCGCACACGAAGCGAATAACGAAAAAAAAAAACAATAATCGTAAAGCATGACTAAGAAGAAAAAGACGATGATGAAGGAAAAGAAGGAATGCATGACCAAGGGCGAAACAAGAAAGCGACGACAACGTCGACGTGGACGACGTTAAGAAATGAACAGTCGTCGGCCGGTGAAAAGAATGGGTTTACAAACGATCCCGAACAAAAAGAACACAACCATGACTCATTTCGAGCAAACAATTCGGAGCATCGATTTGCGACTTGCGACGCGAAAAAAATGAAGCATAATGCGAAAGTGTGGGAATAATTCTGCTGGGCAACGACGAAGACATACCGCTAAATTATAGGATTCGTTGGAGGTGTTGGCTGGAGGCGGGACGAACAAGGGTGCCAATTCGATTTTTGATTGCTTGTCATATGGAGAGTCGATGCCAGGTGAATTGTGAAACCAATAAATTGAGGGAACACACACATACGCCATTTTAATTGGACACATTTGACGAAACCGCGATGATCATACGAAAATCTGCAGCACACACACGAATTCGCTCCTCATGATGTGTCGCTTATTGGCGAGATGCAATATTATTTGGTTCGCAGCGAGAACAAGATGTTCAAACGAAAAATCGATGAAAAACTCTATAGCAACCAACTGGCTTCGTTAAATGAAAATTATTGGAGTCGTTTGGAAACGAGAAATATTTAAATCACGCTCGTTTTATGTGGAATGAGAGCAGACGAAAGTTTCGAAATGAAAAAGAACAACGCGTAAAAAAAGCGTTTTCAAATGAGTAAATACTAAATACTACATTTAATTCCTTTCTCAATTTTTCGTCTGTTTTATAACACCTTAATCATAGTTCGAGAGAACAGAAATAATTTTTGAAATAAAAACGAACAGATTAACAGAATTCAAATAGAATTACGGTCATAAAATTGTATATTTTATAATATCGATCTTTTGTTGATTTCAACCTTGATATTTTTTTTGAGAGTCTACAAAAACTATTCTAATTATAAGGCTTTTTAACTTATGCGTATATAGAAAAAATTTACATCGATAATGAAATTTGGCTAAATGCCAGTAAAACAATTGCAGCAGTCTGGGCGCAAAATAAGTGTTAATTTACGAGCCTAAGTATGAAGATAAGTTAAAGACGCACCCCGCGCGCCGAGACCTAATTTCAAATTATTTGGCATTTAGTCAATTTCTCGCAGTCGCACGACGCCGTCCACAATATTATTTTTTTAAAAAGCTTTGATTTTAAATTATTTTTAATTTTAATTAACTGTCAACATTTTAATCTCAAATGAAAACAAAAAGAAAAAAGAAAGTACATTATTTTCCATCCTTCTCATTGATGTATTAAATATGGAAGAAACACATTTGAATAATGAGACAAACGTGACTTTTATGAATCTTTCTGTGTTTTATTTTCGTCGCCCCTTCGAACAAGCAAAATGTCAAAAAGTCTAATAAAAACGCACCATTCGTATAAGCACTCTCTGCGTTTTCCGTCGTGTGTTCTCCTGGCTTCGATGACGTGCTGTCCTTTTTGCTCGCTATTGAAGGTGTCTGAAAATCGAAAATGGTGAGTGTGTGCAAAAAGATTGAATCGAAGAATTATCATGCGTTCTATACAGAAATGAGGAAAGCGGCCACTATTTCTCCGAACAACACGAATGTTCTGCAAATGTATTCACGAAACGAATGTGTCGATGAGGAGAAAAAGAAGGAAGTGGGTGGGAATGGAAGCCTATTTCAACACAAAACTACAATTAGTTATGATCTACTACGGCGACGACTACTTAGCAATCAATCATCTATTCCACAACACGACGATTCATCACGTTCACCTCAACATTTTCGGATTGCGCTTCGGCGGTGGCGCCCGTCTCCGGCGGAGACGAGACGCTTGAGCAATTCGATGTTGGCGACGATTTCTCGACAGACAACTCGTCGCTCGACGCCGCGCCGTTCTCCACCACTTCTTTCTTTTCTTCGCTGCTTTCCTGTACATTTCTGTTTCTTTCTTTTTTCAAACTTTATATTACTAACACTATTCCTACGATTCTACAATTTCAAGAAACGGGACAAAAATCCCAAAATAATTCTAAACTTACATCGTTCGTTGTGTCGATTGATGGAGTAGAACTGACAGTTCTGCAAAAAGATAAAATTTAAATAAATATTACTAATTTCTCGTAAATTCCAATTTTATCGACTGTATTCAATTGTCTCGCAAATTTTCGAATTTTCATAAAGAAAACTTACGAATTCGCCGATAGCGGTGCTTTTATTGTCGACGGTGTAACAGAAGAATGTGTTGAAGAGCCTTGCGGCGTATTCGGCACAGGTGTCGTCGTACTCCTTCCAGCAGCAACCGAGTTGTATGGGATGCCTGGTGGTGGCGGTGGCGGTGCTAAAACTTGTCAGTAGGAGTCTCACAACTACAATCTATACTCAGTCGCCAACCTGCTGCAATACTCGCAGTCGCCGGCGACCGCGGTCGATCGAACGACGATTCCTTGATAAGCTTCCTAGAATCGGTCGAGTGATGCGGCGAAGACTGCGATATTGGCGAGCTCATAGATATCGGTGCGGTTACTCGTCGACAGGCAGGACTCGGTGGCTGGCCATTCTCATTACTTCCGTGTCGACTCGAGGAAACTGCACCAAATTCTGTATCAATGCCGAGTTCGTGTCCTGAAACAAATGTGTGTTCTGCCATCGCGCGTCATTTATGGATTCATTGTTTCCAGCGCCAAAATCAATCCAATACATGATGGCACAATGAATACTCAAAAATACTAACCATTCTCCTTATGTTCATCATCAACCGATAACAAGTTAACTCCGCCGATTTGTGCACAAAGTTTCTCCAAGTCCAACTCATCATAAGCATCTAAAAAGAAAATTATATTTATAGATGATGATTGTGATGATCTCACCTTCGGGATCATAATTATTTTTATCATCACCATCTGTATCCATTAATTCCACATATGCTTCAATTGGTTCCTTTAACACATCAAAGACTGTTTTGGCATTCAATGATTCGTTGCTAATCATCCGCATGCACACCTATCAATTAATTAATTATGCTAATTATTCGGTAAAACACGAAAACCTCGAGCTTTTCAATATGAAACTTCAGACGCTCGAGATGATGCCGCAGGGTTTCGATTCGTTTCTCACGCTCATTCTTTGCTCGCGCATCCTCTTTTTTGCCGCGCTTCTTGCCGGAATCCGTGTTCGACAACGATTCGAGCTGCATCTCTGTCCGATCCGACTCGTCATTCAATGCCCTTATTTGGTTCTGAATCCAATCGACCGTATCCGCCTTCTCCTTCTCTTTCGGATCAAGTTTTTCCTCGGCAGACAAACCCTGAAACTCGCCAATTATTACTAAAATTCTCCGTTTTTTTTCTATTTGCGCAATTATATTAAAAATCGTAGTATTACCATATTTCGACTACAAATGTTTCGTCGCCACCGCCGCCATTCAATAATTGATTTTTGCTTTCAAATATCGACGATGACGACGACCATATAAGGAAAAATTTATGCGAAGGCGGTAGGAAGCGGCGGCCAGCACAATGTTCTCAGGCATACATGTTTTATAGCCGCCGCTACATTCCAACCGAGACAGAAAGAAAAGGAAAAACGCGACATGTACGCGTTTGCTCAGGATATTCTTCTCCTAATTTATTTATGATGATTACCGCTACAGCTCGCGATTTCATGTTTTTTTTTTGCCGCTCTTTCGAAAATTAATTTTTTTCAAAAATAAAAATTATTTTTCTCTGTTTTCCCACCGTAAAAAGGTTTCTATGACGATGATCGTTTCCAAAAAAAAACCCAATGACAAGGAAATATTACGATATTCAGAGAATTTGTCAAAACTTGATTGACATTTAAATAGTGCATGAAATCGGAAAATTGAGAAATAGCTCATTCTTCGGTTGAACATTAGAAGTTTTTTTTTTTACATTTGGTAGTTTTTTCATATTACATTTTTCGTGTTGCATTAAAAAACCACTAACAATTGAAAATAATTCAATTTGATCAATTAGTTTATTAGACATCGACGATTTTTTTGATTGATTAACCACAATTCGAAACTTTTAAAATTTTTTTGAAATTTTATATGATATACACATTAACGTTTAATGTTTTATGTGTTTTCTATTTAGTAATATGTTGTCAATACTAGACAAGCTACTGGTTTGGTAATATTTTTGAACGTAGAATTTTTCGCTAAAATCTTACCAATTTACTATGAGGCTTAGTCTTATTCTCTCTTTCAACATCTTTAAACTGTTCCATTCGCTGCTCAATGAGTTTCCGATAACTGATCAACTTCTCTTTGTCCTAATATTTCAGTAATTTTTACATATTTATTTTTAGATATTCATTCAGTTTACTTTGATCTCGGAAGAATTCTGCCAGTTTTTGACCTGGTCCCTCAATCGTTGCAGCTTTTTGATCTCCTTTTTCAGATCGTCTTGATATTTGTCGCGCTGATTATCACTGTTCGCCTCCTGCATTTTGTTCATGATTTCCTCGAACAGCTCAACGCCTTCATCAATCTAAAATATTTAAAAATTGATAGCTTATATTCAACTTTGTGGAAACGAAATGCGCGTTTCCAACAAACCGTTAGATTTATCCAAAAATGAGTTTTAACTAACCTTTTTATAGCATTTTTCGATTTCTGCTAACAGTTTTCGTTTTTCAGCCATTGTGCAAAACTGAAAAATGTCATAAGTAATCAATGAGCACAAAAATCGCAATGTTTCATTCGGAAATTTTCAAAAAACCATTCACCCAAAACTTTTTTTCGAGTTGTGGTAGAAATGTAGAGATGCAAAGAGTGCATATGAATCGATGAGAGGGTTGGGAGTTGCAAGAAAAACGAAAGAAAACAAGCTGCTGCCGCCGCTGCTGCTGCTTGGTGCGATGGCGCTGTGAATACACAACAAGAAACGCAAGGAGAACTAGTAGACGTAAATATAATATATAAATAATACTAGTAAAATTATTCCGCTTCACTCGTCGTCAATCGAGAAATAGCCGCGTAAAATTCATTTAAAATTCGTCGATTGAAGACAATTTCTATTTTTTTTTGCAATTAATTCCGCAATTTTTCAAACATTTATTGAAATTTTTTCGGAACAATACTTAAAATAACACTATGATAATCTGATATTGCCTTTTTTAAGTATTCTCAGAGAAAAGATGGAAAAATGATAAAATTTGGCAATTCTTTCAATAAACGCGAATTTATTTTGCAAATAGGAATGTTTGAGGAAAAATAAAACAGAGAAAATCTCAAAAATTTGTTCAAAAACACAAATGTGGCAACAATCCTCATGAATATTTGATTCGATCCACTTGTTTTTATCGTAAACAATTTTTGAAAAACAAAAATATAAATTTTTTTCATCGATGAAAAGCACGATAAGCATGCCAAATGAGCACATGACACGCGGTGGACCAACGCGAAACTCGCAACGTAAAAGATAGCTAGAAATGTTTAATTTCAGCTTTTGTTCTAAAATTAATTAAATGATCGATTTAGTTTTGAATATTTGAAGAAGCTTTTGGAGGAATTTGAAAATTTGCGCGCGAAAACGCAAAAACTCGAACGCCAAACAAATTGGACTCAAACCTCGCAGAGCTGTTATTGCAAATCGCGTAGCCACGCCCATTTTTCTCTGCCGCATTTTCAAATTCGCCTTTTTTTTGCGTTTTCTTTTTCGGTTTCCGTCCATATTTTTGCACATTGCGTCGAAATTTTTTTTGAAAGGATTTGCCGAAAAAGAAATTGTTTTATTCTTCTATATTACGAAAATTTGCGTGAATTTATGGTTTCGAGAAAAAAAGTAGTAAAAAGAGCAGAATATGCTAATTTTCTTGCGCAATGACTCGAAAAAAATATATGCGTTTCTCACCAAAATTTTAAATATGAATCGCAAACAAACAAAAGAGTGATGATTTTGAATAGAATGCTTGAGGGAATAAATCGTAAATACTATGATAAAATACTACAAAAAATAAATTTGTTTTTGTTTCAATGAATCAGCGAGAGACCAAAAATCTCATTTCTCTCGTCAATATGTTTCGCTGTTGACCCTTCTCTATCAGTTTTTTTCCTATCACTATTCTATTTATTCTCTATTGACGAATGCATAATCTTAACATTAAATGTTTACTTTACCAGTATAAATGTATTTTTAACAAAAACCAAAAGCGTCTAAATAAATATTAATTTATGATTAAAAAATGAGATTTAAGAAATTATTTTACTCGAAGGTCACATTATTCTGGATTTGTTTTCTCTCATCTCATTCGATGTTCCGAATATTGCAGAGTTATGCCGATCTTCTCCATTCACACCAATGTCCCAGTTGAAGCCAGCAAGGCTACTGAAATCGCCAAAGAGTTCTCCAAAGTGATTGCAAGAATTCTCGGAAAACCAGAATCAGTATGTTTCTAGGGTACTATGCGAATTAGTATTTTCGATTTCAGTATGTCTCCGTGCATATTCAAGCAGGGTCATCGCTCGTATTCGGCGGATCTTCGGATCCTGCTGGCTACGCAGTGCTCAAATCGATTGGTGGAGTCGGTGGAAAGAAGAACAATGATCATTCGCAAGAACTTTTTCCGCTCGTCGAAAAATTTTTCGGAATTCCAGGAAATCGGTAAGCTCAAAGGATTTTTCAAAAAAAAAAAGCTGAGCAATTCTTAGCTTCTACATCGAATACATCAACATCGGTGCTGCTGATATCGCTTTCAGCGGAGCTACTTTCGCCTAATTTGGCACATTCAAAATATGTTCATAATTTTAAACGTTGGTTTATTTAAAACAAAAATAATGCACATAAATGTCAATATTCAAAAATGATATTTTAACAACCCGATGACATATGATACTATGATGTTTAGTAGATAAATTTTCGTAGGTTCGAGAATATAACAACGAAATGTTGGCTTTTGGACAGATAGGACACGTTTTTGGACGTAGCAAGTTCGACTATAAACGATAAGACACGAAAATGGAAACAGTTGAATGTTATGCAATTCAAGTGACTGCTTTGTGGAAAAAGTGACGAACTTCGAAAGGGTAACCCAGAGACAGAGATGCAAGGATATTGTAGAAATGGCTAAACTTGTGAGAATGCAAGACGAATGAAGCCAGCAACAATGTTGAGAGCGAGAACAGAAGTGCCGAAACATAATACTAGATAGCGGATGAGAGCGCGTCGTCTGAAAATATTTAAAAAAAAATCATTCACAACAAATTTTGAGAAATTACCGCAATGAAAAGCTGAAAAAGTGCAGCATAGTTGCGACAAGAAATTGTCCATCTAAGGCATAACACGGCATCGCATTCAATAATCCCAATGCCAAAGATAACGTAAAAAGATATTTAGCAGAAAGTTGAAAATGATCAAGCCATGAAACATCGGCAAACCAGAACCGAGAGGTGTGTCCATCAACAGCAACCATATCGAGCAACTGCAAAAAAAAGAAGCAAATGCAACAATCCAATTCAAATAAAATGAAAAAAAAACCTCGCTAATGTGGCCAACGAATAAAATGGGCTTGGGTCGATTCGATAGTCCGATTCGGACTAATCGAGTACCATTAAACAGGGCCGGATAAACGCAAATATTCTCTTTTTCCGATTGTTCACACGGCAGAGAAGAGTTGCAAATCGGCTGTTCGAGCACTTGTCGCGCATTCATACAGCTGTATTTGGTTTCAGTTTCTTCCACGGTTTTCGTTTTTTCAATGCCGAATATTGCGTCGAGTTTAGTCGCTTTAGTTTGTGACTTCACCACTTTTTCTTGACGCTCGAAACACAAATGCGCATTCGTTACATTGAATTCGTCACAGCAATGAATCTCATCGGACGATGTCCACGTCTGAAAATCGGAAAATCTCTCGCGTATTCAAAAAACTTAAAAATTTCCACACTTCAATTCATTTTCCATTATGGCCTTCTCTAATAAGAATTCATAGCTCATTCAAGCGCACACATTTTCCCTTGATTCATTAAATTTCATGGTGTAATGTTTCGCGAAAAAACCCTCTTTTCGTTTCAAATAAACTTCTCACACTAATATACCGAAAATCCAAGTTCTTCAGGTAACCTTGAATGAGACTTATATTCGATGGTCGAATACGCGGCAATTTTTCAACTTTATTACCCAATATTCGGCACTCACATTATACGCGGTCGCTGATTCGACCGTCTCCTTCTCCACACATCTTCCATTGTTTTGGGTTTTTGCCGTCCGAATGCACGTCAGCCAATCGAATAAGGTTGCCACTTGACATTCGTCAATTTTCGACACAACATCACCGGGATGAAGGCCGGTTGAACCGCCGGCGAGGCCCGATCGCGAATCAACGCCTTTTATGGAAACACCCAGACCTTCGACGAGAAGCGGTGACATAAGCGATGGAGCAGCATTGAACATTCCCACCGCAATTAAAGCAAGAAACAAATTATGCCAGATTCCAGCGCCGAATATTTGCATTTTTCGATAATTTGATGATCTCTCTATAATTATTTAATTTGATTTTAATTGAAGATTTGAAAAACTGACTTAGCGAGACCGGCTCGATATCCGTAAAAGCACCGGGATAAAGTCCAAACACAAATATCCCAAAACCGTTGACTGTGACTCCATTGCTCGTTGCTGCCCAAGCATGACCCAGCTCATGGAATATCGCAGCAATAATGAGCACAATCATGAATATCGGAATGTGATTGAACGGTAAATTGAATCCCGGAATGATCGGCATCAATCCTCCGTGATTTTTTTGTCCGTCTTCGATTAAATCGTATTCGTCGTCGCCAGTGACAACGATAGGCACATTCGATTCGATTGGTTTCAATTCTGCGGTCGTCGGTGGTATTGGAGAGGTCATCATGAGCATTTGTTGCATCGATCGGTACTCCATTCCCCGATAAGACATCACACGTTGGCGTGTCGACATCCATTGTGTAAAATCTTCAAAATAAAATAGATAGAGAGCAATTGTGAATCGTCTATTGAAAGCTGGAACTACCTTTGAGCAGAATGTGTGTCATGTAGAAAGTGATTCCGAACAAGCAAATTACTGAAACCAATGCGCCGAATGCGAACCATATTTTGAGAAACGAACTTTTAAAGCAAACATTTTTCGCTGAAAATGTTTTATTTGAATATTTACATGATTAAAAAAAAAAAATTACATACCCGACTTCTTCTCTACTTCATTCTCATTTTTTATCAAAGAAACACTCTCGATGAGATCGGAGTTCTGATGAATGTAGAAACGAAGTTGAAACGGCGAAATCTCGATTCCATAGCGGTTCACAAATCGGATGTAAGGCTCAAAATTTCGAGAACGGAGCACATAATCAACGAGGAATATCGAACTCCATGCGATCAGAAAAATCGCAATCGTTGACGTGAGAAGCATTCAGATTCGTTTCGACGCTGAAAATATTCAAAAATTGAAATTTGTTTTTTTTTTTCTTTTGCCTAAAAGAATGATCAAGTGAATAAGAAATTTCGAATCCGTATTGCGCCCAAATAAATTTGCATTAATTCGATTTCATTAACATTTTCGAATCGACGTTTGAATTACACAAAAATTTACCACTTTTCCGTAGTTTTTCAATCGCATTCGAGCCCCATGTGTGTATTCGAATCGAATCTCTAAAAATCGAAAATCGTTTGGATTATACTTGTTTGAAATAAATAAGCGACGGACGAAACGACCGACTTCACGTTTTAACTTTAATACATATTTAAAAAATAATTTATTCAAACAAAAAAAAAAGTGAAAAGCAAATAAAACCCGGAAATAGCAGAATACCAGTGATTGAGATGTTGATTCCATAACGAAATTGAGCAAGAAATTGAAAAAAAACGAAACAAAACATCCTAAATCTTTCGAAGCTGCTTTTTAAGCATAGCCATTCGCTGTTTATGGGCGTCTGTCGCCACGTTTCGTTCTTTATCTATTTCAATTGTTTCGGGAGCACCAAATGTGTGAACCATTGCTCGTGGAACCTAAATAAATTTTATTTAGATTATTTCGAAGATCGTGGAAACCTACCGTGGGCGTATTGTAGACATTCTTCAAAATAAATTCAATATCTCGAGCTTCTATTTTTCGACTTCCTCGCTGTTTAATAAGTTTACAAGCTTTGTCGATAACCTGAAATACGGAAATTATGTGTCAGTAGGGATAAATTTTTGAAAAATTAATTAGCAAGCTTCAAAAAAATTCTAGATTTTTTTTTAAATGTGTATATTAAAATAACATTGAATGCTTACCGAAGTTACAAAATCATCAGCGTATTCAACAAGACAATCTTTGACAGATTCTTCCAGTACTGTATTCTTGTTGATTTGCAACATGAGCTCGTCGAGTCTCGCTTTTTCGAGAATACATCCGGCTGAGGTAGCACTGATCTGCATTGTCGTCGTTTGCTGCGGTTGTTGTTGCATTGGATGTGGTGGCTGAAAATATATGACTAGTTTGATACGACTATACGAATCGACTAACAAATTGGTGTGGTTGGGGCATCATGTGTTGAGGCGGTGGGCCCTGATTCATACCCATCGGTTGCGGCTGCATGTGTCCCATTTGCATTGAAGGACCAGCCATCTGTGGCGGCGGCGGCTGTTGTTGCTGCACTTGCTGTTGCGGATTCGGAGGCATCTGAGGCCGACTTGAAATATGAATGGGCTAAAAACCCAAAGATATTGACTCGACGTGAAGCTCTCTTTTCTGTACCTGCTGTCCAGAAAACTGATTTTGCTGATTCATATTAATTGGAGAATAATGCTGAGCCTGATTCTGTTGAATCTTAAACGCGTTGAATAAAATCAAAATAACCATGTACTTTATGTAAAACATACATTTCTCATTTGCTGCTGGTGTCCACCAGCTTGTGCTATCGAATAAGGAACAGCTCGAACTGAAAATCAATTTAATTTCCTAATTTCAGAAAAGGTTGAGTCATTTTATTCAACAATTCTACTGATTTGTTCCCAAAATGTTCACCGTGTACAGTGTTTTGTTTAAATACTCTGCGTTATGATAAATAAATATAGTTAGTCATCTATCAATTATATGGTTCCGGTTGTATTGGTAATACGAAGTGAATATAAACGATTACATTCCGAAGCCCAATCAGAGAAGATATCAGGCTCATTTAATAATTTTTGTCTCAGAAAATACAAACGTTTTTCGAAAAAAAAAATTAGAAAACGTTTACCTTGCTGCACTTGTTGAACTCTCATCGGTCCTCCTCCACCTGGTTGCTGCTGTCCGCCGGCATTCATCATGCCCATCTGATTTTGGTAATGCTCACCAGGAGCTTGCTGCGGATGCATCGGCTGAATATAGCGCATAGATTGCACAAAATGAGGGGGCCATGGAAAGTTTGACATTGAATTGCAGTTGATAGTAATCGCAACAATACAATACACAGAATATCTATTCGGAGAGTGTTAGTGATGACGATGATGCGGGGGCCGGCTATTTCCTGCGCTCTTTTATGCAAATATTCGTCGAATACAATATTGTATATCGAATTTTTTTGGCGACACGAGAGGCGTCGAAGAGTGCCTGTGTGTGTGGGATGCGCCGCGTAAACCACAACATCGGCGACCAATATACTTTTGGTGAATATTATTGCGTTTTGGTTCGTACACTCAATTCAATACGTTCATTCGGCGCCTTTTTTTACATTACAACTTGTATCCGCTCTCGATATTGCGTTGAAATTAAATTAAGTCTTAAATTCATAAACTTTGTTCTGAAAATTTGAGCCTATTCATCAATTTCGCATCAAAACTTTATTTTTTTACGATGAATAAAAATTTTAAATAATTGAAGTAAAATATGATAATTTTAACTATATATATTTTCTTTTCCTTGATGGATTTTTAAATCCTCAAAGACAGACTAATTTTATACGTTTTTTACAATGTTTGATTTGAGAGTTACCAAATTTTTTGATTTTTTTGTTTTTAAATATTTTCTGTAATTTTAATGAATTTCATGCCAATTCTAGTAAAAACAAATACAATGCCACAACGCCAAAATTTTAATTATAATCAACGGCTCCCGAAATAAAGATATTTCCTAGGAACTCGGTGTTTGCTGAATAATTGAAAATTTTTAGTTATAACAGTTTTCACACTCAACCACTTTTAATGTTAAAATATCGATCGATTTGAAAAATAATAGATAATTTTAATAAATTTAAAATTTGTAAAAATTAAAAGAAAATACTCGGCAAAATTACTCGAAATTACGCTCAATTTCTCACACTCTAACATTTTCCCACAAGATTAAACGTACAGTTAGTTAAGTCATCATAAAATATTTCAATCTCTCAAATTGAACAATTTTCGGTTTAAATAGATATCTAACCAAGTTTGATAAATTCGAACAAAAGAATTAAACACTTTTCAAATCAAATTAGAGCTCAATCACACGCAAAAAAGGACATTCAAAGAACAGAACATGAGGACAACTGACATTTTTGGAACGCAGACAAGTTGAAAGCACAGTCAATGAATCATACTTAAAGCATTAGAACAAACTGAGTTTCTTACAGAATTCGCGTTCAGCGCAGCAGCAATTTGCGGATTCGCCTGTGCAACATTATTCACCACGGAGTCAATCGTCGATTCCTCGGACATTCTTTGTTTTATTTAAATTTGGAACACGAGAAGCCTTTTAAAATAATTACTATTCAATTCCTAAAAAAAACTGTAATTTATTGGAGAGGAAATTTAAAAAAAAGAAGATGTGAGAAAATCAAAAACAAATGACGAGGAAACTTAGAAAATAATAATCAGTTAAATGAATGTGAATTAAACAAAAAAAGCGCCAAGGATTTCTCAGTACTGAATAGGTATAACTAGGACGAGACGCACAAGAGAGTTGAAAAAGAGAACAACAGCGGAAAGAGTGCGAGAATAGCGGAGACGATTGGAGCTAGAGCGTTTTGGACATTGAAGCGATCGTCACGCGCAGTCATAGAGCCGAAACGTTGCAAATCGAGACAATCTACTTTTATGAATGGATGAAGATGTTTATTTTCGAGGAACCGTCGATCGCAAACATGTCAAATCTGCGCACGCGCTATCGATTTTAGTTTATGCTTGATCTCGAATATCTCATATATACATATATATTGTATACATTTGAAAGTGTTTATTTTTTTTTTGCAAAAACGAGCACCTAAACTACCTGCGGATCATCGTATTTTTTCGGAGCGGTAATTCAAGTTTAGATTTAACCAATAGGAATTCGGGTACCGTACTACGGACAACTTGCGAATCAAACTCATCATAAAATTTTTGTGCCGGGTGCTCGTTTTTCTTGCGATTCTAATAGATTAGTAAATTTCAAAAAAATTATAAATTCCTGAAAGAAAACTTACGTTCATACTAATTTCGTTCGTCATAAATAAACAGCCATACAAAATGGCATACAAATTAACAGGAGAAATAAAAATGTTTTTCATAAGAACATTATTGTGTAATTGTTTTGTTAAGGTGTCATGTAAAGTGACGTTTGTCGTGTCCTTTTTGGGGTGTTTTAGTCCCGAATGAAATGAACTTCTTTTTAGCAATATATGCCAGATAGGTCAAGTTATTAGAATTTAACGAGGCTGTGCGGAATGAGAAAAGCTATGAAGAAGAAAAAAGACTGCAATATCATATGGGAATTGTGTCATATTCCATTCTTTTCCTATTTATGAGCTCTAATTGTATTGTTTCAAATAAATTTCTTTAAAAAACCATTATTTACATTTTCTCGTAATTTATAAATTTTCGTATAAATACAAAAAAAACACACCTCGGAAAATTTTTGAATCTATCGAGATATTCAGTGGAATTTTGTTCAAACCTGAAAATTTTCTAGAAAAGAAAAACAATTTCTAATATCGATTGTATTCGGATAAAAACCATACAATAAGGAAAACGAAATGTTTTAAAACAGTTATATTTAGAATAAATTCAAATAAACTGTGTATCAATAAAATAGCCAAGAAAAAATAATGGAAAAAAACTGGACCAGACAACATCTACATGACAATACAAATTAACATAGAACGATTTAAACGATACTGACAGAAATTACAAATATTCAACGTTTGAAGTTGATTTCGAGGTTTGGTGGTAAAGCACACTGTTCTCGGATCGAAACGTTTTTAAATTATTCGTTGGAGAATTTTGAGCCATATATGTAGAATATATCGAATTAGGTCGTCTGAAAGTTAAAATTAATTTAATTTTTCAATCAATATGAATTGCATGCTTATATTCGGTCTCGAACGTCTTTTTGTGAAAGAACCGCCGCCACTGTTTTTTTTTGGTGTTCAGTAAATTACCAGTCACGCGACTTTGACAATACTTAACAAAACGTGAGATGAGTGAAACAGTTAAAGGGAGACGGGTAATCGAAACTCGCGATATAACTGTGGATTTACGAGTGGGTAAATTTACGCATGGACTTAATATTAAACGCAGGTACGCTAAAATGCCGTAAATTCAGTCATGCGTACTTCTCTTTCGACCGAGACAATTGGTGCATAGTTCATTTTTATATAATTTAGTTGTTTGACACCGAAAAAAAATATAAAAATTCTGGTTTTATATATCGCGCTATGCTTAAAGATAAAATGACTATAAAAATAAACATACGAATTAACAATATTGGATACCGGAATTGGTTGAATTGATCGTGCTCTAATATCTGAAATCGTTGATATTTTTGAAGATGCCACGTTTCGTAATGATGTCGACGAAAGCGAAATGTGTTCAGGGCGCGCTCGAGGAGTTTCCATTCGGATTCCGGAATCATTTGATGAGCGAGTCGATATCGGCGATAAATCGGCGTGACTTGACTGTGTAGAATTATTTCCTAAGGGAAATAACGACAAATTATTATATTGTGAAGAATGTCTCATACTGAAAACACAATCCTCACAACTGTTCGATTTTTCCATTGTTAATTGTGGGCGCGGTGACGATGATGGAGGAAAAAAATCTTCTGTACAACATCACTGTGATCTACTTTTTAAAAAATGAAAAATAAAACCGTAAAATGGTGATTTGGATTCGACCACAAGATCTTCATCGTCAAACGTCAGCTTCGTTGGTGTGAGAACAATTGAGAATCCAGTATTAGACGATTTAAACGACCAACTTTTAATCGATTTAATGATTCCTCTGGCACTTCTAAACCTTTCATTCATTCAATAAATATCCAGTTACTTTTCAATGCTAACAGTCTATTGGATTGTTCAGAGGATCTGAATCTGACTGACATCGACGACGATGATGAAGGCTGGCGTTTCCGGCCCTCACTATTCGATTTTCGAATATGCGTGGGTGGTGTGTCACTGGATAACGGAATGCGAAACAGACTATGTCCGTTGTGCGAGTTTACACAACATTCTAAACATACAACGCACTCCTAAAATAGTCAGCAATTTCGAAGAAAAACATTATTCAGATACTAATCGAAATTCTGAGCGATTTCTGATTTCATTTTCACACGTTTCACATTGTCGAAGTGATTTTACAGCAACTCGACTGTCGCATTCGTCGCAACGTCTTAATTCGGTCTCCATCCACTGGCGACGCTCGTCAATCCGCATTATAACATCTGAAAATTAGATTTTGGCTATTAATCGAAAATTAATTTACCTAATAGCGATGTATTTGGTGAAAACTTATTATATTTTGCTTTACATTCAAAACAGTGCCTCTTTTTACGTTGCTCTTCTTTCGAAAGACACATCAGGCAAAACGTATGGGAGCAAGCAAGAATGTGCGGTGCATGAAGACGGGTGTCAAAGTCTAAAATCGTTTTTCTCAATGGATATGTTTTTTTTTAATAACTGACTTAAACCACACCCATTGCAAGGACGAACAATATCAGCGAGTATGTCGGATGCGACTATCATCGAATGTCGTCAATTAAAAGCGCAAAATGTTTTCAATTTTTTCAGTAAAAAAACTTTATGCAAATGCACTTCGTCGAAATTTTCGGACTTCTGAAAAATTTCTTCCATCATAATCGGAAAAAAGTAAAAAAAAAACTACTCGGCAAATTTTGAGAGAAACAATTGTGAAAAATATAACAGTGCTGATTTCCTCAAAGGGGAAAAACAGAGTAATCTGAGGAAAACTCTGTTTCGCCCAATAAGTTTGACGAGATTATTGAAAAATGGAAAATATATCCAGTTGGCGTTGGATTCTATGTTTTGTACGCAATTCACCAAACGAGTTACAGTATTACAGCGCGTTTCCCGAAACAAGTGGCTACACGAATTCCGGTTTTTTTTGGAAACAGATTATAAATCTCTCTTATCAGCAATTCGTTATGGTCCTATCCATGAAATGCATTTTTTCTTCCAAAAATTAAAAAATTATATTGTGCATTTTTTAACCCTTCATTGGGAAAAAGTAATTTTTTTTCATTTTTTTATATTATAATATACATTCGCCAAAAAACGAGCAATCTGCGCCGATTTACGATGAGTTAGCTTTGCAGGTTATTTAGTACAACGTATACAACGTATATATTCCAACTGTTTAAATTCGCAGTTGAATCACCGCCTCAAATATGTGCAATGGTCCACAATTATGCATGGCTCTCGTTTTTTTGCGATGGTAATGATTTACTCTACCAGTACGACACTCCATTCGCACATCACCCTCAATTTAGCATGTCGGATGAACCCGTGAGCGATTTTTATTTGAACTAATTGAATTCTAAAAAAGGTTAAAGATGTGAAAAATGGCCACACATTGCCATTTTTCATTGTGTCTCACATTCATATGCTCTCTCATCGACCTTCTTTTTCAAATCTGAAAACAAATAAGAAAATCCAAAATTAAAATAAGTCAGTGAAAATTTATTTTTAAATTCAACTCAAAAAAGAAATGAGGAAATATGGATTGTCCTCAACAATATTCCTCGTTTTCCATTCAGTTTTGTTTTTCGAAGTATTTGAAGGGGGCCCCAATCCATCACAATCAACGGAACTTCGCATTCAAAGCTTTCATTTGTAATTAAAATACGATTTTCCAAAAATCATCATTTCACGTGTTTACACTATGTTTTGTAGATTTTTTCGCATCAAATACGTATTCAGATCTGTTAGGTAATGAAAAAAATACCCAAAGAAGACGTTCAATTTCGAAAGAAAACTTAAAATGGTGTTTTTATTTTGCGATCGTTTTTTCCGCAACCAAATAACGTTCGTTCTTTTTTGATTTTTTTTTCAATTTTTTAAATCTAGTTTATGACTGTTATACTTTTTGTTGTTGCCAACCCCCCCCCCTTCAATGCTTGAAATAGACAACCAAACTGTACAATTTATGAACGTCAAAAATGGATATAAATAAACTATAAAAGTAATAGAAGCGAGTTTGAATCTTAATTACATGAATTAATTGAATTTAATTTGTCATGCTTTGCCTTTTTTCGCAGATACGTCGATGTCGGCGCGCTGAATTTTTTAAATTATCCATCCTCTTTTTAATTCATCATACCAAAATGGCGACTGAATTTTGAAGAAACTACTGTCGGTCTCACCACGTAAAATTTGTGGTGTTATGCGAATTCCAATGTTGGTTTTTGATGTGAATTTTCTAAATTAAAATATAATAACAAAAACGTTAGTCTTATTTACTCTAAAAGTTTGATTATTTCTTTCTTTTTCGATTTGCTAAGCATCCACGACGATCCAAACATGATAAATTGTCGTTTTGCGCGAGTAACTGCGACATTTAATCTTTTAATTTCGTTCAGAAACCCTAAGATTGCTAAACAGAAAACTTGGACTTGAATACTTTAATGACGAACTTACCTAACGGATTTTTTCTGACCATCGAAAATAGAATTATTTCACGTTCTTTTCCCTGAAATGCGTCAACGGTGTCGATAACAATGTCCTCAACATTTTCAAATTTTTCATTCAGTTTCGCTGTTGCCTCCTTTATTGCGTTTTTCTAAAAATTTTCCAATTTTTATTGACAAGCATTGACAATAATAAGTTGACTTCATAATTCTACATTTTTAAGAACAATGTAAATCGTTTTTCGCCAATTTTTGACGATTTTGTCAGTAACAGTGAATGCAGGATTTCGACTTTTGAATAATGATCTCCGAAAATTAATTCGATTAGCCTTTTGATATATAAAATATTGTTTATATGTTTACCCTCATATAATATGCAAATTAATGTAGGATCGCTTTGCCAAGTTCAAATTTTTGCACGCCATTGCCTGAAAGTCGTAGGCATTCGAAAAATATGCGATTGTTTATTTAAATTCATTAAATTTGTTCTTCATCGACAACAAATCTTGTCGATGGTAATCAACTGGCCGAAATTAAAAAAAAAACAGACGGAATGGTTTTTATAAATTTGCTTTGGCACGAAAATATGAAATTTTTACATGTGATTTTGATTTATAGTATATACTCTGTATACTATAATTCTATATATTTTTTATCCAAAGCCAACAAAAAATGCGAAATACCTGAGCAATGTATGGTGTAATTATTCCAATATGTTCCGGCAAAACTCCGTATTGAAGTAATGTTTCGAGATGGGTTAAAACTAAATGAACTTCTCCTGAAAATGTCGTATTTTGGAAGTTCAAAACGAAAATTTGCCTTCATTCCAAAAAGATGCATCTTGATTTCCTTTTTCAATCATCAATGGTTTTAAGCTCTTTGACTGTTCACCATCAGTATCGCAGAGAACTAGTGGAGAGAATCTAGGGTCACCGATTATCGATTTAGCTTTAACATTCGGTATTTCTCTAAATAAATATTTTTTTTCAAATACATAACTTGCTTTATTACTCTATCGTAATATTTTTTATTGAATCATGAGCTACCAGCTTTCCTTTGTAAAAAACTTCATTGCTCCAATTCATTATTTTTTCATTCATTCTGAAATCTTAAATTTATTCTCGAGATTTTCAATTTATATTTTCCAAGACCTCCCCTATTGCCATTTTGAGAAACTTCCGCAGTCACGCGATAGTGCCAATTGCATATATAAATTACCTGTATTGAGTTGTGAGCATTATGAATTTATCCCAATTATGCTCTCTTAATAGGCGTTCCATCAAAGATTCATTGAGTTTAGCCTCTTTTGCCCTGGAAAGAAAATAGATCAACTTAATAATGTTCGTTTTTAAATACTCGTTGATTCTTGAAAAGGCAGGCAACTGTTGCGGGTCCCCGGCAAGAATTAGGCGCGTGATATTTTTCATATTAGACCACTGATGCACTTCAGCTAACTGTCCGGCTTCATCTAAAATTTTACATATTTTCTTATTATTGATTGTTCGTGGTCTTTTCACCGATTCTTTGAGATAAAACATCCTCAAGAATTCCAAAATTAAAATCTCAAAAACGAACCGATAATGGCAATATTAGTATTGAACATCGCTTTCTGGCAAGTCTGCACAAATGAGCTGGTAACAGTCGAAAATACGACAAGCGCATCACTTAATATTTGCCTTTTGATTAAATTCTTCCTAATAATAATTTCCTTTTGAAGTTCCTCGAATTCCTCGCTTGCTATATCAAGCTCGTCTCGAGCTTTCGCCTTAAAAATTCATCGTGGCAATTTTCACAATTCTTTTATTTCCATACCAAATTGTTAATAGCTTTATAGTCCGGATGGCATCGAATAAAAATTTCCATACTTTCCTTATGTATCAATGCTAAATAGACAATTTTCATTTTGAATAAAAACGCTACAAAAGCATATGGATCAAAAATTAAACTGGGCCAATGAATATAAAAAAAACGAATTGATAAATCAAAAATCGTTTGTCAATGAAAATAGATTTCAATAAAAGCCAGTCCAAATTTTTAAAAACCGTTTGGCTTGATATCTATTTAGCCTAATAATAATACCTGTTTCGGATACTTGCAATTTCTTTTCATTGACACTTTTTCCGACGGCATTGATAATGTTGAATCTCGCATAATTCGATGGAGTAAGCACGAATATCTTTTCTTTTCGAATCATAAATTCACAAATGACTTCAGCAAGTGTGAACGTTTTTCCAGTACCGGGAGGACCCTGAAATAAAACTCTTCTTCTTGTGAAACTTCATAATTCGAATGAAAATCTAGTTTTACTCGTACAAAAGTGGTGTAGACCTAGTTTTGCTACCCTAATAATAATTTTATTTTTTACAGGGTTACCTGAATAAGGACGATACTGTTTTCTTCCGAACTGATAGCCATTTTAAGTGCTTTCTGCTGATCTTCGTTAAGATTTCTTGAACAATTGGATCCATCGTCGTCATTCATACACATTATCCTTTGATTGTCGTCTTCCATTTCATTTTCTTCCCATTCGTCATCAGATAGAGGTTCTTCCAACGATTTTCTTACATTTGTTAGATCTTGGTCAGTAATTATTATTGATTGACTCTTTTCCGCGTTCAATTTGCTTCCATTTATGAGGGAAGTGTCGGCGGTTTTTAAAATGAGTTGGTTTTCCTTGTATTTCTTTGCCTCCCAGTACGGGAGTGACTTTTCGAGAATCAATGCATCAAATCTGTAGTGCCCATTTATTTTAAGTGGCATCATTTTACTTTCGTTGTCCAGATGAACGTAAAACTGAAAAATCATTTTTTAGAGCATTTAATTAATTAATTACCAAGTCGTCCTTGAAGGTCACAATTCCTTTTGGATTTTTTTCGAGATTGGTCCCAGATTTTCCTTGTGCCTCATAAAAAAAGACTTTACAGCCTAACAATTAATATATATATATATAGAAATAATGTATCAGAAAATTATAAATATACCATCTTTCATGCTCTCCAATTCTTTTTGGTCAACATCCTTGATTGGTTTAAAAAATGGAATTCTGCCGTATATTGCGTCACTATTATTTATTTTTATCAAACGGCACACTCCGATTTTTTTCCAAAAAGCAGATTGGTGCATGTAGTTTTGTTCCCTTTCCGCCTTCAAATATTCAGGGAATAACTCGAATTTTTCAAACGCTGTGGACGTTTTCAAAGGTTCGATTAAGTGAAAAGTTGCAACCGTTTCAACTTCCCATTGATACAAATGTCGCTCTACTCGGCCAAGAGTAATGCTATCGTATCTAGAAAAACTATTTGAAATACTAGTCTATCTCAAATAATTATTACAGTATATTGGGTACGAGAGACCGTGTGCCAAGTTGCGCTTTACCAAGAATCTTGTGAACGAAATACTTTTTGCATGTACTTATTTCTTCTTCCTTAACATGGTAACGCCTCAAAGTGATCTAGAAATTGAAAATACTTTATATGTGCAAAAACCAATTGGTGTACCTTCAAATACGGATTTCGTTGGGTGACACTGTAGAAACTCCGTGATTTTTTATTTAATTGTTTGTTTCCCGCATCAAATTCAACGCAGTCTCCAATATTGAAAACATGATCGATGTTTTTTGAGGTAATTTCGAATGTTTTGTCTCCTGATATCACTGTATAGATCTTAAGAGGTGATACACGGCTGACAATTCCGAGAAAAATCTGAAAGTTGTAGTGTGTCAGACAATTACACAAATAAAAATAACATTGGCGTTGTGCCAATTGTCTCGGTGCAAAGAGAAGAAGTTTTACTGAATAATCTGCATTTTGGCATGCCTGCGCTATATGTTCAGTCAATGCGAAAAATGTTACTCATTCATAATTCTACAATCATTTAATGAGATTTAATCTATTTAATCGTCTCACTCATATCACACTTTTATGGACTTATTCATGAAATGCCATTTTTTTTACAAAAATGTAAGAAATCACATCAAATGTGCGATTTTTACACTTCTGTTTGTTGCATCAAGAAGTCCATAAGTAGATACCAGAGAAATTTACTGGGAGGTTTTGACCGAAATTTACCAAAAATTATTAGGAACTTCGTTAAATTTCGTTTTTCAGCTATCGTAATTTTGCTATGTCGCCAGACGCAAGAACTCACATTTATTTGTTCGAAGTTCTTTATAAACGTGAACGTTTCTCAACTACAAGGTCCTGTAACGAAAAATTTTTTGTAGCTGTTTTTTTTTCGGGAATCGCACTACATGTTTAATGATGTTTAGAGGCACATTTGGGAAACCCCTGAATAATAAGCAACAAAAATATATCTCAAATTTCCAGTTCGATGTTTCATAATTTTCGCGGTTTTATCCAGAACACGTTATCCGAATTCCCAGCGTTTAAATTCGAATTTGAATTAACCCCGCGAAAAAGTGCGATGGGCCACAAATATTCAAAGAGGTCGTTTTTTTGCGATGCTATAATACGTTCCATTTTTTTATTGAATGAATAAGTCCATTAATTTTCTGAAATGAAATAACTTACCGAGTTTTCCATTCCAAAGCTTTTTTCGTATGGTTTCCTGTTTCAAAACGCGATAATTTAAAAAATTTTAGAGAGAAGGGCAAGTACGCTCCACTGCACACTTCTCGTTAAAAGCTTCGTCGAGATTCAATGAAAAAGTTCCGTCGAGATTTAATAAAGAGATTCCGATTTTGTGAAAAAATATATTATCGAAAACAAGCAACTGCTGAAAATGGCGCTATTTTGCTCAATTTCTTTAGAAGGTCTCAATTGAAACATTTTAGAAACCAATTTAAATTAAATCAATTTTATCGATATTTTTGTAAAAAAAAACGTTGGGGATAAAATAGCTAATTTTTCCTTTCATTGCATTTCACGAAAAACTCAATTTTGCTTCACTTATTGCTTTATCTGATAGGCAAAACGCGTTTTAGGGTTAGCTAACGAACAAATGAATAATTACCAACAAATCATAGGCTCCTCCGGAACCTTCACAACCGAACATATTATGGATCTATTCAGTGAATGTAAATTAAACAAAAACGACAAATTTTCATTATGCAGCGATGTCGTTTTTGTCGCAATAAGCGCTTAATTTTACTGAGGGGTACTGTAGATCGCGGGTCGATATTTCAAAAAAATTGGCACATGCTCCTTGAATATCGATTTTTTTAAAATATTTTTTATATTAAAATTTTCGTATTTTCACTCGTTTTTCGCGGATTTTTTTAAATAATTTAAACTTTTTTTTGAGTAACACTTGGTGATATTTATAAAAACTACTAATTTGTGCATATATTTCCTTTTTGAAGCATGTCATTCGCTGAGTATGAAGGAAACGACTCTTTGGTCGAAGACGTGGTGGAGGCACATGGGCCAAGAAATTTGCCAATTGCTGAACAGCGTGAAGAAGCTAAGCGCACGAGAAGGAGAAAGCCACTTGTAGATGACGGATATGAAGCGGTGAGTATTTAAAAATGAATTGTTGGATTTTATAAATTAATTAAATTTTTTTAGTTTCCACAACACTTTATTGTGGACTTCATCAAGACCGTTGAGCAGTACCCAAGTATTTGGGACTCATCTTTTGTTAATTTTTTTTTTACTACAGTGCCTTCATATGCGGTGATAAAAGTATTGAGTTGCTTGAATCGCGGGGACCCTCGGATAGTCCGAAGACTGCTAAACGAAGAAAATCAGGTTTCTAGCAATAAAAAATGGAGTTTTATGGGTATGTTTTAGACAGCGATGAGCTGATGAGTATGTTGCGCGAGACGAACAGCGAAATCAAGCAGCTGCTTAGATCGAATGATGAGGAAGCCAAGGAAACCCCCAAATGTAAATTTGACCGATTGTGCAGGGTCATGGCCAGCCACGTTGCGGATTGGCCTGAATTGGATCAAATTCAAGCCGAAGCGAAAGCGATCGCTTTCATCATGGATCTCCAACCGACGGGCAAAAGAAATGAGCAGACGACTTCTCTCAGTTTGTTGGACGAAAATTATTTTTAAGTATTTTTTTTATTATATTAACAATTAAATTTAAAAAGATAAACATTAAACATGATAAAGAAGATAATTTTTTAATGCCGTTCTTTGATCTTCGGCATCGCTGTATGGGTCTTGAAGTAAGGGAAAGTTGTGGTCAGGTGGAAGATCGGGAGGAGCACCTAGTGATATGTTATGTACAACTGAAAGTGCTACAATGAGGGCGCGCGAAGAAGGCGGGTCCATATTAAGGGCTTTTTTGAAAATCTGGAATTTCGACTGCATCACACCAAAAAAGAGAATTAAATGAATAAAACGACTTATAATTATAATTTAACGATCCTGTATGCGCAGGATGCTCGATCTTCCAATGCTTTCCATCCAATATGGCAAAACATGGAATTCTTCGACGAGGAGTTCGATCAGAAGAGTTCATAAATCCTTCTTCCAGACGAATTAATTCTCTTCGATTTTGTGGCAATCGGATTTGTTCTCCGGCAACTTGGACGATATCCTCGATTGTATCTCTAACTAGTCGAGAAATCGTTGATTGCGAAACTCCAATTTCCTTCGCAAGAAGATTTTGGCTAATACCTATAAATTTTATAATTTTAATGCTTGTAAAAAACTAACAAACAACTAAAAAATAACCTTCTCTTGTGTATTTTAAGAAAACTGCCAATCGAATTGTCGCATTGATTCGACCTTCGTGATTTCGGCATATCTTCAGAAGTTCCATGAACGTGCTGTTAGAAACGCCGGTCACGAACTTAATTTATTCTACATTACTTATGCAGAAATTCACTTGTTTTACTTGTTTCCTTACCTCAATACCACCACAATCTACTAATCGGTTGACTTTTTCACAAAAAGATCGAAGCTCTGTTTCTTGATCACTTCAATTGTTTCAGATGCATTCAATGCATTTTGTTTCAATATCCAAACCAAAATAATTCGTTTTTTCATAAGCAGTGCAATCTATAAATTCATTTATTTGTTTTTTGTTTAAATTGTATTTCTTACTATAGCCTTTTTCTTATTTCGTAACCTATCCAAATTAGCCATGGAACGATCTGAAATATTCAATTTCTTTAAATTAAAACAATATTCGAATAAAATCGATTCAGTTTTGGAATAGAAAAAAAACGAAAACGATATGAAATTATTATTTAAAAGTGTTACTCAAAAAAAAGTTTAAATTATTTAAAAAAATCCGCGAAAAACGAGTGAAAATACGAAAATTTTAATATAAAAAATATTTTAAAAAAATCGATATTCAAGGAGCATGTGCCAATTTTTTTGAAATATCGACCCGCGATCTACAGTACCCCTCAGTAAAATTAAGCGCTTATTGCGACAAAAACGACATCGCTGCATAATGAAAATTTGTCGTTTTTGTTTAATTTACATTCACTGAATAGATCCATTAGTAAAACAAAACAAAACAACTGGTGGTGGGGTAAGTTTGATAGCCTACAGGGTCGGGCATAATTACCGGTAATTTTTTTTTGCGCCATGGTGACTCATGATGTCGCGTTTTTTTGAGCGCTCACAATTTTTTTCCAGTTGTTTAATGTGTTTTCTATTGTTTTTCAAAGTTTCGGACAAAAATACTAATTTTCTGCCAAATGGTAAAGGCTAGTATCCATCGAGTCACTGTTTGCTCGCTATTCGATCAAGGAGTCAAAATTCCCATGATCATCAAGCGCCTCAAACTCCATCCGAACACAGTTTATTCGACGATTCGCCGCTATCAGGAGACTGGAGGACTTGATGACAGGCTTGGGAGAGGAAGAAAAGTTTTTGTTAAAACTCCAACTAAGGTGAAAGCCGTGACGGAACGAGTGAGACGAAACGCTCATCGGAGCCTCTCAACGATGGCTCATGAGATGGGAATGTCCCGAAGATCGATGACAAGGATTGTCAATGATAAATTGGGTCTTACCACTTATCGTGTGCGAAAAGCAGCTATTCTCTCTGCCGCCAATAAGCAAAAAATACTCCAAAAGGGAAAACTTCTTGTGGAGCGCACGCGAGTCGGCAAACATTTGGTTACCGTGTTCTCCGACGAGAATCTTTTCACAGTCGAGCAAGAATTCAACTCCCAAAATCACAGGGTTCTTGCTACGACCTCCCAAGATGCTTTTGACAATGGCAGAACCATTCACACCACTTCCCATCCAGCCAGTGTGATGGTATTTGGCGCTATATGCTCCGCGGGAAAGTGTCCGCTCGTATTCGTTAAAAAGGCATTAAAATCAACGAGGAAGTCTACGTTGACATTTTGAAGGATCACGTATTGCCTTGGAGCCGAGATAATTTCAAAGGCCAACCGTGGGTGTTCCAACAAGATGGTGCCCCTGCTCACAAAGCTAAATTCATTCAAGAGTGGTGCAAAGCGAATTTTTCGAGTATTATCGCTTCAGACGAATGGTCAGCTTCTTCGCCGGATTTGAATCCGCTGAATTACTATGTCAGGGGAATTTTGCAGAAGAAGGTCTTTGCCACACCCCATTCAAGTGTTGAGGATTTAAAAAAGAAGTTGGTCGAGGAATGGGACAAGATGTCAGTCAAATACTTGCGTGCCAGGGCTGTGCGGCAATCGGAAATTTCGGCAATTTGGCAATTCGGCAATTTGCCGAAAATCAAAATTTCGGCAATCCGGCAAATTCGGCAATTTGCCGAAAATCAAAATTTCGGCAATCCGGCAATTCGGCAATTTGCCGAAAATCAAAATTTCGGCAATTCGGCAATTCGGCAATTTGCCGAAAATAAAAATTTCGGCTATTAAATGTTTTCAACGATAATTCGAAATATAAATACCGAATTTTCAGGGTATCCCAAATTATTCAATGGACATTGATTTTGGTTTCGCCGATTTTTTTTTTGATATCAAATTGCCGAAAATCAAAATTTCGGCAAATCGGCAATTCGGCAATTTGCCGATCGAACGTTCTCTTCGGCAATTCGGCAATTCGGCAATTTGAAAAATCGGCAATTTCGGCAATTTCGGCAATCGGCAATTCCATTGCCGCACAGCCCTGTTGCGTGCGGTGGTGGATGCCTTCCCAAAGCGTCTTCGAGCCGTCACCAAGCAGAAAGGTGGCCGAGTTGAACAACTTTCGTATTTATATGTTTGTTACTACCCAGATAAACTTTTAGTTGAATCTCAACTTGTTTTGACTTTTACTTTTTGAAATACATCCGTTTGAACTTCTACCGGTAATTATGCCCGACCCTGTACTTGGGAAAATTTAGTAGCGCGACCGATTCCGGTGCTTGTAGATAATCGAGAACGGCGCCGGATTTCCATCTGCCGATCGCTCTCAATTCCAATTCCGATTGTCCTTCTTTCATCAACGTCATCGCTCCTCCCGCTCTGAAACTGTGTGAAGTGATTCCGATCGTCTCCTTTCCCGCATTGCCAGAAGTTTTTTAAGCCGGTCCGATACGTCGACAGCGTGATTGGTTTCCTTGTTGACCTGCTCTCGAACAGCCATGACTGCCCTGAAATATCTATGGTCTCCGTTACTCTCTCCCTACTCTGACCTTTTCTTGCGGCACTTTGCCAAAATCCTTGAACCATTCCAGTTTCCAAAGCTTGTGGCTGCAACGCCACCCGAAGTTCCGCCCCTTTTCCGAGCTGGTCTGTTTTCGAGCGCCTTATTCGAAGTGTCACCGCTTCGTCCTTCCATTCCAGATCTCCCGTTTTCAAGGCCAGCACCTCCGAGGCTCTCATCAACGCTCCGAACGAGAGGATTGCGGCGACAGCTGTGCGCACCTCCTCCACTGAGCTCGCTGCCTCCGCCAGCTACCTAACCAGCTTCGGGGTCGCCTTTTCCTTGTGCTGCACCGGTTTCTTCTCCTTCGCCGCCCACCTAACGATGCTCGACTCCAACTTCTCCCAACCATCTCCCATTTTTCCGAAGTAAAAGTTCAGTGCGGACGCCGTCGACGGCAGAGACGCCATGCTGTCCTTTTCCACTTTTTCCGCCATAAACGCCAATCTCTTGACCTCCGCCTGTTCTTCATGCGCCCATTCGTTCTCATCGAGCCATTTCCAAAATCGTTTGATGACACCGTCGTACGATCTCCTCGTCCCTGCGGCTCTGTCGTTCCTTATCGCGGTCCGCACGCGTCCCGCCATATCCGGTCTGTTCTTCCTCAAGACCTCTTCCATCTGTTGCGCTCTTTCGAATCTCATATCTGAAATACCTTCTGTACTCGCTTTTTCACCTTATTGCTTTATCTGATAGGCAAAACGCGTTTTAGGGTTGAATAACTTCCAAAGTCAGTTAATTGATAATTTCGCCGGTTCGTCGTAAGTCCGGCGGAAATCCGCTAGTAGGAAAAGGAAAGGTGATTTTGCGTGTTTTTCCGAAAAAGCCTCTCCTCTCCCCCCAGGGACAAACAAGTTCGTCCAAACATGTTCGTCCCTGTTGGGAACCTAACGCCTTTCCTGATCCACTTCGCCCATCTCCCCTCCTCCCTTAGCAACGGGAAATAGGGCTGGGACCGCCAATCCGGGCATCCCAGTATCGCCCTCCCCTTCATCTTCCTCAATTTCCCTAAAGCCTTGGATACTAGTCGCACGGGTGGAACTAACCAAATTTGATCCTCCGCCCACAGGTCCTCGTTGGCTCCGTCCAGTGCGTTTGCTGCGACACTGCCTGGTTCAGCGACCCTTGACACGAATCTTTCGCATTTTCTATTGCTGCTGCTCGCAAACATATCCAATGATCATCTAAAGAAACTTGACATTATTGCCTGTGCTATTCTGTCCTGAACGCTCCAATTATCGGCATCGGGGCACCTGCTCACTGCGTCCGCTTCCTTGTTCGTCCCTCGTGGGATCCACCTGAACACGAATTCGCCAACCAGCTCCTCCTCCACCCTCCACACTACGGCGGCGATTTTCTGTAATTCAGTCTTCAAAGTTCCCTTTTTCAGGATAACTACCGCGCTTGCGCTATCAGATCGAATTTCTACCCTTTTCCCGGCTATATAGGCCCCGTGCTCCTGAATTGTCATTTCTATTGCCTTCAGTTCTCGCCACGCGCTCGATTGTATTCTTTCGTTTTCCTCCATTAGTCTACTGATTCGGCTAAGCTCTACCCCTTTTTCATCTCTCACGATCCCGCCAAGCGCGACCGCCGACGCGTCACACTCTACCACCTTTCCGGCTCCCACGTGGTTTCCTCCCTAATCTGCTTTACCAGTCCACCACTCCTGACCGTCTTCTCCCACGTCCTCAGTTCCTCTTCCTCACTCTCCAGTTTCTCGCACCTCCTATCAAGAGCTATCCCTCTTCTTTGCAGGTCTACTATCCTCCTCGCTATCACTTTCGACCTTCTTCTTAGTTTGTGGTTCAGTATAAAATGTGCGCTTGCGACAAAACCCGTAAACTGCATTCTCTGCCTAATTGTTAGCCCCTCCCCCTTGCGCAGCTTGCTTAACATTTCCTGTGCTCTCTCCTTTCGTTTTAATGACAAGTCCACCGTGAACTCCTTCAGGTCGATGTCTAGCCCCAGTCATGTCAACTGCTGCGTGGGGTCCCAGTCGCATTTCTCCTCTGCGAACTTCCAGCCCGTTTTTATAAGATCTGTCCTCACTCTCTCCGCGTCTTCCCGGCATTTCCCCTCCGATTCGGCCCAAATCAGACCGTCGTCGAGGTACAACACTACATTTATTTCCTCCGCTCTCCACTTTCGTACCAATGGCCGTAGTATTTTCGTAAAAATGTATGGCGCTGAAGACAGTCCAAACGGTAACACTCTAAACTTAAACACGCTCCCTCTCCATTGGAACGCCAGATATTTTGTCTGCTCCTCCCTGATCTTCACGTGGTGGTACCCCTTCCTCAAGTCAAAAGCGCACATGAAACCTCCTCCGCCTCTACAACCCTCTAGTCTTCTAGGCGGAAAGCAAACTTCCTGACGCTCTCGTTCAATTTTGATAGGTCTAGCACTAGTCGCTTCTTACCTGATGACTCCGCCACGGACAAGGGCGATATGTACACGTCCTGTTCGTCGGTTCTTGTCATCGCCCCGACCTTTGGAGCTCTGTAATCTCTTCATCTACGAAGTCCGCGTTGGCCCTAGCCGAGGCCCTATTCACTTCCCAACTGCACGGTATGGAGACCGTCATGAGTGCAATCTCTGCACCATGCTCGAGCACATCGTGCTCCCATACAGACAAATCCAGTCTTTTCCACTCCCGCAGGTGGGAGTGAATAGAGCCTGCCTGCTCTATTCTCAACTTACTTTCACTTTCGCGGGCAACTGACCGCGAAATGTCCCGTCTCCTGGCATCTATAGCATCTACTCCCCTCTCGAATGCGCCTTTTGGCTCCTTCGTCAAACCTCCTCGGCTCGCCTCCTCTCCTTCCGTCCTCTTCCCTTCTTCTTTCCTCCTCTCTTCCGTAGTCGTGTGGCCTTTTGTAGCTCGCTCGTCCCGCGGGGTGGGACCAGGACCCCGCGGCCGCTCGAAAGGGCCTCTCGTATATCACTCGAACCCTTTCTTGCTTCTGCTCCTTCTTCTTGCTTTCCAGGAATTCAGCCAGCAACGGATTCACTGTCTTCATCTCCTCGAATACCGATGGGTCCTTGTCCGCTATGGCCAACACGTCATTCCGATTTTTGAGCGCGGTAATTGCCTGCATAATAAAATCTTCGTTTATCTTATCCAACAACATAACTTTTTCCAAATGCTCTCCCGCCGGCTCCTTTTTGGCTCTCTCGAGTAGCGCGATGATTCCGTCGTTGAATTTTGCCTGCTCCTCGAATCCTTTTTTCGTGAATGTCCTTTGCTTCGGCCTTCCTTCTTCTTGGCCCCCTTGGAGCTGTGGGAGTCGTAAAGCGATTCTTTACACCAAGGCTCCTTCGTCCAATTGCGCGGATGCTGGGATTCGTGCTGCTACGTGTTGAACCAGGGCATTAACGTCCTCCGTTGACAGCAAAACTTCCCTTGCAACCGGTACTTCCTTGGCGGTTTCCTCCATCGTCGTTCGCTAGCTAAAACCGCACACGTAATGACGATTTTCCCTATTTCTCTCGCCCGCCCATGTCCGCACCGTACTTTCTCGCGTTGTGGGAACCACCCCGCTTATGACGCTGCGCCTTTAGACCGCGGTACTGTAATTAATTTTTTTTTCGCAATCCGTTCCGCAAAAATTTTCTATTTTTCGTTAATAAAATTTTCTGGAATTTAACTCAAAACCAATCGGATTCTTCAAATTTTGGCACTAGAGTAGACTCGACCTGACTGAAAAATAAGATTGTAAAAGTGTCGGATCAAATTGGCTTTTGGAAATTTTTGGGTCCGATTTGTAATTTGTCGGAAGCGATTCATATTATTTCGTATCCGATTCGGAATTTCTCTCATTTGATTGAAAAATGTTTTGTTTTGAGTTACTAGAGTTATTTATTGCCGGTTTTTTGTAACATTCCTCATTTTCACACTCATTTTACGTCACAGCGTACGTCTCACGACAGCTTGATACATTTCTTATTTTGCTTGCGGTCATGCTATTCTCGACGTCGCGCGACTGCGGAAAATTGGCTAAATGCCAAAAAAATTTTAAAAAAAAAAGGAGGTCAGTTCTTGGTGTGCACCTTTAATCTATCCTTATGCATAGGCCCGTAAATCTACACACGCGTCGTTGACAATACATTTTTTTGCGTTTTCTCATCTTTATTTTTTGTTTTTGATCTTGATTTATTAGCCCTCATGTTTTTAAATATCAAAAGATTGAACAAAAATAGTAGCACTCTCTTCGTGTCACCCTGTGAATACCATGTGGGTGTGTGAATACCACTCAGGCAAATGAAAAAAAATATTTTGAGACAATTCTAAAATCTTATGAGGTTCGTTGAGAGGCTAACGTGTCTCTATAATATTTTAGATTTGTCTCAATAAACTTTAGGAAATCTCATAAGATTTTAGAATTTATCAATAAGTTTCAATGAATATTGTGAGACTTTAAAGTGTATCAATAAGTTTTAGATTTGTCTCAATAAACTTTAAAGTTTATCAATAAGTTTTAGATTTGTCTCAATAAACTTTAAAGTTTATCAATAAGTTTTAGATTTGTCTCAATAAACTTTAGAATATATCAATAAATTTTAGATTGTTCTCAATAAACTCTGTCCAATATTATGTAATATCATACGTTATCGAGCAATTTTCACACAAATAGAATGTAATAACATCCATAATAATTGAATATGTATGAACATTTCATTTATTACAATATTAATGCGAAATGAATATATTAATAATAAAAATCAGAAAAAAATAAATGAATCAATTTATTCTTTTCGCATTTTCTCCTTTTTCTGCGAATGACGCACAACGTTGCTATAAGGAATTCGTTGCATATATTGAAAGAAAATGTTGAACTTACAAATTTTGATGATTGAATTTGTCGTTTTTCGATTAATTTCATGAGTTCTTTGCGATAAAATGACTTCTTAATTAAATCCGGATTCGCGTTGAAACGCATTTTCAATGAAGTCACAATCTCGTGATATAGTTTATAGCTGAAAATTGCCAGTTTTAAAAAATAACTGAATGAGTCTAACTTTCTCAAAATACTATATCCAATCCCGTTTGTCTGTTCCGAGCACATGTTTCTCTTGATAACGTGATAAATGTGCTCATGCGCTTGCGTGCTTATTGCCGACAGCTGACCATGACATTACTGTACAAATGGTATATAAGTTGCTGAAACAATAAATACAGTAATCATTAGTATTATTTCTTATATCAACGACAATAGCATGATGCTACAACGTTCAATAACTCTTAAAATTGCAAAAAAAACGACTTACGTGCACTTTTGAACCAGAAAACAATCGAGGCGCCCCATCTAAAATTAGAATTTCTAATAATTTGCAAATACCTGCGATCTGAAATAAAAATTTTCTATTATGTACATAGCTAACGATCCCATATTACTTTGTTTGGTAATGTTGTATTTGTAACTAAGCGAGTCGGTGACGCCATCCATCGGTAGCAGGCATGTATAAGCAACACAACAGCTGAACCTAACGGAGGGATGGTTCCGATCATGGCGTTAGAAACAATTTTCACTTCAAAAATCTTCAAAGGATGATAATTGCAAGTGGTAAATTAACTTACACTAGCTTTTTCGGACCTATTAATGTCATTGAATTTTCCTGATAGCGACTTTACCGAAGATGGCAGTCTCGCTTTCACATCAATAGCTTCGCATCGAAAAATATTTATTTCGTTTTTAACGAAGACTTCTAAAAGACAATCTTCAATTTTTAAATGCTGAAAAAGGAGAGACATAATTGAAGTACCTTTTATTATACGTGTTCCCTCGTGAAAAAGGTGGAAAATATCCATGGCCGTGATCCACATGGGCACCTGCTCATTGAATTTGCTGTATTTACCTCGTTCCTTAAATCTATCGGCCAATGTTTCTGGAATATTTGTTCCACACTTTTCCCGATCTTCTAAAATATCGAAATCATTAGAAACTGAAGTATAATTGTAATTAATTGTAATAATTGTGCGTGTTTTTAAAATTCATGAACCTGTTCATGCAATGACATGTTTAGACACAACTGTTTCAAATTCAGCATGTAAAACAATGCAGATTTAAGGTAGTGTTAAACATTTATTATAAAAACTTGCATTTCATGAATACGTCCATCACTGAAGTGAAGAAACTATTACCAAAAGCTAAAAAAAACGGAAGGAACATCAAAAACATAAATTATTTATTGGAATTTAGGAGATCTTAAAAAGAGACGCCGCAAATTGCGTCAGTGGAAGTCATAAGGGCCCTATTCAAATTTTAAAGTCTCACAATATATTGAGATACTTTATACTTTCTCAAAAGATTTAACTTTCTCAAAAGATTTAATTTACAAATTCCAAATTTTTAAAATTTATTGATTCTCAATAAGTTTTAGAAAGTATCAATAGACTTTAGAATTTCTCAAAATATTTTAGAGTTTATCACTGAATATTTGATTCTCAAAATATTTTATTTGATTTGCCTGAGCCATGTGGGTGTGTGAATACCATGTGGGTGTGTGAATCCAAACGCGCAAAAAAATCCAAAATTAGATTTCACTTGTGTATACTTTACTACCTCTTTAATCGTTATTCAAAGAGTTTCAAAATGCAAACATTTGTTAAAACATTCATCGTTTTGGTTTGAAAATATCAACATTGGTTTCGCGACATGGTCTTAGATTAGTGTCAAAACTTCCTATTATATTAAAATCTATTGTGTGAAAGTAATCGAGACCGCGTTCAATTTTCACGGTCCAACCGTTATCGAATCTGAAACTGTTCGATCCGAAATAAAATTGGAATATCCTAAACTCACGTTATTTCCCGATCATGTAGCTTCTCATTGTATTCAACATTTAATATGACTTTATGATTGATGAGGCTTCTAAAAATTAATTAATACCAAGAGTAAAGTATAATCGGCGTCCGGCGACTGCTGTACGCGGGGTAGATTTACACGCATGCGCCTTGAAAAGGTCTCGCCACGTGTGAATGCTTATTTTGCTGTTTTCACGTGAACTGCTTCATTTTTCTTGATGAGTTTCGCATTTCCTCGAATTTCCAACGATATTCGATTGAAGTATTATCGAACCGGTCCATAAAATTTCAAATAACCTGTTTGCGAGACCATTTCGAAAGACACATCCCCGTAAATCTACCCGCGTACAGCAGTCGCCGGACGCCGACTATACATTTAGTTAATTTTGAACGATTTTTCCTCACTTTCGTAATTTCTCGAATTGCTGTTCGTTTACTTTCGATGCCATTTTGGTTCTCAATATTATGTCTTGTAAATTTTTGCAGCGACTAACAACGAGCTCGCAAAACATTACAAAATTTGAAAACTAAATGCAAAATGATGAAATATCGTCATAAATAAGTTTTGTCTACCTGCTGTTGTGTTGAAATGAAGCCGTCTTCCACTCGTATTTGCTTCACATTATCGTCGCAACATCTTCCAAAAATTTTGTCGTAGCCATGACCTGTCGATTTGTCTTCAATTTTCTTTTGTTCCACGACAATTAACTTCAATTTTTTAAAATGTGATTCAAATACTTATTATCAGTGTGTGCGCTCGAACCCGCTCAAAATTATAAAGACCGATTGATTTTTCTAACGTTCAAAAAGGAATTTTAAAACATCAAATGTGTTAAGAAGGTCCGAAGTCGAATTTTTACAAAATTTCAGAAAATTATCCTATCGATGTTTTATTTCAAATAATGTTACTCGTCCAATCTTTATAAAAAAAGATGGACCGGGATCGATCGGGCGCACATCGTGCTTATTATTGATTGAATACCTGAGGATTGCACAGATCTTCTAACTGTTTCGTTTTAGTTGAATATAAACTAATCATTAATTGAACCTCGTCCCTTCTTGGATCATTGTCTCTCATCGATCTGATGTTAAAATTCAAAAAGAAAAATGAATTTTATTTCATACCTAAAAGCCGCACGAAGTGTTTCAATTCCTTCGCGATATTTTGATAATGCTTCCTTTGTATTATTCAGTTTTTCATTATGGGCCGCTTGTCCGAGATTTGATGCCGCAAAATTGATCTTTTTTTGGATATCGTCATTCATGATCTATGGCGGAAATGAAAAATGCAGAGAATTGAGAAAAATTGAAGATGATGTAATTTGAAAAAAACGAATGTGTTAAAATCGCAAAAAGTGAGCACCTTGAAAAATTGTGGACCATAGTATTTTTTTGGACGAGTATTCAAATTTGAATTTAAACTCTGGGAATTTGGGTAGCGTACTGTGAGTAACCTAATGGACCTAAATGCAATTATTCACCAAAAATGATTAAAAATGCCATTAAATTTGTTTTTTTTTGCAGATTTGCTTTTTGGAAAAAAATGTGAGATTTTTTAATCTTTTTTATTACATGATTAGATTCATAAAAATTCATTGCGAAGCGAGTACCCCGTGCTCACGGTAAGTTAGGTTATCCAGAGTACGGTATCCGAATTCCAATTGTTTAAATTCGCATTTGAATTACCGCTTCGAAAAAGAGCGATGGTCCACAATTATGCAAGCGTTCGTTTTTTGCGATGACAATACCTTTTTTAAATCTTAAATACGTATTCAGATCTGTTATGTAATGAATTCCACACAAAGGAAACGTTAAATTTCGAAAAGAAGCTGAAAATGAATTGCGGACTCATGTATGCATATTAATTGACGAGAATATTCATGTTTTTATTTCGCAGTCGATTTTCTCCGACGCATTTACATATAACTTTTGTTATTTTTTTCGATTTCTTATCTAATTTTCTTTATTTTTCTTTTATATACATATTTATATAATATTTAAAGGTGAATTGAATTTCATGCAATATTTAACGGTGTTGTACGCCATTTTTACTATTATCACACGGGGGAAATATTGACGGGCAAGGGCGGCGGACCGGTTTTTTTTCAGCCGACAGCATGAAAGGCCCAAAAAAGGCGAAAAAACGCAGATAAAAAATGAGAAAAACTAAAATAAAACGTAGCAATCGCATAGATGCTGATAAGATAAAAAAATAGTTTTGCTCTTATTTATATAATTTTTGGCTCGACCCAGCTTCGGCCTGTCGAAGTCATATTTGTCATATTATCAATGTTAATAAAATATTGAAAGATTTCTATATCAAACTATTACATTCGCAAAAATACTGTTTCTGCGTACAGTACCGCTCAAAAGGTTGGAAACTTTTGGTTTTTTGGGCATAACTTTTTTGAAATCAACCTTTTTCCTATGAACTTTTTTTCCGATTGTTTCTTACGCAATTGCCGATATAACGAGCTATTAGACATTATTCGTGCTTACCAAATAAGGATTTTAGGTAATTTTTATCAGAAATCCGTAAAAACACATTTTTTGGATATGCAATTTAAGTCAGTTTTTTTAACCGGAAAGATAGTTTATTAACACAAAATCATTGGAAACTAAAATTATAAGGTTAATACTTGATTGTAAAGTCTCGGGAGTCAATAACTGCCTGGCACCTGCGAGGCATGGAGTCGATAAAGTTGTCGATGACCCAGTGTGGAATCTTTTTCCATTCTTCTTCCAATTGTCGGAACTTTTCGTTCGAATTTGTGGCGGTTCTGCTTGCCACTCTTCTCTCCAACTCTTCCCACAAGTGCTCGATGTGATTGATGTCCGGGGATTGACATTGCCAGTCCATAACCTTGATGTGCTGACTTGCGAACCAATCCTCAATTGATGAATATTTGAGAAAAAAAAGCGAATTTTCTTAATTTCACAAATTTGGAAGTGTGCTTTGGGTCGTTGTCCTGTTGGTAAACACAACCACGACCCATTTCATTAAAATGCGGCAACATCTGCTTCTCCAGGACCTCCTTATAGACGAAGCGATCCATGATTGTTTTCACATGGTGAACGGCGAAAATGCCTTTTCCGGAAAAGGCATCCCCAATCATGCAATTGCCTCCCCCGTGCTTTTCGGTAGGAGTTTGATACTTGGGATTGTATCGAGAACATACAGGACGGCGGACCGATTGAATTCCATCACTTCCAAAGAGCTCTCATCCGACCAAATAAAACCATTCCAGTCAAATCGCGTCCGATTCAGATGTTGCTTATCCCACTCGATCAGGGGTCGTCTATTCTTCACCGAAATGAACGGTTTCTTCACTGGTCTTCTTCCGAACCATCCTGCCAGTGATAAACGGCGTTTGATTGTTGATACCGAAACAAGCGATGGAGAATTGGCAAAAACTTCGTGCTGAATCGCCGGTGCCGTCATTCGCGGGTTGAATTTAGAGGCTCGTACAATGCTTCTATCAGTCGCATGATCTGTCACGCGTAGACGACCAATATGGCACTTCTTTGGGACCCCTCCTTGAGTTTCCCCATCTTTTCAAACATTTGAAAATGCAAGTTTTTGTGACATCAAACTGAGCGGCCAACATCTGCAGGGTTGCTCCTGTTTGACGCCCTGCCTAAATTGCCCGTTGTTGCTCAACAGTCAAGTTCCGTTTTTTTTCAATAGTGGGCATGTCTAAAATTATAAAAAATAGTAACATCATGCAAAAAAAGCACAGAAAAATAGTAAAGAAACTTTTGAAAAAAAAATTGAAAAAAAGTGATTTTTGAAAAAACATGAAAAAGCCCACAAAAACTTCACACATAATTGCGTATGATAAGACTACCGTACCAATAATCTTCTGATTACGTTTATCAATATATCTGAAAGTTTCACCTCGATCCATACGTTTTCGATCAAGTTATGCCCAAAAAACCAAAAGTTTCCAACCTTTTGAGCGGTACTGTATGTGCTCATTTCCAATAATGATTTTTTTCACTGGAATCGTATAATTATCATTTTGAATCAAAAAATAGCAAAAAAAAACCAATCTCAATTTCTAAACAGTCAATAATGATTTGTTACTATGTATTTATTTCAATTTCAACGCAATTGTATTTAAAACCGACGCTGACTGCGACGAATAGATTCGGCCTCCTAGGCGCGCTAATTCGAATACTCAGTTTTGGTCCGGCTCAACTTCGAAACGACAAACCTGGTTTTGACCAGATATAACAGGTCGATGGGTGCCAGAGTCGACGTTTTCTGGGGATTGCAAGCAATGCATAGGAAGGCGCGAGAGATCGAATGCACATTGTTTAAAATAAGTGGCACGAAAATCTTGAAATATCCAGCAGAGCAAGATAGTTTTAAAATTTCGGATTCTTCCGTTCAATTTTGCGGCATTCTAACTGAAACTCGCCGTGGTATCAGATGGTCAGACGAATCAAAAACATAAAATATTTCGAATTTATGAATTCCGAAGTATAATTTTTCGAAATTTTTGAGAATTTATCATTCATTGGATGTTTGATTGTCAAAATATTTTTTTCATTTTCCTATGTAGCGTTATTTATGCATTAATAACACATTATCACTGTCCGAATAAAAAACGAACCTTGTTGTTGTTGGATATCTCATCAATCTGAAGCTTCGTTTAATCATATATTTCCCAATTCTTCTGGTCGCAGTCAAATTACACACTCTGAACACTCGAAATTGAAGGCAATGTGCAATCGTCGTGGCATCCTGTGGTTTGTGCAGAATACACCCGGGAAGTTACGGTTCTCCCGGGCAAAACATGAATTTTTTTTGTGTTCCGCGATACAATTGCAAATTTTCGAAGAAACGGTGGCATTAAAAGAGAACAAAACTGTTGTTGCCCACAAGGCGGCGAAATAGCGAAACAGCGGAAAATCTGACGAAAACCGTTGTTTCGCCTTAGAGTTTTTCAATTTTTTTTTCAAGGTATTTTTTTTTTCAAAAAAATGTTTCAAGTATGAAATTTTTGCTTTAGGGAAACATTATCAAATATAGCTTGACGTTCTGGATCATAAAATATGTCACTAAGCGTTCAGCAGATTCGAAGTCGTGAACAAGGCATATCGGTCAAATACATCTCGTTACAATCAGCTTCATCTTTAGATGATTTTTGCGGTGCTGAAACGCTTCAAGGAGAGGAAATGTCAAAATTGAAGACCTTTTCAAAAATTTCGGCAAAAAATGTCGAAAATATAATCGAAATTGCATTTTCAAAGAATTAAATTGGAGAAAAATCGCACATCCTGCTATAATTATTTTTTTTGTTTCATTTTTGCTATTGGTTTTTATGGTGTTTATTTCAATAAATAATTGTGTTTATCCAATCGATTTTCTTCTTTTTCCATAATTGATTCAAATCGAATTTATTTCAAAACCGACTACGACAACATTCGAAAAGTACGAGTGTATTCGAAACCAATTCAAAACACAAAACGAATACGATAATTTAACAACCTAATACGACAAATTTTGAGCCTAATCAAGTCAATTTCGGAGCCGAAATTTGTCGTATTCGATTCGAAATGAATTACCAGAGAGTAATAATTACTAAGAGTTATAAACAATTTTAATGCTTGGAAAGGATTTTTGAAATCGCCGAGCAGACCATTAACCTATGTCATGATGTTACAAAATCTGACGAACCTTCAGTTAACTCAGCGATTAATCCATTGCCGTTTGCTTTACACACCTTTTCGCCCGTTTCATCTTAATTTTTTAGGCTTTTTTTCGTTCTCTTTGCTACAATCTCATGCTTTAATTTTTTTTTAACTAACATCAATACTCTAGCGATGCCCGGCAAGACGCCTGACGCGCCGCCGCACCATCCATTCAGGGCGATCGAGTCCACACCACAATCCACTCTCGCGTGGATTACATTCATGTCGCCGCCACCGCAGACCAACCAGGTTAGTATAACACACATTCTACCAAAGAAAAGAACAACGCATTAGCTTTCGCTAGTCTAAACCGCTTACAATTCAAATGTTACTCGAAACTCGCTGCGCATGCTCTCACCATATCTCTGACATAACACACATTCTACCACTGAACCACTATGCTTACTAACAAGGGAGGCTATGATGATAAGAGTAGATTCGAATCAATCCCCGGCTGCAAAAACGGTCGTTAGAGGAAAAACTGGCCCAAATTTCTACATGGTGCATCGACCGCAGACGTGATAAAAATCATCATCTGCCATAAACCAACCCCTTCACACAATTGGCGCGATGATGCATGCACCACCGGCAAATGCAAGTACTGTAGACGCCCACATCGCCCTTCCATATTCGTTATACACTTTCTATAATACCCTATCTCCTTTCTGATTGTTGTTTTTTTTTGGTTGTTCGGTTGTACCCGATAAAACTTTTGTTGAAATATTTTGTTACGCAATAAATTCTCTCTGTTGATGCGAGTTCACTCATGTTCTCACCGGTCTCGTCTGCCACCAAATCTGACTGCCATAGAAGCGAAACATCGCCTTCTCCTCCACCTCAACTGCCTCAAGACAGGACATCCTGTAGATGTCCGATGGATCCGAGCAACCGAGTTAACATAACACACATTCTACCAAAGAAAAGCACAACGCATTAGCTCTCGTCAGTCTAATACGCTTACAATTCAAATGTTACTTGAAATTTGCTGCGCATGCTTTCATCATATCTCTGACATAACACACATTCTGGGATCGTTAAGGAAAATTACCAAAAGTTATATTATATGAGTCTGGAAATATATATGAAAATATTCAAGAAAACAACTGTGAGACTCTGGGTTTTGTCTGATGTGGAACGTTCGTACGTTTTTCAAAAAGACAGTGACCCGAAACATATATCTCGCCACATTAAAATCTCGTTTTAACGCTTAAATGTTGATGTTCTCGATTTTCCAAGTAAATCTCCTGACTTGGACCCAATCCCAGACTAAAATTGAGCATCTCTGGAGTAAGCTTGAAAGAAGACTTGTTGGTGTGCGAGCTTTGAATACTGAACAGAACTCCAACCTGCGTGGGCGTCTATTCCACTCTCGGTAGTTCACAATCTCTTTGATTCAATGCCAACCAGATGTCAGGCTAATATCGATGGGAATGGGTTTGCAACAAAGTATTAAATGGATTTTTACGATCTTGTTTTAAAAAAAATATTTATATGGAACCTCAAAAAATATTTATCCAAAAAAAAACCCAACTTCAAACCATAATAGCATAGTGAAATATATCTCAATTATCGTGCTAAACATTCACAAAGTATTGAAAAACCATTTCGTAAAGTTATGATTAAAAACAGAAATTATACATTACATTCGCAGGTTATCCAGAGTACGCTATTCGAACTCGACCTGTTTAAATTCGAATTTGAATTGCCGCCTCAGTAAGTGTTATTATGCAAGGTGTTCGTTTTTTAATACTTATGGACCTATTCATGCAATGAAAAAAATAATAAAAAAATCAATTTTTTTTTGCATTTGAATTCTCTATGCACGCACGTCGAAAATTACAAAAAATTGACGCGATATATCGTAATTCTACGCTATTTATTTTTAAAGGCGCACGCGAAAAGTTGCGCGGGTCACGTCGCGAAGTCAGTACTGTATTTTTTTAATTAGCGTTTTTTTTTCGGATTTTTTTTGTTTTTTGAGAGTTTAAAATGTTTTTTTTTTTTTGGGAAATCTGTAAAACTATATTGTTTTATCAACGCTAAAGGTTCATCAAAAGCGTCATCGAGCGAAATCTGCGTCAAATCAACACAAATATCATTATTTCTCATGATAATTAGTACAAATGACGAAACATAGACTTATATTGTCGAATTAGAAGTAATTATACCAATAATTTTTTTTTAAAATTAAGTTTTCGAAAAATACGGAAAAATTGCATGCAGAATGAAAAATAAAAATTACAGTACCGACTTCGCGAAATGACCTGCGCAACTTTTCGCGTGCGTCTTTAAAAATAAATAGCGGAGAGTTACGATATATCTCGTCAATTTTTTGTAATTTTCGACGTGCGTGCATAGGGAATTCAAACGAAAAAATGATTATTTTTATTTTTTTTATTGCATGAATAGATCCATAAGTATTAAAAAAACGATCACCTTGCATAATAACACTTTTCGAAAATCTTTTTCCGTATTTCTTCCTAAAATCTTTTTCCGTATAACTCTGATTCAGACGATTCGATCGAACTGAACTAGAACAAAAGTTGAAACAAGAAGTGCCCAGTGTGTCTACCCGGGACGAAGTTTCCCGGGAATTTCCGGGTTCCCGGGAAATTCCCGGGAAAATTTTCCCGGGACCCGGGACTCATTGAAACTTAATTTCCCGGGATCCCGGGATCCCGGGAAATTCGTTTCCCGGGAAACGCGGGATCCCGGGATCCCGGGAAATTCATTTCCCGGGTTTCCCGGGAAATTCCCGGGACACCCGGGACAATCCCGGGACAATCCCGGGAAAGTCTGCAAACACCGCGCGCGCAAACGCACACTCTTCGAATATTGCGTATTGTCGTTTTTTTTCGAAATTTTATGAGTTTTCTTATTTTCTTTGTCATTCTGATTCGCGACATATTCAAATCGAATCTTTTCAGTCAGTCTTTTCAGATCGAATCAGCGATATTATTTATTATTATAATTTATTGTTTACTTGATCGATCTTCAATAAGTTTTTTCGTTGAAAAAAGTCTATTGAAAAAAGTTTAAAACCATTATTTCGTATAAAATTCTTGCTAATTTGGAAAAATCGTTATTTGCACATTTCAATTGTACTCATTTTTCTGCCAAATTTTAAAAATTCCAAATAGGGACTTCCTACGCCATTTTCTAAGCATTGGAATCTTTTTAAAATAAGAAAATTCATTAAAAAGAAACGAGAATACGCAATATTCGAAGAGTGTGCGTTTGCGCGCGCGGTGTTTGCAGACTTTCCCGGGATTGTCCCGGGATTGTCCCGGGTTTCCCGGGAATTTCCCGGGAAACCCGGGAATTTCCCGGATTTCCCGGGAACCCGCTCATCCCGGGAAATGAATTTCCCGGGATCCCGGGATCCCGAGATACCGGGATCCCGGGTAGTTGCGGGACGAAACCGGGACGAGACCCGGGATTGGAGTCCCGGGATTTCCCGGATAAACCCGGGAAACGAAATTCCCGGGATCCCGGGAAATCCTGTCCCGGGTAGATACACTGGAAGTGCCTCAATGCACCAGAAAGACGTCAACGTAAATTTTCACTTGCGTTTTTTTCGCTTTTTAAATTTTTACTACAAGAGCGCTAAAAATGTGTCGCCACTTCTGAAACGATATTTGAATGTTTATTTTTTCATTTTAAAATTTTATATTTATTTGGTGACTTGAAAATAATTCCTCTAGATTACCTTATCCAGTATTAGTTATGAGATAAACTGTTGTTAAATTTTCGAAATTCATCGAAATTTTTTAATATTGTCTTGTTTAATTTTTTGTTGCTATTATTATTATATTTTTCAGATTCAATCAAAAATCATGAATGATAATATTAAAAATTTGATCACATCTGCTGCTCCAATTCTGCATAAAGCTGTTAAATATGACAAATCACAGAAGACAAATGATGCATTGCCAAATTATATTGATGGAATTGCAATTCTAGTTGAAGCAATAAGGTGTGAAATATATATTTTTTATCAAACTTCATATCATGTAGTTAGTTTGATGTCAGCCAATGACCCAAGAAAAGAAACAATTAGACAATCTTTGAACTCTTATTTGACTAGGGCGGAAGAGTTAAGGGATATGTGTAAAATAGAGGTAAATGCAACATTATTTACTATTCATATTAATAAATTACAGGTGAAACATCTGGAGCAAAGAAAAATTGAAGAAAATTCAACAGGGCATGGATATGATAAGATTTTTGGTAAATGTTGTGATAAAAAATTGAAAAGCGTAAAAGTTCAAGACGCCTACATCTCCAAACACCATCAGGTAGAAGATAATTTTAAGAAGCAAGGAAGTGTGTAATTAATGCTTGAAGATTCTTAATTTCGTAAGATTTTGTGAACTCATTGTTAGCCTAGCTGATAACCTACGAGTGATCACATTAAAAACGGGCAGTAGTGCAAAATCAATGCAAATGTCCTTCGACGAGCTGAGAACGTGAGATAATTTAAAGATATTCAATCGAATTTAAATAATATGTTCAGAAGTCTCTTACATCATAAAGTCATTCTACACGTTGAGTACAGTGATACATTACATGATCGGGAAATAACGTACGGTTTCGTATTTTTCAATGTCACATTCATAATTTCAGATTTGATAATGGTTGGGTCGTGAAAATTGGTCGTGGTCTTGATTACTTTAAACCACCGCAAGGAGGAAAATATGTTTTGGGAGCTTGCGATATGAATTTTAGACAATGCCTAGAAACAACCATCGATATATTCAAACGAAAATAATGTATTGCCGAATAAATCTACTTGTACATACTCCAAAAGTTTTATTTTGTTTTTAAATCCACGGTCAAAGCTGCGTTGAATCAAATATTTTCCCAATTATTATTATTTATTCATATTATGTTTTTCTTCAAGCAGACATGTCTCGAAAATCAACAGTTAAAGAGCACCCTGAGGTTTGTTTAATAATATGTATTATTACATTCGCAAAAAAATCGAGCAACCTACGTATATGTATTTACGGCAAGTTTATTTTCCATAGTACGGTACCCGAATTCCTATTGTTTAAATTCAAATTTTCATTTAAAAAAATTCGATGGTCCTCAATTGTTCAAGGTTCTCGTTTTTATTCGCGATGATTATACTTGCTTTCTTCGCATTCATATATTTAGATGGCCGAGTACAAAAAACAATTGTTTGCTGAAGCTGAGAGACTAGTAAAAGAAGAATTTCCAAAAAAGGTGATTGAATTCAATGAATTACTGAAGGTAAAACATATCTCGCGAAATTGTCGAGTGCGATTAGATTAATTTAGACCGATCGATTGTCTTACGATAGAGTTCAAAAAATTCTTCCCGATATGAGTTTGAACATTCCCGTTCCACCTGTTGAGGTATTATTTTTAATTATTTTCAAAGTCGCGCGACTACGGAAAATTGGCTAAATGCCAAAAAAATTAAAAAGAGGTCTAGATATGCGTCTTTAGCTTATCCTTATTATTTTTTTTTACCCGTAAATCTACACTTAGTTTTGCGTCAAGACCACAGTCTTAATTTTTTGGTATTTAGCCAATTTCCGCCGTCGCGCGATGTCGACAATAAAATATTTTTATTTAATAAAAAAAAATTTAGAATGGAAAAGTAAAGGTCGACTCAGGTGAGCCGAACGCAAAAAAGCGAAAGAATGACGATGGAAATGGGGCTCCGGTGTTCACATTTGTCAATGGAACCGTTCCCTGTAACGATGAGCTCGCCAAATTGATGGATGAAGTTCGACCGAAACTTCGCGATGCTGTAGAAATGACTAACACTGTAATCGACAAAAACAAAATATTATACATAAAATGGTTTTAGGTTAAAATGTGGATCACTTTATTGATCCCCCGTATTGAAGACGGTAACAATTTTGGTGTTGGAATTCAGGAAGAAGCTTTAGCTGAAGTGCGAAACGTTGAGAGTGAATCTGCCTCATTTCTTGATCAAATGAGCAGATATTTTACAAGCCGCGCAAAATTGATCACGAAGGTTGATTAATCTTCAAAAAACATTAATGAGAACGCTATTTTAGATTGCTAAGTATCCGCATGTCGATGATTACCGTCGAGCGATTCTTGACATGGATGAGAAACAATTCATAAATATCAGGTAACATATTAATTTTTTTCAGATTTCCCAATTTTTTTTTAATTTACAGACTCGTCGTTTTGGAAATGAGAAACCATTTTTCAACTCTTCATGATATGATTGTGAAAAATTACGAGAAAATCAAGACACCTCGCAACTCGAATTCCGAGCATCTTTACTAATTCCAATCGATGGTCTCATATCGAATTTTATCATGAAATAATCAATTTTTTGATTACCTATTTTAAAAATTATTTTCTTGTTGTTTTTATAGCATTTTTGTTGTTATTGAGCATATTAAAGGTGATGTTGATTTCAATCTTTTTTTGGATGAAGGTCCCGGCCTTGTGATATCTAGAAACTTGTGAAAATATTAATTTAATTGATTGTTTTAGAACTCACTATGTCAGGTGTATTACACGACGACGCTCTAGAAATTGCTCACGTTGAAGAAGATCGCGGAGTCAAGGTAATTGTACAAAATATTTTCATCATTTTCTAGAATAATTTATTATCGACGTGACACTTTCGTGTCGTCCCACGGTTGCGTGTTTTTGTGCTGAGTTGTTAGGAAAATTCGAAGCAAAAATTTTAATTGATTAATTAAAATCAAAAAAGGATGGAATTTTTCGATGATGCTGACTGCTCTCCTGTTCACGTAGTAAAATGTAAATCACTCTTTTGATTGCGTTTTTATTTCAGGGTGAAGCCGCGCTGATTGATGTCGATGACCGCGAAGAATATTTTGTAAAACCTTTGTATACGTACTACTGTACTTGTGGAGAAGTGAGTGAATTTTAACAATAAAATTTCGTACTAATATTGATCTTTGAACTTAACGATGTCGAATTTGAATTTTATTGTTTTATTGTTTGTTAATTAAAGTGTTCAGATGGCTATGATTAGTGATACTCTCCTTGGTCGAATGCCTCTGAGAAAACGCGACGGCGCTCGAGTGATTGCTCCGGAACGAACAACTGCCAAGACATTTGCGAAATCGGGAGATACCGTGTACATTAAAAGGTTTTTTTCTTTTTCGACGAAGCTCACTAAATTGAAATTTAGAAGCGTTGGACTTGAGCAGCAATATCGTAAATGTTGTAAGAAATGTGGTGTTCCGCTATTCTATCAGCACCCAGCGAATCTGTCGAGAACTTTTATATTTGCTGACGCTTTGCTGTCAGCCCAGGAAGTTGGTGGATTCAGTGGAAACAATGAAGAACAGAGAGCGAAGAAGGTTATTATGAAGAGAAATGTGAAGAACCAAGGAAAAATTGGAAGTGTGACTGTTTCGACTATGGAAGGAGAAGAGGAAGAAGAAATGGAAGCGGTAATATTTTTGAACCAACAAACATCATTTTGCCGTCAATTTTCAGAGAGAAACCTCCGAATCTTACACGATGAATGCTCGAATTGTTCACGATACACTGAAGAGGAAGGGAATGATTGGAAAGTTTGCAGTTCCACAAGAGCCGACGACGTCAGAAACCAAGCGAAAACGGGGAACACTTATATAAAACGCTCGTTAAATACATCTTTAATAAATTATTTCTAACATTTTTGGAAATTACCGTTTACATTAAAAAAAAATAATACTGAGTTGGAGCAAGATTGTCTATAATTCCTCTCTTTTTTCCACTGTATGATTTTTTTAAATCAAAGTTCAAAAGAAAACCACTTGACACTCATGAGGATTCTCAAGTATCAGTTTTCGCAAAATATAACGAAACTATAAAAATGACATCATTGTTATCAAAAAGTCGCCTTTTCGTGTGGGATGGGCAAATAACAAAAAGCCTATTTAAACCATACATATTCAGTGTTTCCGGCGCGATGTCTTTGTGTGTACTCGACACTTGAAAACATTTTTTTGTGACTTACATGCGTTCGCCGAATGCGGAAATACTTGAGCGAAACGCGTTTCTACTTAAACACACCTTTGCATGTTTCCATTTCAGAAGAGCCCCGCACAGAATGCTGGATGTTCAAAAGTGAGTTGATCTCATTAAAAACGAGTGATTTTTCATGAAATTCGCAATATTTGTGGCCGCGTTGTGAGTTTTTTCATCCATCATTTACTGACTTCCAAAACAACATGTCATTTGTTGATTCGTCGTCGTCGCTGCCGATAAAAACACAAACGGAATCGAGCCGCAATTTGATTAAGTGTCGTCAGATTTGAAAGAAGAAAGAATTGCAAAATTTTACGTTCCGAGCCATTAATCGACATGTTGAACGCGAGGAGAAGCTGCGAGACGACGGATAGCAGTTGTCGGTTGTGCTTTTTCACAAGTCTTTGGTCGAACTCATTTCTTCTTATTCGACTGAGGCTGAGCCAGCTTGAGAGCATGAGCGAAGAACAACTCTCAAAATGTGAAAAAAAACGGATAGTCGCGGTTACACTCGGAGCCGTACTGCAACACTTGTAGCCAACCATTTAGTATTCCGCTCTCATTCGCGTCATCTCTTAGCAGCTCTTGTGATTCTTGCAATTTATTTGATTTTCAACATGCCATCACTGCTCAGGCGATCGGCCACCATCAATGAAGCGACCGAGACGAGAAGACACAAATTCGCTTTGAAATATGACCTGAATGACAATGTCAAGGTATTATCAATTTTATTCAAATTTCTATGCTGCTTGTTTTAAGAGAGAGGTCGAGGAACACGAAATCCCATGTGGAGCAGGAAGAAGTGAAACATTTGTGTGGGATTGGCCGTTCAGCACCGATGGTTAGTTATCAAACTTGTTTTTTTTAATTTAAATGAAAATTTGAAACTTTTTCTAGTCGGGATATGCTATTTAGTCTCGCCAGCGCTCCCCGCGTATTTTCTCGAAATTCTTTTTTACGTCTGCAGGTCTTGTAGCGAAAAATTCCAGTAGCCTTTCTTCCGGGAAGCGCACTATAGTCGTGAATTTTACGGGCAATATTTTGCTATGGTCTTGGGCGGAATAATTCGTTTTTCGCATTCTATGGTAAATTTCAAATGAATAATGGAGTCCCTCAATCTAACCGCAGTCAGTAGTCACGACCGTTCACAGATGACAACAACACTTTCCAATTAATTGGAAAAATTCGTATTTAATATACGAGCAATTTTTAAAATACCTCAATCTTTCGTCGTGAAAGCAGAAGTTTCTGGTTTTTCAAGAATACATGCATTACGATTAGATTACGGCTGCCGATTGATTTCTTCGAATTCGATGAATACGAAGATAACCATTATACTACTCAATGATAAAGATATTTTTTCGGTTTATTTACTTCGTGAGATTACTATTACGATTTACGTCAATAAATTCCTAAACGATTTGGTAATAAACCGGTGATGCTCCGAAAAATCTTTGCTTGTTCATAAACCACTCACCATTGTGTAATACAAATTATGTGGTGAGCGAACGAATGAATGAATGAAAACAACAAACGCCGTTTGGTGTTCGATTTTCGCGAAAAAAAAGATGTTTCAGGCACAGCTCCAGGCGCCTATACACCGGATAAGTTCATCGTTTGTCTTCCGTTCAACAAAGGTGGAACAGGCGAAAAAAATGGCACCGTGAGTGCAATACAAACTTTTTTTTGTTTTGTTTTTTTTTACTTTTCCTCAGAAATATCGAATTTCGTCAATGGAATTCGGCCGGCCAATGTTCATTGACTCATACTTTTTGACTTGACTCATGATTTTTGACTCATAAAAATTGTATCATGATTTTTTATTCTTTGACTCATGATTTTTGACTAGTGATTTTTGACTAATTTTTTTTTTGACTAACAATTTTTGACTAATGATTTTCTGAATTTTTTTAGTTGAAATTCCTGCAGTTTTTTCAGTATTCAATTCTTTTTTTTGCCAATATTGATGGGTAGAAGCTGAAGGGTGGGAGGAATTGGGGGAAAGATTATTACTGAAAGGAAAAAAAGTTATTTTAACTTCTGTAAGCATAAAAAATTGTTTTTTTGGCATTTCATCGCTTATCGATTTCAATGAGAAGCTTAATCCCAGCTAAGCGGATCCACCGAAGGAATCGACTGTAACATTAAACGAATATCCGTAGTGGGCCAAATGGTATGTATGATTTGATGTTTTTAGTAGTCTTCGTTAGTTTAATGAAAACAACTAAACACAGTTTTTATTCGCTATCATTTATTATTGAGCGTGAATAAAGGAGGGAAAAGGAGGGAAGGATGGAATAACGCGATAAGTGATTTTTTATTAATTTATTTTGCAAATTATTTTAGCAAAAATAACACATTGTTATACTTTGAGAAGTTTTTTGAAGGCTGTTTTGTTAGAAGTACCATTTTGATAAAGGTTTAACGGTATAATGATGTATCGAAAATTTCAATGACTGATTAATTTTAAAAGTTTTTAATAATTTTTTTGAATACTCCGTTTTTCCTGAATTTTGATGAGAAATCGAAAATTATGCCGTTTTAAAACAGGCCTGACCGAATAAGCTAAAATAATTTGCAAAATAAATTAATAAAAAATCACTTATCGCGTTATTCCATCCATTTCCCTCCTTTATTCACGCTAAATAATACATGATAGCGAATAAAAACTGTGTTTAGTTGTTTTCATTAAACTAACGGAGACTACTAAAAATATCAAATCATACATATCATTTGGCCTACTACGGATATTCGTTTAATGTTACAGTCGATTCCTTCGGTGGATCCGCTTAACTGGGCCTAAGCTTCTCTTTGAAAAAAACAATTTTTTATGCTTACAGAAGTTAAAATAACTTTTTTCCTTTCAGTAATAATCTTTCCCCCAATTCCTCCCACCCTTCAGCTTCTTACCCATCAATATTGGCCAAAAAAAAAACAGAATTGAATACTGAAAAAACTGCAGGAATTTCAACTAAAAAAATTCAGAAAATCATTAGTCAAAAATTGTTAGTCAAAAAAAATTAGTCAAAAATCACTAGTCAAAAATCATGAGTCAAAGAATAAAAAATCATGATACAATTTTTATGAGTCAAAAATCATGAGTCAAGTCAAAAAGTATGAGTCAATGAACATTGGCCAATTCGGCCAGCTGTTTCGTAATTCTATCTAGGAATTTTCAGACAAAAAAATTCGAGAGAATTGCACAATCCGATTTTTCGTGGAGCATGGGATTGGGAAGAGATGCGCCACTTGGGTCGACGTGCTTTTGGAGATTGGAAATTGAAATTATTCGCAATTTGAATGCGATTGTGCTCATCGCTTCAAGGTTATTCGCATCTAAAAATGTGTACTTGAAACATACTTGATTTTTCAGAGATATTAGTCGTTATTATGAGAACACTAAACGTCTGAAGCGCGTTAGAAAGATGTACAAGTAAGTTCGTATAGATTTTTTTCATTGAAATATATCTCTAGCAATATCTCTTCAAAGATAAAAGTACATCGTTTGAAATGTGCACTAAAAGTCGGAAAGAGAAATTCTCATCCCTTTGTTGAAGGTTCAATGGTTCGATAAAAAAATATTTGGACCAGGGATTGAACCCTGTAATGTTTCAATAGTCTTGAAACAATCAACCTTAGGCAATAAATACTGACAATAATGATAATAATAATGAATTAATCATCTCATTATCATTTTCATAAACACATCAAACATTTGAGCAAACGATAATCCATTCAATCCCACGCATTAATTTCCCTTATGAGATCTCAGAAATGTTAACATACCCTTTCGAAAACATGATTCAGCCATTTAATTAATTGGCTGATTAATCACATGGATATAGTTTGACGCTATATTAAGATTATTTTTCCCTTCCCACTATTGATGAGTATCTGTATCCGTAATTATGCGCGCTCGTTATCACATTACTGCAGGCAATCATCGAAAACATTATTTTTATGGGCCCGATTATAGTGATTCGAAGAAATTGACAAAGTGAATGAGAATGCACAATATTATAGAAAGAATATCAAAGTTACTTTACAGAAAAGCTTTGTAGTAGTAATAAATGACAGTAATTAGTATCTACTACGTTATTGAACTAACCCATTTATATTTGTAAGGGGAAAACTTCAAAAATCACAAAAATATCAACGAAACAAGGTAAAAATGGAAAAAAACAACGAAAATTCTACGCTATTTGATTGCGGAGAAAATCGACGGCGAAAGCAACAACAAGCGTATTCTCGGCAAATAAAATGCACAAGTCCGCAATTTCATTTTCAGCTTCAATTCGAAATTTAACGACTTATAATTGTATTTTATCTAACAGATCTGAATACGCATTTGAGGGGTACGAATTTATTTAAATAAGCATGTCGCGTGTTTACACCCAATGCATTATATTTGACGAATATTTTAAAATGTGCAATTTTCCCGCGATTGAGTATGCTGACCAATGATAGAGGTATCAATTATGAGTACGGGTTAAAAATGGCCAGGATAATAAAAAATGAGCAAAATTGAATTTTATTCGTTTTATTTGTTGAAAATAACCCTATTGATGACATTTCGATAGTTTTTCTACGAAAATTTTTTATTTGATTTTTTGATTTTTATCCAGATTCGACGATATTTTTATAATTTATGAAATTGCAAAGCCGTTATCGCTTTTATATTTTCTATATTAAAATATTTAAAATCGGAAAATTTGAATTCGCGGCAAATATAAAACATAATTTCCCTCATAGAATTTCAAAAAATAGCAATTGGAATTTTCAAATAACAATAGATTGAAAACAATAGACTACACGACACCATATGGCGCCAATCGCGCGTCGATTTGAAACTCTTGAATTCAGACTAAGCGAACGAGAATTTGAAAAAAAATGAAATAATACTGATTCAGACTACCCGAGTACTATGATGTGTCGACAACGACTACCACCATGTACGATTGGGCTGTGATCGTGGAAGCACGCAAGAAATCCATCTATCGTCCGACAATCCGCAGAGCTTCGACTCTCGTTTGAGACGAATCCTTAGTATTTATTATTTTTGCCAACTTCTTAGATATTTTCTAATATCGAATTATAATTGTTTTTTTTTAAGTGTACAGGTTTTGCACATATTTCGAGAGATTTATGAATGTTTCAAGACGAAACCTTATAAATTATCACAAGTTTTAAAACAAAAATACATCACAAGGACTATAATATGAAACAAGACTCCAGGAAAAAAGCAATGTTGAAGAAAAAAAAGAAACAAAATATGGGCCCGTATAAGAGAAAAGGGGGATTGATATATGGGAAATCGATAATATTAGATTTAATTTTTAAAAAAATGACCGAAATAAAGAAGGAACTGGCACACGAGATTAGTTTCGAGAATTCATTAGTCACTTTCCTCATCGTCGGTGTCTGAGGCTTCTTGCCAAAGTCCTTCATTTTGATGAACAGCATTCTGAAATGTATTTCATTATATTCCTATATGTACAATTTTGCGTGTTTTTTTTTACCACATTCTGATGACCGGCACCCGGTGTCGGGATTGGTGCTCTGCAGAGAAATTCTTCGCCAATGAAATATGCTCCATGCTCGCCGAGCAGCACATAGGTGTTGCCAGTGTGTAGACGTGCGGGAAATATTGGCAGACTCGTCGGAGATTGGGCGGTCAGCATTCGCATATAACCCATTACATGTCTGAACAACATATGCATACAATTCGCTTGTGTTTGACCAAAGAAAATACCTATCGCACAACGAGAAGACCTTCCATCTTCGATTCATGTCCACCCAAGATGTCGGCATTGTGTCGTTTGTAAATTTCGTGAGAAGATTTTCGCCGTAATTTTCAAGACGAGCGGCTGCGCCAACGAGAAGCTCGCGAGATGGTAATTCTGGCGTGCCGAAAAGCTGGAAAATATTTTTGTTTAAAGCAAATTAAATCAAATTAAGCGAGCTATTATTGACACTAAATTTTTCATAATCAAATTGAAATTCAAAAAAACAAGTTAGTTCATGTAAAAATAATTTTTTACGATATTTATGAAAAAAATTATTGTTTTTTAATTTCTAATCTATAGAAAGCCCAACGTAAGGAATTCTTATAAAACAAAAATATACCTGCATTCCCATTGCAACATCCTCTTGTAGTCGCGCCATTAGAGGCTGTACAGCGTCAAATGTTTGTGAGAGAAAAACTGCCTGCTCAATAGACGAAGTCGACGGGCACGGAGCTCCTCTGAACACATGATTTTTTTATAAATACGAGATTATCGTTTAAGTATCGCCATACCCTGGGACATTTTGCATAATCTGAGCCATTTGATGAACCGTGTCCACCATTCCAGCAATGGCTGCATCAAGAGAAGCGAAAGCCTCGAACGAATTGCGTCGTTGACTCTGAACAAATTTGAGAAATATACTAATTGGAATTTAGAAAACCAACCATTGCCGGAGGTGAAGAGGATGAAGGTGCGGATTGAACTGCTGCCACTCTGCGAGCTTCAACTATGGGCGGAGACTGCGCAGCGGCAGCCACAACGAGTTGCCTTTTCGTGTAGTTGCCATGACGATTGTATCGCGGAGCGCGTCTGAAACCAATGATAAATATTTTCGCACACGAAAAATAGGCGTCTTAGGGAATTTTGCTTAAGTTTACAGAAATACCATATTCTTTAAATAACAATTATGTAATGACTAATATCCATAGCGAATATTTTTGTGGTAAACAATCGAATAACTAAATCTACTAAAAATTTCGAAATACAAAAAAAAATAAATTTAAATATTTCGCTTTCAAGTAGAGGTATGATCACTTAACTTGAAGACGTCAAATGTCAGTGTAATACAGTTATTTTCAATTTTGCTTTGAACACGATAAATTCGTCACTTTTAAATATGTTGAGTCATTAAAATTTGGAAAATGCCAGGTCAATTTCACCGAGTTCGATTTCAATTTTCTTAGTTATGCGCAATATTAGTCATAAATAATTCTGAATTTCGCCCGAAAGTAATCACGCGATTTCCTGTCGTCCTCCCTGGCAACGAGCCAACACATAATCACATTCATTCAATTTGTGGCGCTCGCCGACCTGCGACCAGCCGCACGGCAGACACTGCTCGGCGAGGTATGCGAGAGCGGCTAATGAGAAGCTCGAACGCAAGGTGAGGATTAATTCGTGCCGCGAGTTGTAAACATTTATAGATATCGCGAGGCGCAGGGAAGTGGGAGCAGATTGAATTGAGAATGCTGAAGGAGATTACCTTCGTGGGATGGCAATTGTTGAACGAGGTGGCATGTTGATTTTCTGAAATTTGTGCACTAATAAGGCATAAATACATATGGAAACGAGAAATAAATAATTATTCGCGAGCAATGGAGAGGATTAGCCATTGACGATAATTAATGAACCTATTGATGCAATTAAAAAATGTAAAAATTACACTTTATACTAAACAGGGTTGTAAATAATGCACATTTAATATAACTTTTACTCTTTATTCATTTCATGAATAGGTTTATAATATTTAAACAATTTCAGAGAACAAGAAGAACCAAAAAAAACATTTTATGGAGCGAAAAAAAAAACATTTTAAATTGTTGGAGAACAAAAATGTTACGGTAGATAGTTTAAAGGCGCATTACACAATTCAACATTTCAAAACACGTTTAAAATTCGCGAGATGACACAATTTCTGTGATATTTCTAAAAAACAAATACTGCACGCTGTTTATAAAAACAGGAATTATCCTAATTGTAACAGCCGTGAGAAAAAACTGTCGGTTCCTAATAGAAGACTAATAAATCGAAAATAGTCCAATAAAGAAAGACCGCAATCGGCTCAGCACAACGATTGAACCGTGCAGCCAGCCGAGTAATCATAAGGAAACGGGTCATAAATCTGCGATGTGACGGCTCGCGACGGTCAAATCATCCCTCTCATACCCGTGCTTATGTATGTGCGTTGAGACGAGGGCTAGCACGGTTTGTTTGCCATCGAAAATCGACGTCTAAGCATAGTTTCCCGCAATATGCGCGTTTATCAATATAATCGATAAACACGATGTCGTTGGAAAAAAAACACACACACACATACACCCACAGACAGACATTCATTGGCCGACGGCAATGAAAAATCGCGATTGGACAAGAAGGCGAAGTGAAGAGAAAAAAGCGCAAGTGACTGCTACAGTAATCTAGGCAATTTTATTAGCTGAACAACAACAATGAAGGCAATTGTTCGAGAAAAATGAAACAATGGGGGATTTGATGGGCAAGAATTGAGTAGAAAGTGGTGGTACTGTGAGAAACCAAAAAGTGAACACACATACACATACAGGCAGGCGTGCATTCACCATCAAACACATAAAAAAAAAGAAAGAGACTGCTCGGCCATGCGCACCGCGGCAATATTGCAATATTTGAAGCTCGCTGATGAGTCAGGGGCGGAGACTGGCACAGTCCCATTTTTTCTTTGGGGTCGCCGGTCCGCGTCGGCAACGATCAAACGCATGACGAGCTTAATTGGACTCGCGCGCGGGCGGTGGCGCTGATCGCAGGCACCGTTGAAATTAGTCTCGACAAAATTGCAATAACTGCGGGTGTCTTGTTGATATCTTATTTTGGTCAATCAGGGTGCGGTTATTGCGTCCTGTATGGGCGGAGGCGGGACATCGGACGACGGCGTCTCGCCAATTAGCCTACTCTCTGCGCTCGCCGAATTTCGACTCACTCGCACAGATTGTGGTTTGCGATATAGACCTCGCCGCGTTTCCTGCACCTCCTACTACAGTAGTATTCGAGTGGAGTGAGGGAGAAATTGGCCCATCTCGCGTATCAAGATTTCGACACTAGGTATCGACATGAGTGGTGACCTTTGTGACCCAAAACGTTGATAACATTATTACTAAATTAGGTAATCGGAAAAGGGAACTTCAGTCTTGAAGGTTAAAAATTTATGGCCGTGCAATTGGACAGTTTCGTTTTACTAGGTTCACCAAAAATTGGCCCACAATCAATATAAATTTTTTTTTTGAAATAAATTCGTCCAAGTTCATTAGAATAGAATTAAAAAGTTGAAATATATATTTGATGAAATTTAAAAAAATTATTGGCAATGTGCCAATGCGTCTCGAGGTAGCGAGAAGTACGCGAAATTGCGTACCTTGCATTTAAGCGTACGCGCATTTAATATTCAGTCAACGAAAAATTTAAGTCTACACGGATTTCGCGAATTTGAAGGCCCCGCCTCTCTTTAAGTCGATTGACGCCGACAATAGATTCCGAATAGCTAAATGGCTAGCTATCGATTTTTTACTATAAACCAAGGTGTCAATTAGTGTCAATCAATTTCTTCTGGGTCTCGGTTATAATGATATTCTATGCTCAGATTTATTTTGTACCTTACTCAGAAAGTTTGTTATGATATAGAAACAATATATATATAAGGAATAATCGAAAGAATTTTGAACAGAATACAGAAAACATCGATTAAAATTGCTCGGGGCGGCTCTCGTCGAAAGGTGTAATGAATGTTGTTCTCGACAACTCATCGTCGACCAACTGACCTACAGCTGACACATTCCGATTAGTAAATCACAAGTGGTCGAAGAAAAAAAAAACAATTTCGAGTTGCTCATATTTTTTGTCGCAATGCGACGATGTTCGTCCTTGAACTAATCAAGCCACAAAACCGAGACTGTCCAATTAAGTTCTCGTCTCGCTCCTCGCACCTTTTGAAGTTTCGCCGCTGTCCATTTCTGAGCTTCTTGCGCGCAAAAGAGGGGCCGACGTCGCATGTTGGCGCATTCAATTCGAATTGACATGGTGACGACGTCGTCGCCACCAATCGCCACCAATTTCATCTCGCCTATCTTATCATCGCTGTTAGTAGATCTCGATGAGAGATTTCATTGGAATCTGGTAGAGTAGGTTGGGGTGGTTTGAATCGATGAATTGGCAATGATAAACAACTCAATTATCGTGTATATTTCCTTTTATTAAATTATAGAAATTCGAAATGAAACCGAATTCTAATGGAAATATTGTCGACGTCCGGTGTCTGTTGAATTTGGGGTAGATTTACGAGGCTCGAATCTACTAAAATGGTCCAACTCGTTATTTTGCATTCTCGGGGGGTCGTTTCGATAATTTCAGTTTATATGAAATTCAAGGAAATGCAAATTTCATAAACAAAAGAAATTTCGCATAAAAAATAAGCATTGGCATGTGGCGAGACCAAGAGCAGTCCGTAATTACATGAGCCACCGGACGCATACAATAGCTCTTTTGAGACTGTTAGAGGTTATCCGATGATAAGATATCCATCGTCTCGCAGCATTCTAAAACATCCTAACAACGTATTTCGTACTGTCTCATTAATGCCTCTTTTCATTTTCGAATTTCCTCTCAACGTCATTTGGAATATTTTCAGAAATGAGGATCTTGCTTCTACTCATTCTTTGTTTTGCTGTCATATTTGTGAATTCGCGAAAACTGCGCAAATATACGATAAACCTGGATGAGAATCCGACTCAGCGCTGGAATCACGTTATTCGCGATCATTTGGATTACCTTCCTGGCGTCATCGCCGAGAGCAAGTCTGTCGGTTTCAAATCCCATTCGAATTAATTACCGGGGTGTTCGCATTTTTTTGGAGGGGAACTGTGTTACGTCCTTGACAAGGTGTCACACAGAACCCGAGACGAATTCATTAGATTGAAACGATTTGTCATTGTTTTTTGATGAACTGCTGCACCCGGATTTGAGGTGAACACGTCGCGCCAATATCTGATTGGGCGACGCGTTCACCCTGCGCCACGAATTACCTCAACAATTTTGGGGGGGGGGGGGGGCTGAGCTGAAGATTACTATCGGTGCCCTCGAGAGTTGATTGATTGACTTCATTAATCGACTATCAAATGCGATTCAGCGATTTTTGAGAAAACTGGTTTTTCACTATGCAAACACGCTGTCTACAAGCTAGATAGAAACCTTTCAATATTACAAAGTCGCCACAATATTATAATAATTGCAAACTTAATCAATTTTTTAATTTTTTACATGTATTGTGGAAAAAAGGAAAGATAATGTGAAAAACTGCAGCGATATCCTATGCATTTTGTGCGTACACCGAGTCGATCTTAGCTACAGTAATCTCAACTGAAATTATTTAATTAATTATTGATCATTTTTTTTATATAAAACAATTAACTTTGAATAATATACAAAAATGTTTACTATTACAATTTTTCAACACAACAATATAGATAAACCCATATATTCGCCAAGAAAACACAGAAAATTTTTTTTAAATAATTGATTAAATAATTTTCAGTTAAGATTACTGTAGGTAAGATCGAGATGTGCGACTCGGTGTACGCACACAATGCATTGGATTTCGCTGCAGTTTTTCACATTCGTCGTTTTTCTACAATAGATGTGATTCAGAAAAATATTCAAAATCAAGTTTTCAAAAATGATTGATTAAGAATATTTTTTTTGTCCAGCCAAGCAACGGTGTTTCAAAAATGCTTATAATGGTAGCTTGTTCGAAACTTTAAAAATATATATATAATTTCAAATAATGCATCAATAAAATCGTATAGATGGAAGTGGAATGAATTCTTTGGTGGATTATCATTTATAATTGCCTGGTGTCATTCATTGCCCCCCGCGATTACGGTAACTGACGAACGTCGTCGCACGAATTAGATTTTAATCTTGATTCGAAATCAGATTCAGTAGAAGACGTTGATTGATTACTCAATTCGACGCAAACTTCGCGCAGAACTTTCAACAATTTAATGGCGCGAAAGAGCATTTTACGATTCGCACCGAAAAAAAAACTGGTCAAAATTTATGCGAGTGATCGTATCGGCGAAGAGGAAAAAAAACGCTTCAAATTTGATCGCTGAAAGCGAACAATTATTCAAAAGGGAATCGTTTTGAAAATTAAATTGGTTTCAGAAATTATATTCCGACATTTCTCCAACCATTCGTATGGTTCGTTTCATCAAAAATAGCATATTTCTTCCCGAAAGATAAACGATTAGAGCTTGAAGGTTGTTTTTCTTAAAAATCAAAATTCGATTACATAATTTCTCTGTTTAGGGATCGCATTGGAATCAGGAATTCCTCTTGGTGAAGTGGTCGGCCTCAATATTCTTTACGACATCGCGGCTTTTGATAGAAGACAGTTGAGAATGCGTTTTCAGAATTATTCGAACAATGATCGTTTAGTGTTTTCGGACTTGGTTGCACTTCAATTGTGGCTCAAAATTCGAAAGGCCAAATAATTCACGGAAGAAATTTGGATTTTGATATGACAGATCTCCTCAAAAATATTACAATTTATGTAGATTTCACGAGAAACGGAGAGGTTTTTTTTTAAGCAAAACTCTCATTAATCATACTCAATAGATAATTTATTCCGGGATAACATTCGTTTTGTACAACGGATTGCTGACGGGACAGCGACCAAACGAATACAGTGTGAGCCTAAATGCAAGATGCAAGTCTCATTTTTGAATTCCTCAAAAATTTCCGTTTTCATTCAGATTCTGGACCATTTATCGATAACATTGTGATGGAAATTTACACGAAATTCAAACGACCGGTTAGCTATTTTATACGAGAGGTTCGTCTGAGAAATATCAAGAAATTAATCAGGATAATGGAAAGATTTTCCCATCAAATTAGGTTTTCATTTGGGTTTTTATTATACTTTATTTATTCTCGAACCAACACCGATAAAATGAATTCCACTTAAACCCTGTATAATCGCGAAGGGATCAATTTCTAAAACACTTCTTTTGTTTTTCAAGGCTCTAGAATGAAAGGCAAGTATTGTCGTGAACGCGAGAATTTGGGGGTCATTTATTCGCTTTCAAATATTTAAACCATATTCGGTTGATCTACAATTACTTATATTGTCGGCGTCAATCGACTTAAAGGGAGGCGGGGCTTTTAAATTCGCAAAATCAGTGTAGATTTGAATTAATCGTTGACTGAATATTAAATGCGCGTACGCTTAAATGCAGTGTACGCAGTCTCGTGTACTTTTCGTTGTCGAGATGCATTGCCAATAATTTTTTAAATTTCGTCAAGTCGTTTGACTTCGACAATAGATTTCTGCTAAAAATTGCCGCCATCATGCCAGACGCGTCGCCGTTTTTTTTTTTTCAAAATTCTTCATATAAAGGTAGTATAAGATCTTGCAGCGAGCAATTTGGAAACCCTTTTTTTTGAGAAATTAATCGCAAATTTCATTCAAAATTTCTCAAATTTGTGTTCAGGTTCTCGAAACGAAGGACTCATTCGAAGAAGCTGTAGATGCCTTATCGAAAACTCACCTGTTCTCTCCGTCGTATATTATCGTTGCGGGAACCAAACCGAATGAGGGAGTCATAATTTCAAGGTTTCGACATTCTGTTGTTTTTTTTTTAAATAGTTTTTCTATTTTAATACCTACGTTTTGTTAGGAACCGCTGGAATGCTGCTGATATTTATCGTCTTGAATTCGAAAAGAAGCGTTGGTTCCTCGTTGAGACGAATTTTGATCATTGGAAAGGGGATCGCGATGAGAGAAGGTTTGGCATTGAATAGCTCTAATGATATTCAAACATTTTCAGGTTAACTGCAATCGCACAACTCAAAAGAATTGGTGCATCGAACATATCGGCTTCTAGAATGTTTGACGTTTTGTCGACTCATCCGGTCAACAACAATCTTACGGTATTCTCGACGGTAATCAGCGCTGCAAGACCAGCACTGATGTTCGACTCGGCGACTGTTCGAGACTAAACCTTCTCACTTATTAATATTCATGCGTTTCTCCATAATTTGCGAGTTCGTAATTTGAGATTATTGACTCTACATCATCTGATTCGGTGGTGTGTGTGTTAATGTCAACAAATTTCGAGTACTTTTAAGCACAATGCATTTTATATCCCAACAATTGCTTGACTAAAGTACGTTTATATTGGTTTTTCGGCTTTTGCTTGTAAATTTTAAAAGTGTGAGAAAATTTGTTTCCTTTTTTTGACATGAATTGTTAGAACGACGCAAGAATTTCACCTTGCAAAAGCAACAAAAATTGTCGAATAAAATAATATACAAAAAGCCCACAAAAGGGTTTTTTCCTCGGAATTTCAATTTTCTTTTTTTTTGCAAGGAACAGAATATTTTATCAGCAAAATTGAAATATGCAATAATAATTTTTCAACGTCTTTTGTTCAACAATGACTAATATTTTTGCGATTTTTTTCCAATTCAGCTATTGTTCCAAAATTGGTATTCAATTTTTTTTCTATGCATTCACGTTGTGGTTTGCTAATGGCTACGATCAAATGCGAATCACATGAAATGGGTGTCACACACCGGCGGTTTTTCGTCCGTCATATACATTTATGTTCAACCTTCAGTTTTCGCGAAAATCAATTTCTCATCTTTGCTATTAGTTTGGCTCTTTTCCGTAAAGGATTTCCCATACGAAGACAAAAGGATTAGCTGTTCCACATTATCACTTAGCTTTGTCGCAGTTTATTTCGACATGTCTAAATTGGTTTAAAATTCTGAACCATTCTCCGAAAATGAATATTGCCTGCTCAAAATTATCATAATATTTTCTTGCTCTCATACTGATACTGTAATCATATCTCATATTTGATTTAGTGCATTCTTACGTGTAAGTGTATGCACAAACATCTCGACATTCGCCGTTTCGATGTTCTCTATTTTTGAGTTTTTTTTTTCATATTCGCCAAGTACTTTCTAGTCTTGTTGCTTGAGGACGACGTCGCATTGAATTTCATACAAACAAACGATGGTAAAAATCAGGAAATTTATGAAATTTCGAAACGGAAATTGCCGGCTTCGTCTCGAGTTTCCCATGAAAAGTTCGCTGTCGAATTGTCTGTGATGCACCTCAAAAATCGTACGCGAATCGGCGTTCTATTCGGTTTCTGTTCGATTTTCAGATGAGATGCTCTATTTCGATTATTATATAAAGGGGTCCGATTGCTCCGGAACAAATTTCGAATTCAAAAAAGGATTAATGTTTACAAATGATTGCAGATGACGTCGGTCATATTTGGTGTCATCTTCAGTCTCATTTTTTTAATCTGAGAAAACTTTTGATGCCGTTAAGCACGTAATTTGGCGATTTCTTACTCGAAATTTGAAACGAATCATAATTTTAGCTCGAATCCAAAATTTGTTTGATTTTATTATTCGTGATAGAGAAATCAAATCTCCCACATAAAAAATGCTCGAGGGGAATAAAATTGTCATTTGCAACGAGCTGCCTTCAATTAAAAAAAAACAAGACTGATGACCAGCTTGCTCAATTTTATCATTTTTGCACCACTCATTGCACTCATTGCGTGCCACCGTTGATAAACCCAATCAAAATTGACCGACCGGCATCTCTTTGCTTCTATTTCACTCGATTTTGATTAATTTACAATAAATCTATCGTATCTTTCTAGTTTGAGCAACGAAAAAAAAATAGCAGCTGAGCTCTCAAGGTGACAAGATTTATGGCACAAATCAAACAAAATTGTTTTGTATCAAATTTTTCAAATGGCTGGACCCCCAATCATCCAATGTTTATCTCATTATTCTTTGAAAATATGTTCTTTTCAAATTTAGACAAAATTTTAGAATTTTTTTTTCGTAATTCCGCATTTTTTTTGAACAAATCAAAGGTTCTCAAATTCCAGAAGTTCGAAAGAAGATTTGGAAAACACGTAATCATAACATGTTAGAATGCCCGATTACGGTATACATGGTTTGATATGTTTGGGCGGTATGACAAAATAATTGTTTGTGACTTCAAACTTACGTCGTAAACCATCGTCATAACAATTTTTGAAATTGATTATTTGGTTGAGCATCGAAGGCAATCCGCAAAGAAGATTTCAAACATGAATAGTTTTTGATTTTTGCGCCAGATTACGAATATTCATGCAATCCGTGCAAACTCGTAAATTGTGCACCAATGGTTGGTTTGGTGCACAATTCGTACGCCCCCTCAAATGATTTAATTGAATTTTCATCATCTTATGAAAGTCCAAATAGGGCTAAAGTTCACGTCAAAACATTCAATTCAATTCGGACTCATCCTCAAATTGTTTCGGTTTTAATGCTCAAATAAAACTTGCCACAGCTCACCTTATTCGTCGAAAAAGAAGAAAGAAGCAAGAAAAGACAATAAATTAAACGTGCTATCTAATGCCCACTTCCGCTTTATTTGTTTTTTATGCAATTTTATTTCCAACCAAAAAAAAAGAAACCACACGAATTGACATGGGTACGAAAATAAATTGAATTCGAATAATTAAGTGCGTCAAGCGGACGCATCCGATTTGTTCATTTAAATCGATTCCCCCCATATGTTTTTGATTTGTGACTCTCCAATTTTTCATTTCACATATCCGCTTTTTGTTTCCCTCTTCATTGATTTTGAATAAAACAAAAAAGAAACATTTGCTTACAAAAAAATGACATCTCGCCATTACTTATTCGCATCCATTATAATTAATTGGTCTTATCTGGCAGTTATATCATGTGCTCATCGTTTATCTCTTTTCTCCCCTGCCCCGTCGCTTCAATTCACCTCCGAAACCAAAATGCACTCACTCACTCACTCATTTGTTGCGGCTACTGCTTTTTTGATTGACCCAATCATATACACATAATTTGGTCGAGTCACCGCCAACTAGTATCGTCGTCTCATTCGAATGTTTGTCACGACCTTTTTAAGGTAATAAAATTCTCGTCGATCACTGTTATCACTCACATTTGACGCGATTTCGATGAAATATACACCATCATTTTGTTAATTTTTAGAAATCAAAATGATCCAATCAATTCAATTTCTTCTTGAATTCCGTTTTTTTCGATGTAACCTAACTTTCATCCACGTGTTTGAATCATCATGGAATTAAAAAAAAACGACAACCAACTTCGCTTCAAAAATTGAATTCGATTCTAATATGAGGCAGTCACTTTTTGTGATTTTAGATTTGTTTTAGATTTTTCTTTTTTTTTCGATAAAATCCAGGACCATACTGAACTTACGAAAACCGAATAGCCAATATTTTTAAGTGCTTTCAAAAACTTATTTTAAAGTTCAAAAATATTTTACATCTGTGAATTTTTAAATGAAACCCCTCTTATTTCAATTAGAATAAGGCTAGCTGAGTTCAAATTTCCGTCATTCAACAAAATTATCTTCATATGCCTATACGAGAAGATATTCAAAAACATTCGCTAAAAAAACCTTGAATTAAAAAAAAATGAGTTTCCAAAATTCATTTGACGACCAATTCGTTTCATTTGTCTTGAAGGGAACCGATAGTAATCTATACTCTAATATTTCACACTTTCTCCATGCAATCGAGATTTTAATCGAAAACCAAAAAAAAAATCGAAAATAGCGCATTCCGAGTGCATTATCATCATCATCGAATGCCCCCATACGAGATTGAGGCAATTACTCTCGTCTCGATTCCTTCGACGATCCACGACCGACCGCTTAACCGCTAATTTCGGGGCGCGCGATTTTTGATGCGAATTGGCGAGACCAAAACAGCTAATAATTCGAGAAATGCATAATAATTGTTGTCCGTATCGAGTTTCGTCCCATTTTTGCTCTTGTCGAAATCCATCGAGAAATGCTTGAAGCTTCAACAAGAAGAGGTCAGGCGTGTTTACTCGCGCAAGAAAGACAAACATGGGTGGCTTCTACGCATTTTTATGACCACGTTTTTTGGCGCGATTTTCCACATTTTCATCCCCATTTTTTCGATTCATTTTGCACCGCCCGGTGTGCCGATCGACAAATAAACGTATTTGCTCAAGATTTCTGGAGGGGAAAAAAGTTGACGAGCAAAAAATGAAAAACCAAGTGAAAAATGTCTGCTGACATCCAAAATTGGCCACAATTCGAAATAGCTTCGGAGGACAGTAGCAACTCTTTTCGTTCGTGATTCCTATCCTTTTATTTGCTTTTTATTTTTGTCCCGTCTTCTATCGAAATTCGCATAACTCTTCGACGCCATCTTCTTGATTTCTTTCCGTCTGCGTCTCTTCATCTCCTCCACACTATTCGTATGCAAATCAATCAAGAATTGGTGATTTTTTGAAGGATGGCCCAACGGACGCGAATTACTCGTTTTTTTTATTGGATCGCGGCGCTGAGTTTTGAAGTTTTGATCTCAATTTTTCAGCTGCTCTTTTTTTTGCGCTAATGAAAAATTTGTCGCCGAACAGCTGGATTTATCTAATTTTTTTTTTGCAGAAATTTTCGAAAAATAAATGAAAGAATGACCTTTGATTTTACATCTCGTTAGGTTTATTCGACCTGAATCAAATTCTCGACAAAAATATTCAAAAATTATTATCTTAATATGATTTGGGACCAGTTTTTGATTGCCATAACAAACATTTTTACGATCAAATTTGAAATTTGAAATTAGTATGTTTTTTTTTAATATATTTTCAGAAAATCACATGTCCTATGACTTGAAATACCAAAAAAAAACGAATCCGAAGTGTTTCATTGAAATGACGTAAATATCCCAAATTTTTTTGTCGGCGTGAGAACAACCAGTAAACACATTCATTCTTTCAGATATACTGATTTCTGGAATTTCTAGTTTCAGATCATTTCGAATAATTGAATTGGAGCGCCAGAAAACGTTTGCTCTGCCGACAAACATAAACATTGAATGAAGCGAATTGCTCACCTGCTCGAATGAATCGTGAATCTCCCCCGCAACATTTTAATGACCTCATGTCTCCGGTCTTTCATTATTCATTTCAAACTCTTTGAGTTATACGCACATTTCTTCATCTCATCATGAAATATTTCTTTTTTTTGCACTTTTTCCTCATTCATTCATTGAATTGCCCATAGAATTTCGAAAATAAAAAAATTCAGATGGAGAAGCCGACGGATCCCGATGAATTGGCGATGCATTATAAACGATTCAATACCTGTCTAACCGAAGAGCAGCTCAGTTGGAAAATATGGTTTCTGCAGAAGGTGCTCTATGGATATGTGCTGCCTCTTCTCATCCTCTTCGGTGTTTCGGGAAATATATTAAATCTCACCGTATTAATGGCTCCAAATATGCGAACAAGGTAAGCAAATCGCTTCGAATGATTACAAATGTCGACATTTTTGATCAAATAAACTCCTCGCCTGCCTTGCCATCGTTGACATCGCCTTTTTGCTGTTCATGATTCCGACGGCATTGGCGAGCTATGAGTTCATGAAACAAATCGAATGGTTCCGTGTGTTTCATCTCACTAATAAACAGCATCTTGTCGGATTCGCCAACTGGATGTCCGCTTCGGCAATGTGGTAAGTCGACGTACAATGCTCGCCATTTCTTCATTTTGTTGTATAATTAAATAATTTTGAAGTTCTCAGGCAACTCAAATAAAATATTTTGAGAAGCAAATATTCAATAAAATCTAAAAAAAAATACGAGAAATTCTAAAGTTTATTGATGCTATCTAAAACGTTTTGAAACTCGATAATTATTCGATTTTTAAAGTCTTATAACATTTTCGAAAGTTTATTGAGCAAATTCGAAATTATCTCGATAAATTCTAAAATCTTGAAATAATTTCTAAAGTTGATTGAGAAAAATCTAAAATATTATCGAGACACGTTAGTTTCTCAAAGAAAATCAAAATATTTTATTCGATATACCTGAGTTTTTTCAAATTAATAAGCAATAAGTCAGGCTGGTGCTCGTAATCTGTTTGGAACGACTCATCGGAATCAAATACCCATTGTCATTTCGAAAAAGGAATTTTTTGTCGCCGAAAGTCGTCATACCATTAATCGTCGCCATGACTGGATTACTCACGTGCCATCATCATTTTAGGTTCGCAATTCATTATTTGATTCAATATTTTGCATTCTTTCCTAAATTACAGTTGGTCATGCCAAGGTCGTATTTTCTGCGGTGGCAATCAAACACACATGAGATGCCTGCGAAAGGATTCGATATTGTGCGTTCATTGATTTAATTCGACAATTCGAACTGAATATATTTAGGTGGTTCGGAAAGAATACGACGAATCCAACAAGCGAGCTCGCGAAAATCCTCATTCGATATGCTTCTCATGTGCAGGCGATTTTCACCGTGTTCATTCCCATCATTTTAGTGCTGATTTCAAATGTGATGTTGTTAATGACATTACGCCAACGGTTTCGCCATTTATTCAATGTTCCAAATCATTTTGAGAGTTTCAGACAAAAACTCTTCGCCCCAAATAGCACGATTCGAGGAGATTCGCAATTTAGTGGCACAGCTCAAGCAAAGACAGAGCACAAGGTATACGCATAAATATACGCATAAATACTGCTAGCTTATAAGCTTTAGGTGACAATAACGGTTACTGCCATCGTCACTTGCTTCACAATAACACAGGGACCATCAGCTATTTTTGAATTCATCAGAAATTATCAGCAGCCGTCGAAAAACACGGACGGCGAAAAGGATTGGATGGTGAATTGGGTAGGGATTTGATTCTCTCGCAATTGAACCCGTTCGGATTGTAGGCGACAATCACAGCGACTCTAGTCGTCATCGGAAAAGCGCTCAATTTTGTATTATTCTGTTTATCGTCGGCGACATTCCGTCAACGTCTTCTGATGCAGACGAAACAAGGTCTTCTCCGCAAATCCACTAGGTATTCCACTGTGACTGCGAACGTCCTCTGAAAGTCTCCAATTTGTTCAATTACTCTACTTTTCGTTATGTGTTTTATTACGAGTTCTTTTTTGCTCCGGCTGGCCGAGCTCTGTCAGCTTTATCCGCTTCGAATACGCGTATCGCATGAAATTGCCGTTAATGTCTAGAATCGCTTCCGCCTTATTCCTTTGCAATGTTCGATTGTATTCCATTTCTGGGCACTGTTGTCAATGTTGTAGAATTTTCGCATTTCCGCAATTCGATTATGTTTTCGCAGAACAGTCTCGATGGTTACCACTTCAACTGTCGTCGTTGACAGTTTACTCGAGAATCGAAAAAGGAGTCGACCTGCGTTCGAGATGACGGAGACTGAGGCTCGACCAACACCCCGTCAAATTGTTTTGCTTAAAAATCAAAGAACCAACAGCAGCCAATCAATGGGAGAACGAATGCCTCTGAAGGAAATACGGAGAGGTACTAGCTTTGTCTAATAATCGTCCACACGCATCTTTTTCAATTGTTGATCTCACCATCTTACACAGTTTCTTACAAAGGGTCATGACTTAATAAATTATGTTTATTAAAAACAAGTAATGGAAACAAGAACAACGCTGTTCAACTACATATGAACACCTAAAACAAAAATCTAAAAATCCTACCCTAAAAATTGACAAAAATCATAAAAAAAAAGATTATTACCGTTTTTCACATCGATGGAGCGTAGAACAATTAACAATGCAGCTCGAAAAAACAAACAATAAAAATAAAATATCTAGACAATGGCAATCTTAAAAAAAAAAACAAAATGGGCAAAAATTAAAGAGATGAGTGGAAAGGAAATTATTAAGACCTGTTTGAGATACGGGACATTAAGAAGATATGAAAATCTAGGGTTTAGAACGAAGAGCTTAGAAGCCCATGCCGCCCATTCCACCCATTCCTCCCATGCCGCCCATTCCTCCCGCTGGAGCTGGCTCCTCCTTTGGAATTTCTGTTACGACGCATTCGGTGGTGGCGAGAAGAGAAGCAACTCCAGAAGCATCTTGAAGAGCGGTTCTGACAACCTTGGTTGGATCAATGATTCCAGCTTCGAACATGTTGACGAACTTTCCGTGCATAGCGTCATAACCATGAGCTGGGTTGCTGTTTGAAAGAACCTAAACTCATTATTTTATACTGACGTTTTTCCACGTCTTCTTACTTCATCAATGATTGCCGATGGCTCGAGTCCGGCGTTCCTGACGATTGTGGAAATTGGTTGAACAAGTGCCTTTTTGACAATGTTCACACCAATCTGTTGATCCTCGTTTGCAGCCTTGAAAGACTGAAGGGCTTTTAGGGAACGAAGAAGAGCAACGCCTCCTCCTGGAACGATTCCTTCTTCGACAGCAGCACGGGTAGCGCAGAGAGCATCTGTAACCCTGTCCTTCTTCTCTCCAACTTCAACTTCAGAGGCTCCTCCGATTTTGAGAACAGCAACTCCCTTCGAAAGCTTGGCAAGTCTCTCGTTTAATTTCTCCTTTTCGTATTCGCTGGTAGATTGCTCAATTTCATCAGTGATCTGCTCAATTCTCTTTTCGATTTCTGTTTGATCTCCTCGTCCTCTCAAAAGAAGAGTGTCATCCTTAGTGATTGTGACCTCGTCAACTTCTCCAAGATCGCTAGCAGCCACATCTTCAATCTTCACAAGGTTGGTATCATCTCCGAAAACGGTTGCGCCGGTGGCGATTCCCATATCCTTGAGGGTATTCTTCCTGTTGTCTCCGAATCCTGGAGCTTTAACGGCAACAACTTGAAGTCCAACCTGTAAAACATAAAAGCTACTCTCTTTTCTATTATCGTCACGATACTATCTAGTCTTATCTAAAGGTTCTATTGATAACGAAGAAAAACAAAAGAAAAACTGCCGACATTGCAACTGCAGCCTTATCATACATCATAGAACAAACCTTCAGTCTATTGAGAACCAGAGTGGTAAGCGCCTCTCCATCAACATCTTCGGCAATGATAACCAAAGGTCTTCGCATCTTATTGGCGAGTTCAAGGGCTGGGACAACATCTTGAACCTGGCTGATCTTCTTCTCACTAAGGAGCACCAAAGCTTTTTCATATTCAACCTAAAACCTACGTATGAGCAAGATTCAAAAAAAAAAACTTATAATACCTTAGCTCCCTTTGGCGTTGTGATGAAATATGGGGAAATGTATCCGCGATCAAACTTCATTCCTTCGATAAGTTCGAGTTCGTCCGTCAGGGTCTTTCCATCTTTAACAGTAATCACTCCTTTGGTTCCAACTTTCTTCATAGCGTCAGAAATAAGATTTCCAATGTTTGTGTCTCCGTTGGCAGAAATAGTGGCAACTTGAGCAATTTCTTCTGGAGTGGTGACTTTTTTGCTCAAGGCTTTCAACTCCTTCACCACGACTTCGACAGCGTTCATAACTCCGCGGCGGATTTCAACAGCATTTCCTCCTTGGCGAATACTTTCGAAACCCTCTTTCGTGATGGCACGGGCGAGAACGGTGGCGCAAGTTGTTCCATCGCCAGCTTCTTCGTTGGCTTTATTAGCAACATCTTGGATTAGCTTAGCTCCTAAGTTTTGGTATTTATCCTTAAGATCAATGGACTTCGCAACTGTGACTCCGTCCTTGGTGATCTTTGGGCTTCCCCAAGACTGTTCAATAATCACATTTCTTCCCTGAAAAAATTGAATAGATAAATTAATTAATTAGATTAAATAACCTTTGGGCCCATTGTTACAGACACAGCGTCAGCGAGAAGATTCACTCCAACGAGCATTGCCTGACGTCCCTCACCTCCGAATTTGACATCTTTGGCATAAGACCGAATAATAGCGCACTGGGAGAATCCTTTCCTGGCGAGACGAAGCATATTTAGCTGCAAAATTATTGTTTTAGATTATGCTGAAAATTCCCTAAGCTCAAAATTGAAGTATGATGCAATCAATAAAGCTATTAGAGTCCTTTTTCGTTATTATATAGTGATTGTAGTTAGGAAAAAAATTCTACTGGCAAGTTCGAATGAAAACTGAAAAAGAAGTGCGAAAATTTCAAAGTATACTCAAAAGAAACTTGCATCATCGCAAAAATCCGAGACCGCCCACTTTTTAAACTTATGCAGGCGCCGCACACTTTTCGTTTAGTGCTGATTTTTCGCGAAGCCTTCTGTGATTGGCTGATTGTGCCGAAACCCCGCCTTTCGGCGTAGTTTATTGGTCGATTTGAATGTTGTCTCCGCCTCCGAAAGTTCTAGATGCAACGCATGGGCGACGTTTTTTGAGAATTTTTCTATGGTCTTCCAGAAGCTTTTTTTTTTCAACTTTTCATCGCAGACGTGAAACATTTCGATAAATAATCAAATATTTTCCAGACACCATGTTTCTCTCTGCCATCCGCCGTTCGGTAAGAAAATTGTTAGTGAATATATTGCAATATTACTTTTAGAGTGCTCTTCTCAAGTCGTTCAAGCCACTCCATGACCGTGTTCTTGTTGAGCGTGTCGCCGCGGAGACCAAGACCAAGGGAGGAATCATGCTTCCAGAAAAGTCACAGGGAAAGGTAATATTTTGATTCTTCAGTTTCTGGTATTTAAATTTGACTGTTTATTTTCGTTTTTCCATTATTTGGGAATTTTTGCGCCTTTGTGAACGAACCAGTTTTTCAGGTTTTGGAAGCCACGGTTGTTTCTGCTGGACCAGGATCTCGCAATGAGAAGGGAGAGCTTGTTGCTCTTTCCGTGAAACCAGGAGACCGTGTTCTTCTTCCAGAGTACGGGGGCACAAAGGTAAATTGTTAAAAAATCACCAATTTCAGCATATTTTCAGGTTATTGTCGATGACAAGGAATATTCAATTTTCCGCGAGTCCGATCTTCTGGGAGTCTTCCAGTAAATGAAGCCTAATAAACTTCTGTAAGCGATACAGTTCGGTCTCATCGTTAGGATTATTTAAAGAGAATATCCTTTAGTGTTTTCTTTTAAATATAATAGTAGTTTTTCAGTGTTATTAGTACTGTGTTATTGTTTTTTTTAGTTGTTTTTTCTGCCACATCCCATTAAATTATTACCGGTTTTGTTGTCTTTTTCAATTTTCGTTTGCAATTCCTTTCTTTATATTTGTTGAGATATTGCGATGAAATTCATAATTTATGCCTGTTGACGTATCTTTAAATCCTATGAGTGAAATGGTAATCGTGCGCGGAGGTGATCATTAGGCCAACAGCGCTTCAAGGTCGTCTACAAGACCACGAATTTAGACAGTTACGGGACAGAAATCATCTAATCTCTTACCAAAACTGTATGATTTTGATAATTCTCATGTGTTCAACTTTACTATAAATGGACACGAATCTTGAGACTATTGTTCACGAAGCTGGTAATGTTTTGTCGTTATTTAAAATTAGGTTTTTGTATACGAGTACTTATAGGAAGGGCATACTCAGAAGGTCGATATGAAGATTCTCGAATATTGTATGAAAATGCATTAGAAAATTATCCGAATAATGGGATACTACACGCAAATTTGTCAGCGATTATGATAAAGATTGGCTTTAACGATAGAGCGATAGAACATTCGAAAAGAGCTGTTGAACTATGCCCGAAATGGGGAAAGGTTTGCCGTTCACTTAATTTATCCTATAAATTAAATTAGGCATATTATCGTTTGGGTGATGCATTTCGAGCATCTTCAAACATTTATTGCTCCCTTATGGCCTTTTGTCATGGCGTTCGGATCGACCCTGCCAATTCGCAGATGTTTCGTTGTCTTTCGGAGATGATCAGTCGCAATTTCGAAAGTTTTCCATGGCAACAGCTCGAAATTCTAAAATTGAAAAATGACCCGTCGGCGGTTTTGTCAACAGTTGGAGAATGTTTACTCGCACAAGGAAAAGCTGAAGGTTTTGAATTTATGAAATTATATTTAATCTCAGATTCATATTTGTGTAGATGCTGTGAAAACGTTAGAATGGTCGCTCGAAATGAATCTAAGCTCGAAAAAACTTCGAGAATCCGTTTTAGGAGCGTTGGGATCTGCATATTGTGGTCTTTTTAAATTTCAAAATGCTCTTGAATGTTACGAGAAACAACTCGAGTTGGCAACAGAACTTGGTACATTTATAGTCATTAATGTATGAATCTTTTCATTTTTAAGGTTCAAACCATGAAAGTATCAATATGATCCGCGAAAATCTCGCGTTTGCGGCAGAAGAATGCCGAAAATACGAATTAGCTGCGCTTCAAAGAACTATTGTAATCGATTCAGGAGTTTGTGAACAATTTTTGATTTTAGAAAATAAATGAGTGAGTTTTAGAAATTGAATCGGGAAGAAATGATTCTTGAAAAAATCAAAATTGCGGGAATTTATTCGAAAATGGGTCAAATCGCGGATTCGATTATTATTTTAAAGGACTGTTCCGTTACGTGTAACTCAAACATATCAAAGGAAACTCGAGAGCTGGTTTGCAAACGTTTAGGATTCGCATATGCCGATCAAGTGAGAGCATTTATGATACAGCAAAAAATTGTTGAAATATTTGCAGAATTTATTCGATAAAGCTATTGAAATTCTTGTACCCCTTTGTGAAAAAGGCTCGAATGATTTGGAGTTGATCGAAAAAATTAACAATTGTTATATTGGGTTGGATCGCCTCAAAAAGTCGATTGAGTTTTTAAGAGATATGACCCAAAATACAAATCAAATAACGGTAAAATTAAGATTTTCATTTTTCCATTAAAAAATACATTTTAGATGCTCCATTCAAGTTGTTTATTGTGTCAATCACACATTTTTGTTTCCAATTTAACTGTTGCTTTGAAAATTGCGAAAAGGGTTTTGCAGATTTCTCGGTGATTTTTCATTTTTCTTTAAATGATTGCTTTCAATATTTGTACCACAACATTGAGCGAATTTTCAGCAATCGCGTTGAATACAAAGTTTATGAAGCGAACAGTTATCGACTGTTGGCGATTATTTACGATAATCAGAAAGATTTTTCGTCGGCAATAATTCTGTGGAAAAAATTTGTTGAAATATCGATGGATGGGAGTGTGAAGGCATTATTAGAAATTTCGCGATTATTGGGAAAGTGTTCGACTAATGAAAATGCATTGAATTACATCAACAAAGCTATTGAAAGGTTTCAAGTTGTAAAATTTATAAAATTAAAAAAATTTAGATCTCGAAATTCAAATGAGATGATCATATGTTTATCTGCGAAGTATCGATATTACCTTGCGAATTCGAAAAAATCGGAAGCCTTGGGAATTTTGGAAAAACTAAAAACTTATATGAACGATGACTTAGGTTTCAAATCATTTTAAAAGTTTATATTATCCTATGATTTAGATTCGAAGTTTAGAAGTTTAATTTTCGAAGATGTCGCTTTGTTTAAAGATATTGATCATGAACACGATACAATAATTGCTTTGGAGCAAAGTTTGACAGAAGCTCAGGATAGCAGTGATGTATACAGAGAAGTCGAGATATTGGAGAGAATTGGAGTGATATTAAGTGAGAACAAAAATTATGAGTACGATTTTATCTATTAATATCAAGAATCGTAATGGTTTTTCAGAAAAGCGGAAAAGTATTACTGTCAACAATTAGAAGTTGCCAGGGAGTTGAGAAATGCAAAGCTGATGGCAGATGCGCATGCGAATATTTGCAGGTTTCATTTGTTTTGATATTTTCTACCTAATTCTAGTGGTTAGGCTCAAAATGAAGACGAAATCATTCGGCGAAGCTGCTGATCATGCGAAATGCACTCTGACATTGTTAAAAATATCAAGCAATCACAGTTTGAAACTCGAAATGCTTATTAATCTGGCATCGGCTGATTATGAGAGGTATCAACTTATATTAATTAACATTAAAATTGGAAATATGAATTTGAAGGAAAAACTACGAGGCGGCTCTAAACGCAATTGAAAAAGCGCTATCTTTAGCGGACGAGTGTGATTCGAACGAATATTTGGCAAAAGCTTGCCGACTTACTGCTGATTTGTTCAAAGTAGCACAAGATGATGAAGAAATGCTTCTCGATATTCTCGAAAGACATCTGGGTCTTTTTGAATATGAAAATTCGAATGTTGACAAATGTCGCACAATTATCGATGTGATCAAGCTAAATATCCGCTTTATTCCAAAAGTGATTCATTTCATTCAATTGATTATTCCAATTGTTGAAAAGCTTGAAGTTGAGGAAAAAGTTTGAAATTTCTCTTTCTTTTTTTTAAAGAAAACATCTTAATTACAGGTGAAAATTTTGCACGAACTGATTGCAGTTTGTCATAATGCACAAATCCATTTTTATACATTTTCATTCATCAAATATGGTGTTTTGTATCATCCACAAAAGGTTCAAAATGTGCTTCAATTCGTTAAAATGCTGCCACTAGCTTTTAATTCAAAGATTTTGATTTATTTTGCGGAAAGAAATCGAAATATGTGGGAGAAATTGCAAAATGATTTGGTTATTGTTGCACCCGAATTTGTTCGTTTCAATTTCCCAATTAAGGTTTGAATTTTATGAACGTTACGATTAATTATAGTTATTTCAGAACTCATTTTCTCGAATGGTGATTTCTTATTATGATCGCAAATGGGAAAATATATTGACTGAAGAAAATTGTGACGACGAAAAAAGCTTAGAAGTATTGCCGATTCAAATAAATCAAATTGAACGATTAATGAGAATAACCGCAAAATGGAAAATGGGACAAATTGTGGATTTTGAGATGGAAGATTTTTCCGGTTCGATTTACTTGATTTTATTTGTTTGTTTAAATAATTCTTCAGAAACAATCAAATGCGCCATATTTGACATGTTTTTTGACCAAAAATCGTTTCCGTCTGCGAACTTTCTAGTCAAAAATCATTTTGAAATGATCAATTACCGCAACTTTGATATGTTTGCACCTGAAAATCGAAAAATCGAGAAAATTATTTGTGCAGCAAACCTCGATGAGCCCGATTTGATTGAGATGTGGTGCATGGTAGCAAAAAATGTTTCTTTAAATCTCACCTTATAGACGCCTCTTTAGGAATTATTTTCTGAATATGGAACTATGGAGGAATCGATTCTTCTGAAATTTACTGGCGTGTCTGAAGAAATCCTAATAAGATTTGCAGCTATTTTTACGGCTTTAACAGTTCGTGAAACTTGGATGAAAATCGAAATTTTGGGTATTCAATCCACATTTTTTTGAACTAAAATTTTGAACTATTGATATTCAGAACGCTGTGTTTTTGCGTTGCTGCGTAATTCTCAATCCGATTTTGACTTCAAATTTCCAAATTCGGATTTCGTTTATGCTTTTGAAGCGAATTCCCTAACTGTGTTTTGGATTTTTGGTATGATATTATTATATATATATATATATGTACTAGAATGCAACACAAACGAATTGCGTTGTACAGAAAATGGAGCAGTTCGCGTTGTGTGGCACCAAAACGACAAACCTTCAACATTTTATGACTTTATTTTGAAACGGCTGATTGAAAGCTTCGGGTACAAGCGAATCGAGGGGATGTTGCAAACGGAGTTATTCGTGTCGCTGTCGAATTTTGAGGGCATCGAATGCGAAACAAGAAAAATGTTTATTCAGAATAGGTGCGAAATTCGATTTTACATTGTTGACCTTTCCCATTTATAGATTACCATTTTAATTTCCAATCCCACAAATCTGATACTAATGTGTGTGTGTTTTTTTTTTTCAGAAAACGTTCCAATATCGTCAAAGAAATTGATGTGGTCGGTTTTGATTCGAAAATCGACGTTCCTGACATGGTCGAAGCGTTTCGCTATTTCGCGAATCCTCACTTATGTCTATTGAAATTGGAAAATTCGCGAATCGCCATAATCGATCCAAATGAGTTCCCTCTCGACATCACCGATATTCGCAGCTCGCCGAGTTTTGTCGTTTTCGTCGGAGGTTTGCTATTAGAGCAAATTTTATGATTGTAAATCAGACAAATCTGATGGAAAACACATGCATTCGCATGCTAATCGTTGAAATGTTCACATTCCGACTCGAAATTGCAGATGAGATGCCGTCTTCGCTCGCTGCACATTTTCTGTTTCACAACGCGCTCGCCGTGTTTGCCACGCGAAGAGAACGCGTCGTCTCGCTTGTCGCGCGCTTGCAAGTAAGTACAATTGACACGCGTTGATGCCAGCAGCAGCGTGGCGCAGTGGAAGCGTGCTGGGCCCATAACCCAGAGGTCGGTGGATCGAAACCACTCGCTGCTAATTGCTTTTGCCTAGTCTTTTTTATTGGCGAATTCGGGAATTCTCCTTGTTAGAAAAGTGTTGAATATTTCCTCAATTATTTTTTCTTTAGATTACCAATGATCACCGGGAGATCAAAGCGGTGAATGTGATTCATGGCGATGATTCAGATGGCAATTACGCCTTGCTGTCAACACTTCGAAACGATGTAAAAGAAGCTGTTAACGGAGATTACTGTATTCCCAACGATATTTCAGCTGATGTTGAGAAGGTCGTCGCAGGTTGATTTATTTTTAAACCACTTGGAAAATTTTTGAATTTTAGAAATTGGTAGAGAAAGGGTTTTGGAAATTTTGGGCATGAAAGACACAGAAGCCATTAATCAAAAGAAATTTGAAAATAAAACAGTTGACATGTTTTTTAGGAAAATTTATCATGGTAGGAAATATTGTGGGAATAATTGGAAAATTAAATTTTTTAGATCATTTGTTTGATTATGACGAAAACGTGATGGGATTTGATACATCTACTCAACGGTATGATCCGATAGCTTATAATTATACATTGATTTCTTTAGATCAATGTCACAATGTTCCACCATAAAGTGCTAAATTGGCACCCTACATAATCTTGCTGTCTGTCCACATTTGTGTGCTATCGCTTAGCGTATTGGCAGTACTGCCCGACAGCACGAGAAACAATCCTATTTCAATTCAAGGCTATGACGATATTGATTCACTGACGTTATGACGGGTACATCTACCGTATCCTACGTTCGGTTACGGTAGCCGTCGAATGAACGAGCGTCTAATCTTCTCTCTGAGCCTTTTGATATTTCGTGAAATAAAAATTTCGGTTGGAATGCGGAAGTCGAAACATTTACGAATAAGGTTAATTAGATTTGAGAAAATTCTGAATAGAAGAGAAGTAAGCAAAACCTAACTTGAAACTATATTCAAGTCAATAGAATCACTCATTAATTTTCTGTTTGATTTAGGGGTTTTAAAATATAATTTTCTACAATTTAAAACCGCAAAAGTTAATGGACTAATATGAAAAGCTACCCATCGAAGAATGCCTAGTGCGTCAAGTAATGCAAGTCCGCAAGCACCTCTCTTTTGATGCTTATCAAATTTTTCTAATTTCGCTTTGTATTGTGAATTTTTGTTTTTGGTGTCTTCGGTTTCAAATGTCTGGCGGCCAAGTTCGCAATCAGTGTTGATTTACGAATTTGTTAATTTGATCGCTAAGCGCGCGTACGCAGATACACACAGTTCCTTTTACCTCGAGGCACCATGGGACATAGAAAATTTTTTATATTTTCGATTTTAACTCATACAATGTTTGATAGCAATTTTATTCAACAACAACACAATATTCTCAATATATAGTTGAGCCTTTTTTGTAAGGAAAGTCAACTGTAGTAATCGATTTCTAAACAAAAAAAATGATTGGAAGGAAATTAGATATGAGTTAGGGCTAAAAAATGTTTGACCAGTTGCGACTACTCGACTAACAAAAATTATGCGTGTGTTTAGAGGATTAAAGCTTCAATAACCAACAAAAAACGAGACGAACACCTTAGGGTCGGTCTCGGAATTGTTTGTAGAACGATTGAACATATGTGAATACGCATTTCCAGTCTGGCCTGTCGCCCATCATGATCATATCATCGACTTCAAGAAGTGGAAAAATTCCGTTTTCTCTGAAAGACAAAGATTTAGTGTCTCATGAGATCTTCTGGCAAAAAAAGTGAAAACAAATTTTGATTTTCATGTTTCATTGTCCACACTTTGTCCCATTCATTGATGAAGAAAAATAATTACTGTATAAAACTCACTCAGCTACTTTGAAAGCCAAATCCAGATTGTAGCGACGATTTTTCGGATCAAGTGAGTTGAAATCGAAAGCATCTGGGGCGAATCTGTGGATTAGGGCGCAGAATGCCATGCCATCTGCCCACGAAGATGAGAAGTTTGTCACGTTGACATTCTGAATTTCATATTCAGATTTAAAATATAAAAAAATATTACAGTCAATTACAGGTTTGTTATGCAAAAATCAAAACTTACTGGATATCCTTGAACTCTATTCTGAATCCAGCGCAATAGTGCATCTTTAATCGAATTCGGATTCAATACTCTCGGCGGACCTCCAACTGCCGTTCCGTTTCTGAATTTCAAGATGGGCATATTTTATCGAAATTGAGATTTGTGTGTTACCCGACTTTCTCCATTTGCTTGAACATGTTCGGACGTGACATTTTGGGCTCAGCTGAAAAAAAAGAATCTGATTGAATTCGGATGAAAGTCGCCGATGAAGTGATAAGGCGACATGATCACATAGTAATATTTTGAAGAGAGCGTGCTTCTGCTCGGCCGCCGAGATTCGAGCATCAACAAAGTGCGATAGCGGCGGCGGCGGCAGCGGCTGATGAGAATGATGGGACACTATCTCTTTTCTTTTCTTTTCCAACGAACGCAGCCACGGAAATTGTAATATTCGGAGAGGCGCTTGACAACACACAAACACACACATGATGGCGATCAAATGGAGCAAGTGCAAAACACCATCAATATAAATAAATAATCTCTTTCTCGATCGATTCATTTCAAGCTGACCTCCAGCAATCTTACAAATTTCGGAAGGTAAATAAATTTTGAATGATCGCTATTGTAAATAATTATTTTAATTAGCTATTCTTTTCAATTTTATCAAAGGAAATGTTACGTATAGAACATAAAAATATATTGAATTAAGACGATCAAGATTTTCTGTGAAATTAAAAGAGAAGAAATGCGCAAGATTTCCGATTTGAAAATTTGCATAAATACTTACATTTTAGGCTGGCGATTCCGCCGATCGCCGACGTTGTGAGCGACGAGGCGCCTGGAAATTGATAATCTGTTGGCGCGAAAAGTCAACAAAACTCAAGTACGGAAGGGCCGAGGCCAGTCCGAACACCAAGAAGCGGAAGAATTGAGAAAAAAAAAACGAGAATCGGCCCTACCGTGTCGAATTGGCGTTGGCGGACCGCTTCGCGACATCGCGCACGTCGTCGCCGGCTTCTTTGCATTTTCTTTGCCGATGATCAACGGAAGCTGGAGCAACGATTGACGAGATTTGTGTAGATCGTTTTGCTGAGCGGCCGAGATTTCGCCGAATTTGCGAGCGAGCTGCAGAACGGATTCCGGACGACTCATTCCGCGAATCGAGCAACGAATTGCTTCGCCGGTGTCCTGAAAACAGAATCTCATGAGAATGTAAAAAAAAGATATTTGTTGTAAGCACATAAGAAACAACTCGACAAGGGTCTTGTAGTGAAAATGAATTGTGGAGAACGACTGCGCAAAAAATTAAGTGTAGATTTACGGGCTTAAAGGCCAACACCGTGAGCCAAGAAATCTCTCAAAATTTTTGGCATTTTGTCAATTATTTTTTAAGACACTCATTCTTGCGATTATTAGAGATTGACAAATGGAAAAGTGTTAGAATCAAAGTCAAAATTAGTCAGAACCCTCCGTTCGTATTATTTTCGAGAATACTGAAAATCGATTAATGAGACTCATGAGATGTTAATCGTGATAATGCTGACGAATTAAAGTAAATGGGGGAAATGGTGTGGGAAATCAGCAGCAGAAGCAGTTTTAGCGAATTATGTTCATTTACATACATTCATTCATTCAAAGGTGGTCTGAACTGGTTTCGCGTGTGCGTCTTGGGTCAAATCATTATCACACAAAAATTCTGTTTCTGCAATTGCTGGAAACCAAAAAAAACAAAGTGATAACCAGAAATATGTATAATGGAAGCCGGTCACTGAGAAACATGAATTGAGATGCGAATATACAAACACACATATTTGGTATCGGCGGAGCCCCATCAAATTTAATGTAATTGCATTTTTTTTCTCATTTTTCCCGCAAAATTTATTATTTACTGTTAAGTTTAAAATATTTCGTACATATGTTGACATTTCGAGCCTTGGCTCATAGAACAATCACTCGAAATTCAAGTGTATTGGTTTATTGCTGAGCATGTTTTAAGTTTTTTTTTCTTTTAAATAGCAAAATCAATCAACAAAAACGACTAGAAATCTCTTTTGAATGAGAAAACGAACTTTTTTCAATTAAGGGTTTTAATGGGGTTTTTTTGAGAAACTTCGAAAGAAAAGAATTGCCGACGACGGTAAACGGAAACAAATTTTTGGCGAACGAACTTTGACCTCATGTGTTTATGTTCATTGATTTTGAAAAAAAAAATTCAAATAAAAATTTTAAGGCATATTCTATGGTATAATGAGGACTAGCTGGTAATTTTAAATTTTGCGGTTCATCGTGTCAATTTTAATTTTGATGACATTGAAATTTCAAGAAAATGACAAACTCATAAAAAAATGATTTTAAAAAATAAAGTAGAAAAAAAAACTGGCAAGACATACGCAAAAAATTTGGGATTTCAATTAGTCATCGAATTTGATAAAATTCGATTTTCAGGCAGAAAAAAAAGAGGAAGATGAATCGGTTTTGGTCGATTTATGCAAAGGAAAAATGAGGTAAAAACAAATGTAGTTTTTCTTTCGCCACTGATTGCCGTCGCCGCCATTTGCGACGTCTTCAGATTTTTATCTCATCTCGTCCGTTTTTCGGGTCAACCTCGGCCGTGTCTTAGTCCGAAATCGTACAAATAAAACTCATGGGTTTGAATGGAAAAAATGGAAGCGAAACAATGGGGAGTTGAATTGGGCTGAGGATAAAAAAGATAAGGGCGAAAACTTGATGTGTTCTCATTGAGGTCGCCCACTCTCTTCCGAAAAAAAGGGCAACAAATAATTGCACGAAGATCGGCGCATAATTACATCTAGTATACGAAAGTGATTAGATGGCGCGGGGCGTCGAATGATGAATATGTTGACATTTAGGATCAAATATGGACATTAAGCCAAATTATGGGCGATGCGATTTCAACGAAAAATAAATACCAAACATGGGTGTACTGTGCCGACGTCGAATGTTGACGCCAAATCGTTGAGTGATTCATTTTGTTGCTTTCTTTTTGTTTTTTTTTTATTTCCTTTTATGCTCGTTTTCAATGAATTGTCGGGCCCTTTCCCAAACGCTTCTTTTGTATTATTTCCTTTGAAAAATATAACAATTATTATAAAGTGATGCCATGAAAGTTGATAACAATCAAACAGGAAATCGGATTTCTGATAAATGATGGCCCATTGAATGTAATCGCAGGTCGGAATTCGATTCTTTCGATTTGAAGCATTTTTTTAAAATTATTGCTTGGCATTGAATATTTCTCAGATATTTACATACATATTATGGAAAAATGATGAATGTGAAAATCTGCAGCGATATCCTATGCATTGTGTGCGTACACCGAGTCGATCTTAGCTACAGTGATCTAAACTGAAATTATTTAATTGATCGTTAATTGTTGATCGTTTTTTATATAAAACAATTAACTTTGAATAATATACAAAAATAATTCCTATTACACTTTTTCAACATAAATGTTTACGTAAAACCATAAAGAAAAAGTTTTCGCCAAGCAAACACAGAAAATTTTTTTAAAATAATTGATTAAATAATTTTCAGTTAAGATTACTGTAGGTATGATCGAGATGTGCGACTCGGTGTACGCACACAATGCATTGGATTTCGCTGCAGTTTTTCACATTCGTCGTTTTTCCGCAATATATATTGTCGAAGTCAGACGACCTGACGAAATTTAAAAAATTATTGGCTATTTGCCAATGCGTTTCGAGGCAGCGAGATTGCGTAAATTGCATTATAGCGTACGCGCATTAAATATTCAGTCAACGAAAAATTTAAATCTCTACTGATTTCGCGTACTTGAAGGCTCCGCCTCCTTTTTATCGTTTGACGCCAACAATAAATGTATTTTTTTTAATTAGAAACAAAAATGAATATTTTTGAAAATTTCATTAATTTTGGTCAAATTCAGTTTCATTCATTTTCATGAAACCAATTAATATTTTTTGCATTGGCTTTTAATGTAATAAAGCGGTTAAACCGAAAATGAGGACTTGAGAATTTGGGAAAAATGTTCAGCAAAATTGAACCGAATGAAATGGGAGAATTTGAAGAAAAAGGAGAAGTTCCTCGTAAATTGGTTGCCAGCAATGTTCCGCTGAATACGTGACAATTCACGAAAGAGCAGTTGATACCAATGTGGGGGCTAATAAACAGTTGGCGGCGCACAATGGTCGGCGAGATTCGAATGAGTGTCAGTTGAGACCGCACTGATTAATAGCGTCCTTCGGGGCCAAACAAGGCGACTTTATTTATTCGAGACAATCAAGTGAACGCGCAACCTAGGCGGGTCACTAAACGCTGCCAATTTTGGTCAGCCGGCCCGGCGGATTTCTCAACCGGATTCGACACTCACCACATCAGTTTCCAATTGGGCGTGGCCTTCGTTGCACAGTACTCGAGTCACATCGTTTTCGAAAGCTCTCACTTGCGGCGGCATCGATTTGCGGCGGCTGGCTTCCTGTGAAAAAATTGTTGAAACCATTGGCGAGCACTCGTCGTTTTCCCACACATACCTCATGCTGGTGTTTGCGATATCTGAAGCGACTCCGGATTCGCGAATCATCGCTGTGCTCCGAAATCGAGATCTTGAAAAACAGAAAATGCAGCTTTGGTGTGTCGGGTTTCTACCTGATCGTCACTTCCACCGCTACCGTATCCCGACGATGACGATTCCTTTTTGCGAAATTCGGTAAAATTCAAAATGTCATCGTCAGGCTCCGGCGAGACAATAGGCGGGGTGTCGGAGATCTCGAACATCGGCCGGAATGAGTATTCCGAAGGCGTCTCGCAGTACATTGAAGAGAACACACCGAAGCAATTTTGTGGAGAGAGTGGCTCATTGAGCCCGAACGGATGAAACGTCTTCTGGCCGGTGGAATGTCGAGTGATCGAGCCCAAATAAGCGGAGAATCCAGGAAGCGGGCTTGCAGAATGACGATTGGCACTGATTCTGAAATAATTACATCATCAAATGTGCGGAAAATTGCATGAATTCCAAAAAAAGTTTGGGAAGAGGTCTCGCGGCGCCGCATGCGCCTTTAAACTAGCCTTATACTAAAATCCGTAAATCTACCCATTTAGTTTTGCGTCAAGACCACTGTCATAATTTTTTTTTGGAATTCAGCGAGTCGCAATTTTGACAATTGGTTGTAATTTTACAACAAGAATAATTTTAAAATGACCCCAAAAAATATAATTGATAAATTTTTCGAATTTTTTGTTTTATGTGAACACATTTTTTGATTGGTTATTATATTGGGTTTTGAATATAAAATGCATGCACTTTTTTGTACTATTTTGGGAAATGAATGTGTTTTGTCAAGAAAAAAAGAAGCAAAGAAAAAATCTTACGAGACAAGACTCAAATTTCTGGTGCGTTTTTCCTCCAATGAAACCGACGACATGATCCGAGATCGATTGGTAGGCATACCTGAAATCCGACTATTATAGGGGTTCAAATAATAATAGCGGAAAAGGCCGCACGAGACCAATTAAAAGATCAACATGTTGTATAGACGAACGCACATAAATCAAACCCCTCATCGAAATACAATATATATATATATATATATATATATACAGCTAGGCGCCAAATTCGCTTTTGGACCAATTCGTGATGATGGAGTGAGTGGGGGCTTATCTTTTTTCTTTTTGAGAAAAAGGAAGTTCAGGGTCATGCAACGCCAATCGAACACAATTTCATAAAATTTGCTGAGGCGTTAATAAAATTTGTACGTTTCTATATTTCGCATTTTTTTTTTCATTTCGAAACGCCTACATTGAGCTTACAGTAGGCCACGTCATTGTTTAATTGGGGCCATAAAATACGAGATGTCTGTGATGGATTTTCGTGGCGAGACGCCATTGAAACAAAATCTTTGTTCGAAATTCCTCAAACGGAAAAATTGGTCCAAAAAGTTCAACTTGGTTGCTACCGACGCGGCCTCGCCCCCCCCCCCCGCGTTGCTGCTCCATCGAAAAAAAAAACATTCAGAGAAAAAATTCGGCGAGCGCGACGAGACACAGATGAGCCGATTCCATTTATAGCGACATTATCATCAAAAGCAACAGAAGCTGTCGAGTGGGATACAAAATGACGTCACGAAGATCGAGACAAATCGTACGGCGAGCGAGCTGTCGTTCGGACCCCCCCCCCTCCATTGACGGGGGACAAACACACCGAAATCGAACCTTTTCCTTATACGACAACACTTTTGCGACCGCCACCCTCGCCGAACCGACGATGCCCAAAAAAGGCGGCAACATGAATAAAAAATGGAAAGCGAGCACACTGGGGAATTGGCTAAAAAATGGGCGAGGGTGCTGCAAAAAGTTTTGGAAAAAAATTCTCGTGGAATTTTGAGTTCAAATGCAAAATCAAAAACTGATTTTGATGGGATAAGTATGGCTACGTTTTATCCTATTAATCCAATCGCAAAATATTTGTCCCTCTGATTACTTTAATTTAAAAATGCCGCAAATTTGAGGTGCGAGTTATCCCAAAAACTTGCGAGACGCTACGCAAAACTGCGTGCGCCTTTAATTACCGTATTCAAAAAAATGTTTTCGAATTTCGTAAACTCCTCAAATATTCTTTCAAAAATCCAACGGTTTCGCTATCTTTTCCCAATTTTCAATTATTTTCATTTTTTAAATATTCGAATATCGAGAGAATTCCATTAAAGATTGTGAATAAACTCAATTAAAAAAATAATCGATTACAGGCTCATAATTCTTAAAATGTGTTGGGTCTCGTGGCGACTGACCCTGGTATACCAGCCACTATTTTTTCGAAAAAAAAGAGAAAAAAAGAGAAAGATCAAACGAAACTATTAAATTCGCCAAAAAAAACGAGCATCATGCGTCGATTTACGGTGAGTTTGATTCGCAGGTTTCCTTGGGTACGGTATTCGAATTAAATTTCTAAACAATCTATACAAGAAATAAAGAAAGATAATTAACTTCTCCAATTAGATATCAAATAAAATAATTTTCACATAGACTGAAGCTAATAAAAGAAGATATTTGAAAATTTGCGATAAAAAAGGAAGGAATTCATTGAGTCGAAATTCGAGAGTTTTCGTTGTCAACTTCAAATAATTTTTGGTGTTCTAACAAAGCATGGCAACATTTTTTTTTCTGTTTTTTAATTCCTCGATTGATAGTCATGTTTGAGTTGCAAAAAGAAAAAATAAACGAGTCAACCCAAGAAAAACAAAACACAAAAATGAGAATGTTGTCGAAATATTTAAGAGGAAATTAATTAGTAAAATAAAAATGAGAATTCGGTGGAACGCTTTTCCGAAATCCCTAATATATATTAATACACGAACGGATATTTAATTCCTTTGCAAATATGTGAACCCAAAGACAAATAGGCAAATACCAATGAATCCTATACTCTTGTTGTAACAAACCAAAATCGCTTATAATTTCAGATTTCAGCTCTATATTATTCGCATGCTGAGAACATCAAGATGGGTCTTTTTATGAAATTACAAAGTGTTTTATTTAATTTTTTATTTTTTCTTCTTATTGGTTTGACAGATTTACAGGAAGCAATTAGAGAAAAAAAAATGGAAATGTATGGAAAAGAGCAGAAATCTTCAATAGGTCACTCTGTCGATTGTTTTCATTTCAAAATAAACTAAAAAAAGGATGAAAATCAAAATAGTGGTCCGATTGGTTTTTTTTGTTTCAGCGGGATATGATGACACGAATTGTTCGGCGAATAAAATTAGATTGAGCAATGCTATACAAAATAATCAAATTAACGAAACAATGCGCGCTGCTTCGTATAGTAGTCGTTTTCTTGACCACACATCTTCTCGATGACCCTTGTATGTTTATTTGTTCGCCTCTCACAGAGTCCCGCTTTTTTTTACGAGTGGTATCGCCGGAAAAAAAAGGGCAAAAGGCATCAGATTACCGCGTCAAATTATGAATTTCGATCGAATCGAAAAATGCTACGTGCAATATCTCGAAGACGGGAATACGAACTCGGCATTTTATGTAAATCTGCCGAAGTTTTTTTTATTAGATTTGAATATGTAGATGAATAGAGATTAGCTTCTATACAATGCTCGTCAAACATTCTACGAATCTCGATTTGCTGGTTTAAAAGTACAAATATATTTCTCTAAAAAGCAAAGAGAAGAAATGCATCAAATTCAAACAATCAAATTGACAGCTCAATAGAAATATTAATATCAAAATTAATGATAAATGCAAATAGAACATTTTTTGTAAAAATTCGTTCTCGATTCGAATGTCGATTGAAGAATGTGAAGGTCGAAAATTTAGTTTATGACCACTGTTGAAACTGGTCACTTCAAGTATAAAAGGTTGTAAATTTATTGCGGGTTTCAAGTGGAAATATCAATTTTAACTAATCGCAAAATCATTTTATTTGAACTCATAAAACTCTTTTAATAACTTTGCATTGAAGTTTCGAAAAGGAATTGATTTTGGAGCAATTAAACTAGGCGATGACGGCGATAAAAAGGATTGTCTGCGAGCACGGATTCCGTCACGCAATTTAAGGCGCAAGTTTTTTTTGTGCGCGTCTCTTCTCGAAATCACAATTTTTTGTCGTCTGTGGTCCGAATGGCTCGCTTGTGGTCAGAAATAGTGTTTGAAGGCGCGAGATGTGGCTAATGTTTCGAGGGTGACCACCAATTTGGGAGAGGCGCATACGGACACGCATCGTCGTCGGCTCGGCGGCTCGTCGGGCGCCGACTCGTTTTTTTTTCTTTCATCGTTTTCACGTTTTCTCCTCGCCGACGGCTATGACCTCACGCTTTGATAATAATGGGCATTTGGTTTGTTTATTCACTTCAAGACCTGGCACCAGTCGACAACAATGAGAACATATGGAAGTCGTGAATAACAGAACAAATCGGAAGTGTGATTAGAATTGAAATGGAAAAAAAATGAATTAAATATAATTGATTTCCTGGGCAGAATTGGTGACCGAACAATCCGATTTATGAGTCGTCTCAAATCGCCGTCGTCTGAAACGAATGAGAATTAAACCAGAGCCCGTACTTCCATTTGAAAATGAAAAAAAAGACCATTTTACTCGTTTTAAAGGAGTTTTGAAAGAAAAGAAAAGCAAGAATTATAATGAGCAAGGATTTCTACGAATTTTCTATGAAATTCCAAGATTCGAAGCATGCGATTTCCGAGTTTTTATTGCTGAAACTCATAACAACGAAACGACCTCACCTGCCCCAAATGAGCAGATGTTTTAGCATCGATTATAAATAATTATTCTAGTTCAGATGGCGTTCCAACAAGAAATCCGACTGTTTTCTCTCAGATTTTGTAGTATCAGAAAGAAAATCGAACCCACTTGAAGGTTTTCATCCAACATTTGATTTTATTCGATTTCGTTCCAGTCGCCTTCGTTTTCTTCTCATCGCTCTTCAAACACGAAATCTCTTCCATTTGCGCGGCGCTTCCCAAATGATATTCGAGGCTTTTCGTGTCGTCCGAATCAAGCGGCTTCACCGAACCGCCCGAAAAAACATCCGGTTTTACTTCCGGCACTTGATCGTAGGCATCATCAACAGAAGTTAGTCCGATTGCCAAATTCAGATCTATGAGAAGATTACAATCGAAATCATCAGCGTCCTCCCCAAACGGATTCAACAATTCCATGGCTACCTGAAAAACAAAATGAAATGAAAAAATAATTCTCAAGATTAAATTTTTACCTTGAGCCATCCGACGTAAAAAACAAATTCAATAATTGTCATAAAAGGTATGTAAAGATCAACTTCTGTTTTATTATGAGCCTCTTCAGAAATGAAAAATTGACGAGTGAAAACACAAATAAAAAAGTAAGTGTGGACGGCCATATTCACCAATTGTGGAAACATCGACGGAATCGGCACCCAATCGTACATCGAGATTGTTGTGAGCTGAAGTCGAAATTTGCTGATCTCCTGAGCGATCGCATTTCGAGCATTGTCTCCATCAATGCACTTTTCCTGTTTGGCGATGTTCAACAATTCGAGGGCCCAATTGAAGCTGACCCAGTATTTGGAGTATCTTCAAATAAAGCAGATTTCCGATTTTCGGCCACCATCGGGCTACCTTGATTTGATGGAATCAAATTTTTCGAGCTCGTGCGGCAGCATAATTCCAGCTTGTGCAACCGATTCTAATGTCGGAAATCTTCTACGGACCCCGACGTGAATATCGCGGAACACGAGACATTGCGATAGAACACAATAGCGAATGATGTTTCTTCTCAGCATTCGAGCTCGGGCGTCTTTGCCTCGAACATACGCGCTGACGAATAAGGCAATACTGAAAATTGCATTCATGAATTACATCGAGATTAAAGAAAAATTATTATCAATCAGAAATAATAATTAATTTAAATTTTACTTGTCTATTGGCCCGAGACTTGTGTATAATTTGAGCCATCTTCTAATAATAATGTTGCAGAAAAAGCCGAGAACAAAATTGAGCGGAAGATATCCCATTCGAGCATCACAATACTCGCCAAATCTCTCAAATAGACTGAAAATTAAAACTAGCATCTATGTGAACAATTTTCGTACTCTCGTTGGTCTTCGGTTAATGCAAATCTGTAAATTAAAGAGACAAACGTGTAAGCGATAATCCAGATAATTAGTTCTCTAAAAGAAATAAGGCGTGGAAAAAAATGCAAGTTGGATTACTTGTAAACTGCTTCCCATAGGGAACCCCTCCATTTGAACAGCATTTTAAGGACCATCGAGGTTTTCGATGTTGCCAAATCATAATGATAATTATATGAAATTTCTTTTCTCTGAAATAGATCCAATTTTTGTTTATTCTTTTACTTTTTTAATGATATTTTGACTACTTTGAAGACATCAGGCATCGGAAATGGCCATTCGGATAGATTGAACTTCTCTCTCTGAGGCTCGTTTTCGTTTTCTGTTTCTTCGCTGTTCATGTTGTAAAAATTCTAAAAAAGGAACTTCTGATATTTCAAAAATTAACAATTTTTCTTGATATGAATCAAAATAAGTGTTATCAAGTGATTTAAACCGTTTGATTTTGACATGTTTGATTTGCGGATTATTAGCGATTGATCCATTGAACTGATGATAACAATCATGTTTTTCTGTTTGGTTCCAATTGGAAATATGACATCAATTCAAATAATTATAAAATAATCCCGCCCACATCAGTTTTGTGTTAGAAGAAAGTTTTTAACAATAGAATAATTATGTGACTAAAATATAATGTTTGTGGTTAGTATTTAAAGAGGATAAAGACAATGAGTAATTGGCAGTTTCGGACGCCGAAACGAATATCGAAATTTTGGGGAATTCGGAATTTCTGAATTCTTTGATAAATCGAAACCAATCTGATCGGAATTGGGGCAATTTTACAAAAGGATACGAACTAATAGAAATCGGATTCGACAATTTAACAATTTTTAAAAAGTTTCTAGTGGGATCGGGTTGATTCAAAAAACGAATTTTGTCGTATTCGATTGATTTTGAGTTAAATGAGTTATGACTAATGCTTAGTGTTTCTACGAACTAAGCAGATAAAACAAAACATTTATTTTCGGAATGTGATAGTTTTTCTTGATGCTTGAGATGAACTAATGCAAAATATTGATACTTTTTTTTCAAGCGAATTTCCCATTTTTGCTCCGCCCATATGACGCCATGATCGAGCGCTTCATGATTTTTGTGTAACGGTACAGATCGGCGTGATTCCAAAAAAGCGATTAAAATAATTTTAAGGAATTTGCTTATCAGCTTTTTAAGACGTCCATTTGATCTAAATATAGTAACTGGACATACAAATAGCATCAAAACATATGTTTATTGAAGGAAATGTTAAGCGGTTATTCCGGTTCGTTGACTCGCAAACTTCTTTTGACGATGACGGTGAGGTTTCCCGGCAATGTGTTTCTCCCTGAACCGTATCGTGAATGATTCGAAATTAAGAAATACGATATACCAATTATTCTTTCCGCTAATTATGATATTGCAAACATCGCATGTTTTTAGAATGTTGGCATCAACGCTGTTTAATCGAGATCCTTGCGGCACCTGCAAGAAATAAAGTCAAATAGGTCAAATCCAAATGCTTCATACTTCTTCAAAATAATTGATACCGCTCATCCAACTGTCCACGATATCCATACCCGTTGAGATAATCAAGGATTTGTCAGATGTGTCAATCATTTTTGTGCTCGCCATTTTCTGAGAAAAAATGTAATTTTCTTATTTCAAAGTGCATTCGCCGATTTTTAAATATGTATTATTAATTTATAAACCAAAATCAAATGTTACCCTTTCGCCGTCGGATCTTCGCAATAACCTTGACATGTACCATCTCCTCTGTCGTCGAGCATACTGTCTCGTGTGCAATTTTACGTCTTCACATCTGGATTCACAATCATTAAAACAACATATCGGAAATTAGTCGAACCCTTGTTCGAACAACTTGATTCCTTGCCGAGATTCTCTTTGTTCCGTATCAAGACTTAACCAAGGAACGAATTCCTTCAAACCAATACATTGCATTACTCCATATGAATTCGATGAAATGAACGATTTGTGCTTATCGTAGAAGGCAATCAGTTCATTTTTTAACCCCATTCGAATCATTTTCTCAACTCTCGTATCAAGTCGCTTCTCAAGAACTTCAGGTGCCGCATCCATATAAATAACCTAAATACACTAGCGATTCTGAATCAGATTGAAAACACACTTACAAGTGAATCTGGATACCTTAATCGGCCACCAAGGTCCGCATTTTCTGACGATTTCTGTTCTTTGATGAGTTCACTTTTCTTTTTTCCCGTCTGTCGAAAAACTTCAATTGCCCGAATTACGCGTTTTCTTCGATTTGGATGAATGAGTTTTGCTGATTCCGGATCAATCTTTTTCAACATCTCCCAAAGTTCCGCGTTCGATAAATCGTTTTCTGGAAATTCAGTGTCGGACGTTTCATCATCTAAAATTAATCGAATTTTATTGATTTTTTTCTCGTAAAACTTGCCAGATTTTGAGCTCGTTTCAATAAAATTGTTCTCATAAAGGACACTTTCTGCGTAATAAGTCGTACCACCAACTAAAATTGGAATTCGATATCGATCGCGAATTTCATCAATTAGTCTTAATGCCTCCGAACGAAACTGATGAACATGATATCCTGCTGTGCTTGAAGGATCAAGAAACGACATCATATGGTGGGGAACTCCGTCAGCTTCTTCTACTGTGATTTTATTTGTTGCAATGTCGAGGCCTTGGTAGAACTGCATCGAATCGACACTTATTATCTCTCCATTGTACTTTTTCGCAATTGCCACTCCCAAATCACTTTTTCCAGTTCCTGTGCAGCCGATAACAAATATGATCTGAAATTGAATATTGACTCATATTTTCGATGTGACCAATTCCTCACAGGGTCCTTTCTCGGCATTCGTTGAAGCAATTTATTGAAGAACTTTGCAAATGTTCCCACTATTACCATCAGATTTCCAGTTTCTAATCTTATATATTTTTTTAATTCGTAGAAAGTTATTTAAAATAATGCAAAATTTTGTATTAAAATAATGGTGTATTAAAACCAATTTTTTTTCTCGAAATTCAAGAGACTAGGAAATAAGTTTATAAAATTAAAACATAACAATACATAATTCAACAATGAACATTTCGTCGCCTAATTATTCTCAAAATATTCTTTGAGTTTGTCCAGAGCTTTCGATCGATGCGAGATTGTGTTCTTCACATCTTTTTCCATTTCAGCAAATGTTTGATCAAATCCTTCAGGCTCAAAACAAGGATCCCATCCAAAATCTCTAGGTCCCCTCGGGCTCACAATTCGACCAGGACATTTTCCTAAAAACCAAAGAAAAATCAAATAATTAAGATGTTAGTGAATACCGGAAAATATCACAACCGGTTTATCAACTCCTTCAGTATATGCGAAAATGCATTGAGCGTATGCAGTTTTATCCTCAAAACCATCTAAAATTCGAAATTCAATCAAAATCAAAATATTGCAACAACACGGCAAAACGAACCAAGCATCTTAAAAAGTCCTTCGGGGCCTAACTTTTTCAGAAACCATTTAATATAAGGTCCAGGTAATCCGCCCATTGCATTGAAGCATAAACTCGTGTCTTCCACCAAAACTGGCCCCCTCACTGATTCGGCCGCTTCTTTGCATTTCTTTTCCGCAATAAATTCTGGTTCACCTTGGTACTCGTTCAAATCTACGTCAATATTCGTTATCTGCAAAATATCGATGATTCTTTTGAGAAATCGATAAAAATAGACCTCGAATCCCTTCAAAATCTGCTTCACCTCACGGAGTTTTCCAACATTTCCCGTCACAAACGTAACTGCTCTCATCTGGGAAGAATTATCGATTCAAATTTCAGTTCTGAGCAGAGTAATCAAAGGATTCCAACCAAAAAAACACCGCAGAAAATTTCGACGACATTGATAAAAGGCAAACAATTTCATTGAACACTATTTTCAACCACCACATTGAACTATGCTGATTACTCTTTGAGAACACTCCTATAACAATTCGAAACCATAAATGACGAAAAAAAAAGTTGGGCGGTGCAATGAATCGAATAGAAAATGATGGAATTGAGAATTTTAAAAATAAGGAAAAAGAACGTGAAGAAGGGATTCTAATGTAAGATAATCTACCGTACTCTATTAACACGCTACTCGATTGATACATATAATTGAGAGTTTACAGGAAGTTAACACCAGCGCCGATGTGGAAACCGCGATGAATCGAATCTCCGATGACGTATTTCAGGGGATGCGTGTAATTGAGCTCAAGTCGGAAAATGTTTTTAAACACGAACGTGACGCCTAAAATATTATTCATTTTCCAAAGTATCGAGATAAAACGGTTTTTTTTTTACCAATTCCAGCCGATACTCTCAACGTGTCCTGCAGTTGCTGAAGCGGATTTCTCGCGTGGATCGACGCCACACTTCCAGATGCGACAAATGCATGCGCGTATAGCATTTGAGGTGGAAAGAGTGGTCGATAGAGATGGACGACTCCCACGACGGACGCACCGCCGCCAAGACAACTGTTATCAGCTTTAACGCCAACTGTATTGAGGCCGAAACCACGAAGATCCTGTTGGCCGCCGAGGTAGCAGCGATCAAGAATGTGAACTTCTCGATCTCCAAGTCCCTTCAGTGATTGTGCCTGCATTGAAGCTGCCAAGATGAATTTCAATGGAAGCGGAGCAGCAGCCTGAACCATTTTAATTTTCAGATATTAGAGAAAGAATTAAAACTATTGACCTGGAAATCGAATTGGTGTTTAACAAATGATGCATCTCCAAGAATGCCGGCAAACTCTTGTGATACTCTTGCTAAAAACAGAAAATGTTCATTTTAATCGAAAATTAAATAGTTTTCGCATACCCAAAATTCCCTTCGTCGCCAAAATTGGCCGATCTCGTGTATCAGCGGCTATCGCATTTTCAACCGAGAATTTTAGAGTGTGTCCCGCATGCTCGCGAACAACAAACGCTGAATCACCAGTGGCTCGCAGTGTTCTCCAGATCGCGTTCAGCTTCACAGAATGCAATAGCTTGCGATTCCACAATTGGCCATTATATTGAAAAACCGCCGCGTTCTCATCGACATTTGATTGATTCCATGGCAAATAGGCTAATGAGCGATAGAGAGACGCGGAAATATTCGAGTATTTCTGCCATCCGAGGAACGGTTTTGCCGCTGATATATTGAAGCAATGATCTCCTTTGACTGTGTATGTGTATGATGAGTTGATCGACTCTCCTCGGCCACCGATGCTTTGTTTTCCAGCGTTCAAGCTCACATCGGCATCTCCGTTTGTCGATACGCCAGCTTTAACCCCGGCGGTGAATGACTTTGGTTCCTTTACAAGGAAGTTAACGACGTATCCTTCTCGTGAACTTGGTGCAGTGTCGATCAGAGCTACTGCATTGTCCATCAACCCTACTTCCTGAATAAATTTTTAATAAAATAATGAATTTGCTAAAATTAAATTACCTGTAAATGCCTCGCTGCTAAATGTGAATTGTGGACCAATTCGTCGAGATTCTGACTACGGTACAACTCGGAAATTTCTTTGAGAAGCGCATCATTCTTCGTGATTCGTACGCCGTGGAATTGAACAGCTTCGACTATCGATGGCACTTCTGAGGCTTTTTCACGAATCGTGTTGGCCTAATAAATCATTTCATTTCAGTTTCGAAAAATATTTTCGAAATTACCTTGTGGAAAGTCTTTTCAGACATTTCGAATGGCCAAACGGCGTATTCTGCTCGCCTAAAAAGTTGGGAATCATCAGATTGTCAAGCGATAAAAACTGAAAAGATAGGTGTACATGTCTAGAACATGTCTTAATTGATAAGGAATATTGAATAAAATGAATTTATTCAAATGAAAACGGTAACAACATGATTCAACAAAAAATAAGATCATCGAAAGTGAGAAAATGGAACAAAAAAGATGTTTAAGATCGAAGAACATGCGAATCTTCCTCATTTTCTTCTTCAACCCCTCCAATATGAATGCGATCGATTTTCGTGTTCAAATGTTCTTCGACATCTCCATTAAGAACAGCGACCTCTTTTCCTTTCAACGCCTATTCAAACTATTCATTTAAAACAAATAACCAATAGAATTATCCTTACCTCCTCTTCCTTTCTTCTCTTTTCTTCTTCGTCTAGTTTTTTCTTCTCTTCCACAATTTTTTCGTACATTGGCACATATTCGGTCTTATAAGCTTCAACTGATTCGTCAATCGCGTTCATTACGTCGTCGAATCCTTCGCCGGTTAAAGACGAAACGCACACTGCAATAAAAAACCGATAATTGTTTTTAGAAGATTGGGAAATCGCATACCAGATTTGAGACCACAGTAGAATTCATCAAGTACCAAGGACAAAGATCGACTGAGATCATTCATATAGGAACTACGAGTCTCTTCCAAAGCTTCATCGAATCTCTCGAAGTCTTTCATCCATTTAAGAGCGAACGTTGGCCGAACAATGTCGGATTTGTTGAAAACGACAATGAATGGCAACTTGGTGCGATAAAGGATGGAGCACGCATACAACATATTCGACATGAACGTTGTCGGGTTTGTGGCGCGGGCTGAGTCGACAACATACATCACAACCGTTGGATGGCTACTAGCCAATGAATCTGTGATGATACTTCCAGATGCCGACCAAGTGAACGCTTCAATTTGTCCAGGCGTATCGATTAAGCAAACGGAAAACTCATCGGATCGTTTGTTGATAAGCGATATCACCTAAAAGAAAATCATGAATCTAAAATGTGTGTTCAACTAATACAATATAGAATTACCTGATCGAATCGTGTGCACATGAGATTCAAGCATGTCATGATTGCGCCGTTCGGTCCCATTCCAAACTCTTTCATAACCTGTCAATCGCTATTTGCAAATTTCCGATATTGCGAATTCGTCAACAACCTCTTTGTACTTCACAGTATCTCGAATATCGACATTCACTGGATACGGAACTTTCGCCACTGCTGGATCCAAGTTGATCACGTACGGCGGTGTTTTGCGAGCATGCAGATAAGCCGTCAAACGCTGAACAAACGTTGTCTTGCCCGAACCAGCCATTCCAAGAACAAGCACAGACGGCCGCTGATTAACATTCGGACCCGTTGGATTAGCTTGAGTTTCAGCTGAAGATGAACTTCCTTCCATTGCAAATCTAAAATAATTAAAGAGAACTACGATATTTAATTGATATTGATGTAATATTTGCAGAATAAAACAACTGCTCCAATTTAAATGAATAATAAATAAAAATTAAAAAAAATAAATAGAGGTTTATGTTACCGGTTTCACAACACAGGATTCACTGGACCAATTAGTAAGTAGAGAGAAATAAATTCTACATGAGCAATACAAAAAGAACAAATCGAAAAAAAAATGATGGAAAACATTCACTGAGATTTCATATCACGTTGAAAAATGGCGGCAAGCTACTCTGAACAACTACGGGAAAAAAATGATATGGAAAACTGACGGAAAAATGAAATTATTCTTAAAATGGCGAAGAAAAAATAAACTAATAAGAATTATTCGAAATATAAACTATAAATTTCGACTAGAAGATCTTCGTGTAGGTGATGGATCATCAGGTACATCTTTGGGAATTCGAGAAGCACTGGAGACACGTTGAGATACCTCAATACGCGAAATTGTTGGGATTAAACGGATTTCTAAACGAACTGTTTGACGAACACTTCCAGGTGCACATCCTTTCACAATTCTGAACGGATTTATTCGTGGTGACGGCGTTTCAACTCGAGCAACTCCCAATGCATCACAAATTGCTTGGAGCTTAAGACTTCGGGCAGTTTGACGACCTTTCGTTAATCTCTGTTTGGCAGCCATGCATCGAATATGGTCGTCGAATATGAATTTCGCAGTGAGAACTGATTGTCGCTTCTTAAATGTTGCCCAAATTTGTAAATTCGAAAAATGCAACATACTTTCAATCGTGACGGTTGTCCTTCAACAATGACATGAAGGGCTCGACTATCCGAGGAATCGCCGCTGATTTGAGTGTCTTGCAACAATCCGACAAATCTTACGAGAGCCCATCCAGCTTTTGTCGGATGCGGCTCAACAATGATCAGTTGAAGTCGATCACTGACCAAAAATCGCGAGAGACGCTCTCCAGCTTTTCCTAGTGCACAAGGCTGTTGAGGAATTACAGTACACGCAAGCATGTCAGAATTGTCTGAAATTGTATGTTTTTAAACGCGCTCGACCGTCATAAACTACATGAATTGATGCAATCTCCAACAGCGACTGGCTCTTGTCCATTTGGAAACCTCACAGGCAGGGCATTGTCCGATTCTCCAGTCATATCCCTCTCTAATTTTCGAACATGCAGATAAAATAATATTTGCTAAAAATAGAATTATTTCGGCTTAAGCTTAATCACAAACCGTTCTTAATCTCTCTTCAAATCCACTGGCAAGCCTTTTGTGCAATGGTAATCCCGACAATGGAGTTGCGGCTGGCGGAAGAAGCATTTCATATCCAATAATATCAAAGTTTATATGATTTACCTGAATTATGGATATGATAGACAATTTATTTTTAAATTAAAAAAATCACTTCAAATTCCGCATACTCGTCTTCGAACCATTCCAAGAATAGATTTTCGGTGTTCACGTACAACGAAATCGAGTTTATCAACGATTTGCATATTTCGCTGCACATCGACGCGAGTTTTGCATGAATCTATAATTGGTCATAAAAATTATTAGTAATTAGAAAAAGGAAAACCTTCTCATCGTCAATTGTCATCAGAATTTGCCGAATTACGAGGCAAGCAAGTTCGAGTGTGATCGGACGAACACGTGAATTCTCTTTTCCAACCGCAGTCACAATCGAGCAAAGTGCTTCAAGTAAGCGGGCGTCACAACTAATTGTTCCGATTTGCGACGATTCTGGAAGGTCGTCGATAGCGGATTCGAATCGAGATCTCATTCCGTCGGGAGTCGCAGCAACTGGGGTTTGCGGTTCGGTCACAATCACATCATCGTCAAGATCATCAGTATTCTAAAACGAAAAATAGAACAGTTAAATTTTAAACAATTCTTTTTTAAAGTTTATGCTGAAAATGGGATTTTAATATAAAATAGATTCCAATAATTCAGACTTACAAGATCTTCAAGCTTTTCGACAACATCGTGATACTCTTCTTCGATCGCTTCTGTTCCAACTTCAGTCACTGCTCTATCTCTAGTTGATTCGAAACGTTTTCTCTCAGGAGTTGGTGCTTTTGCAACGGGAAAATGAGCAGCAGCGAGCAATTCTCCGACATCAGCTGAAAATCAAAACATCTTCGCATTGAATATTATAAATATGTATTGTTTCATTTTTTCGCGCATATTCTGAACATAACGACAATTAGAACAAAAAACGACACAACGTTTTCAACTTACATTCTGCACTTGGTATAAGTAAATCGAAAATGAAATCATTTTTTTAATAATACGCTGCATACCTTTGTTTTGAAACATTGCATAGATCATCATTAGGCCATAAAAGGCAACATAGTCATCATTCTGGCTCGCATCAAAGGCGCTGAGCAATGATTCAAAGAAAACACGATGATCAGCCTCTGGTGGAAGTGGATCACATGTCTGAAGGCAGTACGAAAGATCAGATCGAATCCAATGCGATTTGAGAGATGATTGATTATCGAATAAGAATGAAGAAAGAAATGCTTGGATTGTTGGCTGATGACGAACAATCTAAATGCGCATAAGCGAATTAAAGGTGTTTATGACTGAAAAAAACGATACCATTAAGATTTCTGAAAAGAAAAATAAAGCAGAAACAGGATTCAATAAGACAGCTCGAGAATCACGTCGAGGAGAGAAACTGTTTAGCAGAAGAGACATCAGATACCGAGTGGAAACTGAAAAAAAAAACATCAATTTTGTTTTAAATGTTTTTTTCTGTTTTACCTAATATTGATAGTGATTCGGCAATTGCTGGTACTTCGAGCAGCTCGCCAATATAATGAATGAGATCGATGAGATCATCGACTTTTCCTCGCAATCTTTCTCGATTTGCTTGGACATTTTCAGCAGATTTCACAAAAAGATCCAAATCGATGCTCAAATCAACTAGAGAGTCAACCAATTCACTCAAATATATCTAGAAATTGAATAATTTTTTTTTTAACTTATATGAAATTTGCCCACTTTTGTATGTTCCTTCACAAATTCTAACATTGCATCATCTTCGACTCTCACGATATTCAAAATAATGTTTCGAACTGCTATTCGAACCATACTTTCATTCCAATCATACAGCTTTAAGGCTTCGAGCAATAGTGGAAACTCGTTTGTTGCCTCATTGAAAAAGAAATGAATGGTACATGCGTTTAGTTTGAAAGAGAGCGTTTTCAAAAAAGATATGTAATAAGCCATAATTTCATCATTTGACAGATCGAATTTATGAGAAATTATTGAGTTTACATGGTTATTACTTAAAAGAAAGTCTGAAATTGAGCACATTAAAAACGAAATTGAAAAATGGCTTACATAAGGAGGTTTCATGCCGAATATTTTCGAATAATATGTTTAGGGTTTGAAGTAATTGAACATTGAGAGATCCGCTACCCTGTTCCATTATTTTTAGAAAATGCAAAAGCATTTGTCGTTCGAGGAAAAAGCTAAAACAAAAAAATTAACTTTAAATTAACACTAAAACAAAAATTGACAGTCAACTCACTCGAAGACAGACGCATCGTTTTGATCGCCCCAAATGAGAATTTCAGCAATTGCTCGCAAAGCTTCTACTAGAATCTTTCGATTACTATCCGTAACTTTTTCATTTTTCACTAGAACTCCTTGAAGATACCTAAAATATTTGAAAGTGTGAAAATTAAAAAGCATATTTGAGTTACGTACTTCAAATATTCCAGCGAATGTGGGTTCTTAGGTTTCCATAATGATCCAGATGATCCAAGTTTGCGGAACATTATCAATTTTCCATTATACGTTTGAAGAACCGACTGCAACATGGAAAAAATTGATAAAACAAAGACGCAAATCTCATTTTTTTCAGCGTGGGAATATGTGGGAAAAATGTTATTTTTAAAAATATTCAGCATGGGAATTATCAGAATAATGAAATTAAAAAAAAAAAGATTATTTATTAATCTAAATCTCTTCAATTTTTTTAAAGTATGAGGTATGAATTTATAGTTTAAAAGTTGAAAACTAAGAATTTGCAACCAGATAAAAGTTTTTCCAAAGATACAGCTGATAGCTGAAAATGCCCTGGCTCGAGTTGAAAGTTCATTGTAGAAGTGGAGTGCGCAGAGAGACAGCGAAACAACGAAGATCCGAGTTGACGATTCGCCCTTTGTTTAGCGTATCGCCTTGTGTTTATGCTAAATCTACATATAATTGTTTTCAAATTCCATGAGTTTTCCTAAATTATGACAAACGCCCAGGCGTCCTTCGCATTTTTGTTAATTTGATGTTCATAATGGGAATATTTTTTAGAAAATGCTTCCCAATGCTTCGATCAGCAAACCTCCTGGTAGATACGTGCTTGTTGAGGATACAAAACATCATCTCGAGCTAAATGAATATGACAAAAACACTTACGGACAGTGTTCATATGTTTCAAATAGATTAATGATACGCTGTCAGCAGGTTCGATCTAAAGAAGAACTTGCTAAGAATAACGGAATTTGTGAAGAGGTAATTGCATACTTGTTAATTTTCTCCATAACAATGTTTGATTATTCTAGCACAAAACCTTTGGGAAAATGCTGAAAAGTCACCACCAAAAGGAGTTGTTACGATTAAGAGCAGAGAGCGAGAATCCTTTGAGTAAACGTCAAAAATTTTCCTCATTTATTGCAGCAAATGGTTATGTGAGGTGAACATTTTAAAATTTTTCTTCAGATGTTTATTTATGAAATTTTAGCGACGAGGATGATGTTCTCAACAATATGTACAATATGCCGCCATCATCAGCTGATCAAATTAATATAAATTTCATCGAAGAAGATCCCCTTCGTCATGCCGAATATTTCACTGATAAAGATGTGATACGAATTCGTCTAAGAGCCGTTGAAAAAAATCGCGACGACATTGTCGAATTTCGGTATTATATTCGAATCGATTTATCGAAAATGTATATTTTTTAAGGAAAACTACTACAGCCCAAGCCTCCAGAGTTAAACAAGCCATCAACGAGAGAAATCATAAAAGTATTTTTCTATTTTTAGAGCAATGCTGAAAAATAAAAAACGTAAAAAATTCTAATATATAATGGAGCATAAATGAAAAAAGTTTTTCTTTTCTGCTACATTGATATTTGCTGTATTTTTCTGCATTGCCTCTTTAAATAGTTGATGTTAATTGATTAATCATTTTTAGTTGCTGTCTTTGATGTTCCACAAATGCGAGTTTATGATGCACTAATGCAATATCCACACAAAGAAAGTTTGCATTTGTCAAGGCCGAAGGTATTCAAAATTGTTGGCAAAACGAAGATAAGGCTCCCAACGGGTTCGGTTATGGTCCTCTAGGGGCAAAGTTAATTTAAGATCCTCTGTCAAATTCAAAATATTAGAAAATAAACATAATTCGTGAAGTGTCCCCATAAATTGTTGAAAGCTCTTACCAAGAATAGGTTTCAACAACCAAGGAAACCCCCACACTCACTATAAGTCTCCAAATTCTAATATTTCTGGGACCCTTCTGAAAACGTGGGAAACCTATTCTGCGTTTTTGTCAAAGAATTTAATAATCACGGGCTAAAATTCCAATTTTAGACGATTCCGGACTTGCCAGTTTGTCAATATTATGATGGAATGAATGATGACGACAATACAGCCGCAGAAAAAGTTGTGAAATCATTATTAGATAGACTTGATGGAATTTCTGTGAATCCACCAGAAAAGTGTACGTCGACAGCGATCCAATTCACAGATTTCTGCGAACAACGTAAATATATATATGAAAAAGAAATATCGCAAATATTATGGGTTTTGTTTCAGATATATTATTTAGCAAAGAGAAGCAGTTTCTCTTTGATAAGTGCACAATTTGTGGAGATATTGCACTCGCATCGGATGATCCGACATGCGCATATCACAGAAGTATGAATTTCGGATGTGACGTTTTTCATCGAATTCGTGAAGTGTAAATAGAAAAGAAATCTTTTTTCAGAAGATCTCGTTAAAGTTCGTGCTCTCAATCCATTGCATAATGTTCGACCTGGGGAAGAAGACGTTCAAACGTCGAATCACTATCCTCCAGGAACAGTACGCAACAATATCTCGCTTCATACTAAGGTATATCGGCCATTATATGTATATATATATATATATATATATATATATATATAGAGAGAGAGAGAGAGAGTCTAAAGCGAAGATAATGTCTCCAACATGTGCAGTGTAGATCCCCATCGATACGATCAACGCATGTTGGGCAGATCTTCACTTTTCAGATTTGTTATTAAAACTTGTATCGCGAATTAATGATATCATGACGCGATTCTATTGTCTGTGTCAAAAAGCTAAAAAGGGGTGAGGTCTTCAAATTTGCGAAATAAGTTAATTTAGATTTACCGTTAACTGCGCGTAAACTACAATGCAATGTACGAAGTGCGGTGGATTTCTCACTGCTTCGAGACGCATTGGCACATATCCAATAATTTTTTTTATTTGGTTCAGTCGTTTGACGCCGAGAATATGTTATTTGAAATAGATAGTCATTTTATCGCCCAATCGTGTTGGTATAATTTGAACGTGAAAAGCAATAACTTTATTTCATAGTAAAATAAGGGCGAAAAAAGGAAGTGCTCAAATATGGCTGTGATTTAGAGACTTAATTATGCCCCATATTTTTTGAGCTTTGTGGGGGCCTGTGCAATCGTTATCTGGGACCGCATAATAAACATGTTAGGAGCCTCATCTGCGTTTTCGTCTGAAATCGTATATCAGGGTCCCATACAATGGTTTGAATATAATTCCAACTAAATAATTTTTTCAGAATATAATACATATCATTTTTCCATTTTTTTTGTTTCAGAAAGTTGAAATTTTTGATAGTGATGAAGAAGAAGAGGATAAACGACCATTGCCGCCTTCAATGTTGGCAAGGAACTATGAAAATGTAGGATAAATTCAATAATTTATAGTTAAAATGTAATTCAGATGTGTTCTCCGTTTCCCCCACTTCCTTCTCCATCAGTTCGACGACCTCCTTATCAAGCAGCAGGAAATAACTATGGTCGCCGTCCGAGTGCGAATCGAGAACCGCATCAAACGGGCGGTGTTTTAGTTCAGAATCGAATGGCGAATGACGCGATTCGCCAACTTAAGGACGACCCGGCGACAATGAGGTGCGCGCGTGAACGACCGTTCCAGAAGTCCAACTTTAATCGACCGGAAATTGATAAAAATCGCAGAAAGAATGTTCCGACGCCGCATTTGCTCTCCTCATCGGGTTTCTCGCGAACGCAGTACCCTTCGCGATTCCCGCAGCAGACTGCGCAGCAACATCGCATAATCACAAACCAGGGGAGAGCATTACCCGGATCCAGATATTCGGTTTAGTTTTATTTTATTTCGACATTTTCTCAAGACATCTATGCTGATATTTTTTGAAACTATGAAGACAATGAAAAATGTTCTTTAACCGTGTTCAAATTTGCAGGAGCATCCACATCAACCACCGAAGAATATTCCGCTGGAACGCGTGGCGAGTCCGAAACCGAACGTTGTCGATGACGAGGATGACCTTGTTGAAGATCGAGGACAATCGCAACCACAAAATGAATACCATTCGGTTCATGGAGTACAGTATCCGCGATCAATGAATGAAGCACCGCGGGGTGTTCCTTACATTAAAAAAGGGGGATATCAAAAGCAAGGTAATATCAGCTCATCGCTGTTTTGTCATAATCTTCATTCAGAAGGTGGGCCACAAGCGCAATTCCCACAAAGAAGAGGAGTGCGTCAGAATATTGCTGTATCTCGTCAACTGCCAATGCCACCGCATCGTGCGATTGCATTGGGTATGAACCCTGCAGGCGCTTATCCAACACCACCGGCCAACCAGCAAACTCGTCAATCCAATTTGGCGCAATTGGCATCGATGCGTCGACCGCCTCCTGGACAACCAAATATTATCGCGAAGAGCCCACAGGACTTCGGCGCAAATCGACGCTTCGTGACGCCAAGCGGCCTACAATTGGATACATCGAAATTGGCCAACGATCCGCGCTATTCGAACATGGACGTCAAGACATTCTTGCAATATCAGTCGGGCGTTCTTACGGATGAGCAGATTGCCAACAAACGTGCTGGAATTACTACAATGCGTTCGCGAAATGCCCCGATGTCAAGGACTTATATGGGAAGGAAGAAGCAGGACCCCGGAAATGTGCAATACGTTCGAGGCAATCCTGGAGCGCCTGGAGCACCTGGAACTTCCGGTTCTTCGGGACTGTTAGTTCGCTCGGTTTCCAATATGCTACCTCCGCCACCGCCCCCTCCGAAACCTGAAGACATGTTATTGGCACCACCACCGCCGCCGCCACCACCACCACCACCAACATCATCACAGCCGTCGGCTATTGTTCAATCTTCAGGACCAACCTCACAACAGCAGCAGCAGTTAGCTCCTACGACAGTCGCGCAACCGCCTGCAGCTGGTCTTCCAACGCCTTTAGATTTTCCCGTAGCAAACAATTTGGGAGCTATCAAGTCTCCGGATCCGATTACATCTACTGAAACTTCGAAATCTGCTGACACTTTGAAAGAAACACAATCATCGCAAATTCCGGAGGTTCCAAAACAAGTTGAGACATCAAAAATTGGAGAACATCCAAAATTTGCGGAATCTACAAATTCGTCGGAGCAACAAACTCAAGCGGAAGCGCCGTTGCCGTCGGATCCTCCTAAAGCATTGGAAACTCCCACATTGCGAAAACGGAAACAATCTAACCTGGAGAACCCAACTCCTGTGAAGAGAGCTGTTTTAGAGACGCCGAAGAAAGGTAAATTTCTGCGATCTCTTTCAAATCTCCTTATATGCGTTTAAGCAGGTTCCTCTCTGAAGAAGATAACGCCAACTATACGAACTCCGAGAGCTGCGGCTGTTGCCGCAAATCAAGCAATTTCAACTGCAAAACCAGCCGAATCTGTAAAAAATCTCTATTTTTAAATTAATCCAAATTATAGTCTGCTCAGGCTGCGGCTCCGACAACTGGAACAGACGGTATTGAAATGCTTAATCTTTTGGCTCAAGTTTGTGTTGACGAGAGCGGAAAAAGTGAGCCAAGTGGCACTCCAAAAGGTTCCTGAATATCTTACGAACATTTTAAAAAATTGAATATCCTTTTTAAAGTGAAAAAACCTTCACCTCCATCGCCATCTAATTTTAAATATTTTGCTTCAACATTTCCCCCTTAAAATTAAAAATATATATATTGAGAAGTAGTGTTTTTTTTTTTCGTTTTTTTTTTTCTTGGAAAAGTAGACGTATTTAAGCCTTTGTAGCCCAATTTCGCGAGTTTCGATATTCAATTTTATAAAATTTCGAAAAATCTAATTGGTTTTCGTAAAATTGTAATTTCCAGGAAGCCCGAATAAAAAGACAGTGCCAGTCCAAAAACTAACGCCGCGTCGTTCGACTAGAGGAAAAGCAACTTCGCCAACTCAAGAGAGCGATTCTCACGAGGAAGAACTGTAAATAGAATATCCGATCATTGATTTGTAATGCAGTGATCTCGATTAATCTCGGTTATTTATTCATTCATCATTATTGTTACTCCCCTTACCTCCTTTGATTCGTTTACTATTCTTTTTTACTTTATAATACTGATTATTCACTACTTTAACGAATTTGGATGAATCGCTTCTAGACTTAATAAGTACTTGCAGTGGCCCTTCATCGAAAACCAAAAGACGCCGAGAATAAATATTGAGGTGTAATTGATCGGCTGCCGGTAACGGATTATCCGCGGACGGCTTGCGCTTTATAATTAGGCGTCGATTGCGCAATTCGTCGGGTTTTTGTTGATGCGCCTATCTGAAATTGGATATTCGCCTCTTCTCGCACTTCATTGCGCAATTCTCATTTGGTTTACCGCGTTAGGCATACAAATATTGAGAAAACGATGTTTTAAGTGGATTTTCGGTTTTCCGAATTAAGAATATCGGAATTATCAATTTATAATTGAAACAAAATACTTTTTCTTTCAAGTCGAAGCACGATTTGAAAATAATAGAAACCACCCCGATTATATAAAAAAAAGCGGCGCGATGGTTTGTCACGACAGCATCGGTTATGAGATATTGGTTTGTAAAGGATTGTAAACTTGCGGGTTTGCCAAAGGAATTTGGCGACGATTTACAATCAGCCGATTCGCAGTAAACCGAGAGGGAGTTGTGCTGCGATAAGTAATTGTAGGTTATAATGGAAATCGCGCACAAAATACTTGAAGCGCTCAATTATGTTGTTGTTTTGCAACAATTGTTGATTGGCACCCTCATAGTGCACCATATTGGCGTAGGTCAAACTCTCAACGATGGGTGTCGAAATTCAAAAATCGGTCGAATTTGCATATTTGAGCTTCCGCTTTTGATCGCCGTCGATGATGAGGCGCGTGGTGATGGTGATGGTGGCGGGCGCAGATGTTTCGGCGGTACGCCTTGAATTTTGAACGCCGAGATTGACAAATTGACGGTGCGAAATTGCGCGGCCACCGAATTCGACCTAAAATATTTGAATAATTGCTAGCGTTCCTGTTTGAAATTTCACATCGATCTCCGTTCATTTTTTCTTCAATATTTACAAACGCGTCGAGACCCGAAATGCGTTACAGAAATCTGAGATTAATGTCAGTCACCATAATGCGATGTTCGGTGGCAATCTGTCAATAAAAGGCTTTCCGCAAGCACTTCACTCATTCAGGCGGTCCCTTTACCGCCAAATAAACAAACACATATGGATGTGTCGAGGAATAAGTGCTAATCAGATTAATGCGGAATCTCGCAGTCAATCAGAAGAAGACGAAAAGGAAGGAGAAGAAGAGGACGACAACCGGCTACCGTATACATGTCGCCGCCTTATTTGCATATCAATATTGTGCGGGAATCGCGAAAGAACAACATTTGCATTTATGTATGACTGTATCGAATAAGATCGTAAAACATTTACTGATTCCCCCCACATAACATATTCGAACGAAACTTTTTTGGCAGCAGCAGACCCTTCCGTTCCATGTGCAACAATGGTGGATAAGTACAGTACTCATGAATAGAATGAGTGGCTCGTTTAAGTGGCTGCTCGAAATGATCGATTAGACAAGGTATCTATTAAGGGGGGCGTACGGCAACAATTAACGAGCACGTCTGGGTGGCAGCAGTAATTTGGATAATTGAATAGACGATTCGACTTCTTTTTTTTGGTTGACATTCATTGGAGAATTGTATTCATTAAAACTTGTTCACAATTCAGAAGTGCATTTCTGGGAAACAGATTTTCGATTATTTTTTTGCGGTGTTCGCAAACAATCGTTTTGGCAATGAATTGCAATAGCAAACCGGTATCGATGAATACTAATATGGCGGCGATTTTGTTGGGTTCGACCGGCGCGAGCCATCAATCACAAAATAAAATCCGCGCGCGGCATGACCGCCTAGAAGCAAAGCGCGGCCACCCACAGCGCCAGCCCCGTATTAATATTCTTATGCGAAATTCGCTGGTCTAATCCTCATGATTTTCGCACTTCTTGACGTGTCAATCACACCTCGCCAAGATGAGCAATACGAACGAACGAAGAGATCAAGCCCTGTTATTACGTAAATTTACCAATGAGCGACTCGTCGGTCAACGTATAATTAGAGTGCGCGAAAGTTGTGACTAATTATGTAATAATGTGCGAGTCAGGAAACATGTTGCGAATTTTCCGCACAATTCTTTTGATGTCGCACTTTTTTTTTTACTTTTCTATGATGATTTGATGGATTTTTATGTTCAGTGATTTGGTAAATCGAATTTGTTCCCTTGAATTGATCACTATTAACAATCCATAACATCCAAAAATCCTAGCAATTAAAAAAAACATTCTTAATTTGTATGAAATAATTTTTCTCTCGTTTCAACCGTTTTTCTATACAAAGAATTTTTTATATAAAACAATTAACTTTGAATAATATACAAAAATGATTATTATTCCACTTTTTCAACCCAACAATATACATAAAACCATAAATTGGGCAAGAAAACAGAAAATTAATTTTAAAAAATTGATTAAATATTTTTCAGTTGAGATTATTGTAGCTAAGATCGCGATGTGCGACTCGGTGTACGCACACAATGCATAAGATTTCGCTGCAGTTTTTCACGTTCGTCATTTTTCCACAATATAACAATAGATTATATCATCAAATAATGGTAATCGACGAATTGACCCTCGGAAGTGAAGAGTGCGCGAAAAAGTTTTACGATCCTCTCAAGTGGGATGCATGGACACGTGTTACTGGTGTCAATTGTGCTCGATATGCTCAAGTATCCAATGTTGGATTATCTGTTGAGTGCCTTCCGAATGGTAGAAATTATGAACAGAGCGGTTACGTAATCATAACTGAAGACACTTGACTCGTGAGGTTCGTCAAAATCAATTTGAAATCCGACACATTGCATTCCATAATTGGACGATAAAGAGGAGCCGACGAATTGATGAATTGGGTGAGGAAAACGTTGACCGAGCAAAAAATGGTGGCTAATCAAGCGAACGGAGAACGCCTTTCGTGAGCCGATGTGCCGCTTGATCGATGATTTTCACGCTTGTTTGAAGCTGCTCGACAATATTGTTCATCGGGGAGAAGTTGAAGAAACAAAATAAATATACAATAATTATATAAATTCCTTTTTTGTTACTTTACTTGCGATTAACCAATGTTGTTAAAAAAATAACAAACCCCCTGAGGGACCATAGATTCGTAGTCATGAGGTTACAAACAGACGATTGTGGGAAATCCCGAAAAATGTCCGCAGGTGTTTTCTTTCTTTTTAAGGTTCACAAAATAGAGCCCTCCGGGATTCCATTTTGAAAACACCCGCGATTAATTATAGTAAAACCTATTATAATATCGTTCAACATAATTGCTCAGTTTTTAACAGAAATAATTTCAAAAAAAAAAATTATATTTTGAGAATTCAATAAAAATTCAGCATAAAAATTGTACAACTAAAATTGCTTCAGAGATTTTCTAGGAAAATACTAAAATACTGATTATTTCCACGCATTTGTATATTCCGACAGTCATCCCATTGTAGCTCGTTGCTCGGCTCGCGCGTGCTGTCGACAGCCTGCTCATTAGAATGCAAACACTCCGCCTTCCGCGAGCTACCGTAACCCGCGCAGCTCATCGAGCCTCACCAGCTCCGCCTCCCATCCATGTCATTCTCATCCGCAAGAGTCTTACCGATCATGAGTCTCTCCTCCAGCTCCTCAGCTTCGTCCGGTATTCACGATGACGACGTCAAACGCAAGATGCGAATTCGGCGAGTCAAAGCTAATGGGCGTGAACGCGCCAGAATGCATGGTCTCAACCAGGCGTTGGATGTCTTAAGAGAGGTTCGTTCAAATATTTTAGTTTAAAAAAATTTAAAACCACATCGCTCCAATTTTTTTGAGTTTAAATTCTGAATAATTGTGAGACTTCGTATCCCTCAACTCGAATGATTTCAGTACATCCCAATTACGACACAGCACCAGAAGCTCAGCAAGATCGAGACTCTCCGATTAGCCAAGTGAGACCATTTTCATTATTTACAGTAGATCAGAAATTTCAATACTAAACAAACATAATTTGACATGACATGTTTGCCATAAAAGGCAACAACAACAATATTTGCGCACCACATGTTGGCAGTCGATTTCGCGTTTTATGATCACTTTTTATAGGAACTACATCGAGGCACTTAATCGGATGCTGCAGACGAACTCGCAGCCATCGCCCCTCGAATACGCGCATCAACTGGCGACAGGACTCTCGCAGACCACCACCAACATGCTTGCCAATCTGCTCCAGGTCCAGCCGCGTCTTCTCTGCCCACCACAACAATTCGATCATTTCGACCTGCCGACGGGATATCCGACGAACCCATCATCTGCCTCGCCAAGCGCCACCTCGTTCAGCTCGCCAACTCCCCAATATTATTATTCTCCAAATCCATCGGCTGCTCCATTGCAATCATTTCCACCAAACTCGTTCTATTCCGATTTCTCCCAGCACTCTTATTCCCCGTAGAGATTCCCATGCTATTATTACTATTGTTGTTACGGGTACTACATTAATTGCTCCACCTCTTAACAATATGGGTGGTCCTGAAACTTTCTTACATTATGCGTAATTCATTGTGAGAAATTCATTTAGTCTTAGAATAAATCTACTAAAAAATCTAGAACGGATGCAATCTTCTGAAAAAAATCCAGAATGAATAAGCTAAACGAACCGAAATATGGTCGCGCAGACGGCATAAATCGCTGATCTCATTATTATTGTTATTATAGCAAAAATGTGACATTTTTCGGGATAATTTACAGCTTCGAACTGAGATGCGAGCTTGACGACTAGACATCGCCGCGCAAACCGCCGAGATATAATAATTGCGGGGGTAATTATGCCATCAAGACGGACCTTCGTCGAACACGTCTCATCGAATATTAAACGCGCACACAAAACAAACACAACCAATCGCAATTTTGAATCCGTGATTTTAATCGCACCAACAATTAATTGAAAATCGTTGATTTACACCAAATGAAATACAGCCAATATACTCAGTGTATTGAGCTTTTTAAATTTTGAGACCACTAAATTTCAGATCCTAAAAAATCTAAATATAATTCCTATAAAGGCTTAAGAAAAAAAAAGACGATATTTTTTAGAATAGTCAAAAATATTACAAAAAGAACCGATTGACAATTTCACATTAAAAAATGTAATTCCATTAAATATAATGAGTTTTTGTTGGTATAAAATGTTGAAATTTTCATTTAAATGCATTTACTCGCGATGAAATCCTTCTTCATTTTTTCTTTGGTTTGCCTATCATTCGTCGATGCTTCGATGTCGACAATTCGAATCAAGGTCCATTCAATTGTTTCGGATAACATCCAGCCAATATAGTTTAGGATGGAGAAAAATTCGTGTACGAGGATGCTGCGGGTGCAAGTGGAATCCAGCGTGATGTGCCAATGGGACACCAGATATTGCTTTTCAACGACACATCTAAATGTTGGATGGATAAGGCATGCGATTAAAAACGTTTAATTGGTCCATGATTAGTTGTTAAGAATAACGGTGGAATGTGTGCCGACGATTATGAGATCCTGCCCAACAAGACTTTCATTATTCACAAAATCGATAAAATCGACGCTGGATATTACCAGCCGTATCCAAACGTAAACTTTTTTGCAATTTTCCTATTAAGGAATATACTTTGATTTCAGGGAATCATCTGGAATGAGCGAGGAGAAGGAAAATTAGGTCCCACGACGAAAGTTGAAGTATATTAACAGTTGATTTATAAATAAATAATGAACCGAACAAAACCTAGAGCTAATAATAAAAACCGTTGAAGCAACAACAACTATAAAAAACCGATAACTTTTCGAACTTCCTCAATGGTCTTTTCGGCAATATTTCGCGCAATTTTCCCATTTTTGGCAAGTATTTCATCGACTTCGCTTCCTTTTTCGAGATGTTCATATTTCTCTCGAATCGGCGCAAATCTCTCATCAATTCTCTCAGCCAAATTTCGTTTTAAATCAAAAGACGTCCAATTTTCGAATTCAATTTTTTCAACAGGCTGCCTAGTGACTGCAGAGTATAAATCAAGCTGAAACATTGAGAAATGATCTCAAAATCATTCAAAAATCTGTAAGTTACCAAGTTCGAGATAGCCAGCCGATTTTCTCTGTCATATGTCACATTACCAAGGTTATCGCTTATTGCTTTTTGGCATTTCTCGAAAATGACCTCGCGAGAATCATTTATCTAAACCAAGAATATTACAATGTTCGGATATATCGATTAACAAACATCAATTCTTGATTTTTCTCCTCCCGACGATTTGCTCATCTTTTTCTCTGGTTCTCGCAACGATCGAATTCGGGAATGACATTCTCTCGTCACCTGAACAATTCCATTATAAATTAAAATGTAATAAATATGTATATAGAAAATAATTGAATACCTGTTTGGGAATAGGTAAAACTTGAGTGTTGAATGTTTTGGAGAACGCATAAGAGAGTCCGGTGAGCAAGTTCATATGTTGACTCTGATCCTCGCCGACAGGAACATGAGTTCCCTAAACTATACTATATAACACACGAAATTATTCGAACAACCTTAAATGAAAGGACATCGGCAGCTTGTAGGAGAGGATATGTTAAAAGACCAACTGGAATATCGCCTTTCTTGAATCTAAATTATTTAATTAGTTAACACACCGCTTGAAGTTGCATTAATAACGCAATTTTTGAAAAAAAAAAAACCTTAGAGATTTCTCCTTAAACTGAGGCAATCTGGCCAGTTTCGACGTCGTCTGAAGCGATCCAAGAATCCAGGACAATTGTGCGATTTGAGGAACATCTGATTGACGGAATAGAAGAGTTCGGTTTGGATCGACACCAGAGGCGATCAAACTACATGCCATTCGTCGAATATTTTTTCGCAGCTTAAAAGAACCAAATGAAAAGAAATAATCAAGACAAATTACTTTATCAGCTGGAAGTGGTCCAAGAGAAATTGCATGTTGGTCAACAATTGCAAGAATCATTTGAGTTTGGGAAGGAAGAGTCTAAAATGAATTCAAGCCAATCAAAATACATACAAGCATCAAATTGTAAAATTAATTACTTTTTGGAAATCCGTCCATGGTTCGATAAAACCGAAATAGTTTCCTAAATGAGGGATTCCTGTCGGTTGAATTCCCGTAAAATAAACCGGTGGATGAGCGAAAGACGATGAGAATTGACGAATTTGATGAGCCTTGGAGCTGCAAATATTTCATCTTATTAAATATTTTTGCAAAAATATGTATTTTACAGAAAATCACAAATTGAGCAACGGAGTGACATCTCGACTTTCGAATTCTAAACGACACTGAGGACAACGAATTGGCGACGAAGTGGATATTGATGAATAACAGTGTTCTTGAATGCAGCTCCAGCAGAAAATGTGCCCACAGAAAAGCGCTGACGGATTAGTCGATTCAAGACAAATTGTGCATTTAAACCACGGATGCGACACCTTAAAAACATTATTTTCATTTCTTCTATTAAATTTGCAAATAATCAAATATCCACGTTTTGTCCTAAATTTGCCAAATCACTATAACAAAGAAATTTAAAAAAAAAACTGTGAAAAATATTTTAAAATCAAAGTACACGTTTAATTTTATATTTAAATTTTTAAAAAGTTTTTATAAACTCGCTTACAGATAAATTTTCCTCGTTATTCTGCACCACTTTTTCAACGGATTTTTCGGAATTCTTCTGGCGTTCCGCTTCAATATACGAAATCAATGCAAAAATCGCACTGCTAAACAATTGGGCGATTGTGATATATCCGAGAAAACGATACACTTTTAAAGCCTAAATGAATACTATTACAATGTTCCGCGGAAAAATACTAACAGGTATATCTGTATGCGGATTTGCCGATAAAAAACGAATACCAGTGATCCTTCGAGCTATACTATAAAACGCACCGGTGATATAAAAAACAGCCAAGTGAGCTCTTTGAAACTGCGGTAATGCGGTTGTCCTAAAATTTACTCTCATATATGACAGAGAAAACAACTAACCTGAGCCACTGGAATATTTGAATAAATGACTTCCGAGCCTTTATGTTGTCTCGAATTGAAATTCCAAGAAAAGTTTCCGTCGAAGGATGAGAAACGAGTGATTCGGATTTCTGGAAACACGCGAAATATGCTATTTTGTTGATCATTTTAATAATACCTGTAGAAGAAAATTGGAAATTAATGGAAATACAGAATGCAAAAGTACGAAAGAAAGACGAGCAGGAATCGATGGCGCAACTCGACGAAGCCCGTCTGACTCAAATAAGTGCACGTATTCCTCGCCAAGACTTTGATTGCCTAAAATGACATATCGACAAAAGTGATGGTTTTGGAGATAAAAGAAAATCATAAAAAGAAACCTACCAGCTCCGATTGTATTTATATAATAGAAGCTGGAAGCAATGGAATGAAGATAGGGATACCAGCGAATCCACCGACGCTGACCGAGAAGCACTTTGACAACCTAAAACACTTCTTTTTAGTTTCTTTATCATCTCAAGAAAAACCTTTGAGAGTCTCTCAGTTATTTCATCGACAAACTCCTCGTCTCTCCTCTGAGCACGTACTATTTCACCAATCTCAGCCACGTACATTTCCATGATCTACGAGTTTGGCCGAAACTGATGAAATAGTCGTGGTGGTGAGATATTCGAATCAGGTAAGCGGAAAACGCTAAACATTTGAATTATTGAAGAATTCTATTAAAAACAGAGTGCAAAAATGAGATTTATTTGAAAAAAAAAAGAAAAGAGCAATGTGATTCCGTAATTAAATTCAGATTTACTCCGATATTTCAATAAATCAACAGAAAGATCAACAAAAACCTATATACTAAAAAAAGAAATAGAAATAACAGCAAAACCTAATATAGACACACTGATGTTGTTATCAATACATGTTACCCTCCGAAGCAGACTACAATGTAGTCAAATTAAACATCTCTCTTAGAGGTCTCGTCCGTAGGAATCTCATCGACGTGTGGAGCAGCTTCTTCGACAATATTGGACTGATTTATTGACAAAGTCCGATCATACAAACGTCCTTTCTGTCTAGTTGGAGTTCCTTCTTGATATTTAACTGGTTCCGGATTAAAGTACTTTAAAAATATAAACTATTCGCATTCGAAAATTGACAAAACTGACCTTATTTCCTTTGATATCGATGGCAAAATCGTAAACAACTGGTTTTTCAAGAGCTTCCAAAATCTTCGATTCAAGATTCTCGCGAGTAACAAATTCTTTGCTTCTTTCAATTGCAGCAAGAACCTAAACAGTTTTATTTGTGTATATGTATAATTGAATTTTATATTATACCTCTTGTTCAGCTGCTTTCTTTTCTGCGTTCCTTTTTGCTAAAGATTCTTCGATTTCCGCGAGGATAACATTTTTAGCTTCTTTTTCGTTTTCACTTTCACGGGCTGCACGTTCTGCTGCCTGTAGTCACATAAAATTTAATTAATTCATAGAACTCTCCCTACCTTCGCTTTATTCTTCCTCTCATTTGCAGAAATGAGCTCATCCAGCTCCTTAGCCTCTGCTTCCTTCATTGAATCGATACCGCGACCAATAGAGGCGTTTTGCTGCAGCTCTTGACGAAAAATTTCACGGAGCGAGATGACTGCATTATTGTAAACGTGTCTTTGCCATAGACTCTGCTCAACGTCTTCTGGTTTCTGCCATGGAGCATGAACGACGTGATAAAGTACCTGAAACAATCGTATTCAATTGAAACGAAACAATCAAGAATGTTAACAGTAACCTTCTTTGATGGTGGTAAAATTGGTGGTTTTCCTTGTTTCGGCATCCTCCTTCCCAGTCTTCTTTTCTGCTGAACAATCATTCCCTCACTGTTCACGGCTCCTAGTGCGCATTGCGCAGATCTCGATAATATTCGTAAATTTGCGGAGCTAATCATCCTGAATTCCGATTTGATATTTAAAAATATAAAAACACATCATAAAAGATAGGAAATTGTTGTTGGAACAAGTTTGCAGAAGATAAATCGTAAAACGAAAATTAAATAAAAATGTTCATCATTTGAAAGATCGAAGATCAATGCTATGGAATGAAAAAAGTGAAAAACAAGATACAATCAAATACCAACAAGATTAAGGGGATTCAATAAATTAAGATGCAAATAACAGGTTCAACAAAAAAAAGACGGATATTTTGTATTTTATTATTATTATTTTCGCATGAAATAACTTTCACCGTTTGGATTTTGGCGCTCTGATTCAATTTTTTCACCATTCTTCTTCTAAACACCAAAAAATTAAAGATTCATAATAAATAATATCACCTCAATTTGGACAAACCACTCATACCAAACTCCTTGCTCGTCAACTTTCCGCTCAATATTAAAATGGACTTTGTCTCCTTCGTCAACTCGAAATAGTTCACGAAGTGGAATAACTGCTGGGAACCAGCTGATCATACCGGGAGTTGCTGTGTTCGGTTCAATGGAAAGCATAACAGACTTGTATAAAATCAAATCAAAATAACCAGCAAAACCCATAAGCTGAAAAAATGAGTCTAATTCTGTAAATTAAAGAAAATTGCATACATCAGCCCTCCGATCAATTTCAAATGTAACCATTTTGCTCCTTTCATTACTCAAATTTTTAAAATTTGGATGATCAAATGTGAAAACAGGTTGTGTTTCGGAAATTCGGCAATATTGACGAAGGTAGACAACGTAAATTTGGTCCATACGAGCAACATCAAGGGTTTGCCTGAAAACCAAATTTCGATCACAATATTGATCAAATGGAAATAGTTTACGGAAAGATTTGTGTATAGGTTCCGTCCTTCTCTTGTACAGGGGGATCACGCCCGTGGCCAGCTAATCCTTTATTCCAATAGCATAATGAAGTTCCTTTAATCTGCTGATGCATGTACAAGGACATTATTGGAGCTAAAAAATGATTTTATTTTTAAATTTATGAAATCTCTTACCAGCATAACTTGTATACTTCTGGGGAATCGAAATAGTCGTGGGCTTCAGAATTTGCGTGACACCATCCAAGCATTCAGGACTGAGTTCGTTGTCTCCAAAAGAACCGAGCAGTTCGGATACAATAATATCGGGTTTTTCAAGAGATAATTCTTCAAATTTTTGCGGCAACGAACGCATATCTGACTCAATAATTGTCGCTCGGTTTTTCCATCTAAAAATCATGCCATCAAGAAAAATAATATTGAAATTTTTACGCTTTCTGATTGATAAAACGCAGTGTGACAATAGCATTTGGATTTTTCTCGACAACATAAAGTTTCACTTTGAGCTTTTTCCCTTTATGAGCGTCATTATATCGCTTTTCGGCTTCTAGAATTGCAGTAGCCAATGGACCTCGTCCAGCACCTAACAAGTATATAACGACAAATTCAGGAATTTCCTCGTGTTCGCCAATATCTTTCAAAGCCAATTCAACAGCTTCTCCATATTTCCTGTATTTGATTGGATCTTGCTCAAAAGTGTTGTAAACTCCAGAGTCCAAGTTATCCGATAATGGCTGCAATGGTGCCTAAATCTGGAGTTTGGAACAATTAATGAATCATATAAATACCTGGAGAACATCGTAATAATTTATATTGGTAGCTGCTAAAAATCCATCTTTTTCACTTGCATTTTTTCTTCGCATATAGGTAACATCACGCACAGCTGATCGAAGGGCCTAAAACCATATACTCCATTTTAAATAAGATCAAAACTCACATCAGCATATTCAGATTTTAGTGAATGATTGAAGTTTGGAAGATCATTCTTCTGAATAACTAAAATGCGTAAAGAGTCGTTTACCCACAACTTTTTCATTATTTCAACATGGGCTCTGTAAAAAAAGATAATTGTGGCACTTTTTCATGATTATTACTCTGGCAAAATTGCAGTTCCTCCACGTCCGGTTGTAAAGCTATCCGAATTAACGCAAATGGCTCCAAGCTAAAATAAAATTCATTCTTTTTGTTTTCAGAAAAATATTTACTGGTTCTGCCATCCACCGTTCAAGCAAATTCGGATCCGTAAATTCATCATCTAATTCGGATGAAATTGTAACAACAACTAAAAATCTATTCTCGTCATAATTAGAAAACTAAAAGACAACCTTGAAGTTTTGAACCCAAAAAGTTTGAACAAAGTTTTCTAAAATCGGACCAAATACTCCACGCATCGTCACCTTCTTGAACATCTTCTATTTCAGAAAGTGGCGGCAAAATGATCCAAAAGCTAAAACATTTGAAATTGAAAACCCAACAAATTATTAATACTCACCAAAACATTACGCTTTTTGTCCACAGCCATTGATTTATTAACCTCGCAAGTTTTGGCGAATTTCTCTTTTTCAATGTAATCACAGCAGTTCGCAGGCCCAAATAACATACATAATTTAATTCCTAAATTAATTTTCTTTATTTTTTCGTCATTTAATTGAATTCAAACCCTAATGAGTTCTTCTTCGGAGAATCGTGCAAATTGCTCATCATCACTGTCCAAATCAATCCATTTGGAAATTTCTCCGCATATATACGTTTCCCATAAATGATTCGCTAATTGCAAATCGGGTAGATCAATTATTGGAGCGCTCACAACATTTCTTAACGAAGACTACAATTATTTGAAAAAAACGAATTCTGACATTACTTTGAAGGTTTGATGAATGCGCGTGTGGTTCCACCAATTGGATGGCATATAAAATTATAATGGCATGAGCCCAACTTTGAAGTATACTCAACAATGTTCTTATCGATATTTGGAGTTATACTGAATGGTGTGGTCACCCATCCAATATTGATTCTGGAAATGGCACTTTCCTCCCTAGCTTGCGATGCCGGAGGTGAAGGAGACCCCTGAACTCAAAAATATTTCAGGCCTCGATCTATACATTACTAACATAACTAGGTGAGACCTCTCCATTATATTCTCCAGAGAATAGCATATCACTGTAGGTTTTACTCATTAGACTCGCGCTCTGAAATTATTCTTTTCATTAAAAACACTTTCAGTCATTGATTTATTTTTGGCGCCTAAAGGCAATTTTATGAATTTCGTGGAGGAGGGAAAAGAAAAACAACGTATTTGATGCCATCCAAATAGCAGTCTGAAGGAAACAGCACTATCGCAACAATACAATAAAACTATACATTAATTTTATCACTACAAAAAAAAGAGATGATCCGTTATAACAAAAAAAATCTATTAAAAGTATTTCGTTTAGCTGTGTTGTTTGGCGAGCTCCTCGGCCTTCTTGAAAACGTCATCAATTCCTCCTTGCATGTAGAAAGCGACCTCTGGGAGGTGATCGAGTTCTCCTGGAATTATAAAATTAAATGTAATAATTATTCAATAGCTAAATTACCCTTGAGAATCATGGTGAATCCGCGGATGGTTTCCTCGAGAGACACGAACTTTCCTTGATGTCCAGTGAAAACTTCGGCGACTTGGAATGGTTGGGAAAGGAAACGTTGGATCTTACGGGCGCGGGACACAGTCAACTTGTCATCTTCTGACAACTCGTCCATACCAAGAATGGCGATGATATCCTGGAGGGATTTGTAGTCCTGGAGGATCTTCTGGACTCCACGGGCAACGTCGTAGTGAACGTTTCCGACGATGTTGGGGTCCATGATACGGGAAGTGGAATCGAGAGGGTCGACAGCTGGGTAGATGGCCAATTCAGCAATACCACGAGACAACACAGTAGTGGCGTCCAAGTGAGCGAAGGTGGTGGCTGGAGCTGGATCAGTCAAGTCATCAGCAGGCACGTAGATAGCTTGGACAGAGGTAATAGATCCCTTCTTGGTGGTGGTGATTCTCTCTTGCATACCACCCATGTCAGTGGCAAGGGTTGGTTGGTAACCGACAGCAGATGGAATACGTCCGAGAAGAGCAGACACTTCGGAACCAGCTTGAGTGAAACGGAAAATGTTGTCAATGAAGAGAAGCACATCTTGTCCTTCTTGATCACGGAAATATTCGGCAACGGTCAATCCGGTAAGGCACACACGAGCACGCGCACCTGGTGGTTCGTTCATTTGTCCGTAAACAAGGGATACCTTGGAGTTGTTTCCCTAAAACGACATTTGTCATTGAAGCACAAAAAAATTAGTTTGCCTTAAGGTCGATGACACCTCCTTCAATCATTTCGTGGTAAAGATCGTTTCCTTCACGAGTACGTTCTCCAACACCGGCGAACACAGAGTAACCTCCGTGAGCCTTGGCGACGTTGTTGATAAGCTCCATAATAAGCACAGTCTTTCCTACTCCGGCTCCACCGAAAAGTCCAATTTTTCCTCCCTTGGCGTATGGAGCAAGCAAATCGACGACTTTAATTCCGGTGACAAGAATTTCTTGCTCGACAGACATGTCAACGAATTCTGGAGCCTCAGCGTGAATTGGGGCAAAATGCTTCGATGGGATTGGTCCTCGCTCATCAATTGGCTCTCCAATGACGTTCATGATACGGCCAAGAGTTTCTGGTCCGACAGGGATCTTAATCGGATCTCCGGTATCAGCGACTGGCTGTCCACGGACAAGACCTTCAGTTCCGTCCATAGCAATGCATCTGACAACGTTATCTCCTGAAAGAAAAACAGTTCCTCTATCGGAATGGGAAACTTTGAAGCTTACCAAGATGTTGAGAAACCTCAAGGATGAGTCTTGGTGAGCGTCCAACGACTTCAAGACCGTTGAGAATTGGTGGAAGGTTCTCATCGAACTGAACGTCAACGACGGCACCGATGACAGCGACGATGCGTCCCTTGGCATTGGCAGCTGTGGCCTTGGCCGAAACCTGAAAAACTAAGACGGTCTGAGCTTAGATATTAAAGACAAACCTTGGTTTGGGCAGCAGCAGCCTGAGTGGCAACATCAGTGTGAATTCCCTTCTTAGAATCGACAGAAGTCGAGCTGAGACGAGCTGTAATATTTTTTTTAATGGAATAATTTAAAACAAATTACCAGAAGCCGCTGGAATAGCGATTTTCTTAACGTTGGACTGCAAAATGCGGGTGGCCTGACGACCAAGAGCTAACGAACGCGAAGCCATAGTTTGTACCCCTGAAAGAAAATTCTGAAATAAATTTCAAATCTGCTCCTCAAGTCCTAAAATGTAAATTTTTAAACGGAAAATAGAACAAAACGCTTAAAATATTGTCTAAGAATGTAAGTAGATAATAATTAAGACTTTATCAATTGAAAAATAAAAAAATTTCGCGAAAAAATCGGGGAAGATTCAGCTCTCTCTGCACGGTAAACCGAGACCGCCCGATGAGCGGGGTCTGCCGACGGGTCTCGCAACGAAGGTGCAATTGAAAAGTGTGCGCCCCTTGCAGAATTTGCAACCCTGCGGCACGGAAAATTCGCATTTTTAAAGAATTTTTTCCATCTCTTCCATTTTATTAATTGAAATATTTTATTTATTATTAAGGGTTATGCCAAAAGAGCGTCGAATTTTGGCATACGCGAAGTCTATAACAAATTGTCCATCTGAAACTTTAACCTACGGAAATTGTGTGTCAAGTCAGGCAGAGCGAATTAAACAAGGAGACTGTTCCAAAGAATTTAAAAAGCTCTTGGAGTGTGTTAGCAAAAATTTGAAGAAATGAAAGTTAAAAGGTACGATAAACAAATTTTTAAAATATAATAATATTTTTTAACAGATTGAAACGTGCACATCGTCTGCTTACATTTTACAAATATAGCTACAAGTTTCTTCCGCCCTACAAAGTGTTAGTAGATGGGACTTTTTGCAGTGCTGCGCTCCAAGCAAGTTTTAAAATATATATTATAAATTATGTTATAATGATATTTAAACATTTACAAATATAAGCGCGAAAAAATTACCCTACGGGGGACAACAAAATATCAGATGTTCACTTTTCATGGAAATATAATTCTTCTTTCAGGAAAAGATTAATCTAGCGGAGCAAATACCCAAATACCTTGGTGAAGAAACTCATCTTATGACAACAAAGTGTGTGCTGTCTGAACTTGAAAAATTTGGACCCCTTCTTTACGGTGCCCTTGTTATTGCGAAGCAGTTCGAAATTGTTTGTTGCAATCACCAAAAACCAAAATCCGCGTCGGACTGCTTGTCACATCTGGCTCGTCGAGCTGCGAGTGGCAAAGACAAATATTTTATGGCGACGCAAGATGAAGATCTCACAGAGACTCTTCGAAATATAGTAGGAACTCCAATACTGTATATTAAATTCAAGACAGTTCTATTAGATAATGTTTGTGGTCAACGTTATACTTTCATTTATCTCTTTTTTTTTAGATTTCCGAAGCAACAAAAAATGGATCATCGAAAAGTGACCTAGAAGTGGAGCAGTTGAAAGCTCTAAAATCGAAGTTAATTGAAGATTCAAACACCGTAGAAAAGAAGAAAAAGAAGAAGAAGAAGGTATTTTTTACTATAAAAACTTTAACACAATTTTTTATCAGGGCGTCAACCCACTTTCTTGTAAAAAGAAGGTTATGAAAGTTACTCAAGTCCCGCAAAGAACGGGTGATAGAACAGCCGCAGGAAAACGAAAAAGATCAAGAAAGAAGAAATCAACTACAGAATCACAATAACACTTTTTTTCTTACAAATTAATTGTCGGGTTCGAGTCACGTTGGTTATTGTTTTTTTTTTATTTGTTGTTGTTGTTGTTATTACATTTTTCGATTGGATTAACTCAGCAATTCGTATATGACAAACCGCGGTTGGTTTTGGTAAAAAACAAGGTGACACCACATGATTTCCCACGAACTGTCACTGGTCGTCCAAAATAACGCTACCAGTACGACACTCCAATTACCTATCGCCCTCAATTAAGCGTATCCTAAACTGTAGGCGACTTGTTTCGACTTATTCCATTTTCCCCTGTTTGGTCCAAAATGCCCCGCGGGTTTTCCCAAACCCTAATGTCCGTTGTTCGTCCCGATCGAATCTCTGAGAATAAAAAAATAGTAGAAATGCGTTTATTACGAAAAATACATTCAGAGGCGGCAGCATTAATCATATAAGGGGAATGTAGAAAGAAAAATATTTGGAAAATTGTGAAATTGAGAAAATCTTTTAAAATACATTACGCAATAAAGCCTTTTTTGTACGCTCGATTAGATTAGTGGGTCTTAGAGTGATTTCCATTGATGATGGCGAGGAGAGCATCGCGGTACGCTCCCGAAGTATCTCCCTTGACGACCTCAGCCAGACTCTTGTTGTAAAGAGTCTCGAACTCCTGCTTGATGAGCTCCAAGTCAACCTCGGAGCGCGTAACAAGGACGCGAATGAGGTCGTTGTCGCGAGTTCCAAAACCCTAGAAAATTAACATTAAGTATCGATATTATTGCAATCGAAACATTCGGGCACGCTGCGTAGATTTTCGATAAGTTTGCACATTGTACGTAGTAAATTTCACGAATTCCCACTAATTAATGTCAAATGGGAATTACCGCCAAAAATAGGTATACTCAGAGTTTTCGATTTTCAGGCTTTTAATATATGCTTTGGATACCTCCATGGAAGCATAGAGTTGCTGCGCGAAGAACTTCTGCTTGTCGGTGGTAGCACGAACAATAGTGAGATAGCTCTTCTGAAGATCTCCGCTGAACTCCTTCTCGATCGCCTTCTCGATGGTGGTTCCCGAGAGTTGCTCGAAGTTTTCGAACACCTTGCGAAGTTGATATTGGTTTTGGGTGGCAAGGATGTGCAAGAAGTTTGACCCATCCTTTTTGGTGAGCTTAGCCTTTCCGTCAGCGAAAAGGCGAACAGCGTCCTATAAAAGAAAATTATTTGCTATATCTGCATAAATGAACTACTCACGTCTTTAGCTTGAGCATCGTTGGTATCATGGGATCCGTCTTTGCTTCCGGTGACAAGGGCGACTAGAAGATCGCGGAATTCTCCCGAGGTGTCACCAGCGATGTCCTTCTCCAATGGAACCTTGTATTGGGCCTCATAGGCGCTACGGATGGCGCGAAGTTGGTCGACGGTGCGCGAGCACAAAATCTCGATGAGTACAGCCTCGTCAGTTCCGAGTCCCTTCATCGCTTGCTTCAGCTGCTTGACGTCGTAATCGAGCGGAGTTTCCATGAGCGCAATGACCACACGCTCCATGTCGCCGCTAAACTTCTTGTCGAGCGAAGCGATGATGTCCTTGCCATATTTGATCTTGTATGGCTCGCGGAGTTGTTGACGCTGATTGTTCGAGAGGCCGACGATGATGTTGACGACGGTGTCCTTGTCGCCAGCGCGAAGAGCGCGGTCGATCTTCTCGGCGCTCATCGCCGCATGAAAGTCCTTAGCATCAACAATGGTGGCGTATGGAGAGTTCATTTTCACTTGTTCGATGGTTCTGAAAGAATTCAATAACGACTGGAGAAACAATAAAACACGATGATTCATTTTACGAGCATCGATGAGAACATGGAACATAAAAATTGAATTATTTTACAAATATGGTGCGTTTGACCATATTACAAGAGAGAACGATTACTCGGTTTGTGCGAAATATGCAAGATGTGTTGGTCAGGCAAATGAGGCCGCGAGGACACGGCCGTCTTCGCTTCGGTATGAAACGCCCATCGCCGCTCGGCCGAAACAAACAAACAAGAATGGGCGGAGCTCTGAAACGTCGAAAGCGATTGCGTCGCCAAAAAAAAGAAGGCAATAATCAGATGCTTCGTTGGAGCACGGCAGTTTTGGAGCTTCTTTGAAGCACACGACAATTGGAGAAATGGAGAGGAATGTGTGTCGGGGCGAGATGGAAATGGGAATGGAGTAAACAACCAACAAGTAGACGAAGGCGGGCGGGCGCGCGCGCGCGCGAGACGGACAAACACATGCGCGCACTCCTTGTCGCGCCTGCTATCTTGCTGTGTGTTATGGGGGGCGCCGACCGAAAAGAGCGCCGTGTGCACGTAGCGGGACATCGGAATATTGGCGATTCAATCGTCAAAAGTGCGACAATGTGAAAAAAATGTAACGGTGTAAACAGTCAAGTCAATAGTGTTGATCATTGTTAATCGTCTCCTATAGCGAAATTGTGGTTTGAAAGAAAAAAAACATAGTGAAATTTTTGCATCGACGACATGAAAACGTCTCGAAAAAAAAAAGAATGCAATTCGATGATTTCTGAACATTTCGTTTGAAACAATTTGGCCATAGGTCAGAATCAGTGTATCTACCTGCGACAGGTTTTCCCGGGTCTCGTCCCGGTTTCGTTCAGCAACTACCCGGAATCCCGGGAAATTTAGTTTCAATGAGTCCAGGGTCCCGGGAAACTTCGTCCCGAGTAGATACACTTGTCAGAATTAAACATTGGTTTTATAGATTCGAATGTCGAGAAGAGAAAATTAGAGTCATTTTGAAGGTGTTTCGCTTTTTTGGGGAGTGTGGGATAATTTTTTTGAAATGGAAAACTGAAATAAAAAATTGATGATGAGCAAACACGGAATTGTTTGAAATGTTTAAATTATTAATGGGAAGATAAATATGGAAAATTATTCAATTTTTGATTCAATGAAACAACTTATGACGTTCTCTAATTTTTTTTGGATTCCCAAAGAAAATCGCTGGGCAGTATATTTTGTTGATGTCTTGCCGTTACCCGAGCCAGATGCGAACCCGGAACTTGTTTTACGAGATGCATCTGTCCACCGGTCACATCGAACACTTTTCAAAGTGCGTTTCTTATCGCAAAATCATTAAAACGTAAGCGAGCAGAAAACAAAAAGAAGAAATGAATCAGCGATGATTCTATTCTTTTTTTTTTGTTCTCGATGACTTTGCGGCGAATTCCGAAACGACCAAATTTAAAAGAAAAGTATTGATGTCGATGGTTTGTGGCGAGCGATGAATGCCAGTTTATATTTTTAATGGAGGCGATTTGAGGAGATCAAATTGAGGAGATCAAACTAGACATACACACAACATTGAACGCCCGGCGAGGCCACGTTGAATCCAAAAACCCCAATCGTTCCATTGGCCTTGATGGTTTCATATTTGTGAGTTGAGATCTCTAGCGAATTGATTTAAAAAAAAGAAGAAGTGATCGAAAATCACTTGTTAAATTCGTGACTGATTTCTTTTCTTCGGAAAATATTTTTTCAAACAAAAGGAATATGGTATACTGTAGTTTTTGACACATAGTTGGTCAACAATAATTTTGATTTTCTAAATATAATACATGTACTGTTGAGAAGAAACACGATAAGGATGCAATACAACACAAATGAGACATTTTTTGAGTTGTATGTTTTGGTTTTATACACGCTCGGTGATGAGTCATTTTTTCAATTTGCGCGCAAATAGAAACCCGGCGATTTCGCAATTCTACTCGAGCGGAAACAACAAAAAATATGGCGAATGTCTTGGAAAAACAATTGTGAAATGATTATTACTCATCGATTCGATTATCATAAAACATCATCCTATTATTGAATTGGAATTTAACGCGATGAGTAATTGAGAATATTTGAGAAGAAGGAAAAACCGACAATAATATCAAAGCTGCTATTTTTCATTGGATTATTCACTAGGGTTTCAAAATATCTCTTTTTTTTTCGAAAATAAATGTTTTCAAATAATATGTAAGTATACACAGGAAAATATAATCTGCAAAATGCCTTTATAATTTGATGGGCCAATTCATGCAATTAAAAAATGCAAACACATTTTTTTTAATTCTCTGTTTTAAAAAAATGCATTTGTGTGGAATTTTTTCATTTCTTGTAAAAAGGTTGGTCCATAATAAAAATTTCCTTTGTATGGACCAATTTCAATGTTCAAATTGGTTTAATTGAAACGAAACATAACTCAAAACCAAAAGGTTCATTTATTATGCGGAATTCATATAAATAATAAAAATGGGATATTGTCCAAAATGACCTCATTATGCAATTTTAAATACACCGACAAAACCGTTCTAGTCTGTTCAAGAAATATATCATATATTAATTAGGTATGTATACGTATATATTGTATATATATATATATATATATATAAATAAATTCAATAGAATTGGTCAATTGTTCGCATTCTTGTTGGAGTGGCCAAGGCCGTTCGGTTACGATTCGATACTCGAGTTGTTCACGTCTTATTACCTTCGAAAGCGAATAAACCGCAAGAAAATGTATAGTCGGTGTCCGGCGACTGCTTTACGCGGGTAGATTTACGCGCATGTGCCTTGAAAAGGTGTGAACGCTTATTTTTTTCTTGATGAGTTTCACAATTCCTTGAATTTCCAACGTCATTCAATTAAAAAATTATCGAACCGGTCCATATAATCTATAAGTCTGACATGCGGTGCCTATGGCTTCTCAAACGCCTTCTCATTGTCTTCACTCTATTATTTTTATGCGATCTCAGTTTCAAGGCACTATTCGAATTGACAACCGATTTGCGCAGCAGTAATAATTATAATGTATGAATTTCCGGAAATTGATATTCAATTATTCAACTGATTCAGAACATTGATTACGTTGATGACTTCAACGCGAAAGACGATGAGAAAGCGGTTAAAATATATTTGAGTCAAATGCAAAAAGGAACGGTGTATGTTCGGCCAGTTGTAGAAAAGGTATTGAACATTTATTCAGTTTAACAACATTGAAACTATTTAGGAATCAAAAGTTTCTGAAAATTATTGGTGTTTTCTCAAACGTCCGACAGTGATAAAACAAAGTCGCGAATGGACGGGAATGGCTGGAATTGCCGTATTTTCAGCGTATTATGATGATAGGCCGAACTCGCTATTTCCGAAACATAATTCGATTCAAGTAAATCCCAGAAAGCATCGTTATAATTTTTTTCTAAAACAAAAACAGATTCTGGTGGTCAGCAATCACACAATTGAAGGAAAAGTGAAATTCTATTGTAATATATTTTTGAAAAACGAGGGATCTGCAACTGTAAAGGGTTATGTTAGAGAAATCTGGCAAAAAGGTTGGGATCCAAGGTATTAAATATCTGTTTAATAGTAAAATGTTCAATTTGATTGATTTTCAGAAACAGCTACCAAGTTCCGAGTTTGATAACATGCCCAATTCCGAAAAGAATTCAAACGAAATTCCCAATGTACACAGTGTCATTGACGCGAAAAAAATGTTTAGAAGGAAAAGTTGCAATAAAGGTCGAATCAAAAAAACGAAATGGAAAAAAGAAAGGAGTGGCTGTTTGTGTGAAAGGACTTGATTATCAGGCATCGAAATTTACGGTCTCCAGAGGAAAAGATTGAAATTTAGGAAGATATATCAGGGCGCTTGTTGGAGTGGATTGAATTACAATACATACTTGGAGCGGATACAATTACGCTGTATTACTATTATTTAAATAGCAAGTCGTTGAAAGTTTTGAAATATTACGAGCAGCAGGGAAAATTGTCAATGGTAATTTTTGAAAGCGAACAATTTTCTATATGTAGTAAAATTGAATATTTTTAGACACCGCTAAAATTGCCACCGCCAAACAATAATAACCCAATCGAGAGGAGTATGTTTTTAAAAAAGAATCGCCCACAAAAAAGACGACACGAACTTCTGCCATACAATGATTGTTTCTATAGGTTTGAATTTTAAATTTTTTCTTATTATTGTAATTTAAGGCATATCTATACTCATAAATATGTGCTTATAATTGATATCGATGAAGTAATTGTGCCAATAAGACATTCAAATTACGGTAATCGATTATAACACGTTTCATTTTTATATTATTTTTCATTTTAGATCAATTATTGGAGGATGTAGAAAATCGAGTTAAAAATAAGAGGATCAGCTCGATATCTGCACGAAATGTATTCAAATTTCGATCAAATTTCACAATTTATCCGGATTTTCATTATATGACAAACAATCGAAAAAGATCTCGCAAGACCAGCAACGTTGGAGAATATGGAAAAAGTTTCTCAAGGTTGCAAATTGTGAATGGCTCCTCGAATAAAATTGCTGATTTCAGCACTACAACCGTTGCAACAGTTTTTAATCATTTTGCTCTTCACAAGCTACTTCCAAATGTGTCCGAATCGATGTATTTCGGCAAATCCGAAGCAATCAAATTACACTATAAATCCGAGTGTCCATGGGAGTCTCGCAGAGAATGTCATCAATTGCAGTACGATACAGTAACTGACACAAGCCTTGACCATATTGAGAATGTACTCATTGAACGGGTTGAGCATGCAGTGCGATTAATTGGTATTTAATTTTCAAAATATAACAACTATTTTTTCATGTGGTTGAAATTATTTCAATTTTAATAAAAAAAATTATAAGACATCGTACGATTCTACGAATCACCTAAACCACTCAATTAAATTAATTAATTAGTTAATTAATTAACTAACTCAAAAGATCACTGTGCATCGATTGTGGCCGTGGCCGAACTAATTTTTTAAAGATATTTTTCTAGGCCACGCTCTACGGACGTGCGAATATGCGAGCGTCCGTCAGTGTTCCGCGTAATTTCCCTTCCGTGACATACGCCATTTTCAGGCTTACACCTACTTTTCTCAGAACAACAACCCATTAGTCTGATTCGACAAAATTCACATGTTTTCCTTTAAATGTAAATTGCTATGACCTCATTTGGCATTCGCCAATGATTTTGCTCATCTGTTTTCGACATATGTATAGTGTTCGAAAGCTATGATAATGTTTATAGTCTACATTAAAAAAATAGGTGAGCAATTGTTATAACATGTATAGAACAAAATATCCAATCTGTAAGCAACCCGGCGGAAGTGAAATATCAACAAAAATCGTAAAATTCCTTAGAATAAGAAAATGAAACCCGTTGAAGGCGACGAAATTACAAAAATGGCAACATGAGACTTCACATTTTCTAAGAATTGAGGTAATATATAAAAGGAGCACTGACAAAAAGAATCTAACGCGTTTCTATAAATGGAAGCTGCGACTATTTTTCAATCAGCTGCAGTACTGAGGTTATTAATATAATATGAGGCAACTATTTAATTACATATGAGATTGTAAATTTACAAATTCTAAAATGGGTTTTTCATATTTTTTGCAACATAATCTTCAAGACTTTTTGGCTCTGTGAGAATGTCGGTGTTTGTCGCAAGATGGACCTGAATTAAAATATTAGTAAAGGTACATATACAATAAATTCAAGAAATAATTACCAAGAGTGTACTAGCAAGAGGCCTAAGCTCGGATGGTTGCCAATTCTGTTGAATCCAATCTGAACACGATGCCGCGATGTCCTGCCGCGACGCCGTTTCGCCAGCCACACAAGATGCAAACGAGTTCGTGTTTCCTGTACAAATCGGTTGAAGCATTTTGCTCATCTAAAAATTGTCAACAATTTTTCGTGTTTTGTAAATTTTGACGTACCACCCAGAAACGCCAATCAGCCTTCGATTTCTCTTTGGTATATCGATCAAAGAAATTCTCAAGAGAAGTCTTTGAATCAACCTGAGCCGAAGATGATGCAGAATTGCTAGACGCCGGCAAATTGGTTTGAAGTGCCGTGATCTGTTGATTCAGTTTCTCAATTTTCGCCTTTATCTTTTCTTTCTTCTTCTCATTCTCTTTTTGCGTCTTTTGCAGTTTGCGAATGTGATCCGCGGCCTTCGCAAGAACAACAGCATTTGTTGGCTTTACTCCCCCAGAATATAAATCCGGAATCATATCCATCAACTGATCAAAACCGTCTTTTAGCGCGCTTCGACGATTCTGCTCCGCATGAAGGTGAAGTATTCGTTTTCGTTCTTCTGGATGAAGCGTCGAATCTGGAACCTGTTTTCGCATAGACTTAACGCTCGATGGCGCACTCATCATCTGTGGCTCTTCTTTAGGCTCGCGATGTTCGGATTTCGGCGGAATCTCGCATGATTTTTGTCGTGGCATTTCAGGTGGTGGTATAATCTTCGGTAGTTCACTTCGGGGCGTTGGATGATGTAGCTGCGGTTGTGGCTGTTGTTGCGGCGTTGCCTTGGCTGGTGGAGTTACAGACGTTTGTTGAGATTGTGATTGCTGTTGCGGTGGAGGTTGTTGTGGTGGCAGAGATGTTTGAATCTGTGGCGACGGTTGAGGTTGACTTCGTATAGGGGGACTTCCAAAAGCTGATGGAGTGCTGCTTGATGGATTAATTAACGAGGGACGAATCACGTTGGCGGTGAGTCCCGTATTTTGCTGCTGATAAATCTGAGATGTGTCGATTTGAGGAATCTTCCACGACTGAGAATCAACATTCAAAGAACTTGTGCGCAATCGAGTAATTGACGACGAAAAATCGACTCCTCCCATTTGTTGTTGTTGTGGTGTGATTGGTGTGAACGACTTTTGAAGCTGAAACATTACATGCTTTATTTTCAGAATATCACCTCTTTTTTCTCTACAGTATATTTCTAATTAATCTGGAGAAACGACCTACTTTATCAAGTATCGGTGGTTGTTCCAATCGCTGCATCAAAGTTCCTCCCACACGTAGTCCAGCTCGACTGGGAGAATCAAGGACTTGTTGAATCAGCGCGGAAGGCGGTGTAGCTGAACTGTCTGATCCCATCAGATTTAATGGTGTTGATGGTCCTCCTTGGTTCGGAAGCGGCAATGGTGTTGCAACCGAAAGTGGCGATTGAACACTTGCCGTAAGCGGCGAATCTAGCCACCAACTCCGCGTCGGAGCCATCTAAACAATTCTATATATTTTTGAGCTTAAACATTGCTTATACCATGGGATCATTCGATTGAAGAATTACATTATTATGCGGCGATTGTAAAAATTGCGGCATGTATGGATCAGATGAAATTGAATTCGATTGCAAAATTCCGGGTCGAGAAAGCGAATTGTTCGGCAGATTCGCTAGAAAATTGCCAGGCATTTGTTGTTTCCATGATTGCTGTGGCTGATTGGCGAACACATTCCGCGACGTTGGAAGAAACGAGTTGCCCGTTGAATAATGCGAAGACATTGCATACTGCGGAGCAGCGGAAGACGTGCTCGCACTTTGACTCAGCATCAACATTTGCGAAGTAATTGCCGATGACTGTCTCGTCGGCATCATTGTCATTTGATTGCTGAAAAAAAAGAATCAGAAACTAATTTATTTTATCAATGCCGTTACTTGTAATCAATCAGAGAAGTTGTCGGATTCACATACTCCCGTTGTTGCTGTTGTTGTTGATGCTGTTGTAGATTCTTCGACGAATCGCGTGACGTCATTTGATGCAATGAGTTTGATGATGATGACGACCGATGCATTTCACTGTTCACAACTGAGAACGAATTCGAAGATGTTGTCGGCTCCGATTGTTGCGTTGTCGGCGAGGTATCGTCGTTCATTCGCATTGACTGGTGATCGGCAATCGGCGAATCGGGGAAGTTATCAAGAGAGGCCATGATCTCTTCGATCGTTGGTTGCAACGGTAGCAGACCGGGCTGCATGAAATCCGCATTCCCACTCTCCACTGCAAGTTTTTCGATCATGTTGTTTTTTTTTCTTTAAAAAGAAATTTTCAATGAATAAAAAAACATTTCTGGAATATTCAAATCGTCCATTGTTCTTGTTTTAATATTTCATATTAGAAAAAAAAAGAATAAAAATATTTCATTAAAAACCCGTTATTCCGAAACTAAAATCGAAATCGTCGACTTACTCATCATTTCCTTTGGATTTGGAAACATATAAGGCTGCGATAGTGAATCGAACAATTCATCGGTGAACACGTTATTCATATCGTCATCATAATTCCATTCTTCCGATACCAAATGTTTTGGAGTTTGGGAACGCTGCATTTTATTCGGCGGCTCCGTTATTTTAACAGTTCGCTCAATTGAATTTGCCTTCTGATTTTGATTATAAACTATCCGTTTCGATTCATTGAACACTTACTCGTTTTCTCTTGAACAAATCACCGGCAATGCTCGAAATGCTGTTCGATGAGCACGTCGCGACCATTCCACGTTCAGCGAGAAGGGTATGACGAGATCTGACACGCCAGCTTTTGTATTGTGCACACACAGCCTCCATCCTTCTTTTCCAGTACATTCCTTCCATTACAGCTCCCTAGATTTCACAAGGATAAAAATTAATCGAAACAAACGCACAAAAACCTCAATTTTTTGATGCGTCGTATCATCGTCGGGCACTGCGAAATAACAAAATGGTTTTTTCGGTTTTACAGGAGCCTTCCTTCGAACTGAAAATTGTGTAAAACTTTTTCGTTTTGAAACAATTTCATACATTCAATATAATATGCTCTCCATATAACATTATTCAAACGAATTCGTTGTTTCCAATGTAATCGCAAACCTTTGAAATCTTTCCACTTTGGCGTTGTCATTTTACTAAAATATGAGCAAAATTATGAAAAAAACGGGAAAAAATGAATACTTGTAAGCGACTTTAATACATTTGTTGAGTTTGTTCAACGATACATCAATGGCAATCGATTGTGTTTTCTTCGGACCAAATTTGTAGAACGTGACTGGTTTCTCATCCTAAAACAATTTCAGATTTAAAAAAAAAAAACTTTTTTTTCAAAAAATAAAACAGGTGAATTGCTATTTTTAAGATTTTTAGAAAATTTAGTTTTTTTTTTCAAATTGAATATTGTTGGCGTTAATCGACTGAAGGGAGGCGGTCCCTTCAAATTCGCGAAATCAATGTAGATTTAAATTCGTTGACTGAATATTAAATGCGCGTACGCTATAATGCAATGTACGCAGTCTTGCGTACTTCTCATGGCGTCAAGACGCATTGGCACATTGTCAATAATTTTTTAAAAATTTCGTCACGTCGATTGATTCCGACAATATTTTTTCAAATAAAAAATTGTGGGAGTTTGCACAATTCAATTTACTAACCAACTGCTTATTTTTTATGGTTGTAGTTTCTTCAGATTTCTCATCATCTTGAACAACATCGACCTGAAATGGTTCAAAATCATATGGTTTTTTAAAAATTCAAATTTCAATGATTTCGTGCATAAATTTTGCATAAACTCACTTCAATATCTTCATCGTCATCATCAGCCTGGGCGTCATCATTGTGCAAATTTGAAGTCATAAAATGGCCGCTGTGAATTACTTGTGCTCGGCCCGTGAACGCCATTTCTTAAACATTATTAATAATTTTCGTATATGTATATCAAATAAGCCAATAATTAGAGAATGGTTGAAAATAATGAAAGACAAAAATCGTGGAAAAGTTTGCTTTTCTTTATCAAGAAACGATTGGAACACACGCCAGACGTATTACAACACGTGCCGGGGCAAAACGTCTGCGTTTCTCTTCCGCTGATTTCGACGGAAAGACAATAATGTTATTGAGATTATCATCGAAACAAAATTGGAGGCGAGAAAGATTGATATTAGGGAAGAAGACGTGATGGGGCGACAAAATATATCGGCGTCACACTTTCTTTGGGTTTGGATATCGAACGTGCTGATCAAGATCATTGGCAGTGATAAAACGAAAGAGACATGGGCAGAGAACAAATCGCATTTCAGGTTACCATCCACTATTATTTTATTTAACGAGTTTTGCGATTGGTTAAATTTCATCTCAATTTCATTTTTCAAATCGAAATATTAATATTTGAACGAATTCTAATAATAATTTCTAGACTATAAATGCTTCATTTTAGTTGTTTAAATATAAAAACTCACATATTTGTTGCAAAAAAGTTTATAGCCAATTTCTGTCAATTTTCTTCTACTATTAAATTTCATAACAATCAAATTCGAAATTTCCGGAAACCAATTATGATAAGAATAGCAACAAGTAATTATCTCTCCAATTAATTCGGTAATTCGTCACACGAATTTTATTGTAAATTTGACCTCAATTTCATTGAAAAAAATGGTCGATGAGATATTGCAATCTTCTTATTTTTTCTCTTCAAAGCATTAATGATTATAGACATATGAAGCTTCTTTAAGTTTCATAAATATTCATATAGTTATTTTTTGAAGAATGAAAATAATTAATGTTGGCGGAAATGATACGTTGTGAAGTTCATTCGCACCCAAAATTGAAACTTTTGGACAACAACGAGTCACGTGGTTAAATTAAAACACATGACTGAAAACTTGATAAATCTTTGCAAATGGTTTTGTCTATTTTAATTAATAAAAGCTTTAAAAATACACTGCTAGTTTTGGGTCATGTCATACTCTCATTGGTTTCTTTTTGAATTTAGCTAATTTTCCACAGTCACGCATTTTTTAATAAAAAATATAAAGGCGTGATTGAAAAAAGTAAGAATTTTGAAACAAATTCGAGAACTTGATTGATAAAATCAAAATAAAGCGAAGAAGTGGTAGTAATGACTGCTAAGTTTTTTATCGTTATGATAACACAATTGATTGGCTGGGAAATCGAAATAAACTTGTGTTGTTATCAATATTGAGGCGATCAATGAAGGAAAGAAAATGTTAGGTAGAACCACTGAACACACATTAGCTACAGCGTACTTCGAAATATAAACGTAGGATACTAAGTTCGTGGGAAAATCAGAGAACCAAATGAACTTTAAACAGCTGAACCTAATAATTTAAGCGAAATCAAAATTTGCAACAGGACACTCTCGCGCGCTATTTCATTAGTTATAACGTGAGCAGGTGTGGATTGAAATTAATTTTTCGTTTCTAGACAACTAAAATGGTAATCCGCTTGAATGAAAACGATTTTGAAAAAAAAAAGATCGCAATGATTTTGTGAACCAATAGAAACTCTTATGCGTCGAGAGTGTGAGCAACCAGCAGGAGGGTTTGATAGAAAGGCAAAGAAATAGACGAAAAAAAAAGAATGAAGAAAAAGACAACATGGATGGGACAACAAGTCAATGTGTGCTTTCGAGATTTTGGTACACAGTCGCATTCATTTCAGCCAAATTGCCCATATTTTCTCATTACGTTCAAATCATCACTTTTTTTCAAACGGAAAATGTTTATTTAGAACACAAACTGATACCCACCTAGTTGATTCGTGTCACGTGGCCTATCTGTACCGGTTGTGTCTAACATTCGCTACAATTCGCGCATATCATCGCCACCGTCTTTTTCCCCTCTGCGCCAGTTATGATCAACCGATTTCAACGTTGCTGTGAATGTTCTATGAAATCATGTGTGATAAAAGACGTGTTTACGGTCAAAGACAAACGAGAAGTCTAGTGTAAAAAAATAAAAAAGCAGATGATGATAGGTTAAACGCGTGATAAACACAGGGTCAAACCTTGTTTCCGTTTTGGATACAACAAATCTCTATAAAATGAGTGCGTACACAAAATAACGCGACTGTGCAAACTTGCGTCAGCGGAGCAAACCCATATAGCACATTGTAGACCGTAATCCCGAATAACGCGTGTTTTCCCGTATTCGATTATTCGTTTCAATCAATCACAAATTTGTATGATTAATCATATTTTCAGTTATGACATATTCATAAAATATATTTTTTTTTTGGAAAAGTTTTACATTTTTTTAATTGTATGACTAAGATCATCAAAGAATTTAAATTCCAATTTTTTAGTCACGTATTCGATTGAATAAAAATAGAAAGAACGTCTGATTTAATCGACCAAATCCGGTTCTCGAGAAAAAAAAACTTGCAAGTAATGTCATGAAGTACAAAAATTAATATTGGAAACTGTCGGAAATTCGAACAGTTTAGGCCAAATTCAGTCTTGATTCTTGGCTCGAAATCGAGAAACTATATCCGTATTTCCCTATATAACGGTCGGAATGAGCAGCAAATGCCAGTTTTTTCTTCCAATCCTACTACCGCTATTCACCGTTTCCGTCAATAAAAGAATCTTACCATCTCGCGTACTGTTACACGTCTTCCGCCACTGGCAACCATCGGAACATGATTTCTTAGGTCAAAATTTTACACGCCGCCCTCCGGAAGTTTCCAGTCATCAATATTTGAATTTCTATACATTTCTTCAAAATTTTTGATTAAAAAATTAAATTAAAAATAAATAAATAAAAATAGGAACCTATGTGCAAATCTACTTTATTAATAAAGAAATGACTTAGAAATCATCAACATTAGCGAGCTTGACGGTTTCTCCCGGTTTGAAGGGCGGTTGGCCAAGATATGGGCAAGTTGCACAGCGAAACGCGTCTCCAAGAGCACACTGAAAAGAAAAAAAATGATCACTGTTTCTAGGAGTAATTTTGTTACATTTCCACAACTGCTTTTTGGAGCAGACGCAATGTTCGCAATCTTTTCATTCTGCTCTTGTTCGGCCAATCCACAGGTGCAGTTTTTGCAAGCCCTCTTCTTTTTTCCTTCTTCGGAATTACATCCAGCTAAATCGAAATAATAAAAATTTTCGTTGAAATATTAAATTTTAAAATCAAAACCTTTAAGCTCAGCTTCTGTTGGTTTCTTAAAATCATCATCTTCTAGTAAAGCGTCTTCATCAATAAGTTCATCTTCATCAACGGCTTGTGGAAGTTTCAAAGTAAATTTTTCGCCCATTGACGACGTCTTTTTGGCAATTACTGGAAGTTCTCCTGAAACACGAAGGCGATAAACATATTTTGATATGAATTAACACTGCACCATTTTCAACAATGAAACCAGCAATTCGAGATTTTCTAGAAGCAACCGCGGCATCGTTAAAGTAAACGATAGCTTCAGAATTCGGCTGAAGAATGTCGAAAGCAAACGCGGTCAATTTTTCTAAAACCGTCGCGTCGGACGCTTCAATAATTGCATAAGTGAATTTCGAATCAGCGACTTTATCTAAACAAATTATCATAATTTCGATGAAATGATGCCAAACTTGCTCTTATCCAGTTCAGATGCTTTTAGTACTGTTTGTTTTCCAAATTTGGAAAGAAATGAAGCAGATTCATTGGTATTCTCTGAAAAAGTAGGATACAAAGTAAGTTTTAAAGAATATATGACCTTGAACGAGAACTAGAACTTCTTGATCAACGGTCCAGTTAAGTTTATCGCACATTTTCTAAAATAGATCAATTAATTAGCAATTAGTTTTAATCAATAAGTAATTTGAGGCTCTTAAACCTCATTTAAAATAATCGAAGATCCAATCAATTCGGGGTATTCTTTATCAATCAGTAAGATTAGTCAAATTAGAAATTTAAAAAAGAAACGGAGAAAATTGTTTTCGAGATACAAATTACACCAGCGTATTCACCATAAAACAACAACATTTTAACAATTTTAATCAGAATCCGAATCTTCCGATTCCTGCTCGCTTTCTTCCGGCTCAACAGTCTTTTTCTCCTTCTTCTTCGGCTTTTCATCTTCATCATCCGAATCATCACTTTCCGATATATATTCTTTCGATTTTGCTTTTGATGGAGACCTGAATAACAAATAAAACCACAATTAGATAACCACACAATTCTTACGGTCCAACACTCTTCTTAGGTTTTGCGCTGGAAGTCGAAGGTTTCGAAGAACTCGAAGAAGCAGCAAAGGCAGCAGCAGATCCGCTCTTCTTGTATTCCTTCATCTCACTCTCGTACCGGGCTTTGTCTTCAGCGGCTTTCTCATCCCACTTCTTTTTCTCGGAAGAATCAAGAGTCTTCCACATTTCTCCGGCTCGTTTTGCCGTTTCACCAACTGAGTCTCCATCCTTTTTGATAGTTGACCGATTCTGATTCATCCAAAGCATGAATGCAGTCGAAGGACGTTTTGGAGCGTTTGGATCCTGAATTTTAAATTTTAAACGTTTCGTTCAAACTGCTTCCAACCTTTTTAACTTTTCCTTTCTTTCCTTTTCCTTCCTTCTCCTCCTTTGGCTTCTTTTCCTTTACTTCTCGTTTTTTCTTCTTTGGAACTTCGTCATCAGGCTCGGATTCTCCGGTGCCAGAATCATCCGATGCGGATCCAGAATCATATTCATCGTCTGGCTCAGATCCACTTCCTTCAGATGACTCTTTCTCCTTTTCACGTTTCTTCAAGTCCGCATCCAGATCGTAGTCTTCGTCTTCGCTATCAGAATCATCGCTCTCTTCATCATCGCGTATACGTCCTTCGGCTTTAACAGCTGCCTTATATGGATCGATTTCGTCATCACTTCCCGCAAACTTATCTTCGGCGTAGACATCCATTCGTTTAGCATTACGAATTCGCAAATGCTTATTTTGCACATAATCGTAAAGCTTATTATACTCTTCCCTTAAAATTTTAAGAATTTGAAATTTGAACACGATCGTTTTGAACTCACTTTTCAACGGAGTTGAACAGAAGTGATTGTCCGTTTTTCAGCTCAATTTCAAAATCAAATGTTCGAGTAACATTTCCTCCATCAGATCGCGCGAAATGAACTGAGCTTACTTCTTCGTAACGCACATACATCGGCGGTTTGTGTATGTACAAGAAACCTTTCTCGAGTGGATAAAACAATCCCGGATTTTGACGATGAGCAGCTTGAATTGCCGGCGTACCAGAATGACTAAATTCCATTAATAATATTATTACTCCAATTTAAAAATTAATACCCAATAAATGTTCCTGGAACAGTAATTTTCATGTTAACAAGAACGCGGAAAAGCTTCGAAACGATCTCGTAAAGGGCTCCAGACATCTCACGTTCCAATTTTCCACCATATTGTTCATCGATTTGTTCTCTGAAAAATACAAAATTATTTTTATCAAAATTTTTATCGAAATACTCGGTGAGTCCAAGTTCAAGATCAATATCCTCGTCTTTTATAAACTCAAGGACGAGATAACTGTATCTGGTTTGACCTTGTCGGATTGGAGGATTTAATGAAATCTGAATCATGGAATAATTACAAATGGAAATGAGGGACAATTAACATACCACAAAATAAACATGTCGGCCGTCCTTATGTGGAACAAGGAACAATCTGGTGATTGTCTTGATCGGAATCTTGTAATCGTATGTTTTTCCATGAAGCGATAAATGATTTGGATAAATTTTGATATCGTAACGACCACGTGGAGTGGTGCACAAAATCTCCTGAAGTGTGGCAATCGCCTGTCCGGTTTCCGTTTCAAGACCAGCGAACTCCAGAACAGCTCGCTTGAACTCCTCGACGGGGTCATGATCTTCTTCTTCATCGTTTATTGGCATATGGAACCTCATTTCCATAAGACTTACTGGACAATCATCATTCTTCAAATCGCAAATAAACAATTTAAAAATCAAATATTATTGTACTTGATGAAATTCCAAAGTTGCTTCATTTTTATTTCCAATGCACTGCGACACGTTTGAGCACGGGATTTCGAAAATCGGTTTGTCTTCCCAGCTAAATTCCACTGATTTTCCTTTAACTTTACAATTTCCGTAATTCCATCCTTTTAGAACCATTTCCACTTGTTCGAGATTCTTCGACCAATTTTGGCTAGTGAAAGATTTGACTTGTTCGAAATCCTAAAGAATAAAAATATCCAAAACTAATTTATTTAAAAATTGGTGGAATACCGTATCTTTAAAACCTCCGAATCGAACACAATCGCCATCATTGAGACCAACACGAAGGCCTGGCTTATTTCCGAGTCTTTGCCATCTCAAATCATCAATCTCATCTGACGCAATGTTCGATACTTTTCCAGTTTTATTGTTTTTGAACTGTAGACCAGAGTCCGTAAATCTAATGAAACCATTTTCGAGGATTCCGGTGTCTTCGATAAAAATATTACTGAACTCAAGTTGGGACATCCTGAAACTAATTTTATTACAGTTGAAGACAATTTCGAAATAAACAAAACGTGTTGATTCAAGGCAATTATTTCGAATAATTCTATCGTCAAGCATAAATTCGATTTCTTGCCCTTTTTTCGAAAACAAATACTGCTATTGAAAAAAATTTCATGCGTAAAAATAGTTAGGAACGTTTGAAAAATTGAATTGTGGAAAATTTTCGCGCGCGCATTGAAATTCTTTATATCAGTACGGTTGACAAAGTGTGTAAACACGGAATACGCGAAACTACAGACTGTACATCACATTTTTCAAAATGTCAGTTATTTTTACTTCCCAATCTTATATTGTTGTTTATTTGCATTATTCATAGACACTCTTGTTTTAAACATTGAAAAATATTCCAAAATGGGAAATTATGCGTATTTTATTCTGTGTTGTTTCAATGGTGTCCCAATCCATGTGTTATAAGCAGTATTGTTTTTCAATTTCGAAAATTATTATTTGCAGATATGGTTGAGGAAGATGAATTTGATCAGTACTTTGAAAATGCTATGGTACGTATTAATTGTTTAATGTTTTCGACTTTCTTTTTAATTAAAATTTAGGACGCGTCGTTTGAAGGAGGAAACTATGAAGATGACGAATCCGAAGATGACGATCAAGATAACGTTAATACTGAATATGAGCTAACGAAAGAAGAGCCAGTATCAAAAAACCCAAAGGAATTTGCGAAATTTTTGCATAAAACCGAATTCCCTGAGGTTTTGCATAGTTCCTAAATGTCACAATGTAAGCTCTTACCTTTCAGGATATTACTGGATACTTCAAGTCAATTAAGCTTTTTGAAAGGAATCCGAAAAACGGAACAATTATTCCGACAAAATCTTTGGGTTTCGCTGTAAATGTAACTGGAATATGTTTGAAATGTGAAAAAAGTTTTATTCAGGGATTTTCTATTTATCTATTTGGTAAAAAACGTATTAGAAAAGCCGTGTTGAAAGGAATTTCTCAAATTTTTGGCTGTTACGATATTTTTCACTATATCTCGTCGCATCTAGTAAAGCATATTGTGGTAAGAAAATTTCAAGTCTGATATATTTCTAAAGCCTAAAATTTCAGACGCTTAGGGAATCGCATGCGGCTGCGTGGAGCAATCTTTTTAATTTCATGTCCTTCATAAAACATCCCAACGATGGAGTTTCGGCGCCATTTTTTAAAAAGTTTTGCAAACGTGAGAATTCTGATTGTTGATAAATTATAAAGTGAAATTTTTAGAAACCCCGTTCACAAATCAGCAGACGAAAAAGCGGCGTCTTATATGGATTTCGAATGATTGGGAAAAAGTCTGGTCGGCGATTCTTCATGCTGAAGTATTTCATTTTTTGTATGCTTTCTATTCTATTATTTGTTTTAGGTGAACTCGAAAATCGCTCTTAAACTGATTCCATACGTCACTGAAAATATATTGAGCAAATTAAAAGAGCCATTCAAAACTGCCGACTTTTTCTTCAAAATGTTCGACAAAAAAGATATTCACGCGATATTATCGCTCGGTGCCATTTTCAAATTGATCACTGAGCATAATTTGTGAGTTAATACGAAAATGGTGTGTTTCTAAACAATCAAAGCATTTTTCAGCGAATATCCAAAGTTTTACAACAAAGTTTATTCGTTGATCAAACCGTCGATGTTTTATATGGAAAACAAGGATAAAGTATTAGTATTATTGGACAGTTTTCTATCTTCAACGTATGTATCGAATGTTTATTTAAACGAAAAATGATTTATAGGCACCTTCCGATTTATATCGTCGCTTCATTCATCAAACGATTAGCGAGATGTCTCACATTGGCTCCGGTTGATGCTCAAGAACCAACACTCGGGCTGATTCGTAATTTGATTATTCGACACCCAAACTGTTACGAATTGGTCCATCGAGAGGTATAGCTGATTTTTGACATTTCCATTTCCATTTTCCGTTTTAGCTTCCCAAAACACTGTCAGAAGATCCGTTTGATGATAACGAAAATGAGTTGAGTAAAACGAAAGCCCTTGAATCTTCGTTATGGGAACTCAAGCTTCTTCAACATCACTGGAATCAATCTGTTAGGAAAAGGGCGCATTTTATTGATAAACCGAAACAATCGGTTAGTTTTTCAAAATAAAAAAGTTTTGAGCTCTCTCAAACTGTTTACGTTTTCAGATCGAGTCATATGTCAGATTCCGTTGCATTGATGAGCTTTTTTCGACACATATGGCGAAAACCTTTGGTGGAGAAGAAACAGACGCTGAGAAATATCAAAAACTACAGGTTTTGGAGGCAAATTTCCAGAAATATTAACGTTTTTGAAATTAGGATGGCGATGATGAAGAAGAAGTGAAACCCGAAGAAATTCCGACAAAACGAAAGAAGAAATTTGGTGGAAAATTCGCAGCTCGACATGAAGAGAAGACTGTGAAACCAGTGAATGTTAATCAGGATCCTCCAAGCGGAATCATGAATAGAAAAATTTCCAATATTGATGTCCCACTTTTGTGGAAAATTTAGAAGATGATTGTTATTTGTTAATTTGTGTTGTTGATTGTTTGTTTTCTTTATTGTTTTCTTAATTATTATTATTATTATTATTATTATTATTATTATTATTATTATCGTTTTCCACTTCATAATAATAATATTTTTTGAAAATAGTCCTCATCTACGTTATTTTATTTTAGCAATGTTTTATTCCTTTGAAATATCTTTTGTATTATTTGTTGCTGATTTACTATATTATTCTGATTCATTATTTTAGGTGAAATGCATCTCAACAGTCCTGCTGGAAGGTCGATTCTGGGTGGAGATACCCCAGCTCATGGTGGCATTTCATCGATTCTTGGTTTTTTTTTTTCGAAAATTACTTTTGAATAGTTCATGATTGTTTTAGGAAGTCATGGCGGTCCTTCATCGATTTTGACCCAAGGAGGTCCGCAATCGGTTTTGGGTCCGAGTTCTCTTATAAACCCGAGTTTGTTGAATTCATCGCAGTTGCACAGTACGTATTTGTTCGGATATTGAATGAATCTCATAGAATGATGCAGGTCAACAAGGCAGTTCGCAGATCGGATCTAATATGATGTCAAATAATTTGAATATCAACCCAAACTCGGTGCTCAGTGGTCCCGGATCAGTGGCGCATGATATGAATCCGCCATCTGTTGCGTATCAGAGTTTAGCAGTTCCGATGACACCACTCAATTATCATCATGAGCAAGTAGGAGTTTTAAACATCATCAGAATTAACGTTCTCCTATTTTTATTATGTGAAGGAATGTAGAGAAAACGTCGAATCATGTAACATCTCTTCAAATTTTAATTCTTTCAGTATCGAGATAATATGCTGGCTCCCCAGAGCAACATCCCGACGACAGCGATGCCTCAGACTCCTGCGAGCCAACTTGACATACCGATGCCTACCCTGCAAAATATTGTATCCACAGTGAACTTGGGAGTTCAATTGGATTTGAAGAAAATTGCGTTGCATGCGAGAAATGCCGAATACAATCCAAAGCGTTTCGCAGCGGTTATAATGCGAATTCGCGAGCCGCGAACAACTGCGCTCATCTTTTCAAGTGGAAAAATGGTTTGCACAGGTGCAAAATCAGAGGAAGCGAGCAGGTTGATTACATTGAAAGTTTCTTTATAAATAGCCCGTGATTTTCTAGACTTGCTGCTCGAAAATATGCAAGAATTGTGCAGAAACTCGGATTTCAGGCTAAATTCACAGAATTTATGGTATGTTAAAAAATTTGTGGAATTTAAAGTATCATAGATAATAATTAAGGTTCAAAATATGGTCGGATCTTGTGATGTCCGATTTCCAATCCAACTCGAAGGTCTTTGTCTTACCCACGCTCAGTTCAGCACTTATGAACCTGAATTGTTCCCCGGTCTGATCTATCGAATGGTGAAACCTCGTGTTGTGCTTTTAATTTTCGTCTCGGGAAAAGTAAGTTGAGAATTTCCGCATTTCTTCTCTCACCCGCATAATTCAGGTCGTCATTACTGGCGCAAAAACAAAGAAGGACATTGACGATGCCTTTAATCAAATTTATCCAATTCTCAAAGGATACAAAAAATAAAAACTGATAAATATAATGATTTGAACAGCAACATGTAAGGATACATACGCTTAGTGTAAAATAGAAGCTTCATTTTCATTTTATCTGTTCGGGAATGTTGGCTTTCGTTAGATTATCCAGGTCTCGTTGTTTTGAACCTTATTTCAATTTCTCAATTGTCATCATTCATCTTCTTTTAAATATTATTATTATTATTAAGATTTTGGATCTCGTTGTATATCGTTTGTTTCCAATTTTCACTGCTTTGTGTATACAATGTTGTTTTCCGATTCCCATGCTTATTGTCTGTCTTTATGAACTAATAAAGTTCTGAAATTTTTAATTCTACTCACCGTATAAAATCGTATGATTTCGAAGAGTAATTATTGAAAATAACAAACGAAGTCAATATAAAAACATGAGATTCAGAAAATGATTGAAGATCTTGCGAAAATTGAAAATGTCGAACAGGTTTCGTGGATCACGTTGTTTTATTTTGTATTTCTCGAAAGTTTAGGTTCTTCAAAATAAAAACAAAAGCGAGTTGCTAGAAATTTGTCGAAATTGTTTACGGCATGTAATTGCTTCCAATTATACCGGATTTACTAGTAAGTGGTGTTAGTTGCACTATTTAGTTTTTCGCTTAAAAACTTTTGAGAATTGCACGAATCTTCTTGGATAAGCGAAGAAGACGCGAGAAAATGCCTTGCTAGAGACTTGATAACTCCTTGTGTAGCTGTCAAGTAATTCATTTTCATTTCTTTATCAAGAAAATTATTTCAATTTTCTACATTTTCAGGTCTTCGTGGGCTCTGGTTCTCACTAAACGGATCATGGAAAATATAAATGATGCCGATTTTGAGACGCACCTTTTGAAATTGAGGTGATCGCGTGATAACATTTTGAATTTCGAATCGATTCATTATAGATTCTTTATTGTTTGGCAACAATTTCTCACGGATAAATCGAATTATATTCTTGAACAAGGGACCCAATCAATTCAGTTCATTCAGAAGAACTTGGAATCTGAAACTGATTGTAATAGAAAATGTTCAATTCTGCTGAAAATGACTTCGTTCTACTTCATGTTTTATCAATACGATTTGGCAAACGAATGTATTGAGTAAGTTGCGATTTTCAATTTTTTCCTCAATCCAAATTGTAATGCAGAAATGCTTCCAAATTGTGCAAACTGAATGTGGATATGACCGGAATGCTTGGAAAACGAACGCGATATCAAACAAGAGATGTCGCCCAATTGGTTCTTGTGTATGAGGTTCGAACGAGAACTTTACTTATATAACTCACTATTCTGAAAATAATGCCTTGTAGAATCCAGAAAATGTTGGCGAAATTCAAGAACCTTCCGTTGATGTCCCAACGAGTTGTGTTCTCAATGACGACACTCTTCTTGAACAAGTTGCTGTGACTTCAAATGATTCGAATACACAAGTAGACGGTCGCCGACTTTCTTTGCCGCAGCTATGTTGCCTTTTATGGATTGCTCGTCATGAGAAATCGACCCATCACGGCGATGCGCTTCTCCATGAACGATGTACGCCATTCCTGAATGCTGTCATCGCTTCAAGACGCTGCTGGCCGCTTCAATCGGCAGCTTTACTTCTTCGTGCCGATCTCGAAAAATCGAATGGAAGAACTGTCGATAGATCGTGTTCGCAAACTGAACTCATTTGCAAATTGATGCAAGGCATTGATGACGAATCTTCGGATGAAGTACGCATAGCTCGCACAGATCATGTGTTGAGCTGTGGATTGGAGCCTGCGTGGATGGCCAATGTGTTGCACACTGGAATTCTGAAATCACTCGGATGCACATCTGAAGCTCTTCTGATTCTGGAAAAACTTGAACTGTGGGATAATGTTATTGATTGTTATAAGACACTTGGTCAGTTGGAGAAAGCTGAAGCTCTTATTCGAAGGTTGCGAGATGAGAATCCGGATGATACAATGCTGCTCGTGTATTTGGGCGATATTACACAGAATCCGGATTATTTTATCGAAGCCATCGAGGTTTTTTTTGCAAATGCTGATATCGTGATATCGTAATATTTCAGAAATCCGGTGACCGAAATGCTCGTGCTCATCGATCACTTGGTCATTTGTATTTGATGCGCAAGAATTACAATGATGCCTACAAACATTTGCGCAGAAGTTTGGAGCTACAGCCGATTCAAGTAAACTGCGATTACTTCTCTAAAAGTTGTATCAATGTTTTCAACTTGCAGCTGGGCACTTGGTTCAATTCTGGATACGTGTGCGTGGAAGTTGGAAAATTATAAAGATGCTGCGACTTGTTATCACAGGTATTGCCATTAATTTTATTTTATTATTCTATGTTCATATTTTAAGATGTGTTTCTCTTCAACCTGACCATTTCGAAGCTTGGAGCAACCTGTCAGCTGCATACATACGTTATGGAATGAAGGAAAAAGCGTGGAAACTTCTACAAGAAGCTTTGAAGTTCAATTATGAACACCCAAACGTTTGGGAGAATTACATGCTTCTATCGGTTGATGTTGGGTCGTTCGGGCAGGCAATTCTTGCTTATCATCGACTTCTTGATTTGAACAAGAGAGGTGCAGATGATGAGGTTTTGGAATTGATCGCCTTGCATGTTCTGAAGCGAGAGAAGGAGGTTGGCTGAACTGCTGAAAATCATAATGAGAAATATGTTCAGTTGACTGATGACAATGAGAAGCTTGAGAATTCGAAAGAAAAGTCGGAAATGATCAAACTTTTGGCGAGAATAACTGCGAATCATCAGACACTCTCGTCAAAGGTATCCAACTTCCTTTTAGATTTATTTTTTTTTTTGATTTTTAGACATTGAAATTGTACGCTGAACTGAAGAGACCATCTGAACTTAATAATGAGACAAGAACTGAATATGAGAAGTATATTCAAATTCTTGAGAAGAGTCTTGCCGTTGCGAACGGAAAACAGGTTATAAATTTAAGATTTTGTCATTTTATGTGTTACGTTTTTTTTCAGAATTGGTCGAAGGATGAACAATTGTCGGTTGAAGTGGCAGAGACGGCGATTTTGTTAGCGAATGAGAGGCTTTCGCTTGCGAGACATATCAGTTCGGCGACGTCTGTGAAAGAGGTTCGAATCGAGTGGCTCGTTCTTCAAATATATGCTGCTTTTGTTATAGGCATCCGCACGAGTTAGATTATCGTTGAATGGTGTGATTACCAGAATTGAAAAAGACGCCCAGAATCGAATTGTTGGCGAGAATGAGCAAAAACTAGCCGAATTGATTGACGAAGCCAAAGGAATTCTGACGCAATTGTCGTCTCTTGCTTCCACTAATTAATCATTGTTTCTTTTTTGTTATAATTTGTTACCATTGTTTTGTTTTGTTGTTTCTCATCTTATAAATTAAATTTTATTAAATTTGTGTCAAGAACATAAGAAAAGACCCTGGATTCCTTTTCAGGTTTTGCTTGTTTTATGTAATGGTGCAGAAGCTTCGAAAGAATGGATTGGTCGTTGTTGGGAACTACATTGGGCGATCCATTTTCATAAAGTAGATTGACCAGTAACTAGAAATTATGGAAGGATTTGTGAGCAGATTTTGAAAAGATCAACTTACACAATATTAAATATGAGAAATGACAATGGAAACATGATCATTGAGCAACGATCGACCTGCAGAAGATCGTTTGATTCGACCAGACTTCTCTAACCGGCTTACCTGTACACTAGTAATAGTCCAATCTCGATCCGGCGGACAAATTGAATAGACAAGCCGCTGAATTCGGTGGCCGAATCCCGTTTTCTTCTCATAAGCGAACGTCTCATTTTCTATCTGAAGCAACATTCTTGAAAAACGTTTGAAACGTTTTCGGTTTACCGATGAGAAATTGTTGGAATTCTTTGTCGCCTCGCAAGTTGTGTTCGTTACATTCGTCGAATCGCTGGATTTGATCGATGCTAACACCGGAATTCTTTTTCGCACCCCTCCATTATTTGGATCCTCTTTTATATCCTTCTTGCGAGTTTTGCGAATTTGATTCAGCCAATGGCCCAACACTTTTGAGCCGATTTGTCGTTCACGTTCCCATCTGTAAAATATTTCAAATTTCGGCTAACTATTTATGGGCTACCTGTTGAGTTGGCAGACGATTGCGAGCTCGACGAGAGTGCAAAAAATGAAGATCACAGAAAAAATCATCCAAACGTCGAGACATTTGATGTAGCTAACACGTGGCAAATGGCGAAGCACGTTGCCAAATTGGAATGTTAACGCAAGAAGAGATGAGACTCCCAATGTAATCCTGAACACACATAAATTCGATTCGTGTGAATGCCTTTAAAACCGACCTCGCAGAAACTGATCGAACGTCGAAAAAGAATCCAACCCAAGAGGAAATGACTGTTAGACTGGTTGGGAAATATGATTGGAATAGGTAGAAGCCGTATCTTCGAGCAAATGTGAATTTGACTTTTGCTCGATCCCATATTCCATTAGGATATTCTAATCGTTGGTGATCGGTTGACCATCCGATCAAATCAAAATCGGGAAGTTCCACCTAAAATGTATATTATAAACGAATTTTGAAAAAATAGTTTGGACAACTTTTTCCATCATTGTTATCGGCACATCGTGCCACATCAATCGAACTTCATCGGTGTTGAATGAATAACTTTCGAGTACAATTTCACACGATAATGAGTCAAAGGGAAACATCTTAAAATACGGCAAATATTAAAAAATCGAATTGAATTAATACTACTTACTTTCAAATTAACACTGCATGGTGTTTTAACGTTAAGCCTAAAAAATGATAATTTAATTTTTTTTTCATTTTCTTAATAACTTCCAACTTGTTACACTATTTCAAATGCACTTTTTGATTACATTCTTTTTTTTTTTGAGAATTCTTATCAAGTTTTGGATGCGAAAACAAGCTATCATTTTCCGGGATATTGAATTACCTGAAATTACTCCACACGAGACCATTCTCATACAAAATCACAAATGTATTTTCGCTAGGCGACGAATGAATCGAACTCGATTTGCTGTTGATTATACACGTGTCGGGTGTCCAGATTTTTTTGCGAAAATCTGACTGAAATTCGCTTTTTTGTGTGTCAATGAGCTAATCGATTTTTGAGAGAACCTTGAGCGTGATATTTGTGGCGCACACATTTAAATGTTTGAATGCCAATCGAGGATCTTGCCAAATTTCGCTGTACATCACATCCAGCGAAAAATCGCCAGTGATTTCCGAAATTCCCGAGACCCCCTTTAATTTTGATTTTTGATTTTTATTAATTATAAATTGAAAAAACCTGAACGTGCAGTTCAATTGTCACATTGACACCTTCGGCTTGTGGAAGTAAATGAACATCGTAATCGGTTAGCAGAGTGTCAATTAAACGACCCAAATTGATGCTGAAAACACAAAATGCCGACATTTTCAGATTTGAAATTCCAAATTTCTCATCTTTTACAACAAAAAAATGTTGTTTACATAAAAGACGGCGCCCTCAATTTTTATCCCACCCGGATTTGCTTTTTTCCGAACATCGAATGCCTTTTTTCGATTACATTTTTTGGGGGAATTTCATGAGAAATTGTGAGTCAAATGGGGGACCAAATGTTTTTTTTGTCTACGAATTTGGGATTTTCTTATTTCGATTTCGAAGATGACTGAATTCTAGACTATATTCGGTACTGAAACGAAATGGGAAACTTTCTCGGAATTCTATCAGAAAAAAAAAAACAGTAATATTGAATTGTGAGACAATTGGCATTGTTGAAAAAAATTAAATTCAAATTTAAAATTATTCTCTTCTTGAAAATATTTTGTCTCGGAGATATGATGAACCTAAGATTTAATTTGTGAACCCTACACCTCAATTTCCATAATTAATTCTAGATAATTGAGAGCTTCAATTGGATCCCTTAATTTATTATTATTCTAAATTTCCAATATAAATGCGATTACAGGGGGGGGGTTCTTTTCAAATCGCCACTCAAAAGTGCATCAATTGCCGAACACAACTAACTATGGAAAATTGAAAAAAGAGATTTATTTCTTGGTTTACAAATTTTTGAAAATGTTTGATACGCAGCCAAATCAAACCAAATTGTCTCATTCAAAATTTTTTTGGATATCTTTGCCCTCAATTATGAGAAAAAGTTTGTGGAATTTGTAAAAGTGTGAAAAAAGAGATCATTTTTTGATTGGGTTATTTGTGTGTAACAAAACGAATTGTTATGATTTTGAAACACAATTTGATTGATTGATTGATTGATGAGCACACACGCAATCTCTCACCTATTCCTCGAGCATTTCTTGTCTTTAACAGCTTCTGAGCCAGTAAAATCAACGAGAATTGTAGATAATATACAGAATAAAATGAATTTTAGGCGCATATTATTTAGACCAACATTCGATTGTGTAATCTGCAAAAAAAGAAATAAACACGTGAGCTTTTCAACGAACATTTTTGGCACAAAGAAAAATGCGAAAACGGCTACAAAAAAGGGCGGTGCAAAATGTGGCGGTGGGGGGGGGGTGCAATAAAATAACGTCCGTCGTATTTTTTTCAGTTCTAGTCACATTCTAAAAACCGAAACACATGTTGGCAGTCATAAAAATGAAACGAGCCTGTGTGTTTGTTGTATCAAAATTTGTCGGGTCTGAAAACCCACCAAACATATATGCGAGCTTCTTCTTCTGCTTCTTCTTTTTTTTCCTTCCTCTCATCCATTTTCACACCACAATTTACATACATATTTGGAGTGTGAGGTTCTTTCTTTTTTTTTCTGCTATGAATTGGTCGAGGGGGTTTCGACGGCCGACGATGCCAGTGGTGGTAGCTGCGGTGTCGGTGTTGGTAGTCGGATACTCGGAATTGCGTCATTCGAAAAATGAAGGAAAGAGTTGAGAGAAAACGCAACTCAAAAATGGAGAATGTTTATTTATTTTATGAAGGACTTGTGCCCCCCTGAAACTCCGCCCTCAGTTTTCAGATTCTTGTCCTTTCTTTGATCTTTGAAATTTTGGTTTGAATTGAAAATTTTTTGATCTCTTATGTCACAAACGGATTAAATTACTTGATTTATTTCGATTATTTGAGTTTTATGAGATTTAAAAGAAAACTCGAAAAGCTCAGACAATTATGAGACATATTTCGTTTGCCAACTTTTTTTTAAAAATTCGACACTCAAGAAAAATAGAAAAATGAATTAAAATGTGAAAAAAAAAAACGGCCGCGATTTTAACAATTTCAAACCAAAATCTTAAACTGCATTCGATATCTCAAGAAATGAGAAAATGAGTATCTAATTTCGATTTGAATACGATTTACTTTAATGATTAACACAAGGCACATTTTTAAAGAAACTACCATTATTGTTGCAGACGCATTTTTCCAACAAAAAAAAAAACAAAACCGAATGATTCATAGAGGGAAATCGAATCAATCAAAATTCGTCGAGTTCCGAACACTCTGCCAGTCAGATTTTGAGAAATAGAACGGCTTCAAAGAAGTAGCGTTCGTTGAAGTATCTTCTTCTGGCTATATATGGTGAGAAATCAAATGTGGCACATTTTGGAGAACATATCGTAAACATTGGGTGGATGTTTTCAGCTCCTGCATATTATTTTATTATTATTTCCCTATTAATCATTTTTTTTTTGATATCCAAACAGAAAACGAGCGTCGTTTCGACTAAGTGTGTACACGAAGGGAACGGAAGAAGTATGCGCAAAAGAATATCGAAAAATGAAGGAATTTCAATTTTTAGAGTGTTCCTTCATTATTTGAAGATATGCAAAAAGAAATAAAATAATTTGAAACTTGAGCTACATAGATAATGATGAGATATTTAAGTGCGGATGCCGTTGATGATGATGATGATGTGTGGCGGAAACAACAGTTGGCATCGGACAAAGAGGCACTATGGAAAACAAAGGAGACTCTTCGAGCAAAAAAAACACGAAATGAAACACCAAAAAATCGGATCTGATTGATTGATTGCTTCATTTTATCGATTTATTCGATAGATTTCAGCGACTACAGCGAATTGATGCATCTACGTGTATTTCTTGCGATGAAGCTTTAATTTACTTCGCCGTTTTGGAAATATGAGAGACGCGTTAATTGAGAAACAAACTATACGAAAAAATGATATATATTTGCTGCAAATTGATTCCAAATCTTCGTTGATACTTGCAAAAAAAGAAAAAGTTTTTAAGCCAAGCGCGAATGAATGCCTCGGGCGAGAATTCATTTATTGAAATATAATAATTTTGAAAGATATGCACGATAGGACATCATTTTCAATGAGTTCATATTAGGATTTTGAAGGCGACAACTCAATTAAGAAAAATGAAGCAGTTCACGTGAAAACAGCAAAATAAGCATTCACGCGTGGCGAGACCTTTTCAAGGCGCATGCGCGTAAATCTACCCGCGTACAACAGTCGCCGGACGCCCCGACTATATATTTTTATAATATGGTTTCGAATTAAATTGAGTTAAATTTGATCCAAAAATAGTTTATTTCTATGACATACGCAGCTTTTTCTTTTGGAATGTCTGATACTTGAAACTTGAATTCCAGCAATGATTGAATCAAAAATGTTTTGGTGAATTAAAAAATAAAAATAAATAACCCAAGTGCGAAGATAACTAACTGTTTAACATAAATGAAATATTCATTGAGTCAAGAAAATTTATTCGCCGCATTCCCATCATAAATTAACGAATTTTTGATGGTCTCTAATCGAAAAACGAACGTCTTCTGGAAAAAACGAATACGGGAAAAACGGTAATGAAATTGACGAGAACAATGTTATTCGATTTGCAATTTTTTATATTCGCCAGAATATTTGGAATGCAACAAGGAAAAGTAATATCGCCGGCAGAGAAAACGAATTTCGAATTAGAAAATGAAATTGGAAACTTTTCGAACGAACATCCGTCGATATCTAATTTAAGCCTTTTTGAGCCGTGTCAAAAAAAAAATGAAAAAAAAATTTGGAGGCACGAAAAAAAGGATTAGAACAAAAGCCCCATCAAAATTTCTGCGAAAACGACATTCAAAAAGTTGCTAAACTCGGCAGTCATGACATTCAGTCCGTCAGTATATGTGATTGTGTTTTGAAGAGCGAAAAAAGGGGACCTCATCAATCATATTACTTACTTGAATCCGTCCACGACGCAACGAATACGACATTTTTTTTTCGGCCGGCTGGACAAAAGCGAGAAATGCGCTCAACAAAATATAATTTAGGTGTTAACCAAAACCCGCGCATTCAAGTGTTTTCAAACACGATTTCGCATTCCGTTTTTTTTTTGGAAACACACACTCGACGACTCAAATTCAGATCTCAATGAACGGAATTCTCAAATTTTTGAAAGAATCGCACTGATTCGATTCTTTCAGACTCCTTGTTTATTTTTTTTTATAATTGACGGTCACGAGAGAGGATTAGACGCAATTTTAAACAATTGCGACGAACTTGGGTGAGTTTCCTTACTACTAATAATTCCAATGAATAGAAACTCGATGATCGATTCATTGGAAGAATTTTCTGGAACACTGACTTTCTGTCACAACATTTCGATATGCGAATTTGGGAGATATTTAAGCAGCGTTGTGTTGCCCGTGTGGAGTACACAGATACAACTATTGATCTCGCAATAAATATTAGATCCAGCGAGATTTTAGACAGTTTGTCACGGTTGGGAGGCTAATTGTCCATCGACCGTGGATTGAGAATGGAACCAGGACCACTCGAGTTCGGCCCTGATGCACTATTAGACGATTGTAGCGCTTCCCGGAAAATGTCCGCAGATGTCTACAATGACATTTTTCTTGTTTAGAAGCAAAGGCCCCGTTTTGACCAACCCTATGTGGGACCACTCGTCGTCTAGATGGGCAATTTACCCCGAGGGAACTACCCCCCCCCCAGACATTATAGACAAATGCTAAACAATTTTTTCTTTCAGCGCCAAGAATTAAAATCGAATTTGGCCTAAAATGCTGGAATTCCAAGTGGATCAATTCAGTTTTGGGGCAAAGTTGCCAACCTTGTGATTTTTGTTCAACAAGAATTACGTAAAAAAAGCAAATGCGAAATATTGAAACAAACAGAGTTCCTTTAATAATTAGCTGAAAATGAGTCATTTAAGGAGATTTTCCGATTTGTTGAATGAATTCAAACATGAATATTCAAGAATGAAAGCGGAAGCAAAAATGCGCAAGGATGGAATAGTTTTTGCCCTCTGAAAAAGAAAAAATAGAGACCGAGTGGAAGTTGGAAAGTTTTTGGCTCGAAGTTTGGCAGAGAGTGATTGACTTTTTAATTGGGGTCTTATTTTCTTTGAAAACGGATGAAATTCATGGTTTGCACACGACGATGTTGATGGGATTTTCAGATTGAAACAACAATTTTCGACTGAAAAAAAATGGATACTTAGATTAGGGGGCGCGGGGGGGGGGTCGAAAATGGTCGACACAAAAATATATAAATGAGATGACCTGGGCTGGACACGTTGCTAGAAGAACGGATGAAAGATGGACTACTCTTCTAACGGAGTGGCGGCCGTGGAATTGGACCCGGCCAAGAGGAAGGCCTCCCATGAGATGGTCGGACTCGCTTCGGAAGGAGATCACTACAATAACAGCTGAAGGAGCCGTTATCAGCCCGTGGTCCACCCAAGCCAAGGACCGAAAAGCTTGGAAATCTGTGATTCGCACCTCAACAGGCGAAGGATGAACCGACTAAGTGACTAAGTGAAGTAAGTGAAAAAAAATAAGCGCTGAGATTTGAGAATGTTGTTGCTCATCACGTGCCTTCGTAGGTAACAAACAGATCACGACGAAAAGTTGGCCACAGACAAAATAATTTGAAAAAGTCAAACGACACATCGTCGAATGTCCCGTAAAAAGATATTTTCTGGATTCGTCTGCGTCTCTCCACCCTCTATACTATTTTGCGAGATGGGCGGATCGTATTTCCTCTCATTCTCTTTTTTTCCTCGTTTTATTTCTCGTTCATTTTTTCCAAAACTCAAATTGCAATTTTTGTTTTCTGAGATAAATTGCTGCCCAATTTAATATTGTCGGAAGAACCGAAGAAAAAAGAAATAAAGCACATTCGAAAGGAAGTTTTTTTTCGAATGTGCTTTTATCCTATTAGCAGAATAGATAATTAATAAATGTACTTGGTTCGGTCGACAAAATTAGATATGACATTCTTTGGAAGAAATTCTCGAATGGAAACAAAAAGAAACGGAAAAAGAATCGACTATTTTTTGAGACAAAAATAGGAATAATTTCGGAGAAAAATACTTCCGCCGACTGTGAAATGTTTCAAACATGGGCAATTTTCAGAATTCAATGCTTCAATATTCACTTATTCGCAACAAAAAAAAACGCCGATTCACGGTGAGTTTGATTATCCAGAATACGGTATCCGAATAGAAACTGTTGAAATTTGAATTTGAATTACCGCCGCGAAAAAAGTGCGATGGTCCACGATTTGTCAACGTGCTCATTTTTTTGCGATGACAATATTTTATGGAACAAAATAAAATCCAATCGGTAATAAATTTAGAATACACATTGTTTGGAATTTATAAAGCGATGAATCGATATGATATTTAACTATTCAATTAGGTTTAATTTAAAATAATATTATTAAACGAAATACGCAGTTTCAGATGAAAGACAATTTTTGAGAGACAAAATTCTACAAATGGAACGTCGAGCAATCATGCTCTATCGAATTGGTGGGAAACTCGTACATCAAAATATAGTATAGTCGTTAGAAATAATGTGAATTATTTGAGTAGCAAATTTTGACAGCTAATGACGAAATACTAAAATGTTCAACTTGAATGTTTCGAATAAAATTTATATCAAATGTAATCTCGCTGCAGAATGTTTTTCGAATTTGCTAAAGAAAAGGAAATGATTTGCACTGAGAATAAATTTGTATAGTTGCACAAAGAGCATAATTCATGGCCATAATAGGCGACCTGAAGCTATAGGGCTCATTTGGTAAATTTCTGACGAAACTCACAACACAATTTTTATCTTTTCCACATTTATCATAACATTCGTTCCAACTAGAATATTCTGTGTGATTTTCGCAAACACTGCCTTCTGTTAATCGACCCCAAATGAATAATAATTGAGAGTTTTCCGAATTCTCAAATTTCAAAATGGTTTGTTATACTTTACACAATAAAATACCACTTTTTTGAAGAATATTCGGAAATAAAATAAGAGAATTATCGAGAAGAAACGAGACATTTTCGAGCGAATAATTGTGAATGGTTGCTCGGTCAAATTGCATAGCAATAACACGAAACATGTTGTTGTCTTAAGAATAAAAAGAGATGTACATTATTCAAGTGCTCAAATCTTCCCAAAATAGAATAACTAAAGTAATCTCTTTTCATATTTCGAATGATAGAACCTCTAATGATAATCTAATTTTTATATAATCTGAATTCGAGTTGAATTTTTTATAAAGTTAAAAGCTTGAGATTGGTCTGACACAGGCATACAATGTCTTCCATATGCCATCGCATTCCTCCTTCGTTGGACACGTGTTAACACAACTAAAATTGAAGCAGAAAATTATGGAATGTCGAAATTCAAACAAAAAATGTTACAATTGATCATCAATAAATCCATGATAGTAAGAATTTAGAGAAGCATACATCGTAAGACAATCTTGTCGTTCCGTGCCCCTGCAATTTCGTCCTTTGAATTTTATTCACAAGCATACGTTTATGGTTTCGTATACCTCGTAACTCCGTCCGGCCGGCCAGCGAGGAAATTGAATTCACCTTCTTCAGTCATATATGGATCGACCCATTCGAACGATTTCTGTCTGCATTCCTGCAGCGAATTCCAATTCGAACCTCTGCAGTGGTCCAGTCAAGAAGCGGCAAGCCAAACTGCATTGAAAATTGGAAACGAGGCGTTGATTAGAGATAAAGATTGGTCTAAAATACATAAATAACGAAAATGTCATTTTTGAAAACACACCGGCGATTATTTGATTTTCTTGTTTAGTTGCGATTCCCGTCAAATATCCTCCGACATCCTTACACAATTGCGTAGCGTTGCTATAAACGAGCGGCGTTTGATTGTTAAAGACTTTCAAACAAAAGAATCCTTGTTGTCTATACGATCCGTCCCAACCAGCAGGGCATTTTAATTCTTCTAAAATAAACGATTATCATTAGTTTCGCTAAGCATTATCCATACGAGTTGCCTCAAATTTCCAGATGTCATCATAAAAATTAACAATGTATTTAATTAGGGTATTTCTCTGTATGAATGAGCTCTGAAATTATATGAAGATTTACGTTACACGGCTGGCCGCAACTAATGGACTAGAAAAAATTTTCTCAAAATTAGTTTCGGCCACGGCCACATCCGATGGATGAATTAATTTAGTAAAATAGAACTAGATTAATACGTATATGTTTTTTGTGTTTTTTTTTTCAAAAACCACAAAAATTGAAGACACAAATTCGTAGAAATAAAAGGAAACCGCGCACAAATATTACACATAATCGAAGTTGCAGTTTTGTTTTTTTAAGTGTCGGAAAATTTTTAAGGCCGCACGTGAGTACCATTGCACCGTTTAAATAATGTTGCGTATAATTATTGTTATTATTCCAATAGCATTCCGAACCATTTCGTGCAATCTGAAATTCATTTTTACTCTTAAATTGTCGGCGTCAAACGATTTAAACGCAGGGCTCGCCGCAATTCACGTGCGGCCTAGAAATATTTTCCACAATAATTAGGTTCGGCCGCGGCCATATTTCATCTATTTAATAAAATAGAACTAAACGAATACGTCTTGCGTGTTAACGATTGCAAAAATCACAAAAACTGAAGACACAAATTCGTAGAAATAAAAGAATATCGCGTCTGTATGCAATACATATAATTTTAAAAATTAGCCTGTGTTAATGTGTCGCAATTGCAGTTTCGATTTTTGAAAGTGTCGGAATTTTTTTTAGGCCGCACGTGAGCGAGCCGTGAATGAAATTTAAAAATTATTGTTTATGTGCCAATGCGTCTCGTGGCAGAGAGAAGTACGCGAGTCTGTGTACATTGCATTATAGTGTATGCAAATTACAGTTATTCAGTTAACGATAAATTTAAATCTACACTGTTTTTTGAATTTGAAGGCTTCCCCTCCAGAGCGGCTGAATGAATTATTTGAAAATTGAGGAAATCCGTCCAAATCTGCCCTTTAGAACGCAATTACTCGCCTCCCTTTAATCGTTTGACGCCGACAATATATTGAACTGTTACAATCGCAAAAAACGAGCACTCTGCGCCAATATAGGTTGTTACATTTTCAAATACCTTGATTGCGACTTTTTCGTTTGTAGCGCCATCGAGAATTTGGACCGAGAACGAATCTGTATAGTTGCACAAAGAGCACGATTCGTTGGCATAATAAGCAACCTATGAATTAAAAAAATACGATTTCTTAATTTCATATTCACACTTACTACACATTTTTTGTCAATTCCACATTTATTATAACACTGCTCCCAACTAGATGTTAGATCATCATTTTTACATGTACTTTCTTTGGTCAATCGTCCCCAAATTAATGTTAGTTGAGGATTTATTGATTTCTTAAAATCAATCATTCCTTGTATGGATAGTGAATTTAAAATGGATAAATGAAAACAATACCATTTCGTTAATTTTAAGAAAAAATAAATGTATTACAATAAAAGAAAGGAAATAATGTTGTGTTTTGGTGCTGTGTGACATATTTATGAATTGGTTGTTTCCATTGAGGAAAAATCCAGCAAATTGCATAGCAACGACATTATAAATGAATATTTCGGGTGCATGACTAACATATATATTTGCTGACAAAATGTCAAGTCTGTCGAGTCTGTTGGGGCTATGTACCAAGGCAGAAAAATTGTTTGAAGAAGAGTATTTAAAATTAGTTGCTAAGCAAGGCGTATGGGAGAGTGTAGCTAGAAACCATGAAGCGTTGGAAGAACTGGTGGATGAGATAGAAGAAGAAATGTATAAGATGGAAACTCTAGCAACGAAGGTACAAACAAGGTTGGATAAGTTGGTTGAGACGATAGATGAGCTTGAGGAAACGACACAAGAGGACGAAATAAAAGTGAAAACCAAAATGATGAAGAACGAAGAAATTCAAGACAAAACTGATCACATGACAAACTTGTACCGACCGAAATTATTCACACTGAAGAAGAAGTTGAAAGCAAACACAGGAGATACAAGAAGACAAAATGTGACGGGAAACAAACCGTTGAACATCGGACTATCAGAAATACGAATACCAGAATTTCATGGGAATCCAAATGAATTCGTTGCATTTTGGACCATATTTGAAGAAGCCGTTCATATGAATGACAATATGTCAAATGTGTTGAAATTTTCATACTTGATGAATGCATTGAAAGGAAAAGCAAAGATTGCTGCAAGCAGATTCCCAGTAACCAATGAAAACTATCCGCAAGCAATCGCCTTTATCAAGGAGAAATTTGGAAACGACAAAATACGAGTGAAAGAATTGGGAAAACAACTAAAGAATTGTAAAGCACAGTCGAGTAAGATCGAAGATCAACAGATGTTATTCGACGAAGTAGCGGCAACTTTGAATCAATTGGAAACTAGCGGAGAAGCAATGGATATCGAAATGACCAGAGAATTAATTACGAAGAAATTCTCGCGAGAAATCCAAAAGAGTGTCTACCGAATGCGTGAAGAATCACCGGAAGATTGGAATTTGACCACACTGATGAAAAGCCTGGAAAAGATTTTGAAAACGGAAGCGAAGGTTGAGAACGACTGTGAAAACGAACATGTCAGAGAAGTGAAACAAAATGTGGTTCGAAGAAATATAGTTAACGAAAAACTATTCCGGTGTTATTTCTGTGAGTAAAATCACCGCGCAGACAATTGTCCTAATTATTCTTCTATTGACGAGAAATGGAAACGAATTAAGGAACTCAAAAATTGTTTTAATTGTTTAAAATCAGGGTATTCCTCAAGAGAATGCAGAAGCGAGAAATGCAGAAACTGTCAAAGAAGTCATCATCGACTGTTGTGCAAAAACATAAATAACAGGAACAATAAAGCACAAAAAACAACAGCGAAGAAGAAAAATGACGGAGGGAGTCATCAAAACGTTTCAATACCAGTACGACAGGAAGATCAACGAGAAGTCAGTCGAACACGTCAAGCACATCAAAATTTTGTGAATGGGACACCTACAGTTCAGATGTGGGGATACAGCCCAGCAACGTCGGAGTGGAAAAAAATCGTCGTGATGCTTGATTCTGGAGCGAATTCGACATATGTGAAAAAGTCAATCGTAGAAGACTGGCAATTGGAGATGGTTCGCGAAGAATGGGTGAAACTACAAACATTCGGACAAATCGCGAAGAATCCAGAAAAATACCAAGTTGCAAAAATCTTGATAGACAAAGGAAACAACCAAAGAATTGAAGTTGAAGCGACAGTAAAAGATTATCTTGTGGAACCAATCGATAAACCAGTGCTGGATGACCGTGATTCAAAGTTCCTGGAAGACGAAGGTATCACTATCAATCCGGAATGCTTAAAAACAATATCAGATCCCGATGTAGTTGTTGGTAATGATTACATTTATGAATTCTGGATGCAGCACACACTTCCATCAGAATTGACATACATCTTAACCACAAATGGTGCAGTAATCACTGGACGTAGAGCTGACCATGATGATATGAAAATGAAACAGGAAAACTCGACACGACGAGTGAATACGGTAGTGCGCAACGTCGTAGAAAACGTCATTGAATTTGAAGAAATGAAAAAAGGAGAAATCGCTGGACCAGTGAATGACTATATATATTGAAATACTACGTAAGATTGACGAAATTTTTAAAACACAGTTGAATCAAGGAGTGTTGGAAACAGTCGAGAATCCGGAAAAGTCGGAAGGAATTGTTCATTACAACCCTCATCGTCCAGTGATCACACCAACCAAACATACAACGAAGGTTCGAGTAGTAATTGACGGTTCAGCACACTACAAGAATGAGTCTTCACTGAACGATTATCTTTTTCAAGGACCAACAATGATGCCTTCATTGACAGGAGTTTTAACACGGTTTCGAACAGGAGAAGTAGCCATCGCGGCGGATGTTGAAAAGGCTTTCTTAAACGTCCGAGTCATAGAAAGAGACCGAGACGCAACGAGATATCTTTGGGTCAAAGATGCTGAGAAGAGCACGACACCCGAAAACATGCTAATTGTTCGATTCACTCGAGTAATATTTGGACCAGGGCTGTGCGGCAATCGGCAATTTCGGCAATTGCCGCACAGCCCTGATTTGGACTAAACTGTTCACCATTTTTGCTAGCAGCAACGATTCATAATCACTTGACAAAATATAAAGAAACCCCTGAAATCGCGCAATCAATTTGGGAAAACTGTTATGTTGACAATGTAATCTTGACAACTGATTCATCAGGAACGGATATATACAAACAATGCAAGCGTCTGTTTGATGAACAAAATATGAATATACGCGAATTCATGTCGAATTCGAAGGAATTCATGGATTTCGTTGCAGAAAAAGACCGATCAACTGACGAAAACCCGAAGATTTTAGGAATTTCTTGGAACTGTGATCAAGATGAATTGACGTTCCGATGTAACATCAAAGACGAAGCCGATGGGAAGGTGACGAAAAGAATCGTATCACAAGCAATTGGAGCAGTATACGACCCGATGGGAATACTTTCACCTCTTATGCTGCCGCTGAAACTTTTTTGAGAAAATTATGGAATCGAAATTTGACGTGGGATCAAACACTTGACGAAGACCTACAACTTGAATGGGACACTATTAAGCAGCAAGCAAATGGATTTTCGAAAACATTGCCAAGGAAAATCATGCCGAAACCTGGGCCAATGAAAATAATTGTTTTTGCTGATGCAAACATCAATGCAACTGCAGCGTGTATTTACGTGATTGATTCGGAAGCACATCTATTGCGCGCAAAGCAGAAGCTAATTCCGAAGGATGATGTATGGACGATTCCAAAATCGGAAATGACCGCGATTCGAAATGCATGCGAATTGGCGAAAGAAGTTTTACATGATTTACAAGAAGGGTCGAAATTTGTGGAACATCTCATAATTTTTTCGGATAGCGACATTGCCCTCAAATGGATCAAACGATCGCCTGGAAAAAAAGAAATTGGAGCATTCATTAATAACCGATTACGGGACATTCGAAAAATCGTTTTTGATATAATGAACTCCAACACTCATGTACAATTTGGACATGTTCCAACATCAGAAAACGTGGCGGATATTGGAACAAGAGGATCCGGCAAAGACGAGTTTGCTGAACATCAGTGGTGGACGGGACCAAGAGAATGGCTGAAAAGCGAAGAATGTGAGAAAAGTTTATTTTCAATAAATGATACCGAAGGCTTCGAAATTCAGAGAATTGCAGCAGTCCGAAAGGTAGTTACGAACAGAGAATCGCTATTTGGAAATATCGAAGGAAAATCGATTACTCAAATGAAAAAAGTTGCAGCATTTGTATTGTCGGCGTCAAACGACTTGATGGGGGCGTGGCCTTCAGTATATCGTAACCAGTGTAGATTTACGAGCGGGTAGATTTACGCGCTGACCAAATATTAAATGGTTTTTTTTCTCGATTTTTTAATATTAAAAAAATGTTATGCGTGTTTTAATCCTGATACCCATTGTCATTTGCATTCTTATAATGAGTCGACCTCCATATATACGTAAAAGTTCACGGAACTAACGGCATTTACTTAAACAAACGAGAGTATCGTACATTTAACGAATATCTTAAGAGCACCACAACAATGTTTTATTTACCGTAAAAATAGTATGAAAATTATTGTTCAAAGGGGAAAGTCATCCGATTAATTGAGAATTCTCGAAATGCACCAAGACGCCGCACAATTGAAACTTATAACCGAAAGCCAAACGAGCGTTGATTCCAATCGCCTAAAACTAGTAATAACTTCACATTGAATACAAAATTAAAAAGAAAACTGAGTCTACAAAGATAAAAAAATGATAACGTACTTTTCGGAAGAAGCTTGAAGTCATTGAGTATATTTATTCCTTTCCCTAGTATTGATGAAGCTGTGAAGTACCGAGGCGAGCATATAATTCAGAATTTTGTGTCCGTTGGAGGTTGTCTTCGAGGTTGCGCGAAGGGTTCAATATTTGACGCCATTGAAGTCGCTGCAACTATAATGATAAAATAATGACAATTTTAAATAAAAATAAATTAATACCCGTCTTAACTTCAGTAGTTTTCAAAGTCCTTCGGCTCCTGTTCAATGTGATTGTGTTTCCTAAAATGTACTAAAAATTAAGAAACGGAAAATGATGAAGAATAAGTTTTTACAATGTCAAATTAATTAAAAAATGCCTTTAAATACATTAAAATTAAAAACTATCAATCAGCGATTATAAAAATGTAAGATAAACCGTAAAAATAAAAGAAATTGGCTAATAAAAAAAGAGATACAGAAAAATTCTCAAAAAAATAACGCGCCCAAAAACACGCTGCGCAAAACACGCTGCAAAAGTGTATGCCACATACACTTCTCTTCGCCTCGAGAAATCTGGCAATTAGCCAATATTTTTTAAAATTTCGTCAAGTCGTTTGACGCCGACAATAATTCGATTTATCAATCGTTCTATAAGAAAATTGTCACCAGAAAGAAAGGAAAAGATCAGAAACCTAATGGAAGTAAAAAGCGATGGATTGGATTATGGACCATTGTCAACGGAAGAACTTGGACAAACCGAAAAGTTATTGATCAAAGACCATCAGAAACTAATTGATCAAAAACGATTGACAGAATTGAAAAATTTGAAAATTATCATGAACGAGGATGGAATTCTCAGATGCCGAGGACGAATGGGAAACTCGGAAGGAACTCATGACGAAAAATTTCCAATTTTGATCAAAGAAAACTCGGCAATGGCGAGATGGCTAATAAAGGAAGCGCATGGAGACTATCATTCGTCTACGTCTCAAACAATGGCGAATTTTCGAATGAAGTTCTGGAGCCCAAAGTTGCGAAAACAAGTGTTGAATTTCAAAGCGAAATGTATTCCATGTCAAAAATGGGGAAAATTGCCGTATAGATATCCAGAGATGATGGATCTTCCCGGATACCGCGTACAAAGACATCGAGCTTTTGAATGCGTTGGAATTGATTTTTTTGGACCAATCAGCTATAGAAATGACAATAGCGAGGTCGGAAAGGGCTACGGAGTATTGATTACATGTGCAACGACACGAATGATGTTCATGGATTGCACAAAAAACCTATCGACAGGTTCATTTCTGAATTGTCTCCGAAGATTTATGTCTTTTTATGGAGTACCAACAACAATTGTATCTGACAGCGCACCAACATTTCGACTAGCTGCAGAAATCTTACAAGAAGCGCAAACACAATGGCCGCTCGACATCAGACAAATGACAGCTGAAAAAGGAATTGATTGGAAGGTGATTACACCGTATTCCCCTTGGATGGGAGGGATGTACGAAAGACTAGTAAAATCAGTAAAAGAATCATTCCACAAGAAATGACAATTCAGGAGCACGGGGCCTACATAGCCGGGAAAAGGTTAGAAATTCGATCTGATATATCCTGAAAAACGGAACTTTGAAGACTGAATAGCAGAAAATCGCCGCCGTAGTGTGGAGGATGAAGGAGGAGCTGGTTGGCGAATTCGTGTTCAGGTGGATCCCACGAGGGACGAACAAGGAAGCGGACGCGGTGAACAGGTGCCCCGATGCCGATAATTGGAGCATTCAGGACAGGATAGCACAGACAATAATGTCGAGTTTCTTTAGATGCTCATTGGATATGTTTGCGAGCAGCAGCAACAGAAAATGCGAAAGATTCGTGTCAAGGGTCGCTGAACCAGGCAGTGTCGCAGCAAACGCACTGGACGGAGCCAACGAGGACCTGTGGGCGGAGGATCAAATTTGGTTAGTTCCACCCGTGCGACTAGTATCCAAGGCTTTAGGGAAATTGAGGAAGATGAAGGGGAGGGCGATACTGGGATGCCCGGATTGGCGGTCCCAGCCCTATTTCCCGTTGCTAAGGAAGGAGGGGAGATGGGCGAAGTGGATCAGGAAAGGCGTTAGGTTCCCAACAGGGACGAACTTGTTTGTCCCTGGGGGGAGAGGAGAGGCTTTTTCGGAAAAACACGCAAAATCACCTCTCCTTTTCCTACTAGCGGATTTCCGCCGGACTTACGACGAACCGGCGAAATTATCATTTAACTGACTTCGGAAGTTATTCAACCCCAAAACGCGTTTTGCCTATCAGATAAAGCAATAAGTGAAGCAAAAAATGAGTTTTTCGTGAAATGCAATAAAAGGAAAAATAGAAAATTTTTGCGGAACGGATTGCAAAAAAAAAATATCACAGTACCGCGCTCTAAAGGCGCAGTGTCATAAGCGGGGTGGTTCCCACAACGCGAGAAAGTACGGTGCGGACACGGGCGGGCGAAAGAAATAGGGAAAATCGTCATTACGTGTGACGTTTTAGCTAGCAGATAAGAGATTCGAAAGAGCGCAACAGATGGAAGAGGTCTTGAGGAAGAACAGACCGGATATGGCGGGACGCGTGCGGACGGCGATAATGAACGTCAGAGCCGCAGGGACAAGGAGATAGTACGATGGCGTCATCAAACCATTTTGGAAATGGCTCGATGAGAACGAATGGGCAAAAAAAAACGCAGGAAAAAACAGGCAGAGGCCAAGGGATTGGCGTTTATGGCGGAAAATATAGAAAAGGACAGCATGGCGTCTCTGCCGTCGACGGCGTCCGCACTGAATTTTTACTTCGGAAAAATGGGAGACGGTTGGGAAAAGTTGGAGTCGAGCATCGTTAGGTGGGCGGCGAAGGAGAAGAAACCGGTGCAGCACAAGGAAAAGGCGACCCCGAAGCTGGTCAGGTAGCTGGCGGAGGCAGCGAGCTCAGTGGAGGAGGTGCGCACAGCTGTCGCCGCAATCCTCTCGTTCGGAGCGTTGATGAGAGCCTCGGAGGTGCTGGCCTTGAAAACGGGAGATCTGGAATGGAAGGACGAAGCGGTGACACTTCGAATAAGGCGCTCGAAAACAGACCAGCTCGGAAAAGGGGCGGAACTGCGGGTGGCGTTGCAGCCACAAGCTTCGGAAACTGGAATGGTTCAAGGATTTTGGCAAAGTGCCGCAAGAAAAGGTCAGAGTAGGGAGAGAGTAACGGAGACCATAGATATTTCAGGGCATTCATGGCTGTTCGAGAGCAGGTCAACAAGGAAACCAATCACGCTGTCGACGTATCGGACCGGCTTGAAAAAAACTTCTGGCAAAGCGGGAAAGGAGACGATTGGAATCATTTCACACAGTTTGCGGGCGGAACGACGACGTTGATGAAAGAAGGGCAATCGGAATTGGAATTGAGAGCGATCGGCAGATGGAAATCCGGCGCCCTTCTCGATTATCTACAAGCACCGGAATCGGTCGCGCTACTAAATTTTCCCAAGTAGGCTATCAAACTTACCCCGCCACCAGTTGTTTTGTTTTGTTTTACTAATATGTTCGGTTGTGAAGGTTCCGGAGGAGCCTATGATTTGTTGGAAATTATTCATTTGTTCGTTAGCTAACCCCAAAACGCGTTTTGCCTATCAGATAAAGCAATAAGTGAAGCAAACATTGAGTTTTTCGTGAAATGAAATGAAAGGAAAAATGACGTTTTGGCATTGTAAGTGAGTCATGTGGCAATATCAGGTCAAAACAATCGGCGACCGGAAGGAGATATATAAATACATTCAATCAAACCTCCGACCATAAGCAATAATACCTGACCGTTGTCATTGTTACACTCTCATTCATCTATTTAAGCGATACTGAAGTGAGCGAGATGGTAGAAAGTCGGGAGATAACACTAAGACCCCCATTTATTCATGTGATTCTCATTCACTTATGGACCGCACGGCCGAGGTTCGGAACATCAATTTTTAAAATGTTTTTGTAAAAAACTGGCATCGATTTTGCAACAACATGCTTCCATCTCAGGATTTACTGTGGTAAAAAGAAAAAATGCAGAATCTCACGAACTCCACCTGGTGGCCACCCCTCTCGTCGCCGAATTTGAGCCGCCGAGCGGTGGATATAAAACTACTTGTGCCAATGGAAAATCAATTTTCAGACGACCAAAACTCGTCTGAAAATTCAGACTGGAACTTTCTAGACACACTCAAAAGACATTCTAGTGTGGGAAGTTACAAAAATTCCAAGAAGGGAGGTAAAATGAGTTCACTTAAAAGAGATGTTAAACCCCCTGAGCAGATTGCGGAAAATTGGCTAATTGACTAAAAACAATGGCAATGGTGTTGGCGCAAAACTAAGTGTAGGTTTTTTGGTCTATGCATAAAGATATGTTAATTGCGCACACACCAAGACTTCTCCCCCAACGATTTTTGGCAAATTTTCCGCTGTCCCGCGAAAAACAAAAAAATAGAACAAAACTAGAACTGACACTGAAAATACTAACCACAGACCCTTCTCTTTGATCGATTTTCCTGAAAGATTGGGAATCCCGCTTTTACGGGGATATCCGCAATCAATAATAAACATTTATTGGTGTTCTGGAGCAGTTTCGACTGCAAGCCGTGCATCTCTTTCATCTGAAACAAAGCAAATTCGCAAAAACTATAAAAATAAAAAATTACGAGGCAATTTTTACTCTAGTATCAATAAGTAAATAGGAAACATACAGTACTTTAAAGATGCAACATCGAATATAAAGGAGTTGTTCAATTCATCATGAAATGACCTAATAAAACAATCATCGAAGCGTTGGGCGAAGAGTTCTAAATGTAAATAATCATAGAAAAATTCAATAATTCTCGTCAACTTCTCATCAGCGGCATCCGACCAAATTGAATTGCTAATGAATTTCGCGAAAGATTCAGGTTAATTGTTCCTAAAATTGTAGTTATCCATATAGGTTTCAGAGGCAAAGAGGGTAAAAGATGGTTCAAACCATTCAAGACACGAATCATATGAATTGACAGTGTAGGAATGAAGTTGATTGACTTCCATTGTAAAAATTTCCGCTCACATTATCCAGACGCCGATCTGAAATAAAGTATCGAAATAAAAGTAAGGCAATTTAAAAATGCCACTGATTTAAAAGTGCTGTTCTCCATCTCCATATCCATCGATCTCCAGCTCACGGCATGCTTTCCATGAAAAATTGAAATTTTAAAATGATCATTATGAAACTGATCGTTTTTTGATGTTTACCAAAATGTTTGTTGTTGTGTATGAGTTTTTCGTTGCGCTTTCAAAGCAAAATTTCACAGTTTCAAAAATAATTGCCAATTCAGCAGTCTTCACAACGAACTGCCTCGACGCCACTCCACCGTGTGCGCCTAGACTTCCCCAGGCATTTCCCTCCTGGGTCGGACCCTATGGGTCACCGATGCGGGGTGTTGGTCCGCGTCTCGTGGCACGAGAAGCGCGGCACCCGTGCGGGCTCTCTCAAATCCGACTCAACGAATGTTCTCGAGACACGCTCACAGCGGTCCGAGACGCATTCGTTGTGGAGACACCGAAAGCGCAGTGTACAAAAGTTGTAGGAATTATTCATTTTTAAATTTTAAATTTAAAACTAACGAAAAACAAAAAGAAAAAGTAACTTACGCTATCTCGAAGCAGCGGCCGCCTCCAAGAAAAATGATATCATCTTCGATTTTCGCCTGCAAAACTTGTATTTTAATGTTTTTTATGACAACTTAAAATTTGAAAAATCAAGAAAACGTAGCCTGTAATTAAAAATACTGAGAAATTTCAAGGAAATCGAAAATTAAAGTCAAACGTGGCAACGAAGTGTGGAAATTTCGGTTACTGTAGACATACATAGTACGCAATTAACTAAAATATCGAATTATTGCGGAATTAAATCTTTCGTCGTCAAACTCATCGGGAATTGGTTTTTTTAAAATTGTTTTCGGCTGAACGGTGGCAAATTTTGGAAGAGACAATGATAAAAAATAGTACATTTTTTTGTTTTCCTTAAATTGGCGAAATAATATTGGCCGAAAGCGAAAAATCACTGTTTCTTACGACGATTTTGTCTAATTTCATTCGATTAAAAAAATTCATATTCGTCATTGTTAATCTGTTTTTTTTTTAAAACAACAACTAACTTTCTGTTTTTTCCAGAAAACACTTCTTACCATCAATTATGCCGAATTTGACATTTGAAATGACTTTTTGGACATTTATTCGTGCCGCTGAATAAATCCAATGGAAATGTATAAGGTACCGTTTAAACAACTTACAATATTAATTTCTGATTCTTATTTCAGCTCGTCTTAACAAAGTGGCCACCGGAAAACAAGAAAAATTCGAAGACGAAAAATGAAAATGGATGAATAGGTTCACGTATGGTGAAATTATTTTAATTTTTCAATAAATTCGAATCTATTTTAAATAAAGGCATTTTTTGTTTTTTTTTTTTCAAAAATTAATACGTTTAATAGGTTGTTTTTTCTTAAATACTTGTGCGAGATAAAGACAAATCAAGGTCATATTATGATTATTACGATTTGAGATGTGCAGGAAAGTTTCCCGGTAATTAATTTTTGCCATTTTCTGGTTCCAATTTTCAAGATATTATCGTCTGCATTTTGTCATATTTTGTAAAAATGAAAAGAAACTAGTTGAAATAGCAAAAATGAAACGAAAACAGGTTTACCGGAGACGAAAGGTCGGTTTTCCCGCACATTTCTGATCGGAATCGAATGAAACTCACTTCGCATTTCTTTGCGTTTGTGATGCCAATTTTATCTTTTTACTTGATTTCTCTCTTGGTGAACGATTTCCTCGAACAACTTTTAGAAGTAGCTCTATTTAGGTTCGTCGTAGTCCCGTCCAATAGTTTTTCGCTACCGATTTTTCCCTCCACTACCGTTTTTAACTACTATTATTTCGGACAGTGACGCGATTAACTAAAATATGCGAATTATTGCGGAATTAAATCTTTTCTCATCAAACTCATCGGGCAGTGGTTTTTTTTGTTTTCGGCGAAAAGATGGCAAATTCTGGAACAGACTATTTAGTTTCGTCGGCATTTTCGTATTCACTTTTTT